CTACCTAGTTCCATCATCAGGATGCCTCGTCCATCATCGCGACAGTCGCCTATCGCATTCTCTGCATGTTCNNCGTGACATAATGATGCCGCCGCGCTCCCCAGCCTCTCCATCTCTGTACCATCTTGATTCGCTGCGCGCCTGCCGTCGCTAGCCATCTTGCATGCAACTCCCAGTAAAACAAAGTTGCCCTCCCCTGCTCTGCGACCATCATGACGTCCCCNACCAAAAAGCAGTTCGTCGACGGTTGTTCCCCCAATTTGCCNCTCTATGGTTTCTGTCTCCTTCTTTGGGGTAAATAATACCATTGTCAGTCATTCCCCCGTTTATCGAACGGTCATCGAATCGTTTCGTTGTTCATATTGCCTATTTACCTATCTGGACCACCAGGAGGTAATTGCAAAACCACCTGGCTCGCCTTATGCTGGCCACATTCCTGTCACGCTTCTTCCTCTTGCTACTGACCGCTCTCCGGCTGCGATTGTCAGTTGCAACTGGTAAGCTAGAACACTTTTCATACAGTGAGCATCGTCTTCGAAGGTCGGGGCTCTATCACCGGCTGCTCCCGCAGGCGGAAATTAGGTAGCTTTGCGAAAACCAAACCCGGGCTGTCATGGCAACCGGCTCGTGCCCTTCTCTCTCCAGCCTTGCGTGGGCAGACGCCCCCAAGTGCCCCAACATTATTCAAGACGCTAGCACTTGTTTGAAACAGATCTCTCGACAGCGGACAGCTTCAAACTCTCATGCCCATGGCATGCCAGCCATGTGCTGGGAGCTGAGGGCCCAGCCGAGTCTGATGTTCGTCCAAGACCGCCAAAATTCACAACATTCTACGTTCGCCTCGTTCTCCGTTGGCCGTTACTAGACACTTCCGACGCTCCGTCCGATACGTCCAACGCTGCTATCCCCAAAGCCTTTTCTGCTCTATTCACCGCTGCCCGTCTATGCCCGGCCAAAGCCTTTTTCGTCATTGTATTGTAGGTACTCTTGGCCGCGGATATCCTCCGTTCGTGTCTTGACAGACTAGCAAAAAAATGTCGCACATGAGCGCATCTTTTGTGCCTGCCACCTGTCGGCTTTCGGCATCGTCGAGAACCCACGCAGATGCCGGCTTTCGTGCAAAGCTCGCCTGCCAGTCGGGCGGGATGGGCCCTTCTTTTCCCACCAAACCCTTCTTCGGGTTCTTTCTTGGACCTTTCAACGGGCCGAATGCACTTCATCCAGCCAATCACGTACGAACGGTAGGAAATCTCGACCTCACCTCCTCCAAAGTCCCTTTCGAAGCTATCGACATCGAGTCAGACGTTGCAGTGTTCATTGTGCCAATCGCTTCACATCCTCTTTGAACGACCGTATCCTCGGCCAGCCCACCGTCTTGTAGGGTATTCAGACCCGATTCGTGATCGTTTGATAGAGAGTCAATTGAAGCAGCAGAGTCGCAATTTCCAACGTCTGCACAGACTATTCGCATGGCACCTGCGTATCATCAACGTCCACCTTAGTCGTATCTTAATACGTGACGGGTATCCAAAACAATCGGATTCAACATGGAACTCCCTACTCCACGCCCGTTTGTTAGGAGTGACAATCAAAGCTGGTCTCCAGTATCACGATGGTATAGTCCGACGTTTGCAGGCTCATGACCTTTTGCCCCTGGATGCTTCTCCTATGAGATCTGGATTGACAGATTAATGCTTCTGCGGGGTTTCAAGTGGAGTCTCTCATCAAATAGTTTGTCTAATGAAAAGAAGATCATCGAAGACTTGAATCGCATCGCAACGGACTGAACTTGCTCTAGAGTNNCTTGGTGTTTGTTTACCGCTTCTCTGGAAAGCTNCGAATTGCATGACGTCTTGACCAATCGTGCCCNTCCGGAATCATTCTCGCTTCTCCATGTTCTTGCCTCTGGGGTTAAGGCCANGGAGTCCAGGACTCGCTCACCGTCTTTGGTTGAAATAAAATTNNAACCCGCCAAGGGGAGACGCCTACAGTGCACGATCTCCTCATATCAGTCAAAGAACACGCGAGCTCAGCAGCCAGAGCAACGATGTTTTTGTTTACTCATGGACTNCAAAACATAACAATGCGAGTCCGTTGGTTGTCCNNCTATGGGCGAAGTATGATGTGCATGTGAATTCCTTGAAGCTTCTTCTCTTCCAGAACCTACTCAGGCAGGACACATACAAAAGACCTTCTGCCCCTCTCACCTATCACAGACACATGACTATCCACCTTCTTGCTACATATCTTACATCAAATTATACCCCGCTCCCCATGATGATCTCCGGACGCACTGCTGTCGTTCATTGTGCTTATGCTCACACCCAAAACGTACACCTGTCACGAATTACGGCACCTACTACCTGATGATGCCTGGGGACATTACCATCTCCGCATGCCGCAATCACAATTTCCTCTCCATGTTGGCCATGCTCTCCACAAGAGCGTTAACATAATCTTACCTTGATGTTGGCAATGCATTATCTTGATCTGTTATTGTCTGTCGCGCTCACGACCCTGACGAGCTTCACGAGCTCCACCTCGGTACCTGACTAACCCTATTCTCCATCGTTGCCGCCGACCTGCCACTGCCATTTATATATCACATGCATGACACTACTGAGCGCTTTCGTGTTTGATATATGACTATTCATTGATGACTTGCTGTACCTGCATAAGGCGCTTCCCTTATCAATCGCCCTCTCCGATGGCGCTTTCAGCCAACCAACGATCGCACACAAGCAATGGTTGACGCGAAGCGAAGAACAGAATAGACCTGCGTCATACTGGAGCCCAAAGGAAGAGCACCACCTATCCTTCGGAAGAGGCCCGTTCATAACCTGGAGTTATCCCCGTATACAGCCAATAGTGCGTTCAAACAAGTCTGGTTTGGAAATCGGCGAGTTTGCCCGTGCTTGTCCGATGAAGATGGGTCAGAAGGATCAAGGATGCGAGCCTTTTTGCTTTCGTTTTCTTGGGCCCTTTTGAGCCCTTTCTATTGATCGCCGGTCATCGCCAGCCACCAAATTGGAATCAACAGAATCGACCAAAAACCGCACAACATTCTGTTCGCTTGGCTTCCGTCGCCCACTTATATCACTTTAACGAAAACTTAACTATTCTTAACAGAGCACCAAGCAGACTATTGAACTGATTAGCCGCGTCAAGCGATTGACCCGCCGGTCCAACACCGGGATTAAATGGTATGTCGTTGAGTGGTGTCTTTTTGCTTTTCGCAAGAACCGCGACGGATCGGAGCGGCGACAACAACAACCGACGAGGCTGAACTCTCGGCCATACCATGGACATGGAAAACAAAAACAAAAGGTTGTCATTGAACGATGATTGTACTTGCTTCAGGTCCAGACAATGCCTTTCGGCCCTCTTGTTCTTCTCATCTCTCGCCATTGCGAACTTCGGAAGTTGGTCGGCTGCTTGCGACGTCTTGCTGGTTTCATGCTGCCGAAACTGGCCGAGAAATCACCCGTCTTATCAGGCTCAAGATGTTTGATGAAAGACTTCGAAACTTCCCAGGTTCATTTGTGGATATCTTGTCCTTGGAACACCGAAATTTGGCCCCGGTAAGATAGGCATGTGTAGGCTGAACTCTTTGTTTGCTTGTTGCTGTTGTTGTGTTTACCATCAACACAATATCAATATCCGCCGTAGTCCGGTCGCCAAAGATATCACTCACAATGTAACCGGCGGTTCAGTTTACTCATTGTCCATCTTCATCTACCTGGACTTGCTCGTTTTCGCAAAATCATCAAATCAACAATGGTAGTCAAAAGATTGAACAGCCGCCAGGGTCAAAGGGCGTCTAATGTGCTCAGCTCAAACATCACCTCAGGAGACTTCAGCTGTTCTGGAGACGCAAGTACAGAATCTCATTGATTGTCCGCTGCCGGAAGCAATAGATGTATCTGCTCGAAGGCTCTGGCCTTTTAGTGCTCATCTCCCTGCTTTGGATCACAGACCTGGTTATCATCAGCCTTCGAACTGGATCCGCGAGACTTGCCATCCCATCTGTCATTGTCGCTATCTGCACCGCTTCTTTCGATGGAGTCTTGATATAAGTATGCTCGCGTATGAATCACGACAGGTGCAAGGGTACCTATGTCGAGGATTTGAGTCATGCCGAAAAGTATGCCAGCGCATACCTCTTGAGGATCTCAAGTCATGCGCAAATGGATCTTGCGAAGACTATGCTATCACGAGCATTTGTCCCTCGACGGTCGCAATCCATGATCCTATGAACAAGAACATCAAACCACTCCATGGTTGTCTATATCGGGATTGTGTACAGTGTAGTATGCACAACGGTGCTTCGAGTAGGTCAGTGTGAATGGTGTACGGAACTGGTCTGTCTCCTATTAGGAAGGAAATATATTCATATAGCACTGAGCAGAAACCCAACGCTCTCTACCGAGTTCACACTGTTGCTGTGACACCTGGGAGGGTGATTCTGCAAAGGCAACAAATGGTGTGCATTTCACACCTACTTCGACAATACAACCATGTTTACCAAAGTCACAATGTACCGCACATCCTTCGATACCAAGCATTCGGGTGGAAGGACGGCTCGTATGGAAACATGCACCTTTGCGTCGATGATCGATTCACGCCATGGCTCATGACACTTTATTCTTACCCACCCATTTCGAAAGATGCCGTCGAAGCAGATGCAGACGTGTCCAGCCACGCACGCCAGAGGCGGATTTAACAATAGCATGTACTTTCGTACGGAAGGAACAAGATGCTTTTTGACAGCTTCTTTCAGGGAAAGAGCACCTTTTGCGACCCCGCATTTGTGATCCGCGGCAAGGGTAACCCCTCCTCGAGATGCACAATGTCGTGAGGAATATACGCATCATTCATCATTGCTATATTCTTTTTCTCGATTCATCCTGCTTCCTATCGCGCATTCGTGTCTTATCTGACAGGAAAAAAAGAATAATCGTCGAAACACGGATAAAGCTGAACTAAAGCCTGATATAGCCATGGCGTCGGAGCTACCTTTCAAGGTACGATCACGAGCAGATTGTCTGATTGCTGACGTATCGTGCTGATGCTATCGTCCAGTTAAATAACAAGGATATATTCCGCGACAATTGTCTCGTCAATGGCGAGTGGGTGGAAGCGCAGTCCAAGAAGCGCTTCGATGTCGTCGGTATGTTGCAAGCCACCAGGGTGATGCTCTCATGCAAAGACACACGTCACTAACATTCGAGAATAGATCCTGGCACTGGCAAAATCTGGGCTACAGCTCCCGATAATGGACCTGAGGACGTAGACAAGACTGTCGAAGCAGCTCAGGCGGCATTCGAGTCTTATCGCAAAGTCAACTCAAGGACCAGGGCACAATGGCTATTGAAGTGGGATGCACTTATTCGAGAGCACAGAGACGACATTGCAAAAATCGTGACATACGAGACTGGCAAGCCGATCGCCGAGAGTCAGGGAGAGCTCGACTATGCTCTGGGGTTTACTTGGTAGGTCTGCCGTTCATGTCAACATGCCAGAGACATCCAGTAAGACAAGCAGCTAAGTCTCCACAGGTGGTTTGCAGGAGAAGCAGAGAGAATCCAAGGCACAATATCTACACCCGCAGCTCCCGGGCGCCGTGTCTTCACCATCAAACAACCTATCGGTGTCGCCGTGGCGCTGACACCATGGAACTTCCCCATCGCAATGATCCTTCGCAAAGCCGGAGCAGCTCTGGCAGCAGGATGTACCATGATTGTCAAGCCATCGCCTGAAACGCCCTTCTCCGTCTTGACTTTGGCGTACTTGGCTCTTCAAGCAGGCTTCCCACCTGGTGTCTTTAATGTCTTGACTACTAGTCTTGATAACACTCCTTCATTGTCGGAGGCACTGTGTCGCCACGAGCTTGTCAAGAAAGTTACATTTACAGGCAGCACTCGTGTGGGCAAACTGGTAGCCAAGATCTGTTCCGATGGATTGAAGAAGGTCACACTCGAGCTCGGCGGCAACTGCCCCTTCCTCATCTTTGAGGATGCCGATCTGGAACAGGCAGCTAATGGTATATTTTACCCCAAACACTTATCTACTACTAAAGAGCCCACAACTGACAATACAAATCACNNAGCACTCATGGCACTGAAATGGCGCCACGCAGGCCAAGCCTGTATAACCGCCAACCGCGTCTACGTCCAAAAATCGATCTACGAAGACTTCTCCAAGCTCATCGTCCAGAAGACTAAAGGACTTGTGATGGGCCACGGCAGCGAACAGAAAACAACATTGGGGCCAGTGACTACCTCCCGCGGCCTTGACAAAGCTGAGTCTCAAGTCAAGGACGCAGTCTCTAACGGCGGAAAGCTGCTACTCGGCAATGGCCAGAGGACGAAAGACGTAGGAGGTTACTTCTTCGAACCTGCAATTATTGGAGATGCGAACAGGGATATGTTGATTGCGAACGAAGAAACCTTTGCGCCTGTGCTTGCACTTTTCCCTTTCGATACCGAGGAAGAGGCAGTGCAAAGAGCCAACGACACCAGTATGGGGTTGGCGAGTTATTACTTCACTAAGAATGTTGATAGGACCTGGAGGTTGTTCGAAAATCTCGAGGCTGGTATGCTTGGTATCAATACTGGTGAGTCGACTGCTTTTTCTGTTGCTTCAATATGTACATTTACTGACGCTGAGATCATAGGCAACTCTTCAGCTGCAGAAAGTCCGTTCGGTGGTATCAAGGAAAGTGGCTATGGAAAGGAGTCGGGCAAGGATGTTGCGGTCAACGAGTACCTGATCACAAAGACAGGCACTTTTACTCTGGATGGACAATATTAGGGAAAGAACAACCAGAGGATGCAAGCCACGGCTTTGGTGACTTCCCAAGTCCATTAGGTTTTATGAAAAATGTTTCTGTAACACAATTGCTTCTCTTAACCACGCAACTTGGCTCCCACTCGTCCATTTTTTGTCAGCAAGAACTGCTTCTGACTCCAGCCTCTGCTTGACCAAATTCATTCCTCCCTTCACCATTCCATCTCTAGCTTTACCAACCCAACTCAGTGCTATCAACTCGAACTCAAACTTCGTCTTCACAAACTCGAGTTTCTCCTCCGCCACCTCCAGCTTCTGCTTCACCGACGCCAGCTTCAGCGATGAGGATCTCACCGCCTCTTCTGTCGCCCTTCCCACGAGTATGATACGACCTACATGCGACAACCGGGTCGATATCGAGATGCTTCTCCGTCAACGCGCTTGCTACATCGGCATGGTCATTCAAGACATGGAAGGATTGCACGACATTTTCTGAATGCACGGAGGAAGCGAAGATTTTGCATTAGGTTAGCGATGCTTATGTGGCTTTCTCTTGCTTTGCTTTGCAGTTTGTGTGTTTGTCATAACGTAGTACAAAGTCAAACATTAGCGGGATGTAAAGAGTAGAGTAACAGTGGTTTGATGTTGATCGCCTGGTCATAACGTCTTTGATACTGTGCCTTGGTATATGTTTGTTAACATCTCTGTTGTCCTTCTAAGTCATGTTATTTCTATGAAAAAGTATAATTGCTTTCTGGGTAGAGGTGTGGCCATAGAGATGTCTGCAGATAATGTTCTTTCTGTGGATGTCGCTCCGATATGGAAACCATTGTGTATTTTTACGACTTATACTGTGACCGTCCATCGCACACGAGGATGGAGGTTGTGACAAAGACGATCTGTATAGGAATTGATTGTTTATACCATAGAATGTTCATTGATCATACGAGTTGGGTATCTCAGTTGTCGTAAACGCTAGATTGAAAACAGCAAGTGAAAGTCCATACCTCCCAGCAATCCACCATCCATTGCACCTATAGCTTATAACCCTTGACCCGTCGCTATCTCCACCGGACTTCAGAACATTGTTTATGCCTTGCCTCTCGTGCGTCTGGTAGTCATCCTAGGCTTCACCACCTCTTCCTCACTTTCCTCGTCATCCTCGTCCATCTCCTCGTTCATCTTCTCGCCACCACCGTCGTCCTCGGTATGTGAAAAGTAAGGGCTCTTAATCTCTTTCTTGATACCGTTTATCTTGCGCGGTGATATGACGACGCGGGGTGAGGAGTTGCGTCTTTTGATCGGCTTTTGAGGTACAGAATCCTCGGACGCGTCTGTAAGGTCGGAGAGGGACGATGAGTGGGCGGCTTCGTCTTCATCTTCATCTTCGTTTTCTTCTTCGGACTCGTAGATCACTGCTTTGCTCTTTCTAGCAGGTCGTTTGGGCGGAGGCTTGCTAGCAGGCTTTGCCTTTGCTTTTGATGCTGCCTTCGACTTTGCTTTTGCTTTGGCAGTAGCGGTGGAAGGGCCGGAGTTGCGACGTGTAGTTGGCGGTTCTTCGTCCAGCTCTTCCTCGCTTTCCTCTTCCTCTTTCACGGGTTCGACGTCTGAGGATTGGGCTTGACGGTGTGCGGATGCCAGAGACATAGGTGCGAAGTGCGAGCTGGTGACTGGCTTCTTCTCTTCTGCTGCATCGTCATCGTCGAGTAAGAAGCCACCGCCCATTTCGATATCGGCATCTTCGACTTTGGTGTTGTCCTCGCCTTCGTCTTCAGGCATAAAGCCACCACCACCAAGACTAAGATCCGTGTCTTCTTCTTTGTCTCCTTAGATTTATCATCCTCCTCGTCTTCGGAAACCAAGAAGCCGCCACCCATAGTCATCTCATCTCTAGGTGCCTTTTTCTTTTTNCTGCTTGTCGCGGTTGACGAATGGATTGACCTCGTCGATCTCGTTCGGTCGGCCAGCATAGTCCGATCTGATACGTTCAACGATACGCAAGCCCATGAGGAATTTGCGCCACAGATGCAGGTTAGTAGCCTGTCTCTTGACATCCTCTCTGCGTTTGCGTTCAGCTTCTTCAATCTCCCAAGCATCAATGACAGCATCCTCGTTCTCGGCAGCCACGACTACACCGGTGATGACGGGAACTGCACGCTGTTTGCCAAACTCGAAGCCTGTGCAAGCTTCCGCATAGTCGATATTGAGCTTTCTGCAGATCCTGGCAGTGCTGCGAAGAGGTATGTGAACAGCACCTTTGGGCACCATCGATGGCACATACACATCAATATTGTTGTATGCATTCTTTGGAATGACACCATTCTCGATGGGCGGTGGGATGATCCATTCGGTCTGATCAATACCGTAGAGACCTTGCTTGAGCTTCTCACCAGTTTCGCGTTCAGCTTCTTCCATCTCACGCTTACGCATGAGGGTTACAGCTCGTACAGGGACCATCTTGAGAGGTTGTTCGCCAAGCTTGATTTGCCGACCTTCTTTATGCCATGATTCGACGGTCTTACAGTTCACGACGTCAGCTCTCTTGTAGACAGGTTCTGACTTCTCCTTGTCGCCTTTGCCTGAGATGAATGTCCTGACTTGCTTAGCTTCAGGAAGAATGGCTTCTTCACGACGGAGATGACGCTCGAGCACAAACTCGGCACTTTGTTTGTACCATTGCAATGACTCGGTCGCAACCTTGGCTTTCTCGGTCAGTGGCTTGAAAGGTTTGAGATCTGTTGACTCTTCGACGTCGTCTGCTGCAGTGCGCTTGTTTTGAGGACGCACAAATGGCGACATGATACGCTTGAAGAAGTCGTAGTCTTCTGTCTTGATGACCTTTCCGCGCTTGTTGAGAACAGGGATCTTCTCGACAGGCATACGGAAGCCTTTGGTACGTCCAGGCAGTTGATGCTTCTTTAGGTAGCGAACAGTGACATCTTTGGCAGTAGTATCTTGGTTGTGAGCAACGACATAGCATATGACCTGTTTGGCTTGGTCGGCACGCTTGCCTCGAGGCTCGAAAGTAGACAATAACTCTTGGTTGCTAGCGACAGTGGAAAGGACGATAGAGTCGACGGGGATATAAGCGTTTGAGACGGGAGAAAGAACTTCTGTCCAGTAATGAGGATATGCCAAGTCACGGTCATACTTCTTGCTGTTCTTGAGTGGAGGTGCGGGTGTGATGTCGATTACCGAAGCATCATCATCGTCGTCGGCGTCTGATGGAATACTTGAGAGCTCACTAGACTCATCTTCGACCACAGCGCCTTTCGATTTGCGAGTGAATTTCCGCGCTGGCTTCTCAGCTTTGACCGGCTTTTTTCGCTTTTGCTTTTGACTTAGGTTTCGGAAACTCAGCAGCATNNCACTCTCGTCATCAGAAATCTCGACAGGATTCGAAGATGAAGTTTGAGGTTGCTTTTTGATCTCACCATCCTCAACCTTTGTCCAGCCAAAGCCAGCAGGCTGCAAACTTGCCACCATTCTGGACTCGATACCAATGGCTCTGATCAGAGCAGTGAACAGCTGAGCACCAACATCTCGTGAGCCTCGACATTCCTTTGCGCACTTGCGGAACTCGTCGATGTTCTCGATTCGTTCACCGTGGCGCTCGGCGTTGGACTTGTTCTTGGCCCAAGCCTTGATCTCGTAGGTGATGAGTCGTTGAGGCAGGTAACCTTGCTTGCGTATACCAGGAGCGGTGACGCTGAAACGCTTTCTCCAGTAGGCAGTCAGGACTTTGAGCAGTCGGAGTAAAGGGTCTCCGCTACTGAGGTTGGGCACGCCAGGCTCGAGTCTATCAGCGTCCTGTCCCCAATCTCTGGCTTTACCATTTCCCTTGCTCTTTCCTTTTTGCTTCTTCTTGGACGGCGGTTGTTTCAAGCCCATGTTGATCTTCCAGCGGTCAATCTCGTCCTTGACACCTTGGCTCAGGCTGTCGAGTAGAATCTTGTGTAGTTCTTTGTCGTTGAGCCACGAGTTACGGACGGCGTTGTGGAAGAGTAGGGTCTGGACGTGTATACAGTGTGCTCGGATACGTGCCTGACGTTCTCTCTTGGAAGGGCCCTTTTTAGCCGTTGCTTGTTGTTCAGCAGCAGCAATAGCCTGGACACTGCCGTCTTCGTTGATGGAAATGTTGATGTCTTGGATGGCACTGTCATCGTCGACCTTGTCTTCCTGAGCAGGAATGGCATCTTCCCAATCCATGTCCTCGCCGTCGTCCTGCTCTTTCGGTGCATCTTTCATGGGCACATCTTCGAACTCGTGGTCGTCGTCTTCAGAATTGGAAGCGTCGTCGTCATCATTGTCATCGCTGTCGCCTTTGCCAACGCTTGCAAAGAAGTTCTTGGCCTCTTCGGCCGTCGCCTTGGTATTCAGCGTATCGATTGCATCAAAGACGCTGCTCTTTGGCTTGGTGGACTTGGTAGGTTTCTTGTCAACGGGAGCTTTCTTGCCACGGGCAGTCTCTCTTCGTTTCGCAGGAGGAGCTTCTGGCGAAGGCGAGCGCCTTTTGCGCGGAACGAACGGAGGCATCTATCTCATCAATCGCATGCAACAGAAACAGTGGCGACACTTGTGAGATGGAAGGAACAAATCAATAATGTTTCCACTTTGGTGCTGGTACCTGCAGCTCGTTGACGTCAGATGTGACACGTTCGCAACACGACAGACGCGACTGCATTTTTGCTTTTCTTTGTTTCCCTCCACTTTGACGACAATATTGACATGGCTGGGAATGATTTTGAACATGCAGACGCCATAGCAGACTGTGTTCTCGCTGCCTTTGATGCTCTGCCAGCTCATCGCAAACCGCGACTGCCTTCTTCAGGCCTCAAAGCAGGCCGTAGAGAATGGGTTCCACTGGCAGGCATAGTGCTTGAGAACAGCCAGGGTGCTTTGACATGTGCTTCCCTAGCCACTGGCATGAAATGCTTGCCTCGTGATAAGATACAAGGTCTAGACGGCAATGTTGTGCATGACAGCCATGCTGAGATTCTGGCTTTGCGAGCTTTCAACCGCTTCCTTCTTGACCAGTCTGCTTTGCTGTGTGCTGATCCTTCTGCTGACAGCCTCCTCATATCAACCTCTGCACAGAAGCCTTTCACAATTGATCCCCGCTTCACCATCCACATGTACTGTAGCGAGGCTCCCTGTGGCGATGCCAGTATGGAACTCACCATGGCTCAGCAGGATGATCAATCTCCCTGGACATCTACATCAGAAGTTGACTCTGACGAACTGTTTGGAAGAGGCTACTTTGGCACCCTCGGCGTAGTACGTCGGAAGCCTGCTCGACCAGATGCTCCGCCCACCTTCTCAAAGTCGTGCTCTGACAAACTCGCCCTCAAGCAATACATTTCTGTACTTTCTGCCGTCAGCTCCTTGTTGATACATCCAGAAAATGCATATATCCATACCCTTGTCATGCCTCAGAGTCAAATGATTCCTGAGGCCTGCGACCGAGCTTTTGGTCGCAATGGGCGTCTATCAGCATTGCAAGATACGTCCTCTGGGCCTTTTGCCTTTCGTCCTTTTGCCGTTCGCCCAACTACTCGCGAATTCGCCTTCAGCCGGCGAATCGCTGATGCAACTACTACTTCCATCGTACCATCGAACATCTCTTCTCTGAAATGTGGACCCAAGCAAGAGACTCTCATCAACGGCACGCTTCAAGGGAGGAAGCAAGGCGATCCGAGAGGATCCTCTGCCGTATCCAGACGTTCAATGTGGGCCCTGGCACTGAAAGTCGCTACCTCGCTGGCACAACCTGCTCTCGTCGCTGCTCTGAATGCAAAGTCTTACGCAGAGGTCAAGGCCAGCAAGACGCTGGCCGAACGAGAAGCTGCCAAACAAACTGCCAGGAAGTTGTCACTACAAGGCTGGAAGAGAAACATTGGGGATGATGAATGGTCGTTATCAGAAACGAAGTCTCCTGTATGATGAGGTTTATACATCTCGACGGCGGCAAACTACTTTGGAACCAAGAACGAGCTCCTCTTGTCAGATGCAATGCATTTACCGAAATTCTCCTACTGTCAAAGCTGCCATTAACATACGCGATTTTCCCTCGCGAAGCATTGTTTGACATGCAGCTGTAAGCATGCACGACGACCTTTCAAGAAAAATGCACGACAGAGCTCCTAAGCAATTCTGAGAGCGGAACACTTGATGACCTCAAAACACCCTACCCAGAGTACTTCCATTCTACTCTGCTTTTCGCGGCCGTGGCACACGAATCCAAATCACCAAGAGCATCTGGCATGACAACCTTCACTACACGCACCATTCACAAACCAACCTGAGCATCATGTCATCCAGATATGAGTCCACTGACTTGTGCGGCTCTGGATAACCAAACACTTTTGCAAAAATTCTCGCCATGGAGCTTTACGCATCGTATAAAAACACGTTTTTATACCAATCTACTCTTTCCTCTCTCGCAAACACAGATCAACGCTTGCACCAACAAGCGCTTGTGACAGCTGCGTTGCTTGACTAGGTCGCTTGCACACCAAACAAGGCGCATCCGAGTACGATGTTGCGGTCGATGCACGTTTGAAACCAGCATGAAACTTCAGAGCCAACAATCAGACAAAGGTGCATGGAGACGCGGGTTTGCACGAGGGCAAAACACGGATGCGTGTCGCTGAGAGCAGTACAGTAGACATGAGACAATGCCCTGTGTGCCCGGGTCTGTTGTATCTCAGTCAAAAAAAACGCACGATACTGTTCAAAAGCGAGCCGATGTCCAGAGAAAGGCATGGATTACAGAAAAACTCAGACGCAAAGACAAACGTAAGATAGAAGGAACGATTGGAAACACCAAGCAGAAAGAAAAAAGACGTGACGGTATGCCACATAGATTGTACAACTATATACAAACAGATCCCGGGTATCGGAATGTCAAACGAAAAAAGGCCTTTTCCTCTTTCTTGAACCAAATTTGAACGCCTTGCCAATGATTTCACCCTTTTTCCTCTTATGGTTTCGTCATTCGTTCGTTTATGCGTCGGCAGACTTCTTGGCCATCTCGAGGACACCCTCAAAGGTCTTGTTGCCGCCGATGAAGCCAGAGGCGTGGACAAAGACACCACCAGGGACACCAGAGACCTTGCTCAGCTCCTCGTCTCTTACACCCTTCCAGGCATCGGGCATATCCTTGCGGTTCTCGAAGCTGCCGGACTCGCGGCTGACGGAGCGAATGCGCCACTTGCTGTCGGCCTCGCCGCTCTCAGCAAACAGGACGTAAAGGACTGAACCCTCGGTGGAAGTCTCCTTCTCGAGGGCGTAGAGATGGTCGGCCCAGGGGCAGCCCTCGGGGCGGTGAGGAACAACCATAATACGGCCCTTGTCGTCGTACTTGAAGCGGTCGCCAAAGGCTTGCTTGACGACGGCGCGAGCAGGCAACCATGAGTGATACTTGTCCATCAATTCAGAGATGAATTGGTCACCGCAGAACTGCGAGGCCTTGAGGAAGCGCTCGTCTTCCTCGGCTTGTGCTTCGGCGGGGGATTTTGTGGTGCCGTCGGAGGTCAAAGGGACGGAGATGCCGCCTTCGGCGCTGACACCCTCGGTGCTGAGGGAGTGCTTGGCTACAGCGACGGGAGAGGGGTGAGAGTAGTTGAGGCGGTTGACAACCGAAGCGATGCTGAATCCGCGGTCGGAGAACTTCTTCTCGATGCCGGCCTTGCGGAGGGCATTGGGGTCGTAGGCCGAGACACCGTTGTCGTTGGCATCAAAGGCCTCGACAAAGTCGTCGTACAGCTTCTGGTAGAGCAGCTCGGCGTCGGGCGAGTCCTTGGCGAGACCAGTGCAGGTGCAGATAATGTCCTTGCCGTAGTGCATGTAGACGAGACCGGCAGACGAGAGCTTGGTCGAGTGGTTGGGGAAGGTGGTGGTGAACTCGCGCTGGTGGTGGTCGTAGCGCTTGGCCTCGTCATCATAGACACCGCCGACATCGACGACGGTGTGGCAGGNGGCAAGCTTTTCGGGGTCGCGGGTGCGGACGAGAGTGCTGTTGGAGTAGGTGGGAAGCAGGCGCAACAGGTAGACGGCCAGGGCCTCGTCGGCGTGGAAGTGGCCGCTGTGGGTTCCGATAAGAGGGCCTGACATCTTGACTCTTTTCGCTGCTGACATGTATTGACGTGTGAGTTTGAAGGGAGATGCAATTGATGGCTTGTGGATTGAACGGAAAGGAAGAATTGCTCGTGGCAGAAACATCAACAGTGGAGCTTGAACATTTTCAATTGCGGAGCTTTGCTGACCACCGCCCTTGCCTCCACCAACGCAATGCGGCTCTGCGGATCTACCCGCTTCTCTTTTGGCAATATCTGATCCATCATTGATTGAAACTTCCAATGTCTCTTCCCACGCTGCTGGGAGAAGTAGGGGACCTGACGGCTCCTCTGTATGTCTGAGATGGAATAGGTGAGAACTTCTTCGAGTGCATGTGCAGCCATTCACCCCTGTGTCTCGGCTTCACACTTGATTATGTCTCATCACATGCCGCCAGGACGACCCTGCTCAAATATAGATCATGATACTCGCAGCTCCAGCGACTTGTACATGTAATCCACCTAGTTGAATGTACTTGTCTCTGTTTATGCAGTCCAATTGGCTCCATAATTAATGTCTGTGTCGTCTGGACATATTACTACACGATCAAAGTCTTGGTGGCTGCATGTTTTTCGAGAGATGTCCTTGAGCTTCAACCACAACAGACATGTCACTCGTAAAAGTGTTCAATGGTCGATGCCAGAGTAAAAGCTGCTCATATTGGGTGGTTGGGATCGCTGAAAGATGGCGCGGTTCGAGTTACTCGACTCGAGATTTTACTTTCGCTAGTACTGCTGATTATCACTGCTTACGGTGCCTTTTGCGAGCATTTCGTTCTACGATCCAGACCTGCCTTTGCATCAGCATCGTGCATCCCTATTAACATGAAGAGTTGTCAGCCGTAGCACTGCGTACAGATCAGGATATGACGTGCATCGTGTCATGTCGTTCGTGTCGATACAGAATCCTCTTCTCACAGGCCTCAAGATCTCTGAGCGCTAACATCAGACCTGGGAGGCTGGTAAGCCCGCGAAGCACGGCATCTGCGACGCAGAGTACCTGGAAGAGCCTGGCCTCTGTTCATCACTGCACCCGACGTCCTTGGTTATGCAGATTGCTCTGCAATCAATATCTGCCGGCCTAAAATATGCAAAGCTGGGTTGGCCCCTGAGAAGGCATGCATTTTCCGGAAATGGTTGATGGAAGGTCAAAACCGATCTCTCAGTCAGGTCAAACAGGCCGAACGGGCAACGTACGTTCTCAAGAAACGAACACCTGTCTAAACTCTCTCCTGCATGAGTTTGACAGAGTGCAACCAAAGCATCTGGTGAGCCTCACGAAAAGACCTCAGATTACTGGGTATCGACTGCTGTCAACGCCATGTGGCTGTCGACTCCTCTCAGCAGAGTTCAGCTCGCATCTCAGCCAGCCGCTGTGCCTGAGTGTGCTGAGCTCTGGGCTTTGAGAACCACTGGCCGTTGGTACGGGCTCTCACCCCGGGCCGGATGCAAGAGGCTTCGGGGAACCATCCGTCTCGAGGGCTCTCACCCGCTCTGCTCCGCGCGAGTGAACTTGCTCAACAACAATATTGAACCTGACTATCGTGAGGAACAGCATAGAAACTTGACGAATTTCTGATGCAGCACACGGCCGTAACGCGCAGAGTGGCAGGATGCTTTGTCCTAGTGACAGCCTCTCAGCCATCTGAGGAGATTGTCTCGAGAAACGAGTGCGATACGCAGTAGTATCTTCATAGGTTGTGATCGATGCTTCACCATATGACTGGCGTTAAGAAACAAACATTTCGAGTTTCAGGACCAGGTCCGTCTCTGTTCGTAGTCAAGGAATTTCAGAGCAAGATTAGCTAAGGATTGTGAGATCTGAGGACACCGATGTTTCACAAGCAGTTGGATGGGGTGAACATTTATTCCTCGCATCACAGCTCTGGTGGGATGAGTTGCGCAAGTTGTGGCAGAGCGACATCTCCTGAGCCTCGAGTCTACCTGAACTCATTTTCGAGGCTGAACGACATGCCATCGTGTCCATACCAAGCAGGGCAAGCGCATGGGTACGTTCCGACCCTTTCCGACTTACGTTTAGCGATAGCGAAACAAGAAAACGAAAAGCTGGTGTCATGCCTTCTGGTCTGAGGTTGGTATTATTAGTAAACAGATGCAACGTTGCGGTATTGAACTGCATAGAACTTGAGTAAAATCATACGGGCTCTCACCACGTCTCGTGCCTTGTAGGCGCAGCGACGAATGTCACTTGACAGTGGACCAAGCAGATAGGTTTACGGCGCTCAGACCGGGAAGATAGCCGTGATGTTGTTCTCTCACGTGCGGTGATACCCGGCTAAAATGCGACTAGACATAAAGATCTCTCGGAATGTCAAGTCGGCAGCGCGCTCACCCCGTACAGCGACCCCGTGGCGGTAAGCTTGAGCGTCAAGCGCCGGCCATATAGCGGAGGAACTCGAGGTACTGTGCACCAAAGGAGGGATTGGGTTCCCTGCTGTGTGGTTTAGCGGTTTACTTGGCCCCTGTCGCCCTGGAAGGAAGTCCTAGGAGAGACGGCTTGCTCGAGTAGGGTAAGCCCTCGGGAATATCTCGAAGCACGGGCATGGCGCACTTAAGAAGCAGGCTAGCTGATTATGCTTGTTCTGGCGCAAGGACGATGGCCGGCGCAGCACCACCGAGTTACGTTGTGCAAACCAGCGGGCCCTTCACGAGTCAAGGGAAGATATACATGGCATTTCACAGCGCAGATCGATCCCGAGGGCCAGCATACCCTCATGTCTTTATTGATTGTCCTTTGATCCTGTCATCATCTAGCTGGCGCAAACCTGAATCAGAGAGTGTCTGGTCAGACAGTTCGAGATGATAGCAGGGACCGTCTTGTAGACCATGGGTCAAAAATCCATGGTTGGTGTTCGGCGCACCTGCTTTTCGCTTAGCACCAATGCAGGTGATCGGTTTAGGTTCAGCTCGACCAGCAGAGTTGACCAGATCGCTTGGTTCTGCTCAGGGCTTGGTCTAGGTCATGGTGAAGAGAGAAAGGTCCCACGAGCGGGTGGACTGCATGAATCTCGAGAAGAGACTCAAATGTGACGGGGTTTGATTATGAACTGTTAAGAGGTCGAAGAAGCGACCTCTGCATGTTGGGAACAGACCAGACCGACTCGTACACAGGCGGAAGCAGTCGGATAGAGCAGTTGCTCGAGCCGAACTGCTTCGGACGTTGTCGTAAGAAAATCGCGCGGTCGCTTTATCCGAAGCCAAGAGCGGCTCATGCTCAGTCGTCTGCAAGCGCAGCCGCGAAAATGAGTGTACTCGAGTAGAGGCCGTCTGCTTCATGGCGTAGGATGCATGCCTGAATAGACAGATGAATCAATCGCAGAGTTGATAGACAGGATCTTCTTTCGGTACAACGTGCTCAAGAGGAACCAAACCAGCGAGCTGATGATCACGAAGAGTGGAAAGCCACCAAAGTCAAAGCTGAGAGACGCAACGACTTGAGGACAGTTTAGGAAAGGTGCGATAGAGCAAGAGGAGGGCTTGTCGCATGACGTGTGCAAGGGAAATGGTTATGGCGCGCTTCCGAAGCCGTGCTTTGAGGCGTTGAGACTTCCTCGAGCTCATCAATCGATTAGTGAAAGGTTCCCAGTCGCTCTGCGCGAGCATCTTGCGAGTCTGTGTCGTTTGTCATCACCAGCAGTCTGCAGGAAGCCTTTGTTTCTTCTCCCTCGTCCACTCTAGAGCAGTTGGAAACCAACAAGAGACCCGCTTTCTCTTGAATACCGACCCGAGAACCCTCGTGTGCTTGACAGATCGATCCACAACTCGGGTTCCTGGTCCACACGGATCTAATCCATCAGCCAGCCCGTGCACCGATTGTTCAGAGCATCAGCATCATCATCAGTTGTGAGCGACACCAGCATCCATCGCGTCAGGGCGCGTTCTTACAGAGATAGAGACAGGTCCCCTCGTGGACGTCTTTCAGGTTGGCTCTTGCAGGCTTCAGGCTTCTGTACCAGTTCGAACGGCAAGCTTTTTCAGCTCTGCGACACGCTTGGCAGCCATCTTCTCTGCACAAAACGGACTTTTCGGCGTTGAACAGATTTTGCTCCGGCCGTTTTCTCGACGCACCGCAGCATTGGAGTAACGCATTGCCCTCGAGCTGCCCACTTCCTCTACTCGACTTTTGATTACCTTGTCCTGTCCGTGTCTGGAGCTCGGTCTGGCTTGAGTTTTGACAACTAGTCGCGCCTGCCTACTCTACACACTCTGTCTGGCGACTTTGCAACTGCCTGCTCCACATCCGTGTCTTCGTGCCCGCCAGATGCTCTCGCCCTGAGGGCCCCATTATTTCCCCAAACCACGACATCATTGGCACCACCAACATGGAGAACCAGTACCCTCCACCACCTACATGCCTCAGCCCACCAACTTTGCGCCCTTCTCGAGCTACTCGTCTCATCAACAGCAGCAACAGCACCCGCAGCACCCGCAGCACCCTCAGCACCAGCAACAGCAGGCTCAGCAACAACAAGCTCAGCAGCAACAGCAGCACCAACAGCAGCAGGGCCCGCCGCAGCAAGAGTCGTCGCGCGACAACCACACCCACAACCAGACGCTGCCTCCTCTGCACACTCAAGCCGCCAACTTTGGTCAGCTGCCCTCCTTGTACAACGCCTCTGGTAGCCACCCTCAGACCCCCACCAGCGTCCACACGCCTACCACTTCATCAATGGGAGCGAACGGTCTGCACGCCTTTTCGCAGCAGCAACAGCAGCACCAATCGTCGCCGGCGACCACTGGTTCCATGCTTCCTCCCTCGTCTACATACATCCCTTACTCGACATCGCAATCTACCCTGCCCCCGGCTTCTACTGCTACGAGTGCTGCCCAGACTCCAGCCCAGGCTCGTCTTCCAGACCTGCGCCCACTTCAGCCTCAGGCTTCGTACAATGCCGTGTCTACGCTGCCTAGCTTCGGCGCATCCGGACTTGTGGGCGCCCAGCCATACATGCAGAACCACGAGTCAGAACCTACTCATGTCGTGGGATCGCAAGGAAGACGTGGCATCTTGCCCAGTGCACCTGGTCGTGCTGCCGCTCCTACACCCGGTACCGCTGCTGCTGCCACAAGCAAGTCAATGATCCCAGCAAAGGATGCAGATGGAAAATTCCCCTGCCCACACTGCAACAAGACATATCTCCATGCCAAACACTTGAAGAGACATTTATTGCGCCGTGAGTTATTGCTCGTATGGTTGGTCGAGAGGCAGACAATTGACAAGTTACAGACNACTGGAGACCGACCCTACATGTGCCACCTCTGCAAGGACACATTCTCACGCAGCGACATTCTCAAGCGCCATTTCCAGAAATGCTCAATTCGTCGTGGAAATCCTACAGGCGCAAACCATCTCGCTCATCAGCGCAGAAACACCAATGGTTCTAACCGCATGTCCATCAGCAGCACCGAGCCCATAGCCCTCGCAGGTCTCGCTGAAGCTGCAGGTGTCCCTTATGCTAACGGAGCCGCCCTGAGTGGTGTTACCAACAGTCCTACCGTTAATGGAGAAAACTCTTCATATGCATCGAGTGTGGCCTCAATGTCTAACCGCTCCTCTCGTGCTAACAGCTTGATCCACCCTGGTGCTATGACCGCCGATGGTAGAAGCAGCCTTGCAGGTATGTATCCATGTGGTAAGCCGAACCGTGAGCAATACTCAATCGCTTCTGCAGGTTACCCCAATGGCGTTCCCTACAGCGGCATGCGCCCTCACTCGGCCTCGAACCCTATGCCGCCAAGCTATAGTTTCCAGATGGCCAACGGTGGCCAGTTCTACCCTTCGAGCGTCAAGACCGAAGAGCAGCCACCAAGCGGCTACACTCATCAGCCCCCCCCGATGAGCGAAAACCGCCAACCCAACGGCGTCCCTGACTGGTCCATGTTCGCACCTCAACATGCTCACGATGGCTTCATGACACAGTCTCATCCCAGCCAGCCGCAAATGCCTGTCAAGACCGAGACCGGTATGGAGGGTCACAGCTACAACTCGTCGAACGAGCACAGCAACGAGCAGCAGTTCTTTGGTGGACTCTACTCACATCCGTCGGGCTTCGGCGAAGATTCAGGTGCGCACCACCTGTCTGGTTTTCCAAACTGGAATATGGATCTCGTGCAAAGCGATCCATTGCAGGCCAAGGCCAATGCATTGCTGACGTACGTACTTTCAAACAGAACATCCTCAAGCGATGACGCTTGCGACGAGATGAGAAAGTGCTTGACTGTCGAAAACATCAAGCACTTCATCGAGAAATTCACCAGCTTCCAGGGTCACTGGCCGATCATCCACATGCCTACTTTCGACATCCTCAAAGCCAACGATGGCCTCGTGCTGACCATCATCTGTATCGGTGCCGTCTACTCCGAAAAGCGCGACCTGTATCAAGTCCGAAGAATGATGGAGCTTGTCAAGGACGCTGTCAAGAACGCATCCAGAGTCCACAACATCATTAGGGGTGTCATCAAAGAAGACAATTCACCTCTAGGCTCGATCGAATCTGACATTGAAGAGCTTCAAGCTTTGTACATGCTTAAGGTATTGTTTTGCTGGCATGGCACTCCAAGCCAACGTGCAGACGCCAGGAAGAACTTCAACAGCGTTGTCGAAATTGCCCGACGAATGGTTCTTTCTCCCGCAGCGCCTGGACAAGCCACCTACAGTGTCCTCCACCAGCCCGGTCCTATATCTCAAGACGCCCTTTTAACATGGAATTGGTCTTCCTGGATTGCACAGGAAAGACGCAGCAGAGTCGCCTTTACTCTATTCTTACTTGACGCCGCTCTTGTCATGTACTTCAACAACGAGCCGAAATTTGATCCGTTTGAGTTCCGCATACCACTCCCTTGTGATGACGCTGCTTGGGAGGCTAGGACTGAGCAGGAATGCCGTGATGCGCTGGGTCTGAACGGCCCATCCAAGCTAATTCGCAACGTTTGCGGCAGTCAACGACCTCGCCAGCCTGATATGAGAAGCGCCATGCGAGGTCTGATGGAGCCCAACTATACCTTCTCGTCGCGATCCACCAACATCTACTCCAAGTTCATCCTCATTCATGCGCTTCTTGTTCAGATCTGCAAACTCCAGAGGTCAAGCTTCTTGCAGAACATTACGGGCCAGTTCGGCCATGGTGCTACGGCGAGCGGTCCTGGTACTCCACTTGGGCAGAACGATTGGATTACTTCAGACGGTAACAGCAATGCTGGCACTCCTGGTGACACGCCACAGGCCCAGAACGCGCAGATCCAACCTGTCCTCAAATCCATTCAGCTCGCCATGAGCAAGTGGAAGTCGATCTGGGATATGGACATAGCTATTCAATACCCACAAAACGGTATCGGCTACCGTCGTTTCGGCTTCTCCAGGGACGGAATTCACTTTTTCTACCTCGGTCAATCGTTGTTGCGCTCGACAAAGGCATCAGAGTGGACGGCACCACCAGATCTTCGCTTTTTGCAGATCATGGGTCTACTGAAGAAGATCAAGGGCTTTGTCTCAAATGAAAACACCCAGGGCGGTCTGGATACTGGCTCTGTCGGCGATATTGATGATACTTATGGAGTCGGGGACCTTACACTTGACATGAAATTGCTGTTTAAGCCCATGGGAGAGGCAGACAGCCCGATAGCAGGTGTTCGAACGGATACGATACGATGAGCCCAACGACATAAGCATGTTTTCTCTGGATGTGAAAGCCAATGATCCTGGAATTTTTCTTCATTTTCTCGATGAAGTTGTTTGATGGAAACAACAGTCACACAACTTTTTCACCTCGACGCAACGACGCGATCGACGATATTTCATGCACAAAAAGTTCGGGAGTGGGACGGCAGCCCGTCCTACATCCCTGTTCACGCATTCCTTACGCTTCTCATTTTTTATGGCGTCGGTGCATAGAAGGACGATGGAGTCCTGACGAAAAACGAAAATAAAAACTAGATGGATGGGTGGGTTGAGGAAACCTGGGGCCATTTGCTGACATGGAGTTCTTATGAGTCTCTGTTTGTCGCTCTTTCCTTCCCCTTTTCCTTTGTTCACATTGTTCGGTGGCTCTTGCTATTTTTCGTCGCATTTCAAGGAGTTGAGGCTATTCTCTCATTGCAAGCAAAAACACGAACTGGTACGACGGATGCCTTGAAAAACAAATGTGGCAAGGCTCTCTTCTTCTTCACACAACTACATGTATAGATTTCAAAAGAATGGTCTCGCGACCGTGAAGCTTCTTTGCAAATAACAAAACTTGTATCAAAAACATCAACATTCTTACTGAATCAGTGTCATCCATACTCTCTTTAGCGACACGTACTGCCATCGTGAGCTACAAATTTACACTAACATCTTCTGATCAGAGATGTAGCCAGAGAGCTGAGCAAAGGGGCAAACTCGCTAGATCTTGATGTACAAGTTTATATGAGCTATGGAGATGCATGATCAAGTCTAGTATGAAAGTGTGTTCAAGGAAAGTCGTCGAGATAACAGCTCTTCCAGGCTCTACCGCTTATTCAGGCAGATATTCAATCGTCGGCCAGATCAATCGGCCTCGCTATGTTGCCCGAACTTGAGTCACTGTCGCCAGACGCGGTTTCTCTCATAGCTGAACATCTTGTTGCTTCCAACCACTCGGCAGTCGACGGTTTTGCTTTCTTTCCCGATGTCTCATCGTCGTTCTCAGAGGCAGGGTTCTTGCGCTTCTTGCCTTTCGTTTCAATCTGTTTGATTCCGTCTTCATAGCTCTTGAGCATATCAAGACCCAACAACTCTCTCGTCTTGGAGAACTCCCAACACAATGCAGTCAATCTACTTTTGTTGACGCCCTTTGATTTCTCCTCCATTATTACACAAAAGAGAGTTGGAAGTACATACACCTTTGGAAGTTGAGTATGGCGTTGCGGACTCTGCGTTGGGGTCAACAGTCTCTCTATCCCGGTCTGGAACCTTCCTCATAAACGCTGGTGCTGTGACCTTCTTGTACATTTCGGTCCTACGGCCCTCAGGTTGTTTCTTGACCTCCTTCTCTCTCTCTAGCACGATGGTTTGGTAGGGGACGTCTGCAAGAGTATGCTCGGTACCGTCTGCTCGATAGTGTTTTTCTTCCGGCATGATGGCACCACCACAATGATCAGGGAGCTTGAAGTAATCAATCGCTACCATGTAGTATGCAAACTTGTCAACCTCGCTGTCGGACATGTTTGTGTACTTTTTCATATTCTCTATCATTTGGTCGTTTATCCTCCCATTGTATTCGCGGACCTCGTTGGCCGAGATGCTCGGACACCGAGAAACTCCATTGTTTGAGTATCACGGGCATTCCTACATAGGATTCTAGGCAGCACTCATAGGCTGTCATTACAAGTTGTAATCAGGCAATGCTCGCATCTCATCTGATTTGCTGGCAGAAATCGATCATACTGATATTGTGGGACCTGCTATGGAGACACTTCCCATTGTGCTTTCCGACGTTGATGCCGGGAAGCTGCTTAAGTTCGACATGGTCTATGTGGACGCAAACGAGGAGAACAACTGGGACTACTTTGATGCCGCTGTCGAAAGATGCAGAAAAGGGGCTGTCGTTATCGTGGACAATGTTGTCCAAGGCGGATTGATCGCCAGTGAAGACAAGCCCATTGACTATGCAGAGCATGTTGCGGGCGCCAGAAAGGTCATTGAGAATGTGGGCAAAGACGAAAGGGTTACTGCTACCGTCATTCAGACTGTGGGAGAGGGTAGTCATGATGGTTTCCTCTTTGCTCTCGTCCGGTGAAGGAGAGATGGGAAAGCACTGCCGAATGGATTTCCTTGTTTTCTCCTCAGTTTTGGTTTGCTTTTACTTCCCTACTATACCCTAAAGTCCTTACATCCTATATTGCTCTTGACTTTTGTCTTCTCGATTATGACAACCTTATGACTTTGCCTCAGCGTCCGTTGGTACTTGATCCATTCCTTCCTAATTTGCCTGATATCACTTATCCTATGTGTTCCAGATCTTACCATGTTATATGAATATGATCTGCTGGAAACTTCGTCGAGTCGACTCTGTTATGACGCAGCCTGAGCCTTGCGATGGCCTCATCATACAAGAGCGAAGTAGGTAGTAATCAAAGAGAGCATTGACTGTGTCTAATCCCAAGATTGTTTCTTGGATATACAGTATCTTCTGTCTATTGTAGCAACGAGCAAGCAAGTCTTTCTCTCCAGACTCTTTCTGTTCCTCTCCATATTTCATGCCTTGAGGTTTTTTGCGCCTTCTACATTTCCCACTCGACCAACTTCTTAGTGATCCTCTTGATCTCCTTCTCGACGTTCATGTTCTTCTTCTCTGGCAGCAGACTCACACCACCTTCGTCATCATCGTTGGTAGATGCGGCCTTCTTCTCCAAGTCTTTGATGCAGATACCGATCATGGCGTGCACAGTGTAAACAGCATCGTTGCCAGCATTGTGGGTGTTCCAAGACTCGAGCTCAAGCGTGTACATGATGTGAGACAGACCGCGGGTAGACTGTTCACCAGTGACAGCACGCCACATGGCAGCCGTGTCCTGGGTCTCGAACAGGTTGGCCAAGTTAGAGGGATCGTAGCCAAGTTTGCGAAGGTATGCGACATCTTGCTTGGTGTCGTGGCCAAGGAAGACGATCTTGCGCTTCTCTTGTTCCTCTTCGTTGACGGAGTCGGCATTCTTTGCGCTGTAAGGGGGCTTGAAGCAGGAAGCGATCATGCGAGGCACGTCCTTCAAGTCAACGAATTCGCTTTCGCCGAATTCGAATTGGTCGGGGCAGCCACGGACGAATTCGGAGTTGGTGTAGTGCTTGTACTCGTTGATGCGGAAATGACGGGCGCGGATAAACTTGTGCCAATCCTTGCCAGCGTCGCCATGAGGGATGCCCTTGAGATCGCGTGTGTCGAGGGTAGCAAAACCGACCTCGGTAATCATGTTGTGGTTGCGTTCGTAGGATTCGACATCGACGGCAATGTAAATGATACCGAGGTCAGGGTTGTCTTCTGATGGTGGGGAAAGACCGAGGGAGACTTGAGTGCGTTCGACCTGGCGACGCATGTTATGCTGCTGGAAGACACGTGCATCTTGCTTGGCCTGCTTTGCGGCCTTAGCCTTGCCTTTGTTCTTTCCTGCATCGACGGCGGCATCCATGTCTTGTCTGAAGTAGGAGATGTGTTCGGGTTCAGTCTCACCAGCTGCAAAAGAAGTGAAGTGAGGAGCGCTGTTACTGAGACGTTCGAAGTCATCCTTGTTCGACGACTTGCCCAGGAAGCGAGGTCTGAGGAGCTTGTGCTCGCTGTACTCGAAGGGGAAAACAAGAGTGCCTTCGGGGTTGTCTGGCATGCGAACTCCATAGCTCGGGTATGCACCATCAATTTCTTTGAGCAGTTGCTTGAATTGTGTAAGAGGAACGAAGATGATGGGTCTTTCGGAGTGATAGTAGGGCGAGTAGATGTACCANNCCTACCAGATATCAGTCTTTGATCGGGAAACAATAGTCTTGTTCTTTTAACGAGACACTATAGCGGTTAACTGGAAGTCAAGTGACCGCGTTAAGCATAGTGAATCAGCACAGTGAATGCTGTATACAACTCACAACTGCGCCTGTGCTTATTGAAGAAAGAAAGAAGAGAGAGCAAAAGAAGTTGAGCACACTTACAGATCCCAGTCGCGATCCCAGAACTTGCCACCGGCGAAAAACTGAACAGAAACAGGCTCACTTTGTGACCTCTTCATGTATTTGTAGGGGAATTTAGAGACGGCGTTGATGGGCACGAACTGCATGCCCATAGGAGCAGTCTCGCAGAAGGTCTTGTTGTTGTGGGCTGCGCCATTGATAGATGCAGAAGTGTTGGGTGAAGTGCTCAGCAACGCGGCAAAGCGCTCTGCCTTGGAAGTCATTGCTGATGGTGAATGGTGTGTCTGTGATGGAAGGAGACGATGATGGGGAAGGCACGCGTGGTTGAAGCTGCGTGTGGTCGAAAGCTCGCGCGGTCAATGATGGCGCTTGAGCTGGTGAGGGTTTCAGGTTGGATGAGAAGAGATGTGAGTGAAGGAGTATTACCAGTTCTCGCAATGTCGGTGATACAAGTGCGCTTGCTACGACAGGTTTGTGAAATGCAACGTGAGAGTGAAGGTCGAAGTTCGGCGTCTCCACCAAGCTCGAGCACAGCCAAACAAACACCAGACATTCATGCCTCCAAAACTACTGCACAACCGATGTGTTATTATCATAAACCAGAACACAGATATCCTTATCGCGAAGATATAGAGCAAGTTCTTTGCGATAGTCAGATTTGAAGAATGCAACGATGGGTATATACAGTAGAATGGCAGAAGGTAACAAAAACGATAGACCCAGTGCGCCATGAAGAATGCAATGCTTTTTACTCGAAGAAACCTCCTTCGCTGTCCTCGTCCTCGTCTTGTCCACCCATGACTTGGTCCTGGTCGGCCTTTTTGCAGGCTTCTGTGCTGCCTTCTTCTCNCTTATCCTTTTTGTCCTTCTTTTCCTTCTTTGCTCTGGCATTTGACGCCTTCTGGCCAATGCTATCGTCGTTGTCAAGTTGGGCAGGAGCAGACTTCAGTAGCTTGCCGTTTCTCAGAGCGTCGAGCTTGCCTTCCTCCATGCACTTCTCAACAACCAACCATATGTCCGGGTCTCCCTGCTTCTCGACTTCGACCTCGTTGCCATCCTCATCCTTCTTTCCCTTGGTCGGCCACAGCGCTGAGTAGACCATGTCGAGAGGATGGTACATGGCGTAATTCAAGTCGACCTTGGCCTCGTGTATTTGCTCGTCAAGATCGGCCTCGCCCTCCTTGGCTCTCCTCTCCAGCTTTTTGAGGCGACGCTCTGCTTTCCGTCGCTCAAAGAAGCGCACCATGTGATATTTGCCAATAAGGTCTTTCTTGCGTTGCTGGCTTTCGGCTTGAGCGAGGTCCCACTCGCATGACTTCAGCTCTCGCTCGTGGTTGAGGCGGACATCGGCGGGGAGGTTCTCCTTGTGTTGTAACAGACGGTTCAGACTGCGGATGCGCGACTTGATGGGGTTGATGGGATTGGCCTTTCGCTCAAGTTTGCGGTGCGGGTGTGGGTTGACCTTGCGTTTCTTTTCTTGGCCAGGAACTTGTTCTCGGCGTGACGGATGCACTTCACTGTGAGGACGCTTGGTTGCCATGATTGCTGTGTGTCTGGGAGAAAGTGGTTTGTTGATAGAGATTATTTTTCTAAAGATCGAGACAGTCCGAAGGGACGGAAAGGGCAAAGTCAGCCCGATTTTGTGGGGTAGATGGAGCCGCCTTGGCATTCACCTCAACCCTTGATACCTCTTCAATGGCAGCACTCTCATAACAACACATCGCGCATTTAGGTGAGCATTGGAAACGGAAAACTGTTTCTGATTGGGGACGTGGCCTAAAGAAGCTGCTTCTTGGGATTTATCGAATCTTCTGTCACTACCGACTCCCTAGTCTTCATGACCTCTCTTGTCACATTCCATTTTTCAGTTAGAACGAGCTATCTCGCTGCTGCTAGTATTCCCTTCGATCGACTGCTGACCCTGTGCGCCTTCTTGAGAGTGACTCTCGACTGGCTATGTATGTTAGCTGGATTAAGTTGATTGTGTCTACTGAAATCCTTACATCAGGTCTTGTTCAGCTGGAGCGCCTTACGCAGTTCAGCTCCCAGAGCTTCTGTGGCTTGCGTGTCTTCAGCCATCACAGCGTCTTCGAACCTGTCGTACAAGTCCTCCAGTGCAGGGTCTTCTGGTGGGTAAGGTTTATCTGAAGTCCTCGTCAGCACTTTGCCTTCTCGACAACATCCTGAACGTACCATCCTCGAGCGCTTCGAGACCTCTTGCAGCGGTCACGAGCATTTTGTTCAAGGCATTGAGCTCTGATTCGTTTGTTGCGTCGAAGTTCGGATCCTTGATGGTAAAGTAGATCTTTCTGATCTGTCCTCTGAGTTCGTCGTTGAGCTGGATTTTTGATGGGTCTGCTGAAGTTTGGGGAGGGTGATAGTTGGAACCGTCCACAGTGCCCTTGTGCTTGAAGAGTCTTTCTGCAATCTTCTCCTGTGTCTTGAGGAGATGCTTCGTAAGAATGTAGAAAGGGCGGCAAAGCAGCAAGAGAAGGATTCCAAGGAGGAGGAGAAGACGAGCAAAACCCTTCTTGTTGCGTACGTCAGAAGGCTTCAGCTTCTTGACTGAGTTGAGAGGCAACATCGCAATCCAGATAGGAAAGCCAACCAGTGCGAGAAGGACCCAAAGGAGGTCATAGAAGGAGAGGTAGAGGAGATACATAAGAACTCTCTTCATGTTGAACATGGCTCTTGTCATTTCTTTGTGGTGCTGTGTGGCTGGATTAGGTGTTGAGAGTCACTCTCAATGTCTTCTTCGATGGCCAAGAAAGAGAAAAATTGTTGGTGGGCAGAAGAGGGAAAAAGGAGAGGAGGTGAGTAGGCGGAGCTGAATTTAACTAGTCTTCCAGTCAAGCCAAATCCGCCCTCGAAGAACGACTCTCGGAGAGTGACTCTGGGAGAGTCACTCTCATGGACCGACTCTGTCAGACTGCATGCACACAAAACAATACACATTCAAAACAGCAAAAACCAGAGCGCTAGGTAAGCTTCTATGGGCAAACACCCCTTTGGGTCCTTGATTATAGTCACCAGATGTCGGTCATCTGGCTATACATGGATTAAGACGTACAAGGCAGGGATTGTTTTATTACGCAATGCTGAGTGTACAAGCCGTTACACCACTCAACCGATTACAGTAACAAAATAATTCTGAGACACATATATGGGTTAACAAAGGTGGTCAGGGTTCGATTCTGGGAGGTGAGTGTTTCTTCTTTTTGCATTGTCCTTATGAATTGGCTTGATTGTTGATGTTCATACCTTTTCCCGTTGACCAGGAGACTTTCACAGTTGCATGTCGAACATTCTCTTTTAAGCGTGACAAACTCTTTTGTTAAGCTTGCAATGGTCACCTTGCTTGATCTCAAGAAAACTAGGGTTTGCACAGAAGGAAGACAAAGACCATTGATTGCAAACACTATTATGCCAAACACTGCCTCTTTTTGATACAGCATGGCATTCTGGAGTACACAATACTCTTCCAAGGCAGTAGACTGTTCCGGCTCGCTCTGTGGTGTTGTAGAACTTTACTTAAAGACGTGACATGAATCACGTCCAACACAATCACGACACAATCCACTCATGGTCTAAATGAACATCAACCGAACACGCATCAGATTGCTCTTCACCCTTGCCATCTTCCGCTCCACCATGCAATCTTCCAGGAGTCAGTACTACTAACTCATCTAATATCAATCTACTGACCTCATGTCAGACAGCAGATTCATCGAGAACTTTGACGACGACGATACAGAGTCAGATTCTGCAGAGTCACTCTCAACAGCACCTTCTCCTGAGCATAGGGAGCCCGACTCGGTCTCCTCGATGAATCTAGCAAGCTTGTTCTCTGCCATGAGGTTGCGGCACAATACGTCCTATGGCAATGGATCACAGGCTCAAACACCAGCACAAGCCCAGACGGCATCACAAGCCAAGGCAGTGATACAGGCTCAGATACCAGGAGACACGCCACCTCCAGCACAGAATCAAACACCCGATCTTGAACAAGTCGACGAGCAACCTACTGTGGGTGTCGAGGTGAGCCCTAAAGTTGACGACATTCCTCGCATACCCGATAAACACCAGGAAGAGACAACAATCCAAGTCCAAGCGTACGGCTTAACTCAGAACAGTGAACAACAGACTGCAGATGTTGATGCGTCCTCTGAGGAGACTCCGACTATGCTCGATGGCCGTGAAGATCTCGAGCCTGTAACGGCCCAGAAGACTGGAGACGTGCCTTTCGACGATGGATCATCAGCACAGGCTCAAGATGAGGACAACAGGCCAGTCACTGTGGATGTCGAGACATTGTCCGATAGATCGACAGCTGGAATTGACGACCATCAAGAGGACAAGCCTAGAGTGACTTTAGATAAGGGGAAGGGAAAGGCCAGAGAATCGCCTTCCGAACAGGGTACGTTCACCATCCACCATCACAGAGCACAGTATCTCCATTTGTATCAGTCGCTACGAGGTAGGCTATCGGAAGGCACGATGCTTTCTAGGGCCAGGGTCGTACCCAGAGAGAGCGTGACACAGTCAACCTCCTCTCCTGCGAGCCCGATCTCCATATCATTGTGCCTCTTGATAGCCAACTCTCGACGCCTTGCAAGGAGAAAGATGAGCCCCAGCGCAATTTCTGTGTACCTGATCTCACGTCGAATTGACCTTGACAGAGACAAGGCTGATGCTTGTGCAGATATTCGTCCAAACAACCAACACGACCCTGCTCAAGAAACATCAACAAAGATTGCAAACAGCCTCTTACACCGACTCTTTGATGAAGCCCTTAGAGAACAAAGCTTCACCCCGGAAGAAATGTATCATGCCTCCAAGTACATCGAAGCCAACTTCGCTCGCCTTGAGCAAGACCTCGAACGCTTCGACGCACATCGGCTGGAGCTCCAGGAAAAATTCGCATCATACGTGCGCGTAGCCACATCACTGACCAGCGCCTGCTCCAAGTGCTTGAAATTCACNAAGGACCTCGAGTCGAGTTACATCGAGATCTGCGATGACATCAGAGCCATGATGGACGTGCTTGAGAAGGGTATACGGGTATCCATACTGCTTTTCAAGAACACCCACAAACTTGTCCCTGACCACACACAAAACAGGATTCTTGGTCCACTGTCCGCGCCCCTCTTGCAGAAGTTGGAGGGGACCAAACGTATGCTACAATCCTTGGAGGACGATGCCGAGAGTGGGAAGGGGTGGCCACAGATTGCTATGCTTGGGCGGCACTCTTTGACCTCTGGACAATCTGAAGATGATCAGGACTCAGAGCCACAATCAGAGGACAACAAGTCCTCAACCACCCCCAAGGGTTTTGTTGAACGTGTTGCGCAAGAGGTGGCAGTCTCAGTCTCTGCTGCCGAACCCCCAAACAGATTAGAGGATGAACCAGGTAATTCTCAGCAGGCGAATGAGGGCGAAGATGCCAGGGCTGATGACGCCAAGTCGGACCAAGTGAAGAGCAGAAAAGGCAGGTCGAAGAAACAAAAGAGAAGAAAGAAGGGTAAGAAGTGAAGGGCAAGAAGTGAAGGGCAAGAAGTGAAGGGCAAGAAGTGAAGGGCAAGAAGTGAAGGGCAAGAAGTGAAGGGCAAGAAGTGAATGGCAAGAAGTGAAGGGCAAGAAGTGAAGGGCAAGAAGTGAAGGGCAAGAAGTGAATGGCAAGAAGTGAAGGGCAAGAAGTGAAGGGCAAGAAGTGAAAGGCCTGTATTCCGGAGATTAACGTCGTCGACAACATAGCTGTGCAAATGCGAGGCTGTCACAACCTCGCGATCCACCCTCCCCGCACTGACATGTAGTGTTATGATATGATATAAAAATGCACAGTCGCTTACTCAATAGAGACGTGGCCATAGAGATGTCTAAGGATGCCCTTTTCTCTGTGGATCTCGGTCTATTATGGAAAGTACTGTGCATTTCTATAGCTACACTGTGGCTGTTTATTGCACATGGAGAGGAGTGGTGTCGACAAAGGGGTTGAGCGTTTTGCCTGCTCTCATGGGAAACGACCCTGACCCAAAAACATTGCTACATTTCTACAAGCTTACATTAGTAGGCACGTCTGCGAGAGAATGAACGTGACCAAGGGGAGTGCTTGCGGCCTGCCACGCTGGGGAAGAACGGAAGTCCAACATGCCCAGCACTCGAAACAACCATGCATGCATAACGAGGCAAACAAACAGCCCGCGTGACCTGCGATCGTCAATACTTTGGGACCCTCTCCGAGTATCCGGTATGATATTTGCAAAGAGGGTGATGGAATATTTGTTGCAAATGTAAGCACTCTGGTCAATGATGACAAGGTCGGAGTTTTTGCAGCTGTTAGGTAGCGATCTGCTGTCGGTAAGGGAGATCCTTGTCTCAAGGCTGAAAGAGAGTTCCGCGGTAAGCCTATAAAGCAAATCGATGTGATTTGGCGGATCTTCCAGCGCGTGCATAGTAGTGCGTAATTTGGCCTGTAAAGATGCAATGTGGTGTTAAGAGAATTGAGAAGCTCGCGATCACACTGGTATCGTGGTCTTGCCAGATGAAAAAATCGCTTTGTTAGGCGTGCGTCTGACAGGGCAACGATCGATGTTATAGCACGATCGAGCGAAGAGGCTGACAACGGCGTCGTTATGGTTTTGGCCACGGAGGTGTCGACAAACCCCTTTGGATACGCCGTCTAAAACGAGTCAAACTGCCGAACACCGTTGGGCGCGTCGGATGTGGAAAAGAATTGGTAATTTGTGTACGCTAAAAAGCGCGAAGATGGTTTCTGAAATTCTTTCCCTGACACGGTGTGGGTAGAAGCATGAGCAGTGTACTGCACGACTGGTTTGCTCGAGCGGAAAGCGACCGGCAGTGTATGTAGCTGAGACGGGCATGTTATTGAAGTGGTTGCGCCTCGTCCGAAGTCGAGAAGCAGGAGGTGGAGGGCTAGACAGGGTCGCAAGCCACCAAAAATGGCAGGCGATGACGAGAGCTGTCGGAGGTTTGGCAGCCAGCGTCCATCAGTGCACCAATCTACCCGCGAACCTTCACGACTCGACGGAANNGTTCTTGTCGAGATGAACCCAACGGGACATGCAGGACCATTTGGACAACAATAATAGATGGCATACATAGAACAAGGACACAGAGTTTGTTCATGGGGAGGCTCAATTTGAGAAGCGAAATAGAAGGTGATCTCCCCGTGCCCGCGATATGGAAGGAGCAGCAAGCTGTCGGGACTAGATCAAGTGGCGCGCCAGAGTTTAAGCCNNCATGCGGAAGTGCTGTTAGGTTNNAGCTGCTCCTCACTGGAGACCTGAAAGTGGGGATATCTTTCTGAAAAAGGGAGCGAGAGTTGGACAAAAGGCATTTGGATAGTTGGACGGTGGTATATAGTTGGTAGCAGAGCAAAGGGGACAACAGGGAGGCGTNTTCTTTGTTCTTGTTGTCGCAATTGTCTTGCCGTAAGTCAGNAGGACCCCTGCAGGCATCAGTAGGGCAGCGCACGGACGTTATAGACGTTATTCTACGAACACCCAAAGGCAGCGGAGACGTGTGAAGCTGACTCTGAGCGGTGGGTGTGGGTTTGAGCTCGCTCTCTCTCTCTTGTCTCTCCCCTCAGTAAGGCCGTCGTCCTCGTCGCTTCTCTCCATTCATCTGCACGTCGACTCGAATATTCTTGCCCGGCGACAAAGCAGCGCGTTGATCGACACAGTGCAGGCGTGTTTTCTGGCTACCCACACCCCGACCCTCCGGGACGCATCCATCGTGCATCCTTGTTTGACAGACGTTTGGGCGAACAAGTCGCGGCCTCTTTATGCGCCAGTGAGACAGCACAGTCAGCACCCCTCCACAGACACTCGACCCGACACGAAGAAAGAAACTTGCCAGTCCTTGATGTTGGATATTGCTGGCCAATAGAATACTATCCGGCTACTCACCTAGCGTCATCTGCCTACTCACGCACCTGGTGCTACTCGACTACCCTCGTGACACGCGCCCTCCAAGGCCACGAACGAACGCCCCTCCGAGTCAACGTTTGTTCCCACTTCGACACTATCTCTTCACCCGTGTATGCTCGACAGAATCACCACTACCCTCTCCCTTCCCGGCCGTCGTGCCGTCGCTGCCATCCTCGACTCGACCTGATCCACCAGCAGAACCGCCGTTATGGATCCTAATGCTTTTATGGTGGGAGGTGGCATGCAAATGCAGCAAAGGCCACAGCCCCAGAACGACCAACATCAAAACGACCTCCTGGCCAGGATTGTACAAGAACTCAACAAAAACCCCATACACACCGGTTGGCAAGCTGGATTCGACCTTCGCACTCGTGCTCTCTGCATTTTTAATCTGTGAGTGCTGTTCTCTTCGAAGCGCTCGATGGCTGTATAACTGACACATGCGCAAACAGGNGTGAAAGCATTGCGTCTGCTGAACAACACCAACGATCTGGCGAGCGCCGTCCAAGTCGCCATGCGCTTCGAAAGTCAAATCATTCAAAGCAGTCCCTCCGAGGTACGTCCACATTTCCTGCTACAGTGTCTCATCACATGCTGACTCGTTGCACAGGACCAATGGATGGCAGGTATCAAGCAAAAGTTGAACGAAATCAGCCAGGCACACCAACAAGCGCGCATGAAGGCACAACAACAGCAACAGCAACAGCAGCAGGCTATGGGAATGCAAATGCAGCACAGTCGCTCGCACCAAGGCGAGATGGCACCACAGATGCCCATGGGCGCGCCGCAAATGATGGGCCAGATGAACATGCAACCACACATGCAGCAGCCTCAACAACAACCGCCACCTCAGCAGCAGCAACCGCAACAACAGATGGCGCAAAACCAGCAACCCCAGGTCTACACTGTCGAGGAACAAAAGCAGATTACGAACATTGCGCGCAACATGATAACCACGGTCCCTGAAGATCAAAGGAATCTGATGCGCCAGCGCCTGTTGTCCCAGATACCTCCTCCGCAGAGAGAGCACTACCAGCGCCAAGGCATTGATCCTCTCGCCAGACACTTCCAGCAGCTCGCTATGAAAAAGTTCAATGCCGCCAAGAAAAGCCAGCAGGATGGTGCACCCGTAGATTTCTCATCTTTTGCTGGTCAACAGGCCGACGCAATGAAAATGGCCGATCAAGGCCAGCTCGTTGTGCCAGCCAGCAATAACAACATGGGCATGAATCCCGCAACCGCCAACGTGGCCAACATGGGCCAGATGAACATGCCGCCCGCCATGCAAAACAACCAGCAGCAGATCCAGAACATGATGGCCCAGAGGCAGCAGCAGACCCAGGCTCAGATGCGCAACACTCAGATGCAGCAACAGGCTGCGGCTCAAGCTCAGGCCCGTAATGCTGCTCAGCAACAAGCCCAGCAACAAATGCTCAGAGGACAACCTGGTGGTCTCAATACCACACAGCCTCCCCAGCAAAGCCCCGCCATGTCAATGCTCAACAGGCCCATGGTTCCACCTGGCCAGCCCTCTCAGACACCTCCTCAGTCTCGTCCCCAGCCCACACCTCAGCCAAACCAGCAGATGAACCCTCAGATGATGGCTCAATTTAGCCAACAGATTGCGAACAATCCTGGTCTGTTCCCTACTCCCAAACCAGATCTACAGATTCCACCGGGCGTGCAGCTACCACCGCAGTTGAGGGCCAAACTTGAGGGAATGCCNCCTGATCAGCAACATCAGATTCTACAAAGGATTCGCGAATCACAACAAAAGACGCCGCAGTCGAATCAAGTTCAAGCAGCGCAACAAATGATGATGAACGGTATGAACCCTGGAGCTCCCATGGGCCAGCAAGTCTTACCAAATGGCGCCATGGGCATGCCTCCACAAGTCCCCCTCAACCCTCAGCAACAGGTGGCCATGGGCATGCCGGGAGCTCCGAGTCACCAACAAATGCAGCAGCGGCTCTTGATGCAACGGCAGCGTGAAATGGACGCGAGACCTTTCCCTCCACGGATTCTGAACGAAGTATGTTCGGTGCCTCCGAATGTCAAGACGTGGGGTCAGTTGAAAGAGTTTGTGCAACAAAACCAGAACAACCTGCCTCCAGACATTCTGGACAAGGTTCGTCGATTCCAACAGATAGTCATACAGAAGCAGCAGCAGCAGGCTGCGATGGCCAATGCGAACGGGGCACCTGGTAATCAGATGTCTGGTCAGTTGCCACAAGGCGCTGTACCTAATCATCCGACCATGACCGGCGCCCCTCCTGCCCAAATGGTTCCGCCACCATCCCAGATGGGTCCAAATGCGGGTATGCCCAACATGAACCCGAATTCGCAAAATCTCGCCAACATGGGCGGCGTATCTATGCCTCCGGTCACAGAGCAGGAGTTACAGGCTTTCAAGGCGAGGATTCCTGCAGCTCAAGGATGGTCTCATGAGCAGCTGAGAAAGAACTTTATGCAGTGGAAGTACCAGCAGATGCAGAAACAGAACCCTGCCATGGCCCAACAGGCTATGAACGCAATGCGACAAGCACAGCTGCAACAATCTGGAACACCGGGCATACCACCGCAGAATCCAATGGCACCCACGGTGCCTCAGATGGGTCCTCAGTCGGCTGCTATGGTGCCTCAACTATCCCAACAGCATCTTGCGAACATGCAACAGCAGAACACGCCAGCGAACAAGAAGGGCCAGAAGCGCCAGGGCGCAAACGATGATGTTGTCGAGATCCCCAACCCGAACCAGTCGCCTCAAAGACCGAACAATGCACAACAGAAGAACCAGAAGCCAACTATGCAACTCGACCCTGAACAGCTCAAAAACATGCATCCTGACAAGATCAAGCAAATGGCTCCGGAACAGCGTGCTGTCATGCAACAGTCGATGCAACAATTGCAACAGAAGATGCAAATGGACGCCTTGAAAAGAGCCCAATCCTCGACTAACCAAAACCAGAAGATGTTGGATGGGCAGCAGCAGGTATCCCAAGCTCAACAAGCTGGACAAATGTCGCAGGCCCAGCGCGAGCAGTTGCAAGCCCAAGGTGGTCAACAGGCTGCACAGGTTTCGCAGCTCAAGGTACAGCAACAAAGAGCCAGACTAGCCGCCATAACTTCAGAAACAGAGGCTGCCTACCGCAAGGGTCCTCCTCGAGAAGTGGACGACGCCAGCTTCGCCGAAGTAGTTTCAAAACTCCGTAGCTGTCGAGACATGATCGTGAAGCTGGACAAGATGCTGCCCACTGCCATGACATTCGTCAACGACAAGATCGTACGCCAGATCTGCCTTGAGAGGGTCAAGCTTCTCGGTGAGATGAATTTGGATGGTAACATCAATGGATATCTCTCGCTGTCGGTTCAGCAGATTGGGGAGGCTGAGGGAAGGATTCGCCAATTCATCATGCAATGTTTGCAGCACATACACAAGTTGAAGACGACCTCTTCGCCCGAGCAAGTACAACAAAATACGGAACAAGCAAAGCCTCAGCAAGCACCACTGGCAGCCACCGCCGCTATGGCNAAGAACAGCATCCAAGGGCGGCGACCGATCGAAACCACCCCGGCACCTACGTCGGCTGTGCCTCCTCCATTTCCTGTTAGTCATCCATCNCCTCACGGTGTGCCCGTCTATGATGGCAGTATTCAAGGACTTACNCCTGATAAGCTTCAACTTCCGGCCAACAAACGTAGAAAGACTGGTCAACCTGGAAGTTCGGCTTCTACGCCCGCAAATGCAGGCACAACCCCTGGCAGTATGCCTAGTCCCAACATCAAGATGCAAAGCCCTGAGGACAAGAGACGACAACTGCAGCCCAAAATTGAACCACCACGAGGTCCGGAGAAGAAGTTCAAGTGCGCAGATGAGTACTGCGAGTTTCATGTCACCGGCTTCGAGAAAGAAGATGAGCTCCAGGCCCACACAGCGGAAGTACACAAGCGGATCGAGAATCCGCTCGACTTCTTCCTCGAAAACGCGGCTGCTGCATTCGAACTCGACTTGGACGGCAATGAAAAAGCACGCCAGATTGACAGCAAGCCAATTCTTAGTGGTGTCAAGCCATCTGCCCTGGGACCAAACACGATTAAGAAGGAGGCGCTTAAGGTTGATGGGCAGACGCCTGCCAAGACCATCAAGGCAGGAACGCCACCAACCATTGCCCGTACACCGCAAGGGCAAAAGCGATCAGCACAAGATCATGAACCAGCTTCGTCATCACCTAAGAAGAAGACTATGCTCGACACCATGATGGAGAAGGCTGGCGTCTCAATGCCGCCAGTCGAGAAGTCTACCTTTCAAGAGGAGGATCGCAAGCAATCCTCGACACCTCCCAATATGCGGAACAACGACGATGCCGATGATGACTTTATGAGATCGGTTCGCGAGACACTTAATGGTCTCGATGAAGGAGCACAATACTCGGATCTGGACTGGCCTATCGATCCCTCGCCTGACATGACACCCTCGAGTTCCAACTCCGGCACATCAGCGGCCACTTCCAACTTCACCGACATCAGCGAGCATGACCGTCTCAAGATCATGTTCGAGAGTGATCCATTCGGTCTTGGCTCTGGTATACAATTCGATCTCGGTGATGACCTTGGCATGGGTATCATGGGCATTCAGTCTACATTCGACAACAAGAAGGAGAATCAGGATAAAGCGACACCGCCACCTGATGTTAGTTGGGACGCCCTGTTTGGGGCCAACGCTGGTTTGGACAAAAACGACATGAACTGGGACAAAGACCCCATGGGTAACAGCATTTTCGACGGCGTGACCTTTTCCGACATTTAGGTCGTATTGTGAAAGGGAGGAGTTCTTTTTCTGATAGCGGAACACACACATTTGATGCATTTTCGTTCGAGCGTGGAGTTCTTGCTGTTTTCTACCGACATGGGGGCCTGAGCGACAGGCCAGAAAGCTCTGTGATTCCCAATAACTACATAGTCTAGCATTGATTCCAACTTATATTCTTGCTGTTTTCCGGAGCAGTGCTTTCGAGATCTTTGTCGTCGCCTCTCCCCATGTCCTCAGTTGACCCATGTGTAGCTGTAAAAATGCACGGTAGTCTTTGTATTAGAGGAATGTCCAAGGAAAGCTGCTATAACAGTGGCTCTCAGTGGTCTCTGTTCTCTTTTCATTGCTATTCTGTATTTTTATAGCTTGCATATTTCTCCATGCTGCTATGAGAGAAGCTCAGGAGTAACACTCCAGCCCCTGATGATCGTTGATGTCTGTCCTTGTATTCTCTACATGTGCGAAGCCATTCTACGTGTAGCTGTGAGAATGCATAATATCTTCTAAGAACAGACTTGTATCCTCCGAGAGCCAGTCAAGTGACTCCCTTGTTTGTGAGTACCTTGAGAGAGCGGATAAGATGGCGGCTCTCCGGGGACATTGTTGCAGTTCAGACTTGACTGTGCATTCCGATAGCCGTGAATTTTGATTCGTTTTATGGTGAGAGCAGGGAGTGAGCGAGGGATTGATTGTAGAAGTTGGTTTAATTTCTACAGCTTAAATGTCTGCATGCCAGAGCGAGAGGGAAGCGAGAGTGACTCTCGAGTAGCGGTGTTGGAAGGGTGGCATCTCTAGCCGGACAGGCAAGTTTAAGCGAGCTAGAAGTGGCGGACAAGACCCTGATCAACGTCGGCAGGGTGTCCGACAGTAGGCAGAGGAAGGCGATGGCCGACCCGAACGACCGAAAGGGCAACCACGACCGACAACTGTAGGCATATCTAGAGGTAGGCGCGACCGACTCGTACTCTTCCTCAATTCATATTTCTGTTCTCTCTGCCCTTCACAAGTCATTCCATACGACACATACAGCCGTCGTTCCTTTCATACCACACCGTCCAAGCACCTATACCATCACAACCGCAACTATGGCACCCTCAGCCGTCTCAGCCCCCGAAACCACAATGGCCATTAAGCCCACCAAGCCCTCAAACCCCGGCCTCGCAGTCGAAAAGAAAGAAAAGACCCCCTCGAAGCCATCAGCCAAGGCGTCTGCCTCCAAGGCATCCCAAAATACATCTCCTTCGACGCCCACCGCCGCGACATGCTGCAGCACATGGCCGGCGCCTTCCGCGTCTTTGCCCGTAAAGGCTACACCGAAGGCATGAGCGGTCACATCTCCGTCCGCGACCCCGAGAACATCCACACCTTTTGGACAAACCCTCTGGGCAAGCATTTTGGCCTGCTCAAGGCGAGTGATATGATACTCGTGGACTATGAGGGCAAGGCTATTGGTGGTAATATGTCAAGGCCGGCAAATGCGGCGGGCTTCTTGATTCATAGCGCGGTGCACAAGGCAAGACCTGATGTCATCGCTGCGTGTCACACACATTCGCCGTATGGAAAGGCGTGGAGTACATTTGCCAGACCCCTGGAGATGTTGAATCAGGATGTGTGTTACTTCTACGGCGAGGCCCAGGCCGTCTACAAGGATTTTGGCGGTATCGTGTTCAGCGAGGAGGAAGGTCTCAAGCTTGCCAATGCTCTAGGTCCTAAAGGCAAAGGCATGATTTTGAGAAACCATGGTTTGTTGACTGTGGGCAACACGGTTGATGAAGCTGCGTATCTCTATACGCTGATGGAGAGGAGTTGTGAGATTCAGTTGCTCGCTGAGGCGGCGTGTGCGAGTGGTATTCAGAAGGTTATCGTGCCTGAGGAGTCTGCCGAGTATACCTACAGGATNGGTAGCGATGCTGACACTCTGTACGAAGAGTTCCAGCCTGAATTGGAGTATGAAGACGCCATGACCAATGGCGACTTCAGGAACTGAAAGCTTCACGTTCTACTGGTACGTAGTATTTCTTCACGAATTCATGGTTTCTTCTGTTGCAAAATCGAGGCATCTTCGCTATCATCAGGGTTTGTTTTCGACCAATGGATGTGATGTGATGTGATCTACGTGTGACTACTCGGGTTCCTGTCTCTTACTTTCACGTCGAGAGTCACTCTACTTGTTCGAAAGGGTGCTCGAGTAGCGAGGTGAGTCGATTGTTATTTCATCTCTTCTCTGTGTATTCTCTCTTCGCGACTTGTATTGCCGCCCTGAGTTGGATTGCCTTTCGCGACAGGAAGAGAACACGCTGAACCTGCTCACCAGTCCCAGCGACGGCAGATCAAGCCTTGCGAGTTCAACACCTGATAGTAGCGACGTTCCTTTTCCTTTCGAGCATATGCTTCGATCTCGCCTTTGTATTCCAGCTTCCGGCCAGTAAGCTTGTCTTTCTCACACCCAGACATCGTATCGAACCTGACATTCAGAACCTTCTTTGGACTCGGGGTCGTCGATAAGCGTTCTCTTCGGGTGCTCAAGATTCGCTTCCTCTTCCTTAATTTGGACTTTGGTCGAGCTGGTCTTTCTCTCGGATAGAGCACTTCGGTGACAAGTCTGTGTCTCTTGGCTTGCGCTTTTTCTTCTTCATCGAGCTCTGAATCTTCTTCAGGATTGTAGTCTTCTTCACCTTCTCTGCGCAGGACAGAGACGCCGCCCTCCTCGTTGTGGGTAACCATATCCTTAGGACCCATCTGAGCAAGAATCATCGTGCGGATCCTCCTTGCGAGTTCTCCGTTGACATCCAAGCATGTCTCCTCAGCAGGAGGATCGCTCATCCAGCAGACTACAAATGCGCGCCATAATCTAAACTCGAGATTGGAGCGAGCTGCGCGGACTTCATTAGCCATCATCATCAGCTCGTGCCATGTGGNGATCAATTCAAAGTCAAGATCTGGCCACAAGCTCTGTTCGCATGTCAGTGCTTATTCAGAAGCGTTCTATACATCTTCAACTTGCTTTGCACTGCTCAGGGCCTTCTTCATAATNNAGACGTTTCCTCTTTCATCCCAGTTGAAAATTTGGTAGAGCGTAAAAGGGTGATCGACAGGGAAGTTNNTCTCGATATAATAACCGCCTGTGTGTAGATTNNCTAGACGAACAAGCTCAGATTTCTACACAACGCAATCGCACTTCGAGAGGAATGTTCTTACTCTTGTAGCACTATCAGCCTCCGGAGCTTTGCGTGCGTCATCTGCGACAACATTGACGGCCTCGCTTTGTTCTTCGACGGGACCAATCTGGCGAGAAGTCCAAACACATAGAGATGCGGCCAGATCAGTCAACTCCTTGGATGAGGCATCGTCTCGATTCTTGATCTTGTCTTTCCAAGCGACCAAGAAGGCGCGCAGCAATCTGTATTCCAGATCGATCTTACCACTACGAAGAGCATTGGCCAGGTCAAGGACATCCTGAGAAGCGAAGCGGTCTGCTTTGAGATCCGGCCACANACGTCTTAGAATGTTAGAATGATTGGAGACTAATCCATCGTCTGACACCTAATTCACCTCGATCTCGCGGATAGCTTCAAGACCAAGATCTTCGGTGAACTCTTGACTGATGGTGATTAGTCTGCGAAGAGTAGCCTCGGGTGCTTGACAGTCTTTCTCATCGTCTTTGGTGAGGTCGGAAACATTAGGTGGTTCGGCCATGATTGATGTCTGACATGTGTCAGCGCGTTGTTGATATGTGTGTATAGCAAGTCTGGGAAACATACGGTGTGCCGAATGCGCTGGATGCAATGGCCGGAAAGACGATGGAGGGTAAGGGTTACTGGAGAACAAAGATGTGTTTGCGGAAGAAATCGAGAGTCAAAGCGAAGAGTGAAAGGCATCTGGCAAGTTTCTCAGAGCTTGGAAGTGACGATTGCGAGTGCGATCTCCTTCCCAAGACGGAGAATCCGACTGTCTCTGCGACTGCTCTGTCAGTTTGTCACTTCGATGTTTTGGAAGGTCCAATGCACAAGACTTCAGAGTGACTCTCAATAGGCTCCTTGTGGATTAACGAAGTGGTTCTTGGGGATATATCAGACTCGACGAGTGCTAACAGATGTCATGTGAGTATAGTGTTGGCTCATTCAGGAGAGGTCTTCACTTGCAATGATGAACATCCAACACCACTATGATACAAACAAAGTTTCGTAGGAACGAACAAACATACCTTGTCGGCAGTTCCATCTAACTATAAAGTGATCATTCCATTGTCACTGTACTCAGACTGAGTGGTGTAACGGCTTACACTCACGCCTTTGTTACAGGTTGCTAATTGAACCACTGTTCAAATCCCGCCGTGTACGTCTTGAATTGCCAAAGTTGTAGCCTACTGTCCGTCAGTGGGTGACTTTGATCAAGGGATGAGAAAAGAAGATTTTCCCAAGAGCGTGGCTCTTGATTTTTTTGCTGGTTTGAATGGAAGAGAAAGATTCAAGTTGCATCTTTATATCTTCGCGGGTTATATCTCTTTCATGATCTGCAATGCAGAACTCAGGGGCTTATCCATATCAGTAACCACTCTGAGCACGCTCCTTCCATACACGCTTGTCTACTTCTGCTTTCAATGTTCTGCCAATCCATCAGTCAATCACAACATCCCATGGATTTAAATCTATCGTGCAACTTCTGCCAACTTCTGCGCTCGTCAGGCTAGCCAGGCCTCCCAGGTCCGTAGCTCTCCTGTTTCTATCACCAGCTTTGCCCAAATCTAACAGCAAAATAGAAGTCATTCAGGTCCATGAATCTGCTCTTGGGGATGTTTGGTCTCTGATGGTCAATCTACAAGCAACCTTGGTATGAGAGCTATGAAATTATGAATCGTGTAAGGACATGTGGGAACAGGAGAGTATACGTCTGAGTTACAGGCCCCATGGCCTTCTCTTCTGATGTACCTGTGACAGTCGTCTTTCCGTGTCCACAGAGGCCCGGCGCTGGCGCTAGTCATGTGAGCTCAAAAACGGTGATTTGCCTCAATTGTGAGGGTTTAGACGGAACAGTCCAGCTTCTCTAAGGGTACCCGCTTCATGTCTCACTAAAAGAGGTCACAGATGAACAGCACGATGAAAGAAAGTGTGGGCATGATGGGATGATTTTTCATGATTGCTGTCTAGAATGAAACACCGGACTTGGTCGAAAAGACCATCAAAGAGCTCATAGTGGCGGCCTGTCTGTCCTTTGCTCGAAGTTGAACCCCTTCATGCTGAGTAGAATCGGAAACGAGCAACAAAAGGATATGCACGTATGGAAGAATGTCTTCGAGTGGTTCCATGGCAACCTTCTCTATCTTGAAAGCGATCGTGCATCATTTTCGTACATCACGACATCTCATGTCATTGTGAGGGGGGAGGGTTTAATGGTGAGATTGCGACAGTTTTAGCACAAGGAGAGGGAAGAGAAAATACGTGTGCCATGACGCAGTTCCTTACCATAGCCGGCGCATGTAGTCTCAAGCCTAGTTGATCGCGGCATCCATGTTCACGGCAAAGGCTAGGAGTAAGGGGTATGACTCTACGCAATGGTGTGAAAATTCATCGACAGTGTGGCAAGATAAGGCAGTAAAGAGATCCGTCAGCTTATTCCGATGCATAAACTTTCGTGGCCGTCTCCACGTTCATATGCTAGCATCTGTCGATGTCACGGAAACATGTGGAGCCCACACTCAAGAGCGTGGGATGGAATAGGTGGCGTCGGGATATAACGACCGAATGTTTCGCGTCTGGCGGGGCGCAACGTACGAGCAGGATGCTGGTTGCTGGCTACTCAGAGGGCTATGTTGTAGATGGAGAGGTTGGTATCCGATGCTTGGTGTTGAGTGGCAGCTTCAACGGTCTATGGACATTGGACAATGAAGTTTCATGGCAGCTCATACGTAGGTGTTGAGAATGTCTGTTGCTTGGACTTGCGCAGACGCCAGTGTTTTCGCTGTGTTTGCTGGATGTTGCATAACACAAGCGAGACCTAAAAGTAGGTCGAGGTCATCATGTACAGAAAGCCAGTAGGGACGGGTTTCATCAGGTGAGCTCGTTAGTTGCGAGTTCTTCCCTTGAGGCACGTAGAAACGTTATCTCGATCAGAGAGAAAGTGTTGAACAATCGACTCAGGTACGAACTCTTCACATTGAAACCAGACGAGGGCAGCCAGCAAAAGCAATCTGGAGTCGCGTCCGAGAGGTGTGCGTGTCTGAGTATTGCGCGCTAGAGAAGATTTGATGAGATGCAATGACCTGATGACATTTGAGGACATCCATGTCAGATGCATGGAGTGTGCTCGGGGAGTCGGATCAATCGAGAAACCCCAGCATTTCAGCTCATGGTTCATGTATGGGGAAGCGCTGATAAACCGTCATGCATTGAGATTAGAGGAGTGCCAACGATGGATGGGCGTGGGCTGTCTGGACGATAAGAGGGTGGCATATGATGGGCTGGTTCTTGTTGAAAGGATCATTGACCAATACGAAATCCATCTGTCCAACGTGAGTCCACCTTGAAGTGGTTGTTGAGCAGGTTGCATAACCACGGATTGCAGAATTGTACGTTGAACTTTTGTTGCATGACACAAGGTCCTGGGATAGGACATGGATAGCAGCGGCGGGTGGAACAGGCAGCTCGATAGCAACGGCCATCATTGGCTCGCAACCACTACTGCTTTGGGAAGCGACTTAGTTTCATGTAGGCCGGGAGTAGCCGCAAGGACCCTCGATATCCGGGAACAGGTGGATTAGACAACACAGGGCTGAATCGCGCACCAACATGACGATAGATTGACCCCCAAGAACGAGGCATATCTCTGCACAAGACGCGAAAGATGGAAGCAGGTCGAGACAGACGTTCAAATCGCGCGCGTGTCGGTGGTCATCAACGGGCATGTGCTGGGAATGGAAAGCATGAGGTGACACGCCTTCGTTCAACTGACGCTAGCCTCCGCACGAGCTGATGCTTGGCAGGTCAGCACCACCAAAATTCGACCAGATCACTGGCAATCTAAAAGTGAGACTCGACGCGGAGACAAGGAGATTCGCTCCAAGTTGGATAAACAAAGCAAAGTTGGATTCCTGATCGGCTGAATTGACAGTCATTCGAAGAAGCAAAGAGAGATGGACGGCGTCTGGAGCTTCTAGTCGCGGTGGTTTTACGTGTTTGCAACGATGAACCTCGGGATTAGCGCGCGGGCTTCGGGCACAGCTTTCTAGAATGGTGAACAGATCGGCAAGGCAGGCCGGATGTTTCGCGTGTCATCCAGAAAGCCAAAAGTCCTGGTGGCGAAAATGGCAGTGGCCAGCTGGCGGTGGAATGTGAGTGCCTCAGGGTCCTTTGTGAGGATTGATTGAGGAGAGGTGTTGTTGAATGATCACACAGTGGTGCAGACAATCAATGCAGGTACAGACTGCAGCAGGGGTGGTGTTCATGTTTCTCAAATCCCACTGGAGTGGCAAGGTGATGCAATGCAGCGTGTGAATTGGTTGGGGGCATGCCCAACAGTCGCAGCAAGACGGTGAATTCTGGCCAGAGGGGCGAGTAGGTTCCCCCACAGTATTCGCCTCGTCTATCAGGCCATGGCATATTTGTCCCGAGCTCGCGTTAGTTCAAAAACTTGAGCCCGCCAGCACAGTTTCCTTTCTCTCTTTCAGCGCCCTCCACCCACATCAATCCTACCCCTCGACACTCGTTTGTTCGAAGGAGGCTCTCGCATTCATTGCACTTGTTTCTGATAGCTCGTGCAACATGCCTTCGCACCAGCCCGCCGCCGGCATGATGGCCGTCGACCCTGACTATGTCAAGCAGGGCTCGCCCATGGCCTCCAAGAACGAGCCCAACCGTAGCAAGTCTTACGACCCCAAGAAGTGAGTCGACGCCAATTCTCTGCACCCATTGACAAGGCACTAACCAACCTCCAGGCCTCACATCACCGACACTCCTTTGACAAAGGCCAACTGGTACAAGCACGTCAACTGGCTTAATGTCTTCCTCATCGGTGGCATTCCCCTCATGGGTCTGATCCAGGCTTGGTGGACTCCTCTTCGTCTTTACACCGCCATCTGGGCAATTGCCTACTACTTCGCAACTGGCCTCGGTATCACTGCCGGCTACCATCGTCTGTGGGCACACACTTCGTACCAGGCCACTCTTCCTCTCAAGATCTTCCTCGCCGCCGTCGGTGGTGGTGCCGTCGAAGGCTCCATCAGATGGTGGGCCCGTGACCACCGCGCTCACCACCGCTACACCGACACCGAGAAGGACCCCTACTCAGTCCGCAAGGGTCTCCTCTACTCTCACCTTGGCTGGATGATCATGAAGCAGAACCCCAAGAGAATCGGCCGTACCGACATTTCCGACCTCAACGACGACCCCGTTGTTGTCTGGCAGCACAAGAACTACCTCAAGGTCGTCTTCGGCATGGGTCTCATCTTCCCTACCCTCGTTGCCGGTCTCGGCTGGGGTGACTGGCTCGGTGGCTTCATCTACGCCGGTATCCTTCGTATCTTCTTCGTCCAGCAGGCCACCTTCTGTGTCAACTCCCTTGCTCATTGGCTCGGTGACCAGCCTTTCGACGACCGCAACTCTCCTCGTGACCACGTCATCACCGCCATCGTCACTCTTGGTGAGGGTTACCACAACTTCCACCACGAGTTCCCCTCCGACTACCGCAACGCCATCGAGTGGCACCAGTACGATCCCACCAAGTGGTCCATCTGGACCTGGAAGCAGCTCGGCCTCGCCTACGACCTCAAGCAGTTCCGCTCCAACGAGATCGAGAAGGGTCGTGTCCAGCAGCTCCAGAAGAAAATCGACCGCAAGCGTGCTGAGCTCGACTGGGGAACTCCTCTCGAGTCCCTGCCCGTCATGGAGTGGGATGACTACGTCGAGCAATGCAAGAACGGTCGCGAATTGATCAGCGTTGCAGGTATCGTACATGACCTGAACGCGAGCGGGGCAGCATCGTTTGTCAATGACCACCCAGGTGGCAAGGCCATGATCCGTTCTGGTATCGGCAAGGACGCTACCGCCATGTTCAACGGTGGTGTGTACTTCCACTCCAACGCCGCCCACAACTTGCTCTCTACCATGAGAGTTGGTGTCATTCGTGGTGGTATGGAGGTTGAGATCTGGAAGAAGGCCCAGCAGGAGAACAAGGACGCTGTTATGGCCAAGGACTCAAACGGTCAGCGTGTCGTTCGTGCTGGCTTCCAACCCACCAAGGTTTTTGAGCCTTCTGCCACCGCTGGCGCTGCATGAAGAGATACCCCGTTGAGGCTTGCCGCCTGACAACCTTGTCGTTTTTGTTCTTTCTTTCTCGCAATTCAGCGATCATCATACTGTATATTCTGGTAGCAATTGCGTCCTTCCCTCTCTCATCCCTGGCTTCTGGTTTGGGTTCATCACGATCGCTCTAGACGCGTCTTGTTGCACACTTAGATATGACTCTAACTAGCGAACACCTACAATATCCCATCATGGGTTGCCAGTCCTCTTTGGATTGGCAAATAATGTCATTTACGCCTTCATTTTACTTGGTCTTCCTTCATGCTTTTGACTTTTGTAATTCCATCTTTCTACAAAGTCCAATGATATCCCTATAGCTCTCGCAGCTTCCAATGAGCAGGCTTGTCGCTTGAACATCCCTCTACGTTTTGATAGATACTCATTGTGGACCATGCTCGTGGAAGCACCGACCTCGATCTCAAGAACAAGGTAATGACGAACCACAAGGGTTGAACATCGTGAGAGTGAGTCTCGACTCGACGACATTCTGTTGGCCCCGAGGCAACATTTCAACTCCTCCCGAGTGTTTGCTCCTTCTTGTTCATAACCCGCATTCTGTCAGACAGCAAACAACAGATGTCACGATGACAGTTTGTCTGACCACGTGCCGGGTTGCCTGAAGTCGATCGCCATGGCACGAGATCTCCCTTCCCCGTAGCCACCTCCACAACCTTATCGGGTGAGCTTCTTGGTTTTTTTCTTTTCTCTTTCTTTTCTTTTTCTTATTTATTTGCACATTCTTCGCACATTTTGAACGAGGAAGCAGCAGAAAATCTCTTTGCACTTGGCCCTTTCTTTCCCGTCTGTTTTGGCAAGTAAACGTTGACAGTTCGGGAGAACTAGGAATAATGATTGTTTTGTTTTTTTGCAGACATTGCAAATTGCCTACCTTCTTCACCGCCATAGTCCACGTGAGGTAATAATTTCAATTTCTTCCTTGTTTGTCAAACGACGGTGTAGAAGGTTCTTTCGTGGTTGGACTTCGGTACCACTTTGTTTTTGCGACGGCTTTTGCAACCTCATGTCGTGAAATGTGTTTTCACTGGCATCATCGATGAGACTGAAGATATGGTGAAGACGAGAAACATAGAGCGTGTGATACACTACGACTGACATACTTGTCAGACACCATACTCAATGTTTGGTTCTTTTTCAGATAGGAGTAGAATTGGTTTCCAGCAACGCAACCTGCTCTCTATAGAAAACGGGTTTCATAAGAAACATCAGTAGGTCGACGAGCTTCATTCACCAACCCACCTATATAACAATAATCTAGGTCAACCCTGTCTTTTCTTGCTCAATGACTGTAAGGTAGTCAGGCGAAGCATGCTCGCACCATGTCTATCGACTGAAGTCCGTGACGACAAATTCAAGCCATGTCGAGCGCCCCTGTCCCAATGGAAAATATGAAGCCATACTGTGACCCACGAGCAAAGGCAGGTTACCAGGTCTATGAACCAGATGTTGCCTTTCCTCATCCCTCACGCGGATGAGAACACATGTCACGAGTTGATTCCCATATTGACAATCAGAGACTACGCACCTCCGAGAGCATAATTGTGAACCTGATTACTTTCTCCTTGTGGTAGTGCGGGGACTGGCAAGAACGACCGGCCACTCATACACATAGTAGTCACATTGATGGACGTCGGCCTTCTGAACGCGACGCATCCGTAAGTAAGATGGATTGTGTCACGGCAGGGGTGCAACTGACCCTCGATGATAAGGACAAGCGGATATGAGTTAATTGGGCTGATTTTATAGATTCTGTCGACAGTTGTGTTATATACATTTACATACTACCATTGAGTACTGCCGTCTGTGACTGAAGTAAGGTCCAAAGTACGATTGAGGACGAATAAATGATATTAGTATTTCTGTATAATGCTCCTTCATTGAAAAAGTCACAGATGATCCTCAACAACACTCCATGTCAAATGTATATCTCTAAAGCTGAGATTCAGATCTGCTAAAAGAGTAGAGGGATAGCTATATATGACTTGCCATCGGAGAATACGGATTCCGCTATCATTGCAAGGTCTCAGTGCAAACTAAAGTCTGGAACGCGTATGGATATTATACACTGTACTGCTAGATACGTCAGGATACCTTATAAGATCTCCTAGTCTGGACTTCACAACTGCTTCTACCCAAAACCGATGTGTGTCAGCAAACAATTCGGGAACGAGTATTGTGCCAATGACAACATGCTCTACCGGTTAGCAGAGAGTCGCGACCTGCAGGAGGGCATGTAAAGCGAGGCAGCAGATCTATGAGCTCTTACACCTTCTCCACTCTCTATATAAGTCTGCCTCTTCTTTCAGCCGACAGATTGTGTTGCTCTTTCCCACACCCATGCACTTTGAGATTCTATAGGGACTTCATGGACCTGGTTCGTTTATCCTGTTAGGGGTAAGCTTGTCACAGCCTTTGCTATCATGAATCTATAGTAATGTGTACAGTAGCGGTATGTCTCCGTGCGATAATAAGGTTCATATACCAAATTCACAGTCGAATGTACAAGCGAGGCAAGTCCAAAGAGAGCTTATGACATCGCGACTCTCTGTCTATGGGAATAGTGCTATGGAAATACACAACTGCTTACTAGTAAAACAGACAAGCAACCATCGAGATGACTATAGGATAACACTCGTTTCCTCCCTGGATGTTGTGTGATGGAATGGCAGGGGGTAGAATTGAACGAAATAGGAGTTGACCACATGTTCTGTAAATAATCTCATAGTGTTAGTCTTATCATCGCGACTCCTTGACTTTGATGCATCGTGTAAAGTTGTCTTGATTCATAACGCTTCTCACGTTGGTTGCACCTTCCTCATGCTCACTCCTTAGACTGCTCCTTCTCCACATCATCAATGATCTCTCTCAAGCTCTTGGCACTTTGTGCAAGCTCCTTCTTCTCGCTATCATTCAACTTCAATGGGATCTGTCTGACGATACCCTTCCTGCCGATAACCACGGGCATCGAGAGACAGACATTCATATCGTCCTGGTAGTGACTGATGGGTCTGATGTTGCACTGATCAAACAGAATAGACTTGCAGATGGAAGAAGTCACGCCACCGATACCATAAGCTGTGGCGCCTTTAGACTCCATGATGGCGGCAGCCTTTTTCTTGGTATCTTCTGCGATAGCATTCTTGTCGATAGAAGCATCCGGAAGAGCAAGTTCGAGCGGTACACCGCCAACTGATGCATGAGACCATGCGACNNCTATGGTACGGTTAGCAAGAAGCACGAAAAGTTGATATTGGTTCAAACTTGCCATTTGCGAATCACCGTGCTCGCCCAGCACATAGGCGTCAATAGAGCTGGCAGCAACACCGCACTTCTGAGCAAGGATGCCACGCAGGCGTGCGCTGTCGAGGAAGGTACCGCTACCAATGACTTGGTGCTTAGGAAGTCCGGAAAACTTTTGGGCAAAGTAGGTCAAGATATCCACAGGGTTNNTGGAAACCAGGACAATAATAGTGTCCTCGCGGAAAGGCTTCATATCATCAATGGCCGAGCTCAGGATCTTGAGGTTACGGCCAACAAGATCGGTACGGCTCTCTCNCTATAGCAAATTTAGTACACACATCGCAGGTCATTGGAGATTGACATCGTGACTAGGCTTACCCTTCTTCTGTGCTGCTCCTGCAGTGATGACGACAATATCACATTGGCCAGCTTCCTTGTGCGTGCCAGCACGTACTTGAGTACTCGTGTTGCCATGGAAAGTGGCATCAGAAAGATCTTGCACCTGAGCATCACGAACCTCCTCCTTAGGATCGACAAGCAGAATCTCTCCAGCCACAGGGTTCAAGATCAGTGAGTAGGCGATTGTGGAACCGACTTCTCCAGAACCAAGAATGGCAATTCTCGAGGTCATGGACTTTTGCGACATCTTTCTGATTGATTTTGTGAAGATTACGTGATCGGGTCTCGATGATAGCTTCTGTCGAGTGTTTGGGAAGCTGTTGATAGGTGAGCTAAAGTGGTAGCTAGAGGTTGTAAAGGTTGCTTTGGAGATCCGAGATATTCTTGCGGGAAGAGAAGGTGTCAGAGCAGAGCGTAGAGATCCACTGGAATGAGAAGCTACGCGTAACGTCATTTTGATCGTGTTTAACAGATTTCGGAGAAGGTGCTCTTGGAAAACGTGTTGCGGATGTTGCTGAAATGGAAGTTGATGACGTCGACGTAGGTCATCAAGGTGTTCCAAACGCAGCTGGTCTCGTACCAATTCTCAACGCATTGCCATCGAGTATGCCATGCCATCCATCAAGCTGATAACACATTATAAAACAATGTTCTCTCAGGTACGTACAGCTTTGTCCAATAGTATTCGACTGGCATCATCAGAAGCCAAACTCATCGAAAGAGTATCGCATGGGTTCAGTCCATGCCTTTATCGGGCTGTATAATCACACATTCTTGGTACTTTTCGAAGTTGGGACAAGACACCGAACTCAACAGAAGTTGACGTGAAAGCAATGAAATTCGTACTATTCATGACCCCGGATATCATGTGTTGCGGGTGGGGCCAGTCCATAAACAGACAACTATTGCATAGCAACTTTTGGCCGCAGAAAACCAGCAGCGTCACATTCCAACTCATCTCGGCACACCGATACTGTTCCAGTTACCGCGCGCGATCGATCCTGTCTCCTCGTCGCGACGAGTCGAACGAATGGCGTACGAAGTCTCAACACGGACACCATCGTCCACATCGTATGGGTATTCCTGGCTACGATTGCTGTTTGTGTGTACCATCTTTTCTGTCGAGGCTTGGCTCTCAACATCGAAAGTGTCCGAAACTGGGGTTCTGCCGTCGAGCTCATATTCGTTGACAGTGCCGGACTTGTCGATTTCGCTGTTGAGCTTAGTGCCCTTGTAGTTCTTGCCGTGGGCGTGGGCTGAATGAAGATTGTGGCCAGATCTGCCATATCCCGATCCTCTGCCGGTAGCGTTTGGATCGTATGGGCCTGGCAGCCAGAATGCTCTGCTGAAGATAGGACGAAGGATAGGTACGTTGATGGTGAAGATACCGATAAAGGTCTCGCGAACACCCTGGTGGTATTATTAGCATGTCTCCTGTGTCGAAGTTGGTACGCTACCACATACCCATCCATTGATGTTGGCGGCAGACGGTGCTGCATCAAGAGAAAGAACGACACGAATGATAGCAGCAGCGATGACGAACAATCCTGATGAAAGGACGACTCCGATGGTGATCTTCTTCTTCAAGGGCATCTTCAATTGCCAGAGCATTGGGATAGGAACCATAAGAATAGCTGCGTCAGTCAGGATGTTGGGGATGGCGACAGCGAGGAAGTTTTGCGGTCTGAAAGCACACTTCCATGGAGGTGCAGGTGTGACCTGCCAGTTCATCTGGGTACTAAGACGATGTTAGAACATGAAGCTTGGTCTGTAGGCTCAGAGAAGACTCACGGNGAAGCAGCCAAAGATGAGCACAAACCAGACAATAAAGTAACTGATACCGGTGAACCAGAAGAGGTACTTGATGAGCTTGTTATGGAAGGAGCCGAGAGTTAGGCGCTTGTAGAAGAACAGCATGGTGAACTTCATGCACCAGATAAGTGCTGGATAACTGCACCATGCCGTGTACTCCAACTTGGATCCGTAGGTGACGCGATCAATGTCTGCTTGAGTAGCAGTCTCGAGCCATTTCTCCGTGACCTCCGAGCTTTCGCCAGTGAAGTGGATAATGTGCACAACGACAGCATCGACTGTGTTGAAGATCATTACACCGAAACAAAACAGATCGTCCCAGTAGAGACCCTTGAGCCCGACGGTTCGTAGGCGTACTGCATAACGAGATAGGATGATGAACGTAGAGATGGCATACAAAGCCTAAAGCCCGGTTAGTTTACTGAGACGTTGATAAATTGTTGGATCAATCCTTACCCAGACTTCCTTCAAGATAGCATCGAGAGCCATGACGTCCTACGGTCTACCCCAGGGAGGGCTCGAAACAGGCCTCCAGAAAGGGCGATGCTGAGTTCAATGACAACACAAGAGCCAACACTTCCCCAGGAATGGAAGAGAGGAAGACAAAGAAGGAGGACGACTTCGAGGGGAAAGGGTAAAGAATGGCGATGTGAGGGCTTGAGCCATAGTTAAAGTGAAAAAGTATGATGCGCACCAACAGTGTGCATGGTACTCGGTAGCCCCAGGCGTGGAGTTCAAGAGTTCAACGCTAACAATAGCCGCGAGTCAATAAGGCCACGGTCGAGTTGACTTTGGACCTGAAACGGCTGGGTATTGCCCGTTTGAGAAGGCAAGATCTATCAGCTCTCTTCTTCTAGAAGGATGTGTAGACGGACAGCGTCAAGTATGACTCGCTGTACAGAGATTCGATCAGCCACCTCGATGCCATCGGGTAAGTGCCCCAATCCGCGGAGGTTATCTTGCAATACAGGGATCCATTGAGTTCAGCTTTGCACGCGGAGTGATTAGGCGTGCGAAGCGGGTAAGCAGATCTCAACTACCCAATACCTGGGTGCTGGTGTTACCTCGTTTCGCGTGGGACAAAGTCGGAACGAGGCAAGGGTGGCTGCAAAATTAGCAGAGAGAGTGGGAGGCGGCATCTCAGACATCCGGCACGACGATTTGGGTTTGAAGAGACGATAGCAAAAAGCAGGTTGGAGCCGAAGGGCCCGACCTCAACCGTTGGAGGTGAAATGTTGCCGGCGGAACAGTACAAAAGGCAAAAAGGCTCCAGGCAATTGGATCTACATCTACTATTCCTTGCACTATCAAACAACGGGTATTGTCGACATCGATCTCGTCCGTTACTCCGCGAGCGTTGTGTCATAGGTCTCGACTGACAACAATTTGGGTATAGGATCGAAAATGGGAGATTTGAAGCCAAGGTGTTGCGGAGGTTAGATAGGTAACGTGGACGAGGCGTGCGGCAACCACGTGGACTGCATGCTAGCCGCGAGGGCCAAGGAACTAGAAAGAAGAGCAGAGGGTCAAAAGAATGGGGAAATGATGGCAAGAGTCAAAAGACAGGTCAACAGCGAAGTCGCATCTGTAACCGAGACATAAAGGATTCTGGCTGGCTCTGTGTCGTTTATCGGGATGAAGACCAGATGGCCTCTATCGTGTATTGGGAAAGTCTCGGTCAACGGTCTTCAGCGCGGAAGAGCAGCTGGAATGAAGACAAGACAAGACAGGCTGGAAGTTGTGTGTAGGTAGGGCTGCATATGCCTACCTGAGCAAATGCGCCGGTGGATCGGGGCTGCCCTAACGATGACCTTTGCCGGCAGTCGATAGCCTTCATATTCTGGACTAATACGGCAGCATCGTGCTGACCATGACTCTTGAAGATTCAGCTCGTACTCGGGATTACGCCAGTACGGTTAAACTACTCTCTCTCTCGACCAGGTTGAACCATGGGATAAAGCAAGCAAACGCGAGAGATGTCCGTCCGAGGTGATGCCTCTTGAATGGAATTATACGAAAAGTCTTGGCGTTCGATTGCGGGGGAAGGTTGAGGGTCTCCCAAGCATCAAGATTGCAGAGCTGGCAGGGCTGACTGGATGCTGTGCCATTCCGAGCTGCAGCAGATTGCCGTCGTCCGTCAGCACAACCGCATACTAACAACATCATGACGGCGCCCAATCGTCCCCGCGTCTTCCTCGAGATCAGCATCGGGAACGAACCAGCAGGCCGCTTGACCATCGAGCTCTTTGCTGACCAGACTCCCAAGACATGTGAGAAGTACGAAGTCCTCTCAAAATTCCCTTGTATACACTTGTGCTGACTCGAGCAANNCAGCTTCCGCGCTCTATGCACAGGCTCACACAAAAACCTCAACTATGCGCTCAGTCCCTTCCACCGCATCATTGACGAATTCATGGTCCAAGGCGGAGACATAACCCGCGGCGACGGAACAGGCGGCGACAGCATCTACGGCGGCGACTTTGAGGATGAGAACCTGGGATGGCGCGACATGGATGCTGCTGGTTTGGTGTGCATGGCCAACCGTGGAAAAGCCACCAACAGCAGTCAATTCTTCATAACTCTCGACAAATGCCCGCATCTGAACAACAAACACACCATCTTCGGACGCTTGGTCGGTGGAGAAGATACGCTGGCTCGCATGGCCAAGGTCCAGGTTGATAAGGACGACAAACCTCTCGAACCTGTTCTGATCGCACGTTGCGGAGAACTTGAACGCAGAAAGAAAGTACCCGCCGCATCGCCCGAACCAGCCAGCAAAGACAGAGGCCGAAAGAACAGGCGCGGAAGCTCTGCATCCCTTTCGCGGTCTCCGTCCCCACGACCTCAGAGAAGCCAACCAGTACGAAGACAAAGCGACCACTTTATCGACGAGAATCTACGCGGCAGAGTACGCGCTAGATCCGATGATGAGGACGTAGAGTCGTCTGCAAAAGAGCAGGCTATAGAATCGGATTCGCAGAGCCCGGACAGTAGGTACAAGCGGAAACGCAGCCCCAGTCCGTCGCGAGGATTCCAGAGGAAGAAAGCCAGCCGGGAATCGAGCCGAAGCCCAGTAGACTCGCGCCGAAGGAGAAGAAGCCTGCCGAATCAGTACTATGATCATGATGCACCGAGTCGGTCGAACGACAGTGATCGCAGACGGCCCAGAGAGAATGATCGATACAGACCTGGCAATGGCAACAGGCAGTATGACAGAGACGGCGGAAGAAGAGGAGGAGAAATTCATATCGTCCTCCACCGAGGCAGGAAGAAGGANCGTCTGGGCGGAGACCCGTACGGCAGCGCCGGCGCAGGAGCAGGCGAAGAGAGCACTGTCAAGTTCAAAGGCAGAGGCCACATGAAGTTCAGGGAGCCAGATAGGCGCTGGTAAACGATCATGCATGACGTGAAATGAAAAGATCAATACACCACACTTGCCTCCTCTACAAGCGACCTTGTTCTCTTCCAGCGGCTCTCAGGCCACCATCTCCATCCACGAGTACACACCAGCCTTCTCCTCCTCTACCTCCATCTCCACCCACTGCCGCTCCTGGAAATTCTTTCATTGCATACTCGAGGATGTCATCGTTGAAGCTGCCTGGCTGGAGCCACACAGCTCTCACACCTGCTTCCTTGGCCTCTTGCAATAGCTTCTTGGTTACTGCGGGAGGTGTGATGACACTCAATCCTGTCTCCTTTGGCTGTTGTAGAGCTGAGGGTGAAGGCACGGTATCGTAGTCCTTGGACGAGACAGAGACGCTTGGTCGAGATGGGTTGAGAGGTGTGACGGGAAGAGAGCGCTGGAGGTACCATGCAAAGACTATACAATGTAAGTGAGAGTTGTGCGGGATGGGCTTGTACGGAAGCCTACCTCTGTGGCCGAACTTGGAAGGGTCGCTGCTGGCGCCTGCCACGGCAAAGCGAGGACTAGCGAGGAAGTTCTTGACAGCTGAGTTCATATCTTGGTCGGTCATCGTTTCTGGTCTACAAGTTTACCGAGGAGAGAAGATTGGAGGGTGAGGTGATTGAGCGACTACGGAGTTTGGAATTAAGCTTGTGCCGAGGTATGAGTGGCTTCGGGTCTTTTTTCTTCTTTTAACGACCAAGTCGGAATGTAGGGGATGACCCTGTCTGAGGATATTTTGTGGTATACCATGTCAACCACAACCTATTATTCCATATTTTACCACAGATTAACAGATTTGTAGGTAACGGGTTGGTATTTGACCATCTTGCAGCGATTGTAGGCCAGTGTAGCTCGAGGTGGTTGTTCAACAGTGATGACTTGGTCATGCTGTGCAGACCATATTGGAAGCTGAGACGATTTTACGAGACGGCCTGACGAGCACCACGTAATCTCAGCAGACAAGCCAGATATGTAACATAGATCGAACTAGGAGGGACGACAGTACTGTTCATGAAGCATCCGAACATGAACTAAAGGCTGATCAGGTAGGTAAAAGGCAGGCACAGTTGCCTAATCGGGGAGTGTGTTGATGGTTCCCGCATGGCAACGGGCCTGAAGCGTGGTGGGCCGCCATTTGGTCGCAGCGCAGATTCGACACAAACACATCAAACGACTCCTTTATGCTGGCGGGGTCCCTGGGAGACGCAGACATCTTCACGTATATCTCCTCAATCTCAGAAATCCACTTCGCAAAGACTCCAGCCGTCGTGAAAGAACCAAACAGCGACAATCCCACATAACTAAAAATGGTGAGTTGATCTGTTTACTGCGGGCCAGACCCTGCATGGAAACCCGAAAGTCAGGACGCAGCCAACCAAAACTCGCCAATCGCCCTGTTTTGTGTCGCTTGATAACCCCCATCCTCTGAACAACAAACCACAACAACGGCCATTCAACTCTCCTCCACCACCCACCTTCCTGCAAACTAGCACTCCCACAGCGCAACATCGCATACAGACCAAGACTAAGACAATGGATCAGGCCAACACAACAAACTACAAGGAGGCTTTCGCTCTCTTCGACAAGCGCGGTAACGGCCGTGTCCAAATCGACTCCCTGGGCGACCTCCTTCGCGCATGCGGTCAGAACCCCACCCTCGCTGAGATCAGCGACCTCGAGAAGAGCATTGGCGGAGANCTGTAAGTCTATATCGAAGAGATAATAGGGGACAAACACGGCGGCTGACACAAGCGATCAGTCGACTTCGACTCATTCTCAAAAGTCCTCAACCGCGCCGGTGGTTTCCGCGACCCCGGTGAGCCCGAGGAGTACTGCCGTGGTTTCCAAGTCTTCGACAAGGACATGACTGGCTTTATCGGTGTTGGTCAGCTCAGATACAGTACGACTGCCCCTGGAGCGACCTTTGCCAAGAACAAGACACTAACAATACACNNAGTCCTGACCAACTTGGGCGAGAAGATGAGCGACGATGAGGTCGACGAGCTGCTCAAGGCCGTTGACACCAGCAGCGGCGAGATCAACTACGTTGGTATGTTTCACCCCAGGACTCTCCCTAGATAACATGAACTGACCAGTTATATCCAGACCTGGTCAAGACCGTCCTCGCAAACTAAACACCCTTTCAACCCGATACCCACACCTTTTCTCTTTCTCGAAACAAAACAATCTTGGCGCTTTGGCACGAGATATGAAGCATGGATGGCGTTTTTCTGTTTTACTCTGTTTAATTCTGGAACGAGAATGAATTATATCGCGACCCTTTGGGAGGCACGACCGGTATCTGTACAGCGGCAATTCTATGAGGGTTTCTTAAGCACACTCGTCTATCGTCTGTTCCAACAAGTTGGTCCATCTGTGATGTTGCACGAGCAACTGTGGAGCGTGACATGCTGCTATAACGAGGACTCGTTAGAGAACTTCTGAGCGTCCTTCTGTATTTCCTCGGCTAGCCAGCGCGCCTCCTTCTCCATCTCCTCCATGCTCCTGGGCTTCCTCTTGTCATCCTCGACCTTGGGGAACTTGCCCTTCCTCACACCCTCCTCTTCGCTCTGATGTCTGCCCACATCCCCCTCTTCGCCCTCCAACTGTTCATAGATCTTGTCTCCACCACCCTGCGCATCCATATCACCATCTGTTCTGGGGATTAGATGCGCATGCACATGCGGCACACTCTGTCCCGCAGCCTCGCCATCTTGTATCGCTATATTGCAGGCCGAGGCATTGTACACGCGCTTCAGTGTCCGCGACGCTAGCTGTACTGTGCTGAACAGATCTGTAACTTCGTGGGCGCTGAGTTGATCGATGTGTTGGACGCGACGGAGGGNGCAAACAAGAATGTGGCCTGGTAATAAGGGTTTGAGGTTTACGAGGCAGAAGGAGAGAGGTGTCTTGTAGAAGACCTGTGTTTGGTGTTAGTATTTCTGTCCCTGAACGGAGTGGAGGGAAGCTGTGTTTTGAGGACTGACTTGGGAGGTTACTGCGTATGGGCCAAAGTGAATGGCCTTGGTTAGTGATGAGGGTGACATCTCTGCCTGGTCCTCAGAGCTCATCTGTGTCTTTGCTTGTGCTGTGTGACAGGTTATATTGATTTGGAGGGGTGTTTCTGGAGATTCGCGACGCGAGACGTCACTGCCACGTTCTTTTTCCCACGAACCTTTCTACCCTCGATCCTAAACTACAAACATCAACATCGACGTGTTCTGCATTATGTGACCTTTGACGTCTACAGCTAGACAACGAGATGCAAGATTTGACAAGCACCCTCAAAGGCTTACGATACCTAGACGTGAATGAGCCACCGACTCGCATGCATCGGTATGAGCATCTTAGCCACGGTCATATATCTTTATATAGGACCGTGTTTGTAGCATATGAATGATAGAGCAAACGCCGAACACTGACATGTAGCTGTGCGTCTCGGTCTACAATCTCGCTTAGCAATCATGCTATTCCATGGTGAGGGTCGCCTGAGCTTGTAAGTCATAGCTGTCGTTTGCTCCTTCTTGGTCTGCAAGATTTAGAGTCAAAGGACCCCTCATTGGAGCTGTAGCTATATCTCAAGCTCAGGACCCATCTCGTTTCTCTCCTCTTGTCATCGGAGTCTTCAATCTCAAGACTACAGCACAACTACAGACACTCATCTCGAAGTACAAGCTTAACATGCCTTCCAACAACTCATCCACCTCGAGCTCTGGCTCCAACTCCACTTCCAACGGCAGCGGTTCTTCGTACGAGGTTTACCTCCAGCGGCACCAACAGCGAGGGCAACCACTACTGCTCCCGCGATTACGGCTCCAGTGCTGCCAACGACAACTCTTACCACTACTCCAACCCGTAAGTACAGTCTTGTCACCTTCAGGTCTTTGAGAAGCAATGTCAATGCAAGGGAACAGCGACGGCTCGTACTACTACAGCAACCCCAATGGCTCGACCTACTACAACTCTGGCTCTGGCTACTCCGACTACACTCCTCCAGGAGGCAAGTAGGGATTGAGCGGCCGTGTCATCATTTCCAGCAATTGCTCTGCTCGATGGCTGGTCTGCCTTCGAGAGGCAGAAGTATGGTTAGACGAGAAATGATCTGATACAAAGCGCTTCGACAGATGCAGGAGAGGTCGAGTTTCGGGAGGAACGTTTGTTGTCTCTTGGTAATGGCTCGCGCATATGACAATTGACAGACAGCCGTTCACCTTTTGTATTGAACCTTTTGTATTGAACCTTTTGTATTGAACCTTTTTCAGCCCCGTTGAGCCTTAAGCGAGATTCAGATTTGCACATCACGTCGTTTCGTGCCCTAACCACAAATCATAGGAACAACACTCCGCGATGAAACCGTATTCCATCTGCAGCTGTTTCCCAAGCACATAATTCCATGCAGAAACGGTTCGCTTGTGCATCCAAAAGACAACCCCAGATTTGAGACATCAGAGATGAAATTCATGTCAACGTCTTTTTCGACAACGGTTGTCGGTTTCAAACCATGTTCATGCCTCGAACATGACGATCGAGTGCCCTGATATAACTCTACAGTAACAATGTGCCGAGGCTTGCTTCTTAGATCTGTTTGAGCCTCTTTATGCGACTTGTGTAGCGAAGTTGCAACTTTCAAGCCCCCATCGTAATGACAGTTGTAGATGTAGGTTTCACAGGTGAAAGTTTGATGCTATTCTTTATTGTCTTCAGATGTCCCTTCTTCTGCCGTTGTCTGGTCGTTTCATCTCTTTGTGCCCCTCTCTCTTCCATGCTCGAAATACGATAACAGGAAAGCAAACATGGTCTCACCAGATGTTGCAAAATACAATCTACATCCGTATGCGATTATTGTGCTACCAATACCTCTTGCGATCTTGTCGAGCATTGCAATTTCGATACGGATATGGATTCGATACTGCCTTGCTCGGTCGTTTGGCCGTGACGATGTTTGTCTGATACTCGCTCATGTGAGAACGCCGTGCTACCAAAGCTGGAAGAAGTCCACTAATTTAATCCTTCAGATCTGCTTTCTCGCTGCTTGTGGCGTGTTCATTGCCATCGGAGTAACAGAATACTATCAAGGACTCGAGCCCATCGTCAAGCTCGCCGAGGTATACTAAACCTCTAACCTCTCTACCTATTCTTACACAAAGAACTAATCATAAAAAAAAATCCAACAGCTCAGCATCTTAGGTATTGCTTTGTATCTTCTCAATCAGTGCTTCTTCAAACTATCCATGGCCTTTTTCTTCTTGCGGATTCCCACCCGCTCCCTTCATCGCTGGATTATCATTGTCAGCGTCACCATCTCCATCGTCTTCAACCTCCTTCTGCTCGGTATCTCCATCGGCCAATGCGGAAACATAGCAACCATCAACCTCTCCAATCCCCATTGCTTATCCTGGTCCATCCTCGGCCCTTTAAACTATTTCTGCGCCGCACTAAACGCAGCTGTTGATTGGATATTCGCAATCTTGGCCATCTATATTGTTGCTGGACTTACCATGGACATTCGCTCCAAGGTTTCTGTATATGCGATTATCGTGTTGGCGTCTGCAGGAAGTATCGTCAGTGTAGTCCGTATCCCATTTATCCCTGGCTTACGTCTGGACGGAAACTACTACTCAAGCCAAAACGACGTTATCGCATATACTTCACTCATCGAATCATCCATCGGTATCATTGTCGCCTCAATGAGTGTGATGCGTCCTTTAGCAGCCCGCCTCTTCCACAAAGCCATTCTCAAACTCAGCAGTGGGAGTGAAGAGAAGAAATCTCAACACCAGCTACAGCAGCAATGGGGTAAAATCCCACAGAAAATAGAACTACCGAAGAAGAAAGAAGGTGCAGAGGTGGAATTGTATCAAGCATTGCCGGATCCAACGCCCACGTACCTTGAAGCAGAAACAATGGAGATGGATTATTTGAGTGTCAANGGGGGTGATGTGGAGAAGGGGGTTGCTGGACTGATGTATATATCCGATTTGAGGACGGGAAGATGAAGCAACGTGGGTATACTCACGACTCTGGGAATCTCGGAGATCTGGCCATTTGAGGCAAGTGCAAATGCGGCATGCATAACATCAACTGCACAAGTTCTTTGGTCCCTCTCTGGCTCCTCTACTGGCTGTTTGCACCAAGCTTTGCAACGAAGACACTCAATACGGAAGGAGGGAACAACCAAATCGTCACCAGAAGGTAAGAACGATCAACGAGAACTAGAGCGAACCATGCAAAGCAACGCATTCCGCTTCCAGAGCCCGCTGTACGGAACATATGCGACCCAGCTTCCAGTCTTCTCAAGCAGCAAAAAGAGCATGAACAAAAGCTCGACCATCCAGCTCTTCCGCAGCACGAACCGGATCTGGAGAAGAATGGCCGAAAGGCAGTGTCAAGCAGAGAAATCAAGCTGCTTGTTTTTCGACTCTTGTAAACACACAGCAACACTCCAGCCCACATGTCTACCCAAGATCAACATCACCTCCCCACAGCTTCTCGTGGTCGTCCAAACACCCAAATATATTGAAATTGAAGAGGATGACGGCCATGGAGATACAGGCAATCTCGCCGAGATTCGCAAGGTAGAAGCTCGAGGAACAGACACACAAAGGATGAAAGATAGATATAGTGATAGATCTAGAGTTCTGACGAAGAACAATTCTCTTCTTACACAGTCAACAAAAGACAGAGGAACACAGAAACTGCATACAAAGAAACAGCTTCCATCTCACAGATACACACAATCTCACAATACTTTGCTTAGACTTGGCGGTGAACGCTCAGATGTTAAGGGGATAAGACAAACTTTTCCGGACGCGTCTGACAAGATCAAAGTCGAGATTCGAGGAACCTTACGAGTAATCATACGGAAAACATCATCGAATAAGCGGCAGGGCAGCAGCGAGACGGTCTACGTCCTTGACGTTTGTGAAATTGAGGAAAAGATATGTTCAAAGCAAATTCTTTTTTGAGAGAATGTTCATCTCTATCAAAAAAGCAAAAAGAGCTAGTGATGCGCTACATGCTTTTGGGGGATCCCTTCTTCCTTCTTCAACCAGCAATAACATTTTAGACGCTCTCCAAAAATCTATGTACGTCGAAAGAAAACAGCCGCTGAAAAGAAGGGACGACCAGTAAGCACATTTACCCAGCAAAGCGGAATCTCGCGGCTTCCAGTCTGCCCAAGCCTTCTCTGGGCGCGACGTTTCTCCTCCTGTAAGAATTGGTGAAATCTTGCAGAAGTGTGCGGATCTTGCGGGTGTCCCCAGATTGAATGCGTTGCTCGATATTGCGCAACAATCGCTCCTGTTCTTGCGGGCTGATAGATCCAGAAGGAAGCATTGAGACGGTGCTTGCTGTCCATGTTGCTGTAGCCTCGGGCATCAATTGGAACATGGCGAGCAATACACCAGAAGCATCTGGGAAGCAATCGGCAGGGAAGGTATACATCATACCTGTCATCAAGCGCTGTACGAGCACCTCGCCTTGCTGGGATGTGAGTGTTTTGACGGCGTTTTGGATCTCTGGTGGGTTCAGGCGGCGATTAGGATCTTCGCTGAAAGTTGAGATGGGTGCGTTCTCGCCGCCGTATGCGAGGAAGTCGCGCAGGAAGTGGAGAGTCGCCAGGATTGGCTCGTCTTTGAGGAGTGTAAGCGACGTGGAGGCAGCAGACAGAATTGTGGGGGTCAGCTCGTTCGCGATAAACTGTCGTGAGTGATAGGCCTGTACGTCGACACAGAGGCGGAAGAAGTCTTCAATGACGTCGGGAAGTTGCTCTGGGGGCAAGTCGTTGAGCGCGCGCAAAAAGGTAGTGGCTTGCTGTACGTAGAAGTTGAAGATTGCTTGTGTCGTCTCAGGGCTGACGCCTTCTGATTCGTCGGTGAACTCACGAACGATCGAGTCGGTAGCCCAGAGGAAGCAGCCTTGCCTAGAAGCGGCAAAACCTGATGCCAACTTCTCCGCTAGATTGGGAAGAAGCGGTGCGGTATGTGTGCGGTAGGAGAGCACAATGTAACGCCAGCATCTACAGACGCGCTCAAGAATAGGAGTAAAGTTGGAAAAGTTGTCGGCAATGGTAGCCAGAACAGGAAAGATCTCCTGACAGTATTGCACGGCAGGATGCGGCTCGCCAGGTCTAATTTCTGGTTGAATCCATTGCACAAAGATAGTGATGAGGTTGAGGTGGTCCGCAAGAGCCAGCTTTTCCTTTTCGCTGGTGGCAGACTGAGCCATGTCCATCAGACGTTTGACGACAGGGTCGCAACACATCTTGAACGAGGCATAGATTTGGTCGACGGGCTGTTTCGAGAGCACTGATGCCATACCTTCTGTGATTTCCTCTTGACTTGTAGGTGGTAGTCTGTTAATGACCGTCTCGTAGAAGGTCTGAAGCTGGTTGGCGAAGCCCTTGAGGAGTTCAGAGCAGTCGTTGCAGAAGAATCTGAAGGACAGAGCAGCAGCAGTGACGACTTCTTTGGAAGGATGATCGAAGGCTGCCATGATGAAGTTGAGTTGGGCTTCGAGAGTGTCAGGATGTTGAGCAGTCCACTCGGTGTATCTTCCAAGTGCCATGACAGCCTGGAAGCGGACCTTTTCTTGATCTGGGATCTGAACAATCAAAGGCACAAGTCTGGGCAACATGATATTCTCGTCCGGAGGGACCATGCGACCCATGGCGCGCATGCTGAACAGGGGAGCCTCGAGCTTTTGCCATTCGGGGACGTTTCCTGTGCTGGCTTGCGGACCGTATGTGTTGACCCACTCCTCAATCTTGACATATGACTTTTGCAAACACTCGGTGACACCAATGACCTCACAGCAGTCCTTCAACACGTCGCCCATCTGGTGACGGAACTCACGGAATCTCTCCTCCTGCTCGCGATCGCCATCGAAGAGGTCGTTATCATTGCCGCTCTCGGGCTTGGGGAACTCGAGGTGTCCGATCATAATGTCGACCAGATTCAGGTAGATGTCGACGAACTGCATGCGAGCCTGCATGTATCGTTCCAGGGTAATGTACTGCTTGAGCTCGTACCAGAAGATGAAAGTGCTACTAATGGCTTCCTTCTCGGTATCTCTGGCAGCGCATTCGAGTACAGCCTCGACCAGGTCACGGAAGTCTTCTGGCAGACGAGCGATGAGAACGACCCAGGCTTCACCAGCCTCTGCAAAGATGCGTGTAAGACCTTTGAACATTTCAAAGTCTTCTGCCTCGGCAACTTGTGCAATCTTGGGGCGAATAGACATGACTCTGGGGTACATGGTCTTGATGATGGCCATGCATTCGTCGACATCTCTTGTTTCCCTGAAGATGGCGCAAAGTGTCTCGACACTGGACTCGAAGGACGAGTCAGCTTCCAAGGCGTTCATGACGACATCCAGTAGAGGCGAGTTGACAATGTCGTTCAGCGGGACTTCTCTGATCCATGATGTGATGCACTCCATGAGCTGCGGGTTCTTGGAGGCAGCCTCGGACGACTGTGCGTACTGGTTGAGCAGTGTGAGGACCTGGTTGCCGTTCTCTTCCAACAACTCGACCGTCCTGTCTCTAAGCTCGTCTTCTGTGAGGTTGATCTTTCTGCCTTCTGTGACTTCCTCTGGTAGGACGTGCAAGAACTCGAGGACGCAGGCGATGCCGTTAGGGTCGTTGCCGAGGGTGGAGACGACGAGCTGTAAGACGTCCTTCCACTCGAGCATCTGGATAGCGAGGTTGGCGAGGCAGACGCATAGTTGTGTGCGGATAGGCTTCGGGCCCTGGCTGAATTGGGCGAGCAGCGATAGCAGGGTGTTGCGTAGTTCGGGCAGGGCTTCGCGAGGCAGCTGGTGGAAGTCGAAGACGATCTTGCCCTTGAGGGTTGTTGCGGCGAAGAGCTTTGATTCGGTAGTGGCTTCGGGCGAGTTCAGGATCATAAAGGTTGTGTTCCATGCTTCGTTCTGGTATGGTTAGTGGGGTGTTGGAGCATGGCGTGTGCATGTGACGGAGCGTACAGATTTCTGGAATTGTTCGAGGAACTCGTGTGCCTGGCCCTTCTGTGTGCGGTCCACATTGGATTGCATGGTCTGAAGGGCGGCCAGTACTGGCGCAAAGGCCTGGGTACCGTTGGCGGCCATGGTGGGATGTGTTTGAGTGAATGGCCTGCGCAGGATAAGTAGCGGAGATGTGCTGTGGTTGGAGGATTGATGGAGAGGGAGTGTCTGGCTGCGACAAGCGACAAGGACTGCAGATGAATAAAGCAGCGGGCAATTAAAAGACAAAAAGAGCGAGTTTGTTGATTTGGTTATGTTTCTTTGGCCGCACTTGACACTGACGCAGAAAGCACATTTCGTCCGTGCGTCTGCACCTGCACCTGCTTCATCTGGAGTTGCTCTTGCTCTTACTGCTGTTGCGACGAGACCGTGTCGCATCTATTCCATCGCCATAAACCAGTCTCACTCACCACTCGCTTCGACTCCGTCTCACTGTAACTTTCGGTACAGCCAACTGCGACATCCTATCTCAACCCTACACACAACACCGACACCCAGACCAAGATGGAGAGACGCGGACGCGGAGGAGGTGGAAAGGTGCTGCTGCCGCCAATCAACTACATTTTCAAGCTCCTTCAGACCCGCGCAAAGGTCTCGATATGGCTTTTCGAACAGCTGGGCATCCGCATCGAGGGAACCATCAGAGTGCGTTCTGCCGTCACCACAATCCACCTGCGCGCATACTGATTTACTCCCCAGGGTTTCGATGAGTTCATGAACTTGGTCGTCGACGATGCCATCGAGGTCAAGCAACCCACAAAGACCGACCCCGAAGAGTCGAGAAGAAGCCTCGGTACGCTCTTGTCCACTGCGACAAATACAATGCTTCAGGCGCTAACCCGTACCCTCNNAGGCCAAATCCTCCTCAAGGGCGACAATGTCGCTCTCATCCAGAGTCTATGAGTATGACGACTTTCCTTCCATCGAGAATGTCTTGAGCGACCATAGCCGCTCTGCATCTCCGCCACCCATCATAAACGCCTCACCATCAACTCAAGCCCTCACCAATCTGGCCTCTGACCCGCCATCTCCGAGCACCACCGCATCAACCCTCCAGTCCCATGCATCAATTGGCAGACGATATTGAGAAGGAAGCATTTGCTCAGCTAGCGCGAAGCCCACTAGGATACCAAAAGGTCAGAGGGGGACATTATTGAAAAATGCTAAAAGGCGTCGGTACATACCCAAAAACGGTTTCTTTCTGTTCTGTCCATCTGCAGTTTGTGTCGAACAAGACCGCGTGAGAAAGTTGTCGTAATAGCCTTTTCCATGACCCAGACGATTCAGTTCTTGGTCAAAAGCAATGCAGGGCATGAGAATCACGTCCAGACCTGCTGAGTCAGGAGCAGGTAAGTCTCCATCAGTAACGCCTGACCCTCCGAACGAGTTTGCACGATCTGGGACAGTTTCTTTGGGGATGGATGGAATGCCCCATTTGTCAGGCTGAAGCGAGGTATAGTCGTCCTCATCAGCCAACCGCAACATATCCATGATCGAGGTAGGCAAACCATCTCGACGAGGTTGCTTGGGCTTGTAAATGTATGGTACAAATACATGCTTCCCCGAGCTCAGAGCATGTTTGGTAAGATCTTGGGTGTTTATCTCGCCAGAAGGCATGGACATGAAGATGCTGATAGAACGAGCATTCTTATATTCGGGCAACGACAAGAGCAACTTTGTGGCATTGACGGCTTACAGAGTGTCAGTTTGGCTATGGGAACTCGGCGCAGACTACGTGAAAAACAGACATTGACGTTGGACGTGATCTGATGGCAGCGAGGACAGGAGATTGTGCAGTTGCTTTCTCACGGCTTTCTTGTCGGACAGTTGAGACTCGGCACCCAGGTCTAGAGCGGTTGACGACATTTGAGATGAACGGATGTTTGCAGCAGTCTTGAGTGTATGAACAGCGCGAATAGCAGTCGTTCGTCTCAGAGAAGTATGCAGCATGTGGTCTGATAGTGATGATGATCGAGTCAGGCAGCTGTGTTTCATGTGGGAGGCTATTTCGGGCAGGGGCTCGCAGGCTTCTCCTTCTCCGTGTTTTGGGCCCGCCAAGCGCGTCGTCGTCCTTGAGGCTTGGATTGTGTATCGACCACTTGCCCAACAAGGTTTCTTGCCAATTAACTTATTCTGTTTGCCCGCGAAAACAACACACGACCAAACGATACCCTTGTCGACCCAATACGCGCATACCAACGACGAAGACATTCCGAACACAGCGCGCCACAGACATGAGACTCCCCTCAGCATTCGCCCTGACGGCGACGCTCGCCTTTAGCAGTGCCGCTTCCGCCCAGGTGGTCGACGCCGACCTGGTCGGCACATGGGCCACCAAGGGCAATAAGACCTTGACCGGTNNCCCGTACGTTCTATACCGTCCAGACGCCGTGGTAGACGACCACTAACAACTACCGCAGAGCTTCTTCGACCCCGTCAACGACAACCTGATCGAGCCCGCGCGACCGGGCATTTCCTACTCCTTTACATCCGATGGTTTCTACGAAGAAGCCTACTACCGCGCCATCTCGAACCCCGCCAACCCCTCATGCCCTGGCGCCATCATGCAATGGCAACACGGTAGCTACGTGATCGGCAGCGACGGTTCCCTCACCATGACACCCATCGCCGTCGACGGGCGCCAACTACTCTCGCAACCCTGCCAGAACAGCCACGCCATATACACGCGCTACAACACCACCGAGAAGATGAAGGCATGTCGATAATCCCGCTCATTGCACTGCTGAGCGACAATACTAACGAGGATANNAAAGGCATACCGCGTCTACACCGACCCCTACCACGGCATCGCCCGCCTCGATCTCACCGAATTCGACGGCAAAATCATGCAACCCATGTACCTCGTCTACTCTCCTCCCCAGATGCTGCCCACCCAGACTCTCAACCCGACTCTCGCCGCCGGCGCAGCCACCTCTACTTCCAAAGCAAAGCGTGACATCCCCAGAGAGGTGCCCACGAATTTCAAGATGGGCGTTCAGAACCAAGTCATGAACCCTGACCGCTGGTGGTGGATGGGTCTGACATTTACTGGTATTGGTGGTCTGCTCTACTTTGGTCCCAGGAGAATGTAAGAGCTTGGATGGGAAGGGATATACATATCACGGAGTTTCGTTTTTGTGAGGCAGGGCTTCTTTTCCCTGAAAAGAGAAGGGACGGAGGGAGCACAATGTCTGTCACGGCAGTTTTCAAAGCATTTTCTTGGTTGTAGATGTTTTTACAGGTGTTACTTTTTGAATCTCCTTGATGAGATGATGTCTTCTGGGGGTTGAGCTCACGCTGCTTGGGTTGTTTTCGATACATGTAATTATGGGTCGTTTTGGGTCCATGAAAACATTGATATAAATTGATCTCTTGTTATTTCTTGTTTCCTCCAAAAGTCTATGGACCTGATGCTGAATCGTTGCAAATGACTTGCTTGTAAACGAGCCTCTCTTAAGGCAAAATAATGATGTTAAGTATGTCTTTTCTCCTTGCGAGCTCTTCCCGCAAACTGTGTCGTCTCTGGTACCCTCAGAGATCGTTGAGCATTTGTTGTTCAGAAAATTCTTTGTGTTGACAGCCTAGACTGCCTTGTTCTTTCCTCCGTTCGTTGGGTGCATGGTGTCAATATCCTTGGGAATCATTTTCTCGTCTCCAATCTTCCGCTGCCATGTTCCTCATCTCCCTTTCCACTACATGTAGTCTCGAGGAAGAGGGAGATTCTGGTATGACAAGAGAGCAACCTTACCACTTAACCGGCTTGGCCTTACCCAACAACCTCAACATCTTCTGATGAGCCTCTCTCTCCTTTTCCCCATCCCTTCTTCCCTCTTTCTCCCAAAGCTTTTCTTCGCGCACCATCATATCGTAGAAGCCTTTATCCCAGCTCTCGCATTTCAGTCCCAAGCACCAGAATCTGATGCCTGGCATTTCGGCACCGGTGTCTGGGGCCTCGAAGGCAGCGAGCATGTTCTCAGGACGCAGGAAGGAGATTTTAAGGTGAGTGTCTCTGTGCCAGGTTTCTAGGGCTTGATGGTGAGCGGTGAGGGCTTCGGTGATGTCGTCGGAGGAGGAAGAGGAAGAGGGACGGGAATAGATGGGTTGGGGTAAGAGGTGCTGTTGTAGAAGATCGGTGACCCATTTTGGTCGGTGGGNGGAGGTGAGTTGGTTGGCCCAGTGTTGCTTTAGATAGGTTGGGATGACAGAGCAACGTTCGATATCCCAGCGGTCGCTGCGGACGTAGGAGTACATGCCATAGTAAATGTACTTGTCTCCGCGTTTGAGGAAGAGAGGAGCATTCTGCATAGACTCTGGTTTAGGGCTGGAAGAGTCGTCAATCTCAGGAAGACGAAGGACTGGAGTCAAGAGACTGCCGTAAGAGCCTGGGGCTGAAGGAGCAAGTGGCTCAGTGATATCTTCAAGAAGAAAGTAACCACGGCCTGGCAACAGGGAAAGCTCCGAATCGGGAATTCTGTAGAACGATGGGAACCAATTCGTGCCGCCGAGGTGGGTGGTGATGAATGTGCGGTCGAAACCGTGCATCTCTTGAGATGAGATGACTTCGGTTTTGTCAGTGGGCAGCGAAGGTAGTTCTTGGAGATATGTGGGCTGCCAGGTTTGAATGTTGATGTTCAGCGTCGAGATAGACTCGTCTTGCTGATCCGATGGTACGTTGTCTTCGAACTTCTGGTCCAATTCTTTCTGCTCAACCTCGACTGCATCTTGGAACCTGACTGCCTTTGTCTCATCTGCTGGGACTGCGTTCGACTCGGCTGCCTCTAAAAGCAATGCTTCGTCCTGCTTTGTAACATCAGGTCCGATCCTTTGGTGCTTGGGAGCCTTGATCTTTGCAGCACCATCTCTACGGTGCGGAGGAAGCTTCTTCTTTCTGGTTGAGGAATCAACATGGCCTTCTTGTGCCATTGCAGCCCTGGCTGCTCTAGGCTTTGCCTTTTTCTTGACCCGGATCTCTTGAACTTGTGTGTTGTGATGGGAGACGGCGGTATTTTATCCTTGGCCGTGATATCGAGCTTGACTTCTGGAGGTTGAGGAGCTTCGACCAGTGTAGAACCGAATCTGCGATGAGGCGGCAGTTTCTTGGGTGGCACTTGTACCTTGTCGACTTTGAAGGTGTCGATGGTATTGTCGTTTGTCGCCTCAGCGTCGGTTACGGGATTAATCTCCAAAGTCGGGCTCTCAATATTCAATTCAACTGTCGGAACAGCATGTTGGAGATGGGGAGCAAGCTTCTGTGGTTGAGCTATTTGTAGCCGCATCAAGCTAGAGTTGCTTGTGCTGGACTCTTCAATCTTGATTGAGACTGTGGATGGCGAACCTTTTGGGTGGGTGCGCTGATATTCGTGCGCGCTGTCTTTCGCGGAAGATGCCTGCTCTAAAGCTGCACTTGCGTGGGTGTTGATGATGTTCTGAACAAGATCGGGATCATGGATCACGAAGGCTTTGACTCTTGTGCTTGATGAGCTTCTCGTGCTTGAGGTCGCCGCCTTGCTCTGAGGAGTCGCGACTCTCCAACTCTCGACCTCCTTGGAGGCCATCGAGCTCGCGATATTTTCGAGCGTTGTCTCATCATGCTCAATGGGCTCTGTGTCGGCGGTTGCTTTGCTGACACTAGTAAGGTCTGCCACCTTAGCCTGATCCTCCAAACAGAACTCGCAGTTCTTCCACAAGTCATCGTCAACTTCGCGCTTTTCAGCGGGCTTGACGTCCTCCTTCAACTTGGCGGCCCACGCCTCGGCGTCCTCTGCCTCGAGGAGGTAAGCTGCACCACCACGGCACACCCTGCCACGGAGTGTCTCTGCCAGAGCCTCCATCTGCTCTGCGGCCCAGAGGGAGACCTTTTCAAAAGATGCATCGGCATGCAAAGAGACACCAGCGTAGATTCGCATCAAGTTCACGTTCTTCATCGCTGACTCCAGCTTCTGCTCTTGAGTACGGGGCTCCAGCTGGATCTGTCTGGTACAGTCATCGTTTTCTCTGGCACTCAGCCTGGTCTGGAGATCAGAGACTTCGAGACGGAGTGAGGGAATATCGTAGGTAATGGCACTTTGCAGATGCTGCACCTGGTGCTGGAGATACTGGAGTGATTGCGAGGCTTGCATGTGACGGTAGTGAGAGTTGAGCCCGTCCTGGAATTGTTGTTGTTCGAGACCGGTGATGCGATTCTCCAATTGGCGCGTCATGGCCATGTCTGTATTTGTGAGCTGCGAGTTAATTGGCATATAGTTTTGAGGCACGATGGCGTGCATAGAGCCAGCGAGTGGCTGAGCCATGGCGTTATAGTAGGACTCAGGGTTCCAAGAGCGGCCCATGAAGGGGTCTGCCACGTCGGGCGACTGAATGCCAGAGTCCATGTGTGGTTGAAGAAGGCTTGTGGGTTGTGGAGGGTGAATGAGTAGTGGAGGTTGTACGACGGAAGAAGGTGTGTAAGTTGTGGAGGGCGGAAGAAGTTGGAAGAAGTTGGAGAGTTGGAGAAGGTATGTGAGAAGGTGGAGAAGGATATGAGAGAAGCTTAAAGGTGTGAAAGAGATCGAAGGGGTGAGTAAGGTCGATGTGAGAGGCGGAGATGTGAGGTACTAGAGGTGTGGAGGCTGTGAGTAATAAGAGGTCGAGAAGGTGAGTTGTAGGAGAGGTAAAGGTTTGGTGTCGAAGCTGATACTAGTGTACTGATTGAGGCGAGTAAGAAGGTGAGAGCGTAGGTGGTCGAAACGCTCGAGCTATTGGCTGCAGTGAAGTATAACCACGATAGCAACTTTCAATGCTATACGACTAGCCTCAAGAACGAGATGACAAAGTCCCGTGACGGAAGACGTAGAAGTACTTGATACCAAGCGAGTAATACTTGCAGTCAGTGATCAACGGAAGACTGCGTTCGTCGACCGGATCTCTGAAGAAAGGCAGTAGCGAACGGAGTAGCCAATAATAAAGCACCCAGCAAGATGTCTCGCTCACGAGGAATGGATGATCGCGTGCGGTACAGAAAGCTTGGTGAGAGTGAGGTATGAAGAACGAAAGAGAGCATGCAATCTATCCTTCCTTACTACGTCTGCAGTATCGCGGTTCAAGACGAGAGATAAATTTAGCTTCGGCTGCGTTCACATAATCGGTCTGGATGTTCCTGTTCAGGTTGTTTTGTAAGGCTTCTTGAAGCGAATGATAATGACCTCGACAATCTCGAGGAGACTTTGCATCGACCACCTGCTCACCATTTGCCTGGTGGATCCACTCGAATGTTAGATTGCCGAAGTGCTGAATCTTATAACTCCGCCTTGTTGGTCTCCAAAATCTGTCTGGCTGGTACTCTCCACAAATGGAATTCGAGGAAGTCACATGTTGTAACGTAAAGATGGATATAGTTGTGTGTTGCATTGGCCATCACGGGTCAAGCTGAGATAATGCGAAGAAGCTGATCATAAACACATGGTACAGTGCATCGACCTGTGGTGCCTCGAGAGATGGAAGGTTGGGGTTGTTAGCTCTCTCGGTAGTACAGCTATGCAAGAACGGCTTTGGGTTGGTTGTATGTTGCAGTTGCTCTTCAAGGAAGCGATACGAATAGCGCAGCAACAGTGGCGATAAAACCTTCTCGAAGGCAACGTGGGGCACACTCAAGCTGCATATGTCAAAAGGAAGACTGCAGAGCTAGTTCTTTGTCCCTGACGATTGAAGCAGCGCTATGGCTGCACGCGTTTGTTCCCCGGAGAGCCAGCTCAGCGTCGGGCAAGACGGCTGTCGTGGCACACGAAGAGTCGTCGATGGTTCGTCTCGCCAAAAGTAGGCTGTGATTTTATATCCTCTAGAAGAATAAGACTCGGTATCGCATTGGATCCAGGATTCTCCCTTGAGGTCAGACCGGCTCAACCCCACTTTGTTGCAGGTAGAATAGGGACGAAACACAAGAGACCAACCAGTCGCGAGGCGCGGACGAGGGGTGATCGTAACCGAAATGGTGAAATGACAATGTGCGCATGTCTGCAGGAGCAGAGATGCAAGGCCATGGACTGAGGTTCCTCAGGGCGCTTCAAGGCTTGCGGCACTGGCCAACAGCTGTCAATGATCGACTCGTGTTGGTGACGGGCATTATACCATATCTGGCAGCGGTTGACTGCACTTGACTGCGGTTGACTGCGCTTGACGAGCAGCCAAAAACAATGTCGGTCGAGGTGGCTGGCAGGATGATGGCAGGATTATGAACAAGCAACATGATTGACCAGCCTCGCGATTCAGAATGTTGGCTTCCATTCCATCCGGCTGGGGCGATCTTCTTTGTCTCCACACACACACCGCGTCCTTTCCGGTGAAGCTTCTGCGCCTCATGCAACATGCACCAGTTGAGGCCAAGGCATGCTGAAAGTATTTCAGCCTCCTGATCTCTGTGTAACTCATGTGAGGATGCACTGCCTCCCCATCTCATCAGCACCCGGTGTGTGCCCCGCATTGCCTGGAACTTGATTAGACCATGAACCCGCACAGTTGCGCGACCTGGGTTCGAGAATAGTTCCTCGTACGAGTCTAGCCTGCCTTGGTTTCGTTGTTTGGATGACGGATACATGAGCGAGGGTGCCGCGATCTGTGAATGGTCAGTTCCATCGTTATGCCACAGCTCTTCCCACTCGCCAGCAGTAACAGCCATGCGCTTCACCAAGACATGCCCGAACCTCGACGCGACCTATCCAAACTTGACTCTTCGAGGAAACGTTCTTCTTCTGTCCTTCGAACTTTGCATAAGATTGGCGGATGGCTGAGGAGGGACGAAGTCGATCCTGCTTTGCCTGATGAACCGTCACACCAGGATTCTCAAAAGCAAGCCTTGAATGACCACCTTGCGCCAACACGGGAATCAGGAAACAATGGCTCAGTACAACAGGATGCAGTGCTGGCACCATCAAGGTCGCGGGGAAATAGCTTGCTCGGCCGTACCTTGTCCAAGTCTAAGAAGATTGTTCCCGAACTGTCACGGCAATTCACCACCAAAAGGCAGAATTCCGAAAAACGAGACAGGCTTCTGGCAATTGAACCCAGTGCAACAGAAAGAAGAGCGGTGAGCGCCGAACGGCGACCTCGAGCAATGAGTCCTGCACGTTGTCAGTCTCCTCTATCAGCTACATCACCATCTCGCTCAGCCCCAGATATCAGTACCCCAGGACATATGCGCTTGCCATTTGCCGACACTCATGCAAAGAGCTACTTTGATACCAGAGCCCTCACGCTTGGGGATGTCCAGCATGACCATCTATCCAAGCCTCCTCCTCCCCGAAACATACCGCCTATGTTGGAGGCGGCTGACGAGCCTACGTTTCTGGACGACCGTGATCTGCAGGCCGAACTCGAATCGACGTGGATTCTCAACTTGAGCATGCACTTTCGGGACAAGTCTGATCGTGAGAAATTCTTTGTTACCTACGCCCAACAACCAAACCGCTGGTGCAGAGTAACTGTATCTTGTGATTACCGAGACGCACCGCCATCATCCCTCGAATCAGACCTCAAATCTCTCAAGTTTCAAAGAGACAAGAACCAGCGTATATACGAAGCCATCAGAGAGTCTTTGCCTGATATAGATTTCTACGACACTGTCACAAATCTGAAGCTGGAGACAGAAAATGGACAATTGCATGTACATGTCACCGAGGACATCAACGAAATCATCTCATATCCATCGGTAGACTTTGTCGATGAAGGCTGTCGCATGTACCGCGAGGGCGAGCTCGATTTTCAATCACACATCTCTGGATTCGTTTACAAAGTCAGAGTTGGCAATCAGGTCTTGATTAAGAAAGAGATACCAGGCCCAGATACGATTGATGAGTTCATGTACGAGATTGAGGTGCTCAATGAACTTCGAGGTTCAAGGGGTGTGATTAACTTTCATGGCTTGGTGGTCGATGATGATGAGAAGATAATCAAGGGGCTACTGATATCCTTCGCGTCCCTTGGTGCTCTTGTGGATGTCATCTATGACGACAAGCAGAGCAGTTCGCTACCATGGCATCGACGGGAGAGGTGGGCCCATCAGATCGTTCAAGGCCTTGCTGAGATTCACGAAGCTGGATTTGTCCAAGGCGACTTCACTCTGTCCAACATTGTCATCGACCACGAGGACGATGCGAAAATCATCGACATCAACCGTCGTGGCTGCCCTATTGGGTGGGAGCCACCAGAGCTTCTTCGTCTTGTCCGAAGAGGGCAGAAAATTAGCATGTTTATCAACGTGAAGAGTGACATATTTCAGCTAGGTATGGTTCTTTGGGCACTTGCGGAGCAGGATGATGAGCCTGAGCATGTTACAAGAACCAGTTTTGGAGGAATGCCTCGTATCACTGCACAGGACGTGCCAAACTGGTTTGAGGACATCATCGATGCGTGCTTGAGCAATCAGCCTCGAAACCGACCGAGCGCAAAAGAGCTGCTGACAATGTTTCCACTTCATCCGCGAGAGTACGAGAAGAGGCGCATCAGCCCGAGAAGTTCCGATCACAGTCTTGCTAGCCATCACTCTCACAAGGAGTTCAACGACCCAACGACCGCCGTTGACTGGGACGCAGTGGAAGAGTTCAAGAGAGGACAGCGAAAGCCGGCTGACTTTGTTCCTTCTTACCCTACTACGGATCCGTATCAGTTCGCCAATGCAGCGACATCTACTGAGTACAGAATCGACAGCACTGGAAGTTATGTCAGACCTCATCGAGGCAGAAGTCCGCATGGTCATCGTCAAAGGTCTGCAGCGAGCAGCACCACCAGTCTGTCTTTGAGCCAAGGAGTGCCAGTATGCGAGTACCTTTGTGATGAAGATATCTCAGGCTTTGAGTATGCTGAAGGCTCACGAGACCGTCCCACGAACATGACGCCACAGAGACCTTCTGTGCCCGACGCTCCGCCGTTCCAGTCGAATGCTTTTGACTCGCACCAAGAAGCGGGTAACCACCATCAACAATACAGGAGACGAGTTCCAGAGAGTGGCGAAGGTTCTCCACACCCACAAAGACAACAGCGTGTCTTGTTTGGACCGCCAATACATCAAGACTCAGGCTTTGACGAGTACATGATCGAGACAATCGAGCATGGCCAGCCGTCAACACGCCCAGCTCATAACCTACCTCATATACTCACAACCACTGTCGAGGCTCTGAATGATGGTGACCAGGAAGTATCAGCAGTGACACAACAGTCACAGCCGCTCACAAGCCCTGCAACACCACAGTCACAGCAGACACCCCTCACACCTTTCTCATATTATACACCACCTGCTTTTTCATCTCCAGCATCAACACAGAATCTAGACCCGACGTCCCGCAACTCAGCAACAACAGGCTCATAACAAGCAATGAAGTTACTAACCAGGTCGTCTGCAGGTCGGATGGCAGATCTATTTCCTTTGTTACGAGCATGTAGCCTCTCTCGACAAGCATCTTTTTGCATTTGGGGTATGTCTTTGAGAGCATGTTAGGCGTTGATTGATTTCTTCTGAATGAGCAGCTGTTTCAAAAAGCAATCTTGTGAGAACGTTATGTCACGATGCAATGATGCCAGCAGCAGAAGCTTGGTCAAGGAAGGTCTTTGGAGGTGTAGTGGAAGTATAATGCTTTTCCCTCTGGGTTGTCATGGGTATCTATTTTAATTCGCCGTGTCCGGCATCATATGCTTCATCTCAATCGTCTAGCTGCTTGCGCCGTACTTCTTCTTGTAGTCCTCCATGGCCTTGAGCTGCTCCTCGGTAGCCTGACCCTTGACACCCTCAATGACATCGTCGAGGGTCAAGACAGCAAGGACGGGCACACCAGTCTCCTGGCGAACCTGGCCGATGGTGCTTGGTCTGTCGGAGCCGTCGTCAGGCTTGCCCTCCTTCTCACCCTGGCTGGGAGTCTTCTCTTGTCTGTCGAGGGCAACGATGATGCCAACGAGCTCGCCACCCTGGCTCTTGATGATGCTGATGGCTTCTCTGATGGCAGTGCCGGCGGTCATGACATCGTCAATGACAACAACCTTCTTGCCCTTGAGGCTCTCGCCAACCATCAGACCACCCTCGCCATGGTCCTTGACCTCCTTGCGGTTGTAAACGAAACCGAGGTCGCCATACTTTGCCTCGTCAATGCCAGCAAGCTTCTCGGCAGTGGTGGCGCAGAGAGGAATGCCCTTGTAGGCAGGGCCGAAGAGGACGTCGAACTGGAACTCGGGATGGGCGGAGCAATACTCGGCGACAGTACGGGCGTAGGCCTCGCTGATGCCGCGGATGAGCTTGCCCTTGGAGAACAGACCACAGTTGAAGAAGTAGGGCGAGATGCGGCCGGACTTGAGGGTGAAGGAGCCAAAGGTCAGGATGTTGGACGAGAGGGTGAGCGAGATGAGGTCGCGCTTGTAGGCGGGGAGAGCTTCTGCGGAAGACATTGGTGGCGGCGGGGTAGCAAAGTGGATAGCGAAGGGATGGGAAAACGAGGATTTGGATAACAGGCCAGGCTAGGCGCGCGACTATCCACTGCGGCAAATGGCGAGCTACAAGCAACGGGGAGATGTGACAGGACGAGCGGTGTGTCGGGAAAATTTGGTAGGGAGGAAGGAGCGCAAAGCGGCGGCTCTGTTGCCCTCAATTGACAATGCTGCCCAAACGTTATCGATAGCTCACCAAGCGCTACGTAGTGAGCGGCTATACAGAGGAAATAATAGGCATATCGGCACGAATAGAGAGCACGGTGAGCAGTTCATCGAGCATATTATCACGTGAAGGTGGATAGCTGTGGCCCTGTTGAGACACCGCAAGTGAGAGATACACGCTCAATTGTCGATTCAAGCGGTTTGCCTCCGCCACCGCGGTCCATAGCAAGCAAAAAAGAGAGACGACAGTTGGCTCATCATCCGTTACATCATTTTTTTCCCTGGTCCCGCTGTTGGCTCCCAACGAAGCTGCAAAAAGTGAGAAAGAAAAAACTAGCTTGGCGGGGCAACTGAAGCCAGACCCCTTCCTCGCTTAGTCAGTGCGCGCTCTCACACACACTCAAAAAGGCCACCCCTCCCGCGCCCTTCTTCTCATCAGCGTCTTCATACCACGGTTCATCAAGCAATCGTATCTGGTAAGCTTTGACCTCCTCGAGCGGGCTCCACTTTGCTATTTCTTGGATCTGCTCGTCCTTTTCTTCCTTCCTCTTTTTCTAACCTCTCTTCAGAAAGTTCAACCGTACTTCACTCCATCTTCCATACACAACCGTCAACATGGGGTATGTCTTTGTCTCTGGCGCTCTGCCATCCTCTGCGATGCCTTTGACACGATCTGACCGCCGCATGTAGTAAGGAAAAGTCCCACATTAACGTCGTCGTTATCGGCCACGTCGACTCCGGTAAGTCGACCACCACCGGTCACTTGATCTACAAGTGCGGTGGTATCGACAAGCGTACCATCGAGAAGTTCGAGAAGGTAAGCCATCCTCTTCCTTCGCCTCATTCACACCTCTGCGCCTTCTTCCTCGACAAGATCGCTGCTTTTTCACATTTTTCACCCTGGAGTGGGCTGCTTGGTGGGGTTGAGCTCAGCTTCGCGCTTTGACTCACCGCGCTGACGCCCAACTCGCAAAATTTTCACAACACCTCTTCGCCACCCACACCAACCACCATCAACAATGTCTGACAATCCCATAGGAAGCCGCCGAACTCGGCAAGGGTTCCTTCAAGTACGCCTGGGTCCTCGACAAGCTGAAGTCCGAGCGTGAGCGTGGTATCACTATCGATATCGCCCTGTGGAAGTTCGAGACCCCCAAGTACATGGTCACCGTCATCGACGCCCCCGGTCACCGTGATTTCATCAAGAACATGATCACTGGTACCTCCCAGGCTGACTGCGCCATTCTCATCATTGCCGCCGGTACTGGTGAGTTCGAGGCTGGTATCTCCAAGGATGGCCAGACTCGTGAGCACGCCCTTCTCGCCTACACCCTTGGTGTCAAGCAGCTCATCGTTGCCATCAACAAGATGGACACCACCAAGTGGTCCGAGGCCCGTTACCAGGAGATCATCAAGGAGACCTCCGGTTTCATCAAGAAGGTCGGCTACAACCCCAAGCACGTTCCCTTTGTCCCCATCTCGGGCTTCAACGGCGACAACATGATTGAGGTTTCGTCCAACTGCCCCTGGTACAAGGGTTGGGAGAAGGAGACCAAGGCCAAGGCCACTGGTAAGACTCTCCTCGAGGCCATTGACGCCATCGACCCTCCTTCCCGTCCTACCGACAAGCCCCTCCGTCTTCCCCTCCAGGATGTCTACAAGATCGGTGGTATTGGCACGGTGCCCGTCGGCCGTGTCGAGACCGGTACCATCAAGGGTGGTATGGTCGTCACCTTCGCCCCCGCTGGTGTCACCACTGAGGTCAAGTCCGTCGAGATGCACCACGAGCAGCTCACCGAGGGTCTTCCCGGTGACAACGTCGGCTTCAACGTCAAGAACGTCTCCGTCAAGGAGATCCGTCGTGGCAACGTTGCTGGTGACTCCAAGAACGANCCCCCCAAGGGTTGCGACTCCTTCAACGCCCAGGTTATCGTCTTGAACCACCCTGGTCAGGTCGGTGCCGGTTACGCACCCGTCCTCGATTGCCACACTGCCCACATCGCCTGCAAGTTCTCCGAGCTTGTTGAGAAGATTGACCGCCGTACCGGCAAGTCCGTTGAGGCCGCCCCCAAGTTCATCAAGTCTGGTGACGCCGCCATCGTCAAGATGGTTCCCTCCAAGCCCATGTGTGTTGAGGCCTTCACTGACTACCCTCCTCTCGGTCGTTTCGCCGTCCGGTACGTTTATCCTCCTTGACCCTTCTCACTCTACCCTTTACTGACTCCTTGTCCAGTNGACATGAGACAGACCGTCGCCGTCGGTGTCATCAAGTCCGTCGTCAAGTCTGACAAGCAGGGTGCCGGCAAGGTCACCAAGGCTGCTGTCAAGGCTGGCAAGAAGTAAACGATTTGACCTTTTGGGTTTCAAAAAGTCTTTTATTTGCTTCGGTGCTTTACTCAAGGTCACATGAGTTCAGCATTATACTAACGATACCACCTTTTCTGTCACGACCTTGCATGAAACATGATGGCGAGGCAGTTGCTTCGAGGGATCTGGGTTTATGGCTTAGATTATCAGTTTGCAGCAGCAATTCAAACCTCATTGTTGATTGCACACCACTTCTTTTTGACTGCTGTCTTCTGTGATTATATCTCGCTTTCCTCGTCTTGATGCTGGGTGTTTTGATTCTTCGTTGATGCTTCCGTGTTCCATCATGTCCTCGTGTATTCTTCTTGCTTTGTCTTGGGTGCTCTTTGCTTGTATGTTTACATGCTATCTGTCTTCGCAGCGCAATCGCCACTTGCTGTCTTTTGAGCTCATGCTTGATTCGCTGGTGCTGTCAAAGGCTTGCGCTCTCAGCTTACCTTTTACTCTCTTGCTGTCGGCGGAAAGTCAGGAGGCTAATCATCTACACTAAGGATAACGAATAATTGCATGCATAAGCGCACAAGCTTCTCACAGGTCTTTGAACCCCTTTTGCTCTGTAAAGCTTCGAGAAGAGGGAGTTGAGCTCTTCCTGCTCTCCTCCGGGCTTCAAGCGTTCGCGATATTCAAGTCTTGCCTGCTGAGTGTACCACCCTGGTCGCTTTTCCGATGCCTCTTTGGAGCTGTGTCCCTGCTGCAATCATACTATGTTATTGTAAGGCCAGTAAACAACAAATCTGCTTGCTGGTCACTTTATGACCAAAGGCGTTGGTTATCAAACACTCCATGGTTGGCGATATTTCCAACTAACTGACTTCAATTTGTCAGGGCTGTTGGGATGCCGCGTCACAAAGCAAACTCAACTACGAAAGCTTCCAAAGCAACTACGACAATAAATCGGCAGCTGGCCGTTTCCAGAATTGTCTACCATGTTGTAGATGCAAAGTTCCAACAAGGTACTGCCGTCCCCTGCAAGAGTGAAGAAAACGACCTGAGTCGTGGCCGCGAGGCTGAGATGACGACTTGCTCGGCCAACGCGTCCTCCGCGACACGTCCAACATCAGTCGCATCTTCAGTATCTTCAGCATCTCAATCTCGACAACATCGACAACAAACATGCGTGGTCAATATTGTGCCTTCTGTCGGCCTTAGTTAATATATTCTCGCCGTTCCACGGAGAATCGCACCTCACAAAAATCCCCACGCCCCACCACAATTTGTGACGATCCTGTTATACAGAATCGATTCTTGACATAGTAGGTTCACGCGTTGTGTCGCACTTTCTTCTTGAGACGAGGCCAGATGGGCTTGGTATGTCTGGAATAGATACAAACACGTATCCCGCATCGATTTCGAAGGCAAGAAACAGAAAGATTATGACGAGGCAAGCCATAACCGACCTGTCAACCATCAGCAACCACTTGATGCGACGAGATGGCATGCCTGGAGAAACTCTACTCGTGCTGCTAACCTGAACCACTTGTTTCTAGCAGAGCTATCGTATACAGGGCTGCTAGGACCGATGCACTACTCTCGAGCCATCTTACGTGGCCATCGCTACGCCACCTCCACTGTCGCACGGCCTGTGGTCTGATGAAGACCGTCTCTAGGGACATCAAGCCTGTGTATAAAGTATCCTGTAGCCACGAGAACATCTGCTGAACACAACTCTACAACCCATCGTCGCTTCACAGACTTCTACGCTTCTCGATATTGTCCCAAGCAGTCAACCTTAGTCGATCATGAGCCACTTCGCTCGCGCAGCAGTCGCTGCCACTCTCACTGCTGCTGCCAATGCCTCATCTCTCGCCGATGTTTGCACCGTCTCAAATGTCCAAGCTGCTCTGCCCGCCAATGGTACCCTTCTAGGCATCGATCTGATCCCTTCAGCTGTCACTGCAAGTGCCGTCTACAATGCATCCACTAGTATGGGAGGCATGGGCGGCACGAGTTCTGGCAGTGGAACCACCTACAGCTATTGCAATGTTACCATCACCTACACTCATACTGGCAAGGATGATGAGGTCGTTGTCAAGTATGCTTTCCCTCAGCCATCTGACTTCAAAAAGCGTTTCTACGTGGCTGGTGGAGGTAAGTCTTCTGAGTCATGATGTCTGCTCCATTGACTAATCATACCTAGGTGGCTTCTCCTCTCCAGTACCGCGACCGGAGGTCTCGAGTATGGCGCCGTCAGTGGCGCCACCTCCGCTGGCTACGATGCCTTCGACTACAGCTACGACGAAGTTGTCCTCGCAGGTAACGGATCCATCAACTGGGACGCAACCTACATGTTCTCGTACCAGGCTTTGGGCGAGATGACCAAGGTCGGCAAGTACATCACCGAAGGATTTTACGGCATGAACAACACCAAGGTTTACACCTACTTCGAGGGCTGCTCTGACGGTGGTCGTGAGGGTATGAGTCAGGTCCAGCGCTTTGGAGACGAGTACGATGGTGCTATTACTGGCGCTCCCGCCTTCCGCTTCGCACAGCAACAAGTCCATCACGTCTACTCTGCAGCCGTCGAACATACCATGGACTACTACCCTCCTCCCTGCGCACTGGCCAAGATCGTGAATGCGACCATCGCTGCCTGCGACCCTCTCGATGGACGAACCGACGGAGTCATTTCTCGCACCGATCTCTGCAAGCTGCACTTCAACCTGAGCTCCATCGTTGGAGAGTCTTATTACTGTGCTGCTGAAACTAGCTCATCTCTAGGCTTTGGCTTCAGCAAGCGTCAGGCTGGTAGCCAGACCAGTAACACACCCGAACAGAATGGCACTATTACTGCTCAGGACGTTGCAGTCGCCCAAGCTGTCTACGACGGTCTCCATAATTCAAAGGGCGAGCGCGCATACCTCTCTTGGCAAATTGGTTCTGAACTATCTGACGCTGACCCGACCTACAACACCAACACCAGCTCATGGGAGCTCAACATTCCTTCCACTGGCGGCGAGTACGTAACCAAGTTCGTTCAACTTCTTGACCTCGACAACCTTTCCGACCTTGATGGTGTCACCTACGATACTCTCGTCGAATGGATGACCATCGGAATGGTTCGCTACCTGGACAGTCTTCAAACCACTCTTCCCGACCTCACTACCTTCAAAGAAACTGGCGGCAAGCTCCTCCACTACCACGGCGAATCCGATCCCAGTATTCCTTCTGCTTCTTCGGTCCACTACTGGCAATCAGTGCGCTCCATCATGTACGGCCACCTCTCGCAAGAAGATGCACAGAAAGAACTTCAAGATTGGTACCAATTCTACCTCGTGCCTGGTGCCGCCCACTGTGGAACCAACAGCCTCCAGCCTGGTCCATACCCTGAGAACAACATGAACATTATGATCGACTGGGTTGAGAATGGCAACAAGCCTTCGCGCTTGAACGCAACCGTCTCCTCCGGCGACTACGAGGGCGAAACTCAGATGCTTTGTCAGTGGCCTACCCGCCCTGTGTGGCATGGAAACAGCACCTTCGACTGCGTGAATGACAAGGCATCTATTGACAGCTGGACTTACAAATTCCCTGCTTTCAAGCTTCCTGTCTACTAGGTGTCCGTAAGTAAGCGCAAGTCAGGACATTGTCCCTCAAGCCTAGGAGTGTACAGAGGCTATTTTAGGCACATTGCAACTATCTTGTTTGAACTAAATCTGTATTGGGATAGCTAGAGGACATTGACAGGCTTTTATATCTCACTCGAATTTAATACCACCTTCGCTACCTTTACCTCGACCTTATAAGTTTTCCTCAACCAGAAAATCTTTTCTCTTCGATGAGAAGTCCACTTGTGCTTTCCAGTTTTGGGAAGCTGCGATCTTCTCGGCAGCTTCGTATCGTACCTTCGAACCATCACCATCGTCATATACTGTCGCTCTTTTGTCATCATCAACAATATACACGAACGGTACCGGGGGAAGCAACAAAACATGCACATATCAATGAGATGTCTACTACTTTCTCTCTGCCCTACTTCAGCGACGCTGGCATGATACTTGGACGCTGGGGTCGGGTTCAGTCTCGAACTAGATTACGGGCAAGTCGCCGACATCGCGGATACACAATAGACGGCTGGCATTGAGTGAAAGCAGTACCGCAAGCGTCTAGTACAAGAATGGCTCAGCCCACGACATCGTCAAGATTGAAGGAGGAGTGTCCTACACACGAAGCATGCACAATCTATCAATCACGAACGACAGATCCTACTACGAGTACTGGAAGTTGAAGGATCCAAATGACCATGATTACTCTGACGCTCCCCCGTCGAAGACTCCGCCTTACAAGCCTCCTGGATTCGTCCTTCCGCAACGACTACAGGATACCATCGTTTACATATCCTCACTATGGCCGAANAAACTGCCACCGCCTACGCCCGAAGCCGAATCTCTTGTCTGGATGCTGAAAGCCTTGGAAGCAGCCACGGAAACTTACCTTGAGGAACTAATTCAATATGTCATGATAACCAANCCCGTACCGCTCGAGAACTCGGATATCTACAAAGAAACCATCAAATCGGCAACTTCCACCCTGGGTTTGACAATGGGCAGTCCACACCTTCTTGCCGCTAAAGCCGCAGCCAGAGCACACGATATCAAAGGAGTCTGCAATGATCTATATGACCCAGGGCCTGATTANTGCAACGCGTTTGTTCGTGGCTATAAACCACAACCGTGCCACCTTTTCTGCTTGGCTATAAACCACAACCGTGCCGCCTTTTCTGCTTACTTGATGGAAGAAGAGTGTAGTCACTTTGAAGAACTCAGGGGTTACCATAATAGCTCCCTCGGTAGCGCCAGCGACATACCTAGGGAAGAAAGATTGGCTGTGATGAAGCATGCTTTGGAAGAACTTNNCAAACCGCCTTACCCTGAGATGTGGTCACCCGCTACTCATGTCCAAGATATAGTTCTATATGGAGAAGCGACGGAAGACACGGTGTTGCAACCAGTGCTTGGGGACAGTTTTGGCGACAAACTCGGCAGTCTGGAGATTAGAAGACGAGCGAAAGATCAAGAGGCAGTGAACCCTCTGTTTGCTGCTTCAAGGGGTGCGGCCGAGTATTGTGTGGACTGGGACATTGATTGGAATGGTCCACACCGATGCCTGCTATTGCTTACGAAGGAAGAAGCAGCGAAACTTGACCCACCAAATGTCAAAGCATCGAAGGAAGAACTATAATGATGCGAAGAACGAGACATCATATGACGATATAAGAGCAAGAATCATATCCCACTGCCTTCCCATACCAATCTCTCTAATCTCAACCCTCAAAAGCACAAAAAACAAAAATGTAGCCTGTGAGAATCGAACCCACGTCTCCCCAGAGCCTCCATATGGATTACCGCGCCTTCCCTGGCTAAGCTGGTGTATCTAGCACTCAACTCGGCCGCGCGGTAAACACAGTAAAGGTGAGGTGTCTTGACCACTAGACCAAAGCTACTTGGATGGTGATGATTGGATTTCGTTGTAGCGCTCGTTGTGTTGCATGAACGGAGCCTTCACTCACTTCTCTTCAACCTTCTACCCCTTTGTCTCGTTCACTTCTAGCTCTTGCGCACTCTCCGTGTGCTAAAGACCATCACGTTGTAGTCGTTGAAGTGCACAGTGTTCTCCAAGCCAGGAGTGTGACCATGGAAACCCCTGAGATGACATCCTCTCCGTGGATACTACTGCTTTCTGGCAAGTGTTGTGCATTTCTTCCGCACACGGAGAGAGAGAGAGAGCCAGGAGCCAAGACCATCGGTGATTGCCAACAGGAAATAGAATACTGTCAGAGGCAAGGACATGCAACAAGCAATTGTAGAAGAAGTTGATTGGGGGCCAACATAGCAGCAACAACATCTCAAGTAGCCGGACCCAAAACCTGTTCCACAAACTCGTCTGCACCCCTCGTGACACCATCCACATCAATCTTTGCCAACACTTCGTTCATAGCTTCAACGACATCTCTTTCTTCCAGGACTTCGTGCATGATTTCTCCTTCTTTTCTCCAGTACTCGCCCACCTTGGCTCTGAACCCAGTTTCCCTCATGACAACATTTCTGACTGCTCCAAGCGATCTAAATTTCGCGAGCGACTTCTCAAGGACTCTGGTCTGAGATTCGAGGACGATAGCTGGGGAAGGTGGAAGCACGAAAGCGCGGTTGGTAGCGGAAGCCCAAATGAGAAGAGCCACTCCGACATCTGTGATACAAGCTGTCAGACGAGAAACCCACCAGCGAGTCCAGAAGAAGTTCTCGACGGCAGAGAAGGTAGTGGCGCGAGCGTTGCGTTGGTGCTCGTATGTAGCGACGGAAGCGACGTCTGCGATCATGACTACAACGCCTGAGATGACGGCAGCAGTTCTCCAACGAGCAGCTGTTGTGCCTCCGACCAGGGTAGAGGTAGCGAGGCCGAGGAAGAGCAGGTGCATCAGATGTGTCTTGAGCAGTGAGGGCAGGGCGCAGATCAGGTAGCTGGTACCCACATCCTGGGCCTTGGGGTCGTTGACCAGAGGACAGTTGCACAGGACATCAGGACCAAAGCGGAGGTATTGTAATCTTGCTTCCAGTCCTCCTGTTGTGAAGATCTGGCGCAGTATCTCGTCTTGGGGAGTGATGGTGGACAGTCTGTTGAAGAGGACGGGAGTGGGCGTCTGCAGTCGCGACTCGGTCTCTCTGAAAATATTGGTGGGCTTGAAGTATGGGAGGGTGAAGATGAGCGAGATGACAGCGCTGGCGAAAAGGAGGTTCAGGGCACGAGATGCTTCTGGCGACACGGGTACTCGTTGTGCGTTGTTTGGTGCTCGGAGACTACGGTAGAAGGCTATGATACGAGGAAGGAGCATGGGCCCAAAGAAGAGGAGGGCCGACCGGATGCTGTATACCAATCGTCAGCTTTGCTGCTTCCATTAACAGTTTACGGTACGACTTACGCGCTCCAAGACAGCATGGTTGCGGTTGTGTTTTATTGTCGTCAGGGTTGGCGCGTGTTGCAAATCAGGGGTAGTATTTATCCAAGGTCCAGCGCACACCAGCACAATAACCAGATAGTCGTCCAGTGGGTACAAATTGGCGATTGCCAGCTCCTGCGACAGAATGTACAATGATGGTGAATCCAGGGAAGCTGCCATCTGTCCACCGAGCTTTCTCCGCAGTTGAACATCTTGAGGTCCACTCTTCTGCTCAGTCGACACCAACATCTGAATTAACGTTGACTGGCGCACTTCTGTCTGCTAGAGCATCCTTGAGAGGATCTACGAGGAATGCACTGTACTGGTTTATCACAGGCCGAGAGATGATGTCTACATCAATCGCAATACACAAGGAAACCGAAGAACAAATCGCATAATTCGAGTGCAAGAGATATACAGCCGCAAACCGATTGAGATACTCGACCATTGGAAAGAGTCCGCGAACGGAATTAGAAGGACATGATCTCCTAACTAGCTTGGTTACCTGAATCTCGCTGTCGGCAAAAATAGCACTTTTAGGTTTCAACAAAGTTCACCGAGAGCGCACAAATATTGCTCCTTACAGGTCAGCTCTCAACGACAAGTCTTACATCTCATCTCACGCCATGTATTGAGAAGACCTGTTTGATGGGTATATATGATGGAGAAGTGATGCTTCCTGTGAATGGTTACCCGAGCGATCCTTCGCAGAACAATACTATATTCTGCCAAACCTCGTCCATTCCATGTCGCCTCTGAACTGCTTCATCAAAACCCATACTCAAGCGATCAGTCTATCGCCCAACCAGATTCATCAAACTCATAACCGTCTTCGCTGGACGCGTTTTCGTAAGAGGACCTTTCGAGCGTAGGAAAATGGCGTTCTACATGCGAGAACTGCAACTCTTGGCCGTGGTACGTGAACGAATCTTCCTCTTCATGCATCCATTCGGGGACCACGTTGAAAAAGGCGTAGCCCCATTCTGGAAGACCCGCAAGCGGGGCGACACCTTGGGTGAGATGCTTGCTACGAGGCCAACGAAGTCGCTTGTTCATCTCATACAGTGGCGTATACAGGTCGCAATCGACACGCATGTCAAAGTCGCGACACGTTGCTTCCATAACGTCCAAGAAACGGGCTTGCTCGTCGAAAATGCTGTCGACAAATTTCTCGAACCACATATCCATCTCAATCCCTGCGTAAAACAGAGTAGAGTCGATAAGATCCATCTCCATTTCAGACCATATGCAAATGAGCTTTAAGCTGGGCAACTCCTCGGTGCAGTCGGCAATACCGGAGAAAGGATCTGAGATAGGTCAGAAACCGGTCGAGAGGGTACAATTGAAGGATGCAGAGCATAACATACTGATTCGGGGAAGCAAAAACATCGCTCCGAACCTGAACACCACTTCTGTGATCCTGACCAGCACTTTGGTTGGTATCTTTAGCCACTCTGATAGGCGAGGGAATCCCACGTCGTCCGCTTCACTGATGTCCTCGTCGGATGTGTTGGGGTCGCTGCAGTTGTATGTGATCCACAGTATGGATTTGCGAAGACACAGAGACCAGTACTCATCGTGAACTAGCTTGTTGACTTGCAGCAGGTTTGGGTAATACATCCCATCCAGATAGACATACTCGATGTCGAATCCTTTGGGCGGGGTGAATTTGATAGAGTTAGCCTCGTTGTTCATGAGCTCCTCATAGACCATAAACCGGAGTTCTTTCGGCAAGTCGAGAAATCGGAATGGCTGTTTTGGCAGTGTATTCGTCATAACATCAGGACCTTCCTTGTCAGAGAAAGTCATCTTTGATGAACGGAGACGCATCGTGTGCGATGGAAAAGCGAGGCAGTGATTGGAAGAATTAAATGCTGCTGCATCCGGAGCGTGGTGAGGAAGGAGGGGACGGGCCCGAGACTCGCACGGACGTTCGCCGGTCGTTGTTGCCGTTTCCCGAGAATAAGAGAACTTCTGGAAAGGATTTCGCGCTCTGTGATGGCATTGTATCAAGAACAGTCATCGTGTTGCAAATATGCAACAATTTTCCTGCGTCCTCAATTTGGTTGGGGAAGTCGCCTGAAACTTTGGCTTTCGCTGGACACGTGATATACTCCAATCTGCAAGATGAAGACACGAAAGGATGATCAAAAAGATACAAGGCAGTGGTATTCAACATAAAACACATTTGAAGCAAACTCGAGAAACCTCCTAGAAACGCTCCTTGCCAGCATTGGGACCGTGAGGTGAGTTACGCTTGTACTCAGCCAATTCTTGCATATCCTTCTCCCATAGGGCATCAGCGGCTGCACGCTCACGACGACCAGCGCGTCTCGACTTGATGCAGCAGAAGATGAAGGCGACCAAAGCAATAGCCAACACGGCAAGCGAACCAGCGGCAATCGCAGCTTGTGCCCATTTGGGGAGGGCTTTGTAGTGTGCTTCAGCGCCATGAGGTCTAGCAAGGCGAGTGGCAATGGTGCTGTTGCCCTCGGCAATCTTGATGGATTCCCAAGAGCCAGTGTGGTCGCCGTAGGTGTAGGTGCTGCCAGAGCTGTAATCGGCTACATAGACGCGCTCCATGGTCATGGTAAAAGGTGTTTGGTGATAGTCGATGACGCCGCCTGCCCATTCGACTGTTCCGTTAGAGTTGGACTCTGGGTCGCCTCCGGCCCAGATACCAACCTTGAGTTTCATGGGGGTTTGAGGGTAGTTTTCGCCGTCGAGAGCATCTCCGTATTTCAGGGTGCGCAGCACTTTGTCGTCGACGATCCATTGCACTCGCTCTTTCGTCCAGTCAAGGGTGTAGTTGTGAGTTGTGCCAGTCACATCGTCGACATCGTAGTAGATGGCGCGATCGTATGAGGTTGTGTTGCCCTTGCCAAAGTAGTTTGTCTCGACGCTTGTGTTGTTTCCACCCAGCCACTCCCAGTCGATTTCGTCGAGGTCGTCGGATTCGAGGACGACTGAGGATACGACACCGACGCCTGGCGCGGCTTTCATGATGACCGAGACCTGGCCGAAGAAGATGTAGAAGTTGGATTCGAGTGTCGGGGCATCGCCTTTGCCGCCAATCTGCGTCGGGCGTCAGTAAAGAGGTATGTATGTCTGTCGCAACAAGAATGAGCATACCGTGAATTGAGTGCCGACATCAGTGTAGTCGGGCTGGCGACCACTGCTCGTGTTCCAGACATGTTTGTCTGCGATGGTAGAGTCTGTAAAGTTCCAGTCGTGCCATGTGCCGAGGGCCGTGTTTGGTGTACAAGACGTGTTGAACAATGGATTGCAATCGGAGAAAGTCTGAGCTGAGACCTTAGAGACAGCGGTCGCGGCCAGCACGACTGCTGCTGTCTTGAGGAAGCCTGACATGGTGTTTGTTGTAGGGCTGAGATGGTCTTTGAGATGTCTAGTGTATCTGAGACTGTGGAGGCTGTGGTTGTCTGGTGGGGATCAAAAGTCGAATGAATGGACGCGTGCTAGTGTTGCACGTCTGGTTGAAGGAGTGAATGGCAGGCAAATAGCCTCAAGCAAGGGAGTGTAGAAGAAGGAAAGGGAAGATCGCTGTCGACACGCAAGCTAGTAGAGGGAAAGGAGGAAAGAAGAGAAAGTGGTGTGCCCAACCTTCTTGATACCTTCAATCTAAACCTACCGTGGCGTCCGGTCCTTATCGACCACTCGCCATCACTCGTGGATGGACGAAGGGCGTTTCAGAAAGCGGTCCCTGCTGCTCAGGGGTGTTCTTGCAGTCCGGGAGTGGTGGAAAGAGGTTAGAGGCATGCTCCCCACATTCTTGAGGCACGTACAGAATCTAGTTAAAGATACCCCCAAGTTTCACCGGCGCCTGTTTGCGTGTCGCAGGTCAGAGTCCTTGAAGACGTCGTGTAACGATCTGCGAAATCACTGCATGTCAGCCAAGATAATCAGGCCTTCATCTAAGGAAGAAGTAGGCTTGTGGATATGCCATAATCCGTTGCTCTCTCGCGAGACGACGAAGCGCTCAAGACAAGCAGTGGGCATCTCTACCCGGCTCGTACAGCAGGGGTCCGACAATTTCTTGGCGCTCGTCTCATGAATTACGATCTGCTTCGAGACTTCTGATGCTATTCACAGCATCATATCGAACAGGGTCAGGAACCATGAGATGGTTGCTTGACATTGAGTGCGCGAACCTGTGATGATAATCACGCCTGCACGATTAATGGTAGCAGCACGACTTTCACGACGAACATCTCGAAAACATTCCTTATCTTTGCGCATTAACTCATCATGATCGAGCTTGGTCTGGCTCGAGTGTTCCGCCTTTTGGCACGTACGCCTCTACCATGGCGAGCACTACATGTCGCAGGAACAAATGGGAAAGGCTCAATATGTGCCTACATGTCCGCCATGCTCGCAGCGTACAACGCTTCCCCACTACGGATTGAGTCTGGCAAACCACCAATTAAGCACGGCCGCTTTACCTCACCACATCTGATAGATCGCTGGGATTGCATCACTATTGACGAGAAAACAATATCTGAGGCCATTTTCAGGCAGGTCGAAGCAAAGGTTCTGGCGCGCAACATATCCGAAAACATCCAAGCAACAGAGTTTGAACTGCTTACAGCGACTGCTTTCGAAATCTTCACGCTTGAGAACGTGGACATTGGTGTCATCGAAGTCGGTATGGGTGGTCGTCTCGACTCTACCAACATACTAGGTCAGATCTCTGAGTTTGATGAGCTGGAGCAAAATCAACAGCACAGGCCGAAACCATTGGTGACTGCCATTTCTACAATCGCGTTGGATCATCAAGGCTTTCTCGGAAACACATTACTCGAGATTGCTACTCAGAAAGCTGGTATCATGAAGCCAGGAGTACCGCTGGTTCTGGCCATGAACGACGAGGCTGTGACACAGCACATTCTGCAACTCGCGGCCGAAGCAGGAGTAACACAAATATTGCACTCGAAAGATACGGCAGGCTTCGACGTGACTCGCGCATCCAGCACGACTGATGCGACACACGCTCGTCAACAAAATGGTGCCATGGCCTTCACAATAACCTGGCTAGCACTCAAGCAACTGAATCGCCTTCCTGCTCCACCTACCACCCAAGCTGCGTGTGGCTCTTCCACTCTGCGCAAAGAGATACGCACGTCGAGTCTTTCAACACTCGCAAACACACTACGCGCCGTACCACAAGGAGTCGTCTGGCCTGGTCGCCTACAAGATATCAATCTGGCACCCCTTACCAGCTACACACCTACAGCCCTCCTCGATGGCGCGCACAATGTCGAGTCAGCAACCGTGCTTGCCAATACAGTACGAGATCGTGCTCGCGACCATCCAGTCATCTGGGTCCTCGCTGCCTCGAAAGGAAAAGATTTGACATCCATGTTTGAGTTGCTACTTGCAGGAAGACCACGAGATCGCGTTGTAGCCACTGAGTTCGGGACAGTGGATGGCATGCCCTGGATCACGGCGACACAAGCGGAGGACGTCAAGACAGCTGTTGCAAACATATTACCTGAAGAGAGTGTGGTCGTTGAGAAGGATGTCGGCGCGGCATTGAAGAAGGCGTCTCGACTAGCCGAGGAGACGGATGCTCTGCTCGTTATTGGTGGAAGTCTCTACCTCGTCGGCGACGTGTTACGCTTGGTGCGCAATGCAGGTGGTCAAATCAGTTGATCGCTCATACCCAAAGTGGGAACAGATACATACATCTTGTATGCATATCTCACCGAACATCAGTAGAATGGAAACATTACTTCCTACACAAGACCATCGTAGACGTGTCTGCTCAAGAAGCCACTTTCTTACATATCATCGTCGCATAGCGATTGTGTTCCTTGACAGCTACTGCCATCCTGCCTCCCCATCGGCGCCCTCCGCGACGCAGGCGGCCGACGCGCTTACACGGCTCGCGTCCATGACTGTTCCTCTGAAACCACGTCTCTCATACTCCCTCATCCTCGTGGCCATGCTCTGCTTAGTCGGTACACCAATTTTCTCGAACAGTCCGGGAAAACGGGTACCCAGCTATGACCCCAACTCCCAGCACTTTTGGCGCGCCAGGGTCATAGTCAAAAAGACTTGTCGTTTTCACACTCAGCATTCCTCTCGGGAGAAGATGTAGATACTTATACAGCTGTAGAGATACACGAAACAAATTGTTTCTGGAATGTTTCCAGTGAGATGGAGTAGTGTTTCTGTTTCTCTGTGGATGTTTCTGGTTTCGGGATCGTGTTGTGCGTTTTTATAGTGGGTTGATGCTGTGAGAGGGCAGACTGGGAGATGGTGTATGACAACGACGAGACCACTGGGTTCAGGAAGAAGAGGAGCTCTCCCAGTATAGAATGATAGTAACCATAATGCTACAGAAATACGGAATCACTTTATTTTATTCAAAGCCTCCAAGGAGATGCGATGGCAATGATCCGTATCCCAGACTCCCGGCAACCCATTACTATACCACTACACTATCGTGCATTTCTACAGTTACACATCACATAGCACGAGACACACGAGTATAGGGATAATCAAACAAAATTCATAACATTTGCGCTGGCCCACGTATGAGCCTGGGTATCTTCGCTGGCGGACCACGTATGGACCTGGGTATCTTCGCTGCTCGAAACAAAAAGCACAACCAAAGATAAAGAAAATACAGGAGAAAACCAAACACCTTCCAAAAAGTTATACCAAAATCCCCGCAACAGTCTCTTGCCTCGTTAAAACCCTTTTGCCAATGGACGAAACAAAAGGGAAAAAGAGATACAAGAATGATGGAGATCTTGAACTGTTGCATGCACCCTCCTCTTTGTACTAGAGTCTGCCTTGCAACTCTGCACTAGCCTCGCAAGGCTATCCCGTATCGTCACGAGCGATACCATCGTACTGTTAAAGGTCAGAGTACCTGTGGGCGACAGAGAAGTTCTGTTTGGGGAGATAGGCCAGAGTGCCTAAGGGGCTCGTCAGCATGTTTGGTGAGACAGGTCAGCGTACCTGTGTAAAGGGGCGGAAGAGAAAAGACGAGCAGAGCTTCATCTCCAAGATGCAGCGTTCCATACAGGGTGGACATTCTGCTTCGGCGCGAACGACTTAGCATTTGGAAAGAGCGAAAATGATGCCGAGCTGGGCTTAGCAGCTGGGGCGATAGGGGCCCTATCCCTGATCCAAGGGACGTGTTTGTCAGAACGTGGGTGTTGAACCCAGTTCGTGACCTCCTCGATACCTTGTGGTGAAAGGCATGGGCTACCTTCCAACCTGAGATTCTCAAGGTATCTCCAAGGTACCGTGTACTTGGTGGTTACGTTTAAGCTTGTCGGCTTGGAAAACCGGCCGCTTAAAGCGACTGGTTTGCGCCAGGGATGAACCTGGTGTCCAAGCGGGAGATAATTCTCCCNCCATTCCCGGGCCTTACAGTTTCCCTTGATGTCCTTCGTTGTGGCAAAAATTACCTGAACCAACTCAGGGTTATCATCGTGACTGGGGAGAACGAGGACCGGGTGGTTTCCTGGAGCGCCTGGATTTCCGGTCGAGCAGTCCACTAGGGGTGCTCTGGCCGGCAGGAACTTGAACGAACCTGGTGCAAGACGCTCCCGAACCAATGACTCAAGAGCAGCGGCGAGCTCAGGAGCAGTAGCAACCTCACCAGAGGTGAGAGAGGCTGGCGAGGTGGTCGCGGGAGTTGAGATAGGAGAGCAAGGCTCCGATGACGAAGTAGAACAGGTAGATGTCATGATGTGTTGATCGAAAAGGTCTTGTCGCGTGACAGAGTGTTTCCATCGATCATGGCCGAAGCGATGTGAGAGAAGAAAGAGAGGGAGAGAGCAAGGCTCAGATCAGGCCCTTCTAATACTGCTCTGCCACGTTTCGCTGCAGCCTCCTTCTATCGAATTCTGTTTCTGAATTCCCTCATAGTAAAGCATCGCAAAGCTGCTCTTGGAGCCTGGAGAGGGACTTGTATGAACTCCTGACGGATCGTGAAGAGCTCAGTCTCTGTGGAAAGCCCTGTTTTCGGTATATCATTCTGCATTTCGATGGTGTATCTACGACCTTCGAGTCGAGCAGGAGAGTCGATTGATGGGCAACAAAGTAGGAATTCTTAGGTGTCAGTGAGAGGTGTAATGGCGTTTGACTGGCTCAGAGCATTCGGACCCTAACCCACAGAATTTTCATTCTTGCTCGCGTGGCCAACCTCGTCCAATACATTACGACGCGGGGACGGTAGCGAATAGCATCACGGGAGCCCGGACGGTCGGCGAGAGCTAGCGGGTCGGCGAACGTACCACCGTGAGGTCGTTTTCAGAAGTGTGAGACAGGACGCAATGAGATCCAGCAGCTATAGGGACACCGACGACGAGTGATGGATCCGATCGAATTATACAATGTCGACGATATACCAAGAGCCAGCATGTATGATGAATGAGGAGCAATAGTAACGATGCTAATGGGCGCGTGATTACCGGATCGGGATGCCGGGATGGTGACGAGGACTTTCATCATCTTGTCCGAGACGACCGCGCAAGAACAACCGCGCAGCGACTCCATTCTACCGCAGATATTCCAACATCTACCACGAGTGGTAGAGTATACGAGACTAGTATAGGAGAAATGTACGAGCATAACACAGTGCGACTCGACAACAACATCCAGAATGAAACAGACGGCGCAACATACAATAGGAGGAACTCTCCCTCCCAAGCTAACGAGAAACAGTCAAAAAACAAGCAAGCAAGCAAGCAAGCAAGCAAGCAAGCAAGCAGATACATTCGACAAAATTCCAACACTTACTGGGGATAGACATAAGACCTACCAAAATTTCAGACTCGGCGGCGGCTTTCGTTCTACAGCGACTGTCAGGGCTTCACTGCTGATTCTACAGAGCCCAAACTGTCTATTCTACATGAGCCCCAACTTCTGTCTTTATCCTTCTTCATCATGCAGTATCGTTCTTTCTCGTCGCATTTTTTGGCATCATTTTTGCATTTTCCCTGGTTTCAAGTTCTTTTTGATGCTTTTCTTTGGGCCGCGGGTTTTCGTACAGTTTTTTGCAACTCCAAGTTCCATTTTCAGGAGGGAGTGAGGTTGAGATGGACGATATATTGCGTCACTCCGTCGACTCATCCATCCCTGTTGAGATCGACAGATTGATTAGATTTGTGGTGGTTTGTGGATATATGGCGTACCGCTCCTTGACTTTGTCCTGTGGATGAGCTCATTTTATGCAGTTTTGAGCATTTCGGGTTAGCACAAACTTGAGCCTTGGTTGTCAAGACTTGGCATCTGGTGCGACAGGTGTACCATGTGACTTCATGTTGATGCTATCGTAGACCAAGCTGATACTTCAACGTGCTAGTACACGTATCCGGAGAACCTTCGACAAGCGCAGAACTGCATCTCCATCTTGAAGCGTCCATTTTGTCAATCGACCAACTCAACAGCAACGTGATTACGCCTCCCGCTTGTCGAGCACTACCACTGCCTAGGGTTGCGATGTCCGCTCTCGCTGGACTTCAGGAAAACATCCGGCGACAGAAACTGCTTGACATGCCATCAAAAGAATGACCACATCCCCCGAAACGCCGTCTCTTTGGACAGCTATGGCCCAGCCAAGGCACAAAGAAGATAATTTTTCCTAAAACGCGGCCATCAAAATATCCTAACGAGCATTCATTGCAGTGACTACTTGGCTCGTCATTCAGATACTCCAAGAGAATGGCAACAACCCACTATCATCTCGCTAGCAAGACTAGTAAACTGCAATGACTTGAAAGTAGCCTACACCCACCCCCTGGTTGCTTGCAAACAACCACCACTCAATTCCTATAAAACCCACTGCTTCTGCCTCCAAGAACTTCAGCCGCAAGCCCAAGACGGCCAAGGACGATTTCGTCCGCATCCTTAGCAATGTCAAGGAAGCTCTTGACCACGGTCTTTTCCCCTTGTATGCCAGGCCGCCCAACGATATGACAAGCAACGACGAACCTCCGGTCACAGTGCTAAAAGGTCTCTCTCCTACGCCGATACTCTCGCGGAAGTAAATATAGTTCTTTCGTGCTGTGATTCCAAAGCTCTAGCGCAGAAGGTTGAGCATTTGCGATACTATGGATGGAAAGCGCGACTAGGACCCGGGATTTCGTACCGGGCTGCTTGCATTATGATGCCGTCACTCGCCTCCCGCTTCGTACGGAGCGTGGCAGATGTAGCATGATTTACGGAAGTCCTGCAGAGATAAAGGCGCTCTGACGACCGTCAACGAAGCGGCATCTTCAAAATATCAAGTGTCAATGAGCCTAGCTCCTTGCAGGTACTTCGTTCCTCCAAGTCAAGTAAAAATTCATTGTAGTGTGACAGAGAGATAAAGTTATATGGTCGTTCAAGATGCAGAGAAGCTACATCAAACCTTCCTTTATGCAAACCCGTCGCTTTCATCCCGTACATGACAACTCAAAAATGGAAGAAGTGACTATCGTGCCTATCGTGCGCAACCTCAGATCTACCATATGAGAGATCGCCCTCGTGCGATGAGGTCGAATTTTCCCGCCGTTCGGAGCCCGAGGCGTTTCGTCGGATACCTCGAGCTCCCGAGAAAGATGCAGTGCAGTGGCCGATAAGTTGTCGTAGTAGACTGACACGTTACGGACGTGCTTTCTTCTCTCTGAACCAATGTTGGTCAAGAAGTGGCCTTACTTTACATTGCAGAGTAGTTCATATAGTAAAACTCGGACATGGCAGCTCTCCACTCATTCAATCCTCTCACAGCGACATAACTGAATAACTTGACTGTAAAAATACAAGGAAGCAAAACAAAAAAGATAATGATACCGTGCGAATTTTGTTATGAAATGGAAAAAGCCCCTCTCATGGCAGCACTCGCACGGTATCATTATAGAGCCATGAGCGGGATTTGAACCCGCGACCTCCTGGAAAATGCCAAGGGCTTTCCAGGTATGCTCCCAACTGCACCACCATGGCTTACTTACTGGAGCAAGGAAATCTCTCGAATATATGGGTTGAGGGGGAAGGGTGGCGACGGCGAGGTTAGTGGTGGAACAGCGCGGTTGGATGAGGTGGTTTGGATGGTCAGCAGGCCCCGGAAGCCTCAGAGACCGGGACGATGTCGGCGAGTGTACGGGAGCGAACCCAGTGGTTGACGACAGACCTTCCACCTTGGAAGTTAAGCTCGACTGCAATATTGCAACAATCATGTACCCAGTCTTGTCGTAGCGCTTCGATGGCTGTATTCAGCTGATCCAGTTGGTGGTCCCAGGTTTATTGACATCTGCCGAGTGTTGTCTGTTGTTCACTGTGATGGGAGGCCACATCCGAGCATGATTTCATGTCTGACCGCCACGATACAGATCTTCGTGCTGACGGAACCAGAAACATCATCATCATCAACGACAATGTTGCCCTCGAAGCCTATCTCGAGACCACGACCTGAATATCGAATCATGACTAGGCCCGCGAACAAAACAGCTTGCGAAAAACGGGGACATCCAGGGTGGCCAAAGACGAGTATCGATTTGATCGTGGACACCTCCTTGTAGCTTATCAGAGCCTAGGATGGTTTATATTGTGCCTTCTTCGCGTCCGCATGTGAGGTGTCGTCAGATGTCTGCGCAGAAAAGTCTTCGGGGTGGACTGGTCCATTGTGACATGACTGGGGACATCAGTATACCGGCAGTCGCGTTTGCGAGCACATGGCGTCGAGTTTTTGCAATGTCTTCAATTGCTTCTCTCACCCAGGTCGACAGATTCAAGGAGTGTCGTTGTCGATGCCAAGCCACAAAGAGGCTTTCAGATTCACATGCCAGAAAGCGATACGTCATGCAGAAATGCGATCACGGATTGGGCGTGATATCAGCAGGCTGGAAGATGGGTGCTTGTTCCTCTGAGAAAAAGCAGGGCAGCATCTCGGCCGGACACTAAGGGGGACAGCTGACCTGAGGCCGCTTTCTCGGTGCAGCAGATAGATCAGTCGATCAGGGTCGCGTCCAAAATAGCTCTTTGTTTTCTATTCACAACACCAGCATCTATTTCGCCAAGTACCTAAGATACTCCCTGCAACTTCTACATCTATCTATAGCCATGGACGAACAAGTAGACAGATTGGTCAAGAAGACATGGGCCAAGTTTCAGCAAGTGCCCAGGTCCAAGCGACTGATGATTGCCGTATCTGGAATCCCAGGGTCAGGTAAGATAAGGACTCCATGTCATATTGCACAGAACTGACAGCTCGCCNNAGGCAAAACAACTCTCGCGTCCGTCGTCGCAAACCGATTGAACGATCTTCACCATGAACAATTCCCTGCGCTGGCACAAAATGACGAACCCGCTGCTTTTGTCCCAATGGACGGCTACCACTTGTCGCGAGCACAGCTAGACGCCATGCCCGACCCAAACACTGCCCATGCAAGACGGGGCGCCGCATTCACCTTTGATGCAGGTTCCTTTTTGGAGCTGGTCAAAAAGCTCCGCCAGCCCATCACGCCAGAAACAAAGACATTGTATGCGCCATCTTTTGACCATGCTCAGAAAGACCCCGTCAACGACGATATCCCAATCCACCCAGAAGCTCGTATTCTGATCTTCGAGGGCAACTATTTGAGTCTGGGCACGGGGGCGCCAGAGTGGAAAGAGGCAGCGGAGCTCATGGATGAGCTGTGGTTCGTCGAGGTCGAGGAAGACGTAGCAAGAGAGCGATTGGTGAAGCGTCACATCGAGGCCGGCATTGCCAAAGACGAGGAGGAAGCGCGCAAGAGAGCCGACGAGAACGACCTCGTCAATGGCCGCGAGATTGTACAAAACAGACTGAGCGTGCACGAAGTCATCAAGTCAAAGCACGACGGCAGCTGGAAGCCGGAGAATCAAGGCATGGATGCTGCCGATGTGAACAAAGAGGCATAGACCATTCTTGTAAGATCGATGGCATGATGCATCCATGATCTAGACAGACTTAGAATTACATGTTAGATGAGCAACCAAGTGTGGCTTAACGTTCTCTCGCTTTCTGTCACCTGCTGTGTTTCCATGTTTTGGCGACGTTTTGGAGCATCACGATCTCGCAAGTGTTTGTGGGTAATGACGCCCGGCTGTGGAGAAGCTTGCGAAATGTCCCGCATTGCCCTCGGCTTGGAGGAACGCGCTCGCGTGCTGTCGGATTCTGATGACAGAAACCTTGTACCATGTTGATGCAGGCTCTCGTGCTGCACTGCCAAACTCGATCGTACTCGGTTGGTCTAGCAACTCGGGACAAAGGGTGTTTGTGGGAGTCGGACTTGCAGGGCATCAACAACGCGGTCGTGGAGAAAGCGGGACAAGGTTGGCCATAGCTTCCACTTCCAGCCACAAAACAATGACGCTTGCGTGAGGATACGTCACAGCTGGCAGGAGCGAGGCGTAGCACGACTTGCATTTAACCTCGTCTCCTGCGCTCTTTCCGTCCATCTCTCCCATATCCATCTCCAAACCCATCAAATCTTCACCTTTTCACTCCAAAACACACACACATCCACCACAATGGCCACTCTCTCCTGTAAGTCGCTGCTGACTCTCTCCCACTGCAGCTGTCCGCACCTTCTGGAGCTCCTTCGAGCCATGGATGCGCACAGCTCAGGGAAGAGATTGACAAACATCACAAAGCAGTCACTGACTCTTCACTTCTGCAGACCTCCCCCGTCAAGCCTTCGGCCATCGCTGTCGGCACTGCCTTCAACCACCTCGCCTCGCTCGCCATTCTCGGCCCCGTCTTTGGCGACACCTACCGCCAGGCCCAGGCCGCCAACTCCAAGGAGGAGTTCTTCAAGTCCAAGGAGACTGCTTCGGCCGCCGCTGCCTGGGGTACTTCCCTTGCCGGCTCTGCCCTCCAGTCCTACGGTGTCGGTGCTCTGCTTAACGCTACCGGTACCCTCTCCTACAAGGGCGCCGCCTACCTCGGTGGCCTGATCTTCGCTGCCTCTTCCGCTCCTTCCGTAAGTTTTGATACCTCAAGATCTCTCACACGAACATGCTCTAACATCTCTCTANNGTTCATTGCCCAGATCTTCACCGAGAAGCGCCCTCTTGACACCGTCGCCGTCGGTGCTCTTGCCCGCGTCTTCGAGACTGTCGGTCTATCCATGTTCCTCACCTACTGGGGTACCCGCACCAACCCCTTCTCATAAGTTAATCGCTTAGAGAGAGGTTGAGTGTTATTAGTTTCATGCCATGACGATTAAGGAGGATGACTTTTAATCAATCCACGGGCGTTTTACCAGAGAACAATTGCCCTGCTGTACCATTAGCATAGTTCGAAATCAGAACTCTATTGCAACTTCATATCTTTGTGCTTCTTTACTATCATCCATGTGATCGTGTGCTGCCTTGAAAGCATATTGGCGTCATTGGAATATGTCGTACATACGAAAGAAGCTAACAGTCTTAGAATTAAGATACAAGAACTTCACTATTCATGAGGATACCCTGTTCTCAGCTTGACTTTGTCGCTGTTTTCAATACCTATGTGCTGCGACGATGGCTGGACGGAGCCGCCGAGTACATTGATGGTCCGTCTTAAAGCCCCGCCATTTTCTTTTTTAACTTCTTTTTCTTGTCAATCACCAACTTTTTTTCTCTTGATCCTCTCGTCAGCGACAAGCCATCACCCGTAACATAGCATCCCCCACACAGCCATGTCCGCCGAAACCGACCCCTTCCTCGCCCTCGACGTCTCGAGCGACGACTACGCAACCACCGCCGCACACGACCAACAAGCCGGCGCTGACGCAACCCTCGCAGCCGTCGAAGCAGAAGACGACAGCGATGCCGAGAGAGAAAAAGCCGGAGCTGCGCGCGCCGCCCGAACAAGATATACCGAAGACGATTTCCTGGCACAAAAAGCAAGTTATACGGCTAGGATTGATGAGGGCAGTGTAAGTGTTTTTTGCAGTCATGGAAAGAGCATGGGACGTTTGGCTGATGGTGTGGGTGATAGATCNTGGAAACAGTTGCTGGAGTTTGAACCGCCCTTTCGACCTTCTGGGGCTNNTTTTTTTTCTGCTGCGGGTGCTGGATCTGTTGATACGACTACTTCTGCCTCTTCATCCGGAGTAGACTCTGGAGCGGGAAAGACTAAACTGGACAAGAAGCATCATCAAACCATTCAGGCCGCTGTCTCTGAACTCTACTTCTTGGAGAAGTACCCTGCGGTGCAAGAGATCATTACCTGGGCCAAGGACAACTTTGAGAAAGACAAGAAGTGGGATGCGCAGGTCAAGAAGTGGGAGGCCAAGATCGAGGCCAAGATGCAAGCTGCTTGAGAGCTAGAAGAGATGGGAGACACAAGAAAAGAACGTCCTTGATACATTCGCCAACCGGTACGGAAGCAGAAGGCTTCTCCGGTAAACTACGGCTTCCAAATCGAGATATCCGGAGCCGACACCTTTCTACAGACAGTCACGCCGACGCATTTCGCTCCCGACTGGGTCGTCGACGCCCTTTCCGGTACGCTCGCTTATCAAATGCTACTCGACGACTATCAATCAGGTCATCGCGCTTGCTTCAGAGATTACCGGACCAACCACAATGCGTCGAAAGACAGAGTGAATCTGCCTGCTCGTGGTCTCACGGGAGTCCTACAGGATGAGCTGGAAGCGGATATTGAAAGGAGGTCTTTGTGGACCGAATACACAATTTGCACACACAAGCATTGTCGCCAAGTCTCCTTCCTTCCTTGTGGTGTCAGAAGATCATTGAGAGAGTTTGCATACACAACTTGCAAACAAAGGGGCGATATCGGGTGTGAATTCAGCTACTCGAGTTGCTGGTTCGAGGGCTTTGGATGGGTTTGAGGAGATTGTAGGTGCGGTTCCTACTCGCTGCAATTCATTGTTTCTTCTTTGCTTTTTGGTGCTGCGTTTTGTGTTTGTATTTGCGCAGTATTTTGTACTACCGTCATTGTTCATGTTCTAGTGATATTAAATCCTGCTTTCTTTCTCAAAATCGAGATCACATCCATTGTCCAAAACACATTCTCAAACCACATTTCTGGTCTAGGCCAGAAATAGTATTGCACCAGGCTCGAACTGCGCCGCCAACCAGAAATCCACGTAGACACACATGTATCCAGAGTGAGGGGTCTGCTGCGAGAAGAGAGCCTGCGTTTCTGTGCATGCAGTCTGACTGCATGAGGCTGCATGCATGAATCCTCGATTAGGCGGCAATAACTACCACCAATGCTCAAGTAACACTGCTGTCCAGCTTTTACGACCTTTCTATCATCTACTGTTGAGCACAGTACCTTTCATCATGTCGACAGTCTCAAAACTTGTTGCGTTGTTGACCCTGACTGTAGGTTGTCATGGCTCACCTTTCGGCCATTTCGCTCCACATGTCGTCGTGTGTAATGGTACCGAGCAGCTGAGGCCAACCTACGATTATGTTATTGTTGGCGGCGGGACGAGCGGTCTTGTTGTTGCAAATCGCTTGACTGAGAACCCTCACATCAGTGTTCTAGTCATTGAACGTGGTTACCTGTTAGTCCTCCACCCTCCCATCTGTATTACAAGTGCTTACACTTAGATAGCNGATGGCCAAGACAACGGAACCACAGTGCCTGGTCTCGCGGTCCCAAACAAGTATCTCAGGACGGACACCAGTATCCCTCAATCTGGTCTCAACAACCGCACTGCCCCTCTGTACACTGGTGATGTCGTGGGTGGAGGAACAGTAGTGAATGGCATGTTCTTTGCTCGTGGAGCGAGAGCTGACTATGATGCCTGGGAACAACTAGGAAACCCTGGATGGGGTTGGGATGGACTGTTGCCTTACTTCAAGAAGGTTTGTTCTTATCACGAAGAGATGAAGATGATTTACTAACTCCGGGTACAGAGCGAGACGTTCACACCACCAATTGAGGAGATTCAGGAGATGTTTCCTGGAGTGATCTCCTCCGGTTTGGAGCCTCATGGTATCGATGGACCTGTGGGATCAAGTTTCTCAAACTATCAGTATCCAGTGATCGGTAAGCTGCACCTCCCCTTGACTTCTTGGATAACCCAACCTGACATTTTCTCTTCTCGTACAGAAAACTTCTTTGCTGGTTGGGACAGCATCGGTGTTGCCATAAACCCTCAACCGAACAACGGAGAAGCTACTGGTGCTTTTTACAGTACCATTTCCGCATATGCGAAGAATCAGTCTAGGGCACATGCCTCGAATGCTTACTATCGACCTGTCGCCAATGTGCGAAGAAATTTGCATCTGCTTACTGGACACACTGTTTCCAAGATCAATTTCGACAAAGAGTTGAAAGCTGTCTCTGTTGATGTGAGTGTTGCTTTCAAGATTGCTTGTAAGGTGTGTTACTGATGGTTGTGACTANNGTTCATGTCCAAGGCTACGAACGAGACCAGTACGGTGAGATCAAGCCGAGAGATCATCATGGCAGCAGGCGCCGCCCGTACTCCTCAGATCCTGCAGCTTTCTGGCATTGGACCTGAGCCGCTGTTGTCAAGTCTTGGGATTGAGACTATTGTGAATCTACCGGGAGTAGGCAGCAACTTCCAGGATCAGCCTACTCTGTATATGCAATTCAGCTGTAAGTCATGTGGTGATTGCGGGCGACAGATTGATACTGATGAAGAACAAGACGGCAACTATACCTTCCCGAGCCCGGACTGGATTCTCTCGAATGCGAGCTGGGCTGCTGAGCAACTTGATGTATACTACAAGAACCGTACAGGTAAATCGTACATCTCATCGCTTTTGGTTCAGTAATTGACATACAGTTGCNNAGGTCCAATGACTGTCCCTTATCTGGGCGGCAGCACCGTAGCTTTTCTCCCTCTTCAAAACATCACTTCTGACTACCACTCCATCATCGCTTCCACATCACCAGTAAACCTCTCATCCCTGCTTCCACTATCAACTCACCCATCCATCATCGCTGGCTACAGAGAACAAATCAAACTCCTCGAATCTTTTTACTCATCTGCTCATGCGGCAGTAGCAGAGATAGCCTGGGAAGGCGGCAACACCCTTCCTCTCGCCATCATCCGTCCATCCAGCCGAGGATCCATATACATCAACACCACAGACCCTTCTGCCGCCTCTGTGGTCGACTTCAACACATTCTCCCACCCTATAGACATGGCCATCGCCGTCGCATCTGTCAAGAAAATCCGCGATTGGGCTTCTTCACCGCCCATGCAAGCTCTGGGAACTGTAGAAATCTTTCCAGGTAAGAATGTCTCGACCGATGCGGAAATTGAAGAGGCAATTAGAGATGCAGCGACGAGCTCGTGGCAGCATCCTTCGTCAACGACGGCGATGATGAGGAGGGAGTTGGGTGGAGTTGTGGATGATGAGTTGAGAGTGTATGGTACGAAAGGGTTGAGGATAGTTGATTCGGGTGTTTTTCCTATGGTTGTGGCTGGACATACCAGTAGTAGTGTTTATGCTGTTGCTGAAAAGGTGGGTCTACCGAGAATGTCGAACGGGGACACGATTGCTGACTCTCAGTATAGGCGGCTGATATCATCAAGGCGGCTTGGGTGTAAGTTCATATGCATCCAGAGGGGTGCCTGGGGTAAACATGCTAGATGATCATGTTCAAGATCTGGACTCCCTGTCGCTTCGATATATCGAGTTTGAATCTGTAGACAGACTATAAGCCGCATCGTATGGTGTATCTAAGTCCTCTATTGAAAAGCATTGTTAGAAAGAACAATCAGCTCAGACAAGAGAGGATTTGATGCCGAGACCACAAACATTTTCCAAGCATGGGCCTATGCCGTCCATCTGTGGATGAAGGACCAGATAGGCGATGAATGAGGGAGATGGCGCAGTACAAGAAACCTTACGACACTGTCGCTCCATTTGACAACGTGCAAGACGCAGCTCTAGGCACACGCATCAAGCCGAACGCAAGATCGATGTCAGAGAGGATGGTATCGTGAAACGCAGACTCGCCAAGTTGCAATAATTCACCGAAATGGTCGATGTTGACAACAAAAGCCTCTGACGTTTGCCGATCAAATGACGAGGCCAAGCAAACGCACAGCCACAAATCTCCCTGGTTTCACAACCACCAAATGCACCCAGCCTTACGATCAACACAAGAAAGCAAGGTCTTTGTTGAACAGATAAAAACTGGTGGATCCGACCTTTATATATCACCTACCTTTGTCGCAATCAATCTCATCGCTTCATCAATCCTCTGCCTCCATCAAAAACAACAAGAGTCAAAACAATACCTCGACTACCAACACTGCAACATCCAAGCGACCATCAAGCAAACCTTAAACTTTCACATTCAAGATGCCTTTCATGTGGACCAAGGGCTGGGGCGGCAAGCACGCTGGTACGCTCGATATTTCTTAATACTTTCCATCGACCATTTGACTGACTCCTCATGTCTAGGCGGTGGCGTTATCGTCGACAAGCATGGCCCTCGTCGCGCTCCCTTCCGCTTTTCTTTCGGCAAACTGAACTGCTTCCGCTAAACAATTCGCCAATACGCTTTTGGATGCGCGACATACTTCTCAAGCTCTGAGCACCAGCGGCAGATATACCTGCATGTTAGGCTGAGCACTGCATGACCTTTTACGACCGATTACGACATGACTAGGGAAAGCGCAATGGATTAGGATTGGGAGGATAAGAAGACGAGATACCCGTTCTGGTCAACAAATTGATGAAACTCTTGTGACACATTTCTATCTGATAAGACTTCTTGAACTGTGATGTCTGGCTTGTTGCCTATCCTTTTAGAAGTTCTTTCTTGTGTGATGTGCCCCTCGTTAATGTTACTCTCAAGCTGTGATATCACAAGCATTGCTCGGATCCTAAGGTTATGATATATACACAACTTGGAAGCCTGTACTTGTAACAGTTGCTATAACGAGAACAGACGCACGACTATATGGCCAACCACTTCCTTCTTCATCGCTTCAATTGCATCGCAGACCATGCTGCTCACAGGAACAGGGATATATTTGTTTGGCATCAGGGTCATACCCCAAGCAAGAGCTCGAGCACGGATCATGCAAGTCATTTGCAACGCGTCGCTCGTCGAGAACCTGTCGTTAACGACCACAAAGATCTATCACCACTGTCGCGGACGTGTTTGCTTCATATCCACGTCTACATCCTTGGTCGCCTACACAAGACCTTATCTTCCAGTGAGTTTTGGTCACTCCTTTTCCAATTCCTGCCATGCCTGTCACAGAGCAATGGCCTTCTGTGAGAATCACGCGCCTAGCCCGATTTTCCATCTGCATCGTCGACTAGCCATTGGACAGAAGCTATTATGGATAAACCACAGTCCCTCACCCTACGATGACTGAAAGTGATCCCATACCATGTGCATGGCAAGTGACCTCAGCTCACGGTATTCAAGACAGAAATCTTCATACTATCGACTGCTCTCTCAATATCTCCCAGTAGCCTACAATACACACTGGGGGAAAAAAATGCCACGACCAGAAGGCTACGCCTCGATGCAATTCGACCAAGTCGAAAGCTCAGGAAAACAAGTCATTGTCCAGTGCAGACACTGCAAGACCAAACGTCTCGCTCGCAGTGTTGCTAGCCGCAAAGTAAAGCATCTGCAACAATGTTCTGATTTCCATCGCTACCTGGCCGAGCTCGCTGCAACCAATAATGAAGAGTTAAACGATGTGCCCGAGGAGCTCTTACATGGACCCCAGAAAAGGACAGTCAATTATGGAACGGGTGTTGGAAGTGGGAGTGGTGGCTATGTGCAGCAGGAAACGCCCATCAGGAGACAATTCGACATGTCGTTGCCTACACTGCTAGATGGACTTGGCAGTGGAAGACAGCAGTCACTGTCTACACCGCTAGACGACATTCGCGACTGGAACGGTGGGCTCGAACCCGATACTCCGATGAATGATGTCGCGACCTCTGAACCCGCCACTGCACCGGCAACAGCACCACAGCTATCTCGACCGCGTCCCCAAACCCATACTTCTCACCCTGATTCTGTTCCTGAGCGAGCAATGGCTTTTGCTCATCGAGCTGCTCAGCGAAGAAAAGAGAAATTAGATAATCTTCTCACGCGAGCAATCTATCAAGGAAGTTTGCCGTTCAATATCAACGATGCGGCAAAACACCCTGCCATGGCTGAGTTTTTCAAGCTGGTGGACTATGTTCCGCCAAACAGGCACAAGATTGCGGATGATGTTTATGATCACACTCATGATCAGAGTGATGAGATCGTCACTTATATTTCATAGTTGTCATGCTGGTCAGATAGTAAAAGGTAATGCAAAAGGGCTCCCAGATCATGTACTCATCCGAACAAGGCCCAACGTTCGCGTCTGTTCACTTCTCCCATTCATTAGCAAACGGTAGAACATGTCCCTAATGCGAACCTTTCAAGCGGTGAACGATGACAACAGGAGGTCGATGCAACAGCGTTGGCTAGTGCGTTTCCGCATGTCTTCCAGTATGCTTCTCTGGCTTTGGCGTCTTCCACCAGGGGTTTGACCGCACTGACGTGCACGTGTAGCTTGGTGCTCTTGTGCAAACGATAAAAAGCTTGGTCATAGAATACAACAACGACAAGGACAAGTGAGCAATGAGAGAGTATTCAGAATGTGGTAAAGATAGCATTCGATCTATTGAAAAGCAAGAAAAACGCCGGATCATGAACCCAAAGAAACCATTAATCATTATGCATTGTTCCACGCGGAATGTCGTAAAGCTGTTTTGCCTTTTTGCCCGGCCCCAGACCATGCTCAATCCAAGATCCAGATGCGCACAAATGACGAGGATGCTGTGTGAGGAGATGCTAGGAAAATGATGGAAAGATCGCTCAACCAACAGAGAAAGAGGTCAAAAGAAAAGACAATGGGTATCGCAAGACAAAAGAAGTCAAAGTCGTTCAAGCAACAACCTTGACGGGCTTCTTCTTAGTAGCAGTCGACTTTGCGCTTGAGTTTGCGGTTGCGGAAGCAGCTTTGGGGCAGTAGATGTTTCCAGCAGTGGCATTGACATAGCGGCCCTGCTCGGCAGCGACAAAGTCGAGCGGTGTCAAGGTCTTGTTGAACATGAAGCAGCCAACCTCCAATTCTCCGCCAGGCAGGCCCAGCCAGCCCTTGGGTAGAGGTGCGTTATAGGCCATGAAGGCAGATACACAACCGCTCAGGCCGTTGCATTGCTGGATGCAGTTTGACCAGCGGGCTTCTTTGGACATGAAGTCGGGCTGAGGGATGTACCAGGAGTAGATTTGAGACGAGGAGAAGACGGTTGAAGGAAGGTAGCCGGAGATGCTGGCGTTGCCAGGGTGGAGGGAGGCATGAGGCAGGGGGTTCATGAGTGTGCAGTTCTCGGCGAGAGGCACGATGGCGGGTCCTCCAGCGCGGCGTTCGAGCTCGATTGGCGAGGCAGCTGCGAGGAGAGGCAGAGCAACGGCGGTGAAGATGGTGGAGAAGAGCATGTTGAAGGTGTTTGGTGTTGATCGTAAGTGGAAAGGTTTGGTCGAGTGAAAAGTATTGTTGCTGATGATAACTGATCTGGTATGGCAAGTCGATGTGAGATTGAATTGATCGATGCTCAGATGGTGTTGGCGTGAATTGATAAAGTCGCGATTGATAAGAAGCAAGAAAAATCAAAGGCGGGCATGGTCATGTTCTTAAATACAGAATATCACTCGCACGGCGGACGGCACCCGCTGCACGTCATTGCTATTCTCGGTAGCAGTTGGTAAAGTTGCCGCTTGCATGCAAACCACGCTCGACCAAAGCCCAGGTGGAAGCGGACGAAGCGGACGCACAAAGCAGGGGCTGAGTCTCCACCAATGCCGCAACTCGGGACCTTGCTCTCATCCTGCTTCTCACGCGACCTGCATGCATGTCCCGTCGCATATCGACCACTCAATGCCATCAGGCCTGCCTTCTGTTCTTTGCCAATCAACACAGCCACTCACTCACTTGCCTGTTTTTCCATCATCGCCCTGTACGACCACAGTCTATCGCAACTTTGAAACAAAGCCTCAATTGGCTTTGCTCAACGGGCTTGTTTGGACCATGGATAGACGTCGACTGTTTCTCGCGTCGTAAGGGCAAGAGTGGTCCGTGGCAGTCGCGTGCACAAATGCTCTGCAGTTCTACGCGTGAAGTGGGCCTTAACTTTTTTCTCTCTTCACGCGCGACCTTGACTAAAAATACTACTACTGTAACGACAATTCGATAGTCTTGTGCCACCAAGCACGGGAGCAGCAGCATGGCTTTGTGGCACTTTTCTTTCGCACTTCTCTTGTTCTTGAGTTGCTCTCGTGCAAGGCGACAGTGAGATTGGCGGTCTGTGAAATACAGATCGCTGTTCTTCGACGGGTTCAACGACGGTTGCTCCAGGACGCCTCTTGTCTCATCTGTCTCCGCAAGAACGTTGACGGGTCGCGGCAGGAACGTCACTTCTCTGGACGATAGCCGGCAGCGGTCACAGGTCATGAGCATGTCTTGAGTTTCGTTGATATGGTTCCGTTAAACCCGGCATGGCAGCTATGCACAAGAAAGACAGTGCCGAGCGAGGGAAGCGGTGTGCACAAGTCTTGCACGAGGCAATGGTAGTATCGGAAGACGAGCCATCTCTGGACAAGATTTGGAAAAGTGCTACGCTGACACGAGGAGACATCAAGATGGCTGGAATGCCTGGAAAGATGCATGTCGTGTTGCATGGGCAGCCCTCTGTTCGGGATGGACCGTCCCACAGTGACGGCTTCCCCGCCGAAGACCAAGATGGTTATCCGACCAAGCATCATCTCTTATTGCATCCGAGCTTCTGTTTGACAAGGTGAGAGTTTCGATTGAGGTATAGTACATCTGAGGAACTGTCATGTCCAACCTATCACGAAACACCATCTCTCCACTTGTCATCCGAGGATGCTGTCGAAACCGCGTGTTGCGTCATAACAACTCATGGCGGGGTCCACTGCCGACGGCATCTTCGACGAGAAGGATAACCACCACACCTTCACCGCTACCTTCTAGATTCTCTCCCTCAGCATACCTCAACACCTTGCAGCAAGTCAGACACAAATCCAAGATGACCGAATCATCGCAATCCCCGCTCTCCGGCCTCTGGAAGCCGACCCATCTCCAACACCTCTTCTACGGTCCCGACTGTGTGTCCAAGCATCTGCTCGAATGCCTTCCGGACGAGAAGTCCAAAGCTTTCATCATCACCGGCTCCTCGCTCGCAAACAAGACCTCGCTCATCAAGTCCGTCGAATCGCAATTGGGATCGCGCCACGCCGGCACCTTCTCCAACATCAAGCAACACGCTCCAGTAGCCGAGCTGGACAAAGCTACAGACACCGTTCGTGAAGACAATAGCATCGATACCATCATCAGCATCGGCGGTGGCTCCCCCATAGACAGCGCAAAAGCAATCTCCTACCGCTTGAACGAGAAGTCTGGCCGTTTCCTCCACCACATCGCCATCCCTACAACCTTGTCGGCAGCAGAGTGCACATTCAATGCTGGATACACAGAGAAAAATGGACAAAAGACTGGTGTCGCGCATGCTGAGTGTGCTCCCCACGCCATCCTCTACGATTCAAAGTTCGCCCTCGAAACACCTGAGAAGCTGTGGATGAGCACTGGACTGCGCGCCCTGGACCACGCAGTCGAACTGCTGTACCATCCCACCAGCACAGAAGTCCCTTGTCGCCAGATGACATTGATTGCTGCCCACGACCTCTTCACCAACCTCCCCAAGTACAAGGCCAACCCTCAAGATGAGGATATCATTACAAAACTGCAATTGGCCAGCTTTGCCTCCCTTGGTTTCTTGGGCTTGAACGTCAAGGGCGGCCTCGGACTCAGCCATACACTTGGCTATGCCCTGGGCTCTCCCTACAGCATTCCCCACGGCATAACCTCCTGCATGACCCTAGGTCACGTCGTGAAACTCAAGGCTTCCACCGATGCCTCTGCCGCTTCCCAACTCGCTAGACTCTGTCCNTTTGTTGGCGTCACCAAGACTGGAGACGATCAAAAAGATGCTCAAGCCGTTGGAGACGCAATCCTCAAACTTGTAGAAGAATTGGGGTTGAAGAGTTCGTTGACCGAGTACAAGGTTGACGAGAGTGAGGCACACACCATTACGAAAACTGCGACTAGAGCTGAGAGTGGAGAGTTGTATGATCAAGTCATGAAGCTGGTCAAGGGGCTGTGGTGACTCGACTCGAAGGCGCATTTGTAAGAAAGACATCGATATACAAAAGTATCCATGATGCATTTGTCTTGGCTCTAAAATGAATACTCTCCCGAGACATCTCTGAACCGACTGTAGAATCGCCGAATCATGCCATGACTTTCCTCAGTTGTTGAGTCGACGAGCAGCCATGCAGAGAGACAAGCAAGCCGCTTTTGTCTTATGTATAAAGCAAAGTCCGAGCACTATACACATCGCCGTTGCCATACCATACAAAGATCCCTTGATGCGTTACCTCATGTTACTCATTTCGTGTAGCAACGACGATAGCGAAACTCATGAGCACGAGACTCATCGTTCGTGACCTTGTTTGTGAAGGCGACGTAACTTGTCTCCTTCCTCTATGGGCGATCAAGATAGATGAGGTACCGTAATTGCCACCATCTGGTTGTAATAAGAGCACTGCAACGCTCGCCGGATGAGCAGACGAGAAAAGAAAAGAAGGACCGAAGTGGTCATCCACTCTCGAGGATCTCCCAGGACGATGGAAAGTAGCCAAGATGAACAACAACAAATAGCAAGAACAGGTCAGCGACTTTGGTATGCGACGGAATGCATGATAGCATGCTGTATGGAGACAAATATCGACAAGACTACCGAGTGGGGTCCGGCGGCCGGTTTTAGAGTCGGTGGCCAGGATTCAGGGGGCCTTATAGAGAGATCACTGTGTGATATTCCATCGACTTCGTCCATTACTTGCTTCTGTGCGTACTTGCTGTTTCGAATTCCAATACCCAAGAATCCCTTTGACAAGGACGTTACTGACTCAAAAAGGATGAAACGGGAAGGAGAAGCATGATAACACCAAACTGCGGTGAGAAAGAGCAGACAAGGAAAGCGGAAGAACGAGGAAAGAGCAGAGAGCAGAAGAACGAGGAAAGAGCAGAAGAGGCCAAGAACAGACGAGAGAGAACACGAAACAAGGATAGAGCAAACAAGAGAAAAAGAGAAGAAGAGATTTATTTATACACAAAAGGATTCATATCAAAATACAAGAGAACAATCGCTAGAACAAAAACAACAAAACACCCTTCCATCGCCTATAGCACAAATGCGAACACAGTCTAGAGACTACCCGCCATCATCTATACATAGAAACAAGCAGTTAAAGATCTAGTCAGAGTCATACTCTTTATCCTTGTCTTCCTTTTCTCTCTTTTCTTTCTTATCCTTCTTTAATTGTTGTTTCCACATGGTGTTTGCTGCTTTAGCGTCGACGCCGGGGAAAACGAGGTCAAAGACCTCGTTGTACCAGGCTACTGGCTTGCCTTCGATGCCTTCTTTGATGTNTCTATAATTTCGAGTCAGCATTTGTTATGTTTTGATCGGAGGGGAGGTTGGGCTGATGCTTACCTCAGGCAACTCAATCCAGTCACTCAGGTTATCCTTGGGGAAGATGACCATCTTAGCGCCCGCTCGTCTCGCCGCCACTGTCTTCTCTCTGAGTCCACCAATTCTAAGGACCTTACCAGTAACGGTAAGTTCACCAGTCATGGCAACAGTCTGTTCAAGACTTCTGCTTAGGGCAAGCGAGATGAGCGAGCAAGCCATGGTAATACCAGCACTCGGTCCATCCTTTTGCACAGCACCCTCAGGACAATGCATATGCACTCTAGCATGCTCGAAGAACTTGTTGTCGGGGTAGCGTTGAGCCAAGAAGCCCTTTGCGAATGAATATGCGATCGAGGTTGACTCCTTCATGACAGCCTTGAGATTTCCGGTGCGTTCGAGGGAAGGACGAGATTGTGCTGATAGTGCGGATTCGAGGATGGTTTCGACGTAGAGGGCGGCACCACCCATGGATGTCCAGGCGAGACCCATGGCGACACCAGGAGGAGTGGTCTCGTAGAGACGGTCGGCGGTGAAGACTGGAGGGCCAACGTAGTCTTTGAGGTTGTCCTTTGTGACGCGGACGTTGACGGATGAAGGTACGTTGAGGGCCACACGTGGTGTTTCCGTTGTTTCCTTCTCAATATCTTGAGGCGTCTCTTTGACGTCCGAAGTGTCCTTTGCTGCTGCTTCTTGTGCTTCCTTGCCTTCAGGTGTGAGCGCCTTCTCTTCGGCAAAGGCTTCCTCACCAAGATCTTGAATGATCTTGAGGGCAGACTTGCGGTACACCTTCTCTATCTGCTTCTTCAGGTTACGTACACCAGACTCACGGCAGTACTTGTTGATGAGTTCGGCGATGGCTTCCTTTTCAATCTCGACGTCGACATCCTTGAGACCGGAAAGGTCCTTTGCAGCAGGTGAGAGGTAGCGCTCGGCGATTGCCATCTTCTCGTCAGCAACGTAGCCAGAGAGCTCGATCATTTCCATGCGGTCCAAAAGCGGGCGAGGAATGGTATCGGTCATGTTTGCTGTGCAGACGAAGAGGACCTTGCTGAGATCGACAGGAACGTCCATGTAGTGGTCGAGGAAAGAGTTGTTCTGTTCGGGGTCGAGGAGTTCGAGAAGAGCGGAAGAAGGGTCGCCTTGGTGGCCACGGCCAATCTTGTCGACTTCATCGATCAGAATGAGAGGGTTCTCAGTCTGACACTTCTTGAGGGCTTGAATGATACGACCGGGCAAGGCACCAACGTAAGTTCTACGGTGACCCTTGATTTCGGCAACATCAGTCAGACCACCAACACTAAAGCGGTAGTACTGTCTGTTCAAGGCGCGAGCGATCGACTTTCCGATACTGGTCTTTCCGACACCAGGAGGGCCGACCATACACAGAATCTTGCCCTCGACAGTGCCACGTAGCTTTCCAACAGCGATGAACTCAAGAATGCGGTCCTTGACGTCCTTCAAACCGTGGTGATCCTCGTCGAGCACCTTCATGGCATTCTTGATACCGAAGGTCTCGGCACTGCGCTTGCCCCAGGGGATCTGGGTCAGCCAGTCGAGGTAGTTTCTTGTAACGTTGAACTCAGAAGCAGCAGGCTCGAGGTGTGCGAGCTTGTTGATCTCCTCATCGAAGACCTTCTTGACAGGCTCGGGCATGGCCAGCTTGGTAGCCTTCTCCTTGAAGCCCTCAAGCAACTTGTCCTTGCCGTCGCTTTCAAGGCCAAGCTCGCGCTTGATACCCTTCATCTGCTCCATGAGCCAGTACTCGCGCTGACGCTTCTGGATCTTGCTCTCAACATCCTTGCTAATCTTGCTACTGAGCTGTGCGTTCATGTATTCCTTCTTAATGATCTCAAGGGCCTTGCTGAGTCTCTGCTCGATGTTCAGGCTGGTGAGGACTTCTTGGGCCTCCTCCATCTCACCACCGGAAACGGCAGCAGCGAAGTCGGCGAGTTTAGCGGGTTCGTCGGCGATGTTGGCGGCAGACTGCGACATGGCGAAAGCGGAAACATGATCGCGGAAGAGCTGGTTGACGCTGCCAATCTCCTTGCAGGTATTGACAATCTCGGAGATCAAGGCGCGGATGGTGGGAGCGCGCTTGTCAAAGGGCTCATCGGCGAGGTTGTCGACCTTGACCAGACTGACCTGCCATGTCTTGAGGAAGTCAGTAGGCTCGTACTGGGCGACCTGCTTCTTCTCGCCAGGAGCCTCGACGTGAGATTCCTCGAAGCTGGCAGTCACGTCACCCTTGGACTCGACGTCGGTCTCGGGCTTCTCGGCAGCTTCGATGGTAGCGGTGGCAACAGCAGGAGCTTCTTCGGTGGTAGTGGTCGTCTCACCCTTCTTGGNGGGCATCAACTCGGTAAGCTTGATTCTGCGGTGAGGGTAGAGGACAGCCTGGAGGGCCTTTTCGTCGCCGTGTCCAGCGGGGAAGGCTCCGGTGATCTGGCAGAAAGTACCGACATCGTAGACTTCGCTCGGGTCTTTGATGACATCTGTGTTGGAATCGGGGTCTTTCAGCAAGAAGGCACCAACGTAGCTCTGGCCACGCTTGAGCAGCTCTTGCACAGCGGCAATGACATTGGGGTCGCGGATGGTAATGGCCTTGTAGAAGCCAGGGAACAACGGCCGTTGTGCGATTGGGATGGCGAGGACTTGAGGGTAGACGTCAGGCACCGAGGGCTTGACGAGACCCTTCTCGCCGCCCTTGCGCTTGCGCCCGCTGCCCCACTTCCGCTTTCGCCGCCTGCTGCTGCACCATCGGCTCCTGCTGCAGAGGCNTCCGGGGATGGGTGTGGGTTCTTTTGCACGTGCTTCTTCCTTGATAGGGTCTAACGAGTCCTTGCGGTCCTTGTTATCCTTGTTCTCTTGGTCTTGTGCCTCCTCTTCTGGATCGACCTTCTTGGCCGAGTCGTCTTTCCTGCGGGTAGGAGTGGTACTAAGCGAACGCGATGCGGCGAGAGACGAGTGGCGAAGAGACAGCGGTGTCAGAGGAATGCGACGGGAAGCGGTCGAGTAGTTGGCGGAAGTGGCAAGATGGTATCGCGAAGTGGCGTACAGACGCTGCGACGACTGCAGGGCTGCTCTGCATTGCCGGTTCAACATGGTGTGCGAGATGGCCGAAAGCAGAAAGGACAGGCTGGCAGATGCACCAGAGTTCAGGCCTGAGAAGTAGTAGGTAGACACGGTAGGCACGGTAGGCACGCCTCTCAAGTGTGATCAACGCTCGCTCGTGTATTACAGCTTCAACTCACTAATCGCCGCATCTCTTCCATGACGTTCTGAAGCTTGTCTAAGCATCGTTTCAATGCACTAGCCCGAAAGACCGTGGTTATCCCGATCAAGTCCGTCTAAACTCCATCAGACCCTTCTTCTTCCTCTCTCAAGACCATCACTCGCAACCCGAGATGCTCAGAGGAGAACGAGTCTTCTCCACGACTGTCGTTTGCGATTCGAGATGCTCATGGGAGAACGAATCTTATACGAGTACTTGATCGTTCTCATGCTTGATCCTGCCTAGATTTTCCCTGTTGATCGACAATGGCAGGAGTCGCAGATGAGGTCTTGATCGTGCTTGACAAAAAAGTGAACAACAGTAGTGGCTTTGCATTCACATGAACCTGAGCACCCATAGCTTGGAAACGTACGACATCTCTCAGAAGTAAGTGACATTCACGGAGAGACGTCATTGTAGGATATCTCCATGGTCACTCTTCTGGCCAGAAAAGCTTTGCATTCTCGCTCAAGTCACCTCGAGGGGAAGGTCAAGTCTGAGATTGTGACAAATTGCTTGTCTCTAGATCTCACTTCGCAACTCGCAGCGACGATCTATACAAGCGCAACCATCTTCCCACTCCTGGTTTCTCAACTCCCCTCAGCTTTCTTTCTTTCTTTCTTTCTCTTCCAACTGCCTCCCTGACTTCCAACAAGCCTTTGCCGTCTTTATCAATCCATCGCATTACCTCACCTCCACATCTCATCAAGCTCACAACAACTTGCCCTCTTCATCACAATTCAATGTCAACGCGTTCCGGCCTTCCCTGTCATCATGGACGGCATCGGCGACCCGCCATCAATTCCTGGTGTGCCACTGGCCAGACTTCCACCAGAGATACAATCACAGATCGGCAGCTACCTCGACGTTCGCTCCCTCTTTCACGCAATTCTTGTCAACAAGGAATGGTTCTTCCGCCTAATAGATCTCCTCTGGCATACGGTATGTATCGAGAGAATCTATCCAAAGTCTCGGACCATCGGAACCAGATGCCGGCGTCAATACTACGCAGCCAAAATTTGCGCAGAAACCATTATGGAAGAATTGCCCACCCTCCATCGCCGCATTGGAGACCTAGAGTTCCACTCACTTCAGCATCTTCACATCCAACCCCTCCCAACCTCCCGGGAGGCCTCAACGCGAATTGGATTGTTCCATTCCTGCAACCTGCACTAGAGTCATTGTGGATCAATGCACCGTCCTGGACCCTAAGCACTGGTCCACTCGACATGCTAGCCAATTGCGTTCGACTTCGCTCGTTAATTCTCGACGACGGGGTGAGACTCGAGAACGAAGACGACTTCCTGAAATTTCTCCGCGACATTCCTTCTTTGCGCTCAGTGAGAATATACGGTAGGCGGAGTACGTCTAGATTCCGCAGTATCAAAGCTCTAATTGGTGGTACGTTGATCGAGCTGTTGCGACGTGGAGATCTCAGAAATCTTGTTATTGGGTCCGAGTTGGCGAAGGACTGCTTCAGCAAACATACAAGCGGCAAGGCATTCCCTTCGAATGCAAGTCTCAAAAGCTTTCTCGCGTGGTGTATGTTTCCCCAATCATGGTCGGGATATCCGCTGCCACTGCTTCTCTGGAACATCTTGACCTGACATTGCAAGATTCTGAACAAGCCTTCTTCGATCAACTTCGCTGCTTCACGAACTTGACCATCCTCACAGTTCGCTTTCCAACACACCGAGTAAGCTATTCCTTTGATCTCGATGCGCTCTGCGTGTTAACCCAGCTTACTCGTCCGACCATATGCGGAACCATGTGCAGACGCCACCAGGACCCGGTTACGATGAACTGGTTGACTGATACATATTTCGATTCCTGGATCGCACATTTCAGTCATTTGCATACACTCTATCTGGACTGGCAATGCCCTCTCACACGAAAAGCTCTAACTTCCATCGCCCATAGCTGCCCTCGGCTTTCCTCCTGCACGCTGGGATGGAAACAGGACTTGAACACTTGGAATCAGTTGCTAGTGCTCTCGCCATTGTTCCCTCGACTGCAAAATCTCGCTCTAGAAAGAATTGGGCAACTTGTCCCTGGCCATCGGTGAGTGGACTCACCATGTAAGTTTGCTTCTTTAACAGTCATACAGTGACTCGTTCTTCCCTGCCTCTGCGGCTCGCAAAGTTGTGCCTACTATATGCGCATTGTTTCCTCACCTCAAAAATTCAGGGTCTGGATTGAAATCATAGATGAGGAGGAAGACGACCATCCGCATGAGCTAAATGCTATCGTTCAGGCCATGCTTGATGCCAGATGAGTCATACTGGAAGAAGAACTGCAGCCAGCGATGTGGCGGTAGAGAAGAAACACAGGTATCATGATAAGATCTGAGAATTTTGCAGAACTAGGAGAGATACTCTCCGAGGATTGATAGGACGAACGCATGAGGGTAAACACAGGCCATCTACCTAGCGAATTTTCTTTGTAGTCCATCAAATCACAATCTTCTCTCTTCTACCACCTCCCCTCTGCTAAACTATGCATCACCATAAAGGTAAACAAACAGTCTTGGAGGACAGGACAGTATCTAGCTAGAGACCAACATCATATTGAATCTCTTTGGCTGCATGTCTGGACAGGAAATCTGTGTGTTGACAAGGCACATAGATTACTCCAGTATCGTGACAGGAGGAAAGTGCGACTTTTATACTCCATCACAGCCATGACATCCATGATACCTTTTTCTATCTTTACATTATACATACCCATTCTCGGTCCTAGAATCGTACTACAACATCGATACCGCCATCCTAAATTTCTCCAAACATCGATCATAGGGAACGCATGCAAGCCTCGCAGAAAAGACAAATTCATCAAGCATCTCTGCGAAACTCTTTCTTTGCACTCACTCATTATCAAAGCACGACATAGACATAGAGTGTGGATCTTTTGCTTTACTACTTCATCAACTTCCCAAACGTGGCAATCTTGGAGAACTTGTCACTGACAAAATACTGCTTCATTAGATATCTGACAGCACTGATGATCATACCTTGCCGCTCGGACTCGAGGCTCGAGATTGGTTGTGTGTATGAATTCATCTGCTTTCCTCGTGATCTAGAATGCTGGTGTTAGAGGAAAATGTGCAGACTTTGCAACGGAGTAGGTTTCGGGGGGGTTATTGTACAACTCCTTTTCTGTGCTTGATAGTAATGGAAGACGAGAAACATGCAGTATATTGATCACATGCATCTCATCGTTCCTTTCTCGCTAGATTGTTGTACAACTTCAAGTGCTGTTTCACTAGGTAGTATCATTGTCAAGAAGATCAAAATCAAATCGTGCAATTATAGAGATGTGAGCGAACCTCAAATTCGTATTCATGCTTCTGCCTAGAGCATACGCTTCTTGATCTTAAGAAGAATGTATTGAAGGTGTCACGGGGAAAGATAGCGTTGCTTGTTCTCAGGCGAAATCAAAGGTCAAGTAGTGTAAGAAAGTGCAACCACGTAGATAAGGTGTTTGACTGTTCTTGATAAGCTTTTCCGTTTTCTTGCTTTTGATGTTGAATGCTATGGCAATGACCCTTCTGTGTTATCATTTAGGTAGGAGAGAGTCTTGCCTTGCAGGTTTCGCGGAGTTCCTCAAGCAGTCTGCGTTTCCATATGCTCCTCTCCCTTGATCCTCGCAACTAGGTTTCTGCTCAAGGTCCAAACGTCGCAGTTCTCGCAGTGATACTTAGTAACCGCAGCAAGGCCCATTTGCAATGCGCTTTTGTCATACCATCCGTCCTCGTCCACGTGAACTGCGAAAATCTCTTCCAAGCGAGGAGCCACTTTCAAGATGGTCTTCAGTTGTAACAGACCCTCCTGTGTCATTTCATCGTCAAGTTCGGGTTTCCTCGATCTACCCGAGCGTCAGTGAAGGCTCAGAAATACCATCACGTATATTAAATATCTTACGAAAACTGCTGGAACTGTTTATCGACACTGTCTATGCATAGTTTCTCCAGTTTGGGGAACAACACGGTCTTCTGGTCCGCGAGAATTGTCCACGTGCTGGACCTTGCGCCCAACCCAGTGAGCATTTTTCGAGTTTTGGACACGATCGACCAACAGCAATTATGGCAGGTCCCTTGAGGCAGTCACTTGACCATCGCAGCTCCAGCTCATGTAGTTCAGGAAATTTCGAGATCCATTCTGCAAAATCCTCGTTGGTCCAATTGGATTTTGGTAGTGGTTCGAGCATCCAGTTGTTAATCAGCTTCAACACTTTGAGGCGGTGCAGCCTTCTTAGTGTAGCGAGATCATCTGGATGTAGCACTTGGTCCGGCTGCGTTTGTAGGCAAAGTTCTCTCAAGTGGGTGAAACGTAGAATATTCTCAAATAGACCGAACGTGCCTCCAGACTGTTTGTAACTTTCCGGAAGTACAATCTCCAAAGTTCGAAGCGAGGTGGCAGTGCTCATGAGAAAGAGGTTCAGCGCCTCGATATGTCCGGCAACGCTTAATGAAGTCAGATTCTCGTTCTTAGGACGAGTCTCGTCGATCAGATCAGAAATCTCCTGAACATCACCATCTTGCAGTGGTGTTCCAAGCTTGAGTCGCGTGAGACGTCCATGTTTGAGCAGGCGTGCGAACCAAAGGACTTCGAAAGAGAACCATCTGTTCGTCGCCAATAATCTCCATCTCCAGGAGTAGAGATAGGGTAATTCGACCATGTACCAAGGTCCAAACTAACAGTTTCGAGGCTATGTCGATGCGGATACATAGCCTTGTTGAGCTCATCTATTGGCCAGTTTGATGTTGGCATGTCGCAATGAAAGAAGTCGAGATCTGTACAACGGCTCACCGTGTCTTGCAAAACCCGGAGATGCACTGCGCAGAACAAGAACCTGAGCCTTTTCAGGCTGGGTGAGAATGATCCGACGGGTGCATACTCGGGGTGAACGTTGATTTCATATGCATTTTCAATATCTGCGCTTCGGAGCGACGGTAGAGAAAGAAACGGGAGCACAAAAGAGAATGGATACCCCTGACAACCATCGAGATTATAGTCATCTAATTCATGGAAGTGATGACCAGAGTAATTCGGGCGAACATATATCGAAGTCGAGTTGTGTAGAAACAGATTGGCTCCGGGTATCCTAGTGAAATGTGGCAATGAGTCCGGATGTTTGAAGTATTTCCAGTTCGGCATGATTAATTCTAGTTTGTCGACATTGGCTGTCAAGCTTAACAATAGAGAGACTTCTGCATCCTCTGCCCCAGTCTTCAAGGCATGATACCACGAATCTCGCTGTTGCTCAGTAATGTTCAACTTGTTCAAGTGCTGTCGATACAATGAAAGTAGTTGTGGGGATGCTTCAATGCCATGGCTCGGTTCGCTATCGAGGAATGCGGCGAATGTGCCGTCGTCCAGAAAAGGTTCCTTTGGAAACTTGTCCAGACCGTCTTCCCTCCAGAACTCGGGGATATGGTCGGTAAGTAGATGCTCTAAAGTACCGGGCTGGAACCATGCCTGGATGCACACTTTTCTAACGTGTCGTGCGAGATCTGGGCGCTGTAACAAGGTCTGCAGGTAACCATGGATGTATCTCAGCTCAAGTGGAGTCTCGATCGTGTTTGGTTTGATGTAAATTTGATAAAGCAGAGGCTCTGCTATCGAGCGTAGTCTTCGAGACGTGCGACAAAGGCTAACAAGGCTGGAGCATGGTTCACGAAGTTCTTCTTCGTCAGGAATCGTAGCATCAACGTCCTCCATCCATCCTGTATCTGTTACAAACTCCTGAAAGATCAACGAGAGTATCTCCGTGGGCAGTCTCTGGAGCATGTTGTCGATCAAGCCTTTGCTCACTGTATGCAAGACTTTCCAGAAGGTCCAGGTAGATTGTTAGGAGTGGAACGGCAAAAAAATCAAGGAAAACACGCGATGTGGAAGTCTGTCATATGAATTGTGATGGCCAGCGCCGTTGTTGAATGGGGCCCTGAAGCAGCTTGCTCGTTCTTGTATACTCGAGACCTAAGTTATGTTTTCCAGCAACCGACGTAATCCAGGCACGAATCCTGAAGTTTCTGGTTCCCTCTTCAGGCGTCCAAGGTCCCATTCGTGGTCGTTCTTCGTGACTCAATCGTTTCAGAACCGGTGGACTGGGAGTGAGATGGTTAAAGCGGGATTGTTATTCTGGAACTCATCACCTTATGCCGTAGAGTCATGGCATAGCACTCCATCTTATGCCTAGAGTACAACGGGCGATTGCTTATATTGTTGTTGTTGGTTGAGTGTAGGTAGGAGACAAGATATGCTTTATGTCGACTGAGTTTTGGCAACAACGAAACTGCCAATTGGTAGGGCTTGGCGTCCTGGGGCTCCTCCTCCCTCTTCTCGTCCCAGGAGCTATCGCACACATCAGTCTGTATAATTGCATGGGTGTTGTTTTTACAGAGCAAGATCCACTTGGAGCCCATGCAACGATGACTCTAGACAAGGAAGTACATATCCCTCGAGTCACAGATATAAGCAGGGAAAGGTTGAGAACATCATCGTACAGTCAGGGTGTTAAAACACCAAAGGAACTATGATTGAGAAGAATGAAGACGCTGGAAAGCCACACAAAAATAACGGTAGGTCCCTCCTCTTTTTGCACCATCATCATGAAGAGAAATAAAACACCTTCTTGGACAACTCCTTTCCTTATATTACAAAATCTTTGCAGTTCAAGCTGGTGGTACTACGGACTCTTGGCTTCCAAGTGGTGGCGCCGTTGCATCAATGGCCTGCTCTGATGCTGGAGAGTCGGTGACAGCCACACCATTCAAGATGCTTTCCTTGTCTTTGGCCGATACACTGTCTGTCAGACTAGCTGCAGGAGAGATGTCTCTTGGCTGGTGTACTTTGTTGCGTTTTGTGTAATCGCTCAAGCTCAACTTCTTCCTGGCAGGACTGGGATTTACTGCGGCAGAGACGGATGGCGAAAAGAGGGGTATGTTGGAAAGACCAGGCGTCATGGTTGCCGGTGATTGTGTAAGAAGCGGAGNGGAAGTTGCAGAATTCAACGATGGAGGCATGGTTAGATGCATCTCGGGGTGGGTAGGTTTGAATTCTGGAGAGGCAGGATGCACTTCGCCTATACTCGGAGCTTCTTTTGTGGCCATGGCGGTGGTGGTGGGTCCATCGGTGGATGTGAAGGAACGCCTGGTTTTACTGTGGAAGGACTTGCTGAGCTGTAGGACGANCGAGGGGTTTTGGTCGTTGGGAGGAGGGGTGGCACGATCATGCTCGTCCATGTCCTGCATGTCGGCATCCACTGGACCAAAAGCGGGTGAAAGTGAAGCAGGACGTGCTTGTGTAGCCTCGGTCGTGTTGACATCGGCGCGCTTGATAGACACAGGTGAGAGTGGAGTGGCATCCGATACAGCACCAACGCTCCTCGGGCTTTGTTGAACATTATCAATGTCCATGATCTCCTCTGGGTGGACCCCGTTGGTGGGCGAGTCGTCAGGCGTCTCGCCCTCGGCCTTTCGCTTGAGGTTGTTTGAGGCGCACCTCCGAAGAAGGCGTTGTGTCACTGACAAGTATTGCTTCTTCTTGGGAGGGGTTGGCATTTGTGGTTCTGGAGGGTCGTCGTTGTCCATATCGCATTGAATGGATGAATCGACATAGACTGGCCTCGAAGGTTCCGAAGCCTGCTTGTCCAATTTTCCAGGCTTTGATGGTCGTTTGGAGATCGTGCCTCGACGAGATGACGAGGGTTCTGAAGACTGTTGTTTCGAGGAAGACAGAGTACTGCTTTGTGGCAACAAAGGTGTGGTACCGCTGTGACGCTTCTTCTTCTGTCGACCGCTTTCCTCCTCTTGTCGTCGGAACATTTCTTCCTCGCGCATGAGCTTCTTCTTTTCGCGTTCGGACATCTCGGGGATGACGGCCGAGTAATGAGTGCCGGGAGTGATGTCTCGACTAGCCGAGGCTCGGAAAGAACCAGATACAGATCGAACATCTGTCATGTCGTCTTCGACCTCAATTTTTCGAGCTTCACTGCCAGAACGACTGTGGCTGTTGGGGTTCAGGTCGACAGGTGAAAGGTTGTTGGTGGGTTTCTTGCGACGTGACTTTGGAACTTTGATGGGCGCGGCAGCTGTCTCAATTGGTTCGACGGGTTGAGGTTGACCACGTCGATCGAACCGAGCCATCAGACAGCCTTCGCCGTTACACGCGCAAGGGCCGCAGTTAGCGAGCACATTGGACACCCACATGGCGATAGCATACTTGATGTCGGCAGGCACGTCGCCGTGCACAACGCCTCTTTCGGCGTACATGGCTTTAATGGTGTCATCTGTTTGCCAGGCAACGGTGATCTCCTCACCAGACTGAAGGTCCTTGGTAGCCATGAAACAGAAATGATAGTTGGTACCGTCGGTGATGATAGTCTGGATCTCTGTATTCGGTCGACAGCTGCGACGAACATAGCGAAACATAGTACCCTCTTGACGGGCGTCGATGTAGATGGGAAGTTGGGGGTGAANAAAGACGAAGGGTTCGGCGTGGCGTAGTGATGACCAACGACTGTCAGGATCGTTCATGTATTCCTCCTTGTAGCCGATGTGTCCACGAAGCTCACCAATGAAGGTACGCTTGGATATATCCTGCTCGACCGTCAGGCAAGGCCACTTTGGAGGCTCGGCCTGGTCGGTGAAGTTGGGGTCTGCTTCCCAGTGTAAGGCAACTTCGGGTCGACCGGGCATGTCCTCGAAGGGTCCATCCCAACGGAGGAATATGTCGTTCTGACTGAGGCCGTTCGTGTCTTTCTCGACAACGACCGGGTTTTTCAGCCATTCGGATAATGAATTTGTGACGGCAATATTGTTCATGAGATTTGTTTCCGTCTCAACGTGCGAGGAGACTTGAGAGTAGAGGCGATAGAACTCTTCCGAATACCATGGTATAATGGCTCTTGACGGATCTGGCGATGGGCTGCGGGCTGTCGTTATCGTTCCGTTTCGTTTGCGACTGGTAGGGGCGTGGTTGGCGGCTGCGGAGGGACGGTGCCCTGTCTTTGGACGTTTGGCAGGAGGTGGGTGGTCGCGCGGGCTGGCACTCTTACGGTCGCGACCTTGCAGTAAAGAACCATTGACAGCAGCTGGCGATTCCTTCTGCTTTTTGCGATGTTTTGGGCCGGGTCGCCGCGAGTCGAGGGCTTGTCGCTGTATTTGTTTTTTCTGTCGCTCTTTGGCTTGATCTGCATCGAGCCATCGTGGTTGACAGTCGAAGCAATAATGCTTCTGGTGTTCGCCAGGACGGTCTGCCTCGGTAGGATAGTAGCAGATCATGTGTTGCCAGTTATTGCAAGTTTCGCATTGCACTGAGAAGCCGTCGTCGTGGCGCATGCCGCAAATACAGATAATCTCACCATCGTCCTCTTCGACACCATCGTCGATGGGCGGCTGTGGTTGTCGTCGCGAAGCCTGAGGAGGGACGGCGAAAGGGGACGACAGAGGATGGCTGTACTGCTGCTGGCGAGCAGCAGCAACGAGTGCATTCAAGGGCGGCGGGACGTCTGTCATAATCCAGCTACCTGTTGTCGTCATGCAGAGACGGTGTTGGGGGTATTCTATGTCGTGCGCAGTGTCGTATCGTATCTGCAACGCATGTCGCTGGAGGCCAGGAATGTCGAGGCTGTAGACAGGGATGGTTAATCACGAAGACCTCGCGCAGTGCTGCGCTGGACTTGACGAAGACTAATGAGGTCGACGAACACTGGTGGAAGTGTGGTGACTACACAAAGATGTGGAAAGGAGAAGGAAGACTGTGTGCAGACGGCGTTGTTGGTCGAGGGTGGGTCAAGACAGAGACGGGAGGGCGAGAGATCGGAGCCGAGTGGGTTGAAAAATGGCTGGCAGAGGTGTGCGACAGCGACGACGAAAGGCGCAACGGCAGAAAGGAAATCAGGCGACGGTCAGAGGCATTGGCGACCAGGTGTGAGAGAGTGAGAGTGGGTGAGAGAGAGGAGTCAGTGTGCACAGCCAAATGGCAAAAGCCCGCAGTCCACAGACCACAGACGCGCTTTCCTGGCCCTGCCAACTTCACCCTCCTAGATGCACGTGACTGACCCTTACATTATTCTTTTTTCTCGCGACCGAACGAGAAAAATAATGAACAACGTCCGGTCGTCGCTGTTCGCCCCTGGTCCCTGCCGCCACTCTCTCTGAACATGCCTGGACTGTTGAAGGCCTTGGCTGGAGAGAGCTATGACTGGAGATGGCTTTGTCGTGGTGAGGGTCGGCGCGCTCGACGGCAGCAGACAGCACTGTGAGCAGCAGCAGCAGCGAGCAAGCAGGCATCGCGAAGCAAGCAGTCAAAGTCTACGCAGAGATAACGCGGGAAAAGCCAAAAATGTCGCACTAGCCAAACATGTCTGCAGGTTATTGGCTGTTGCCCTTAGCTCCTTCGCGCTAACAGGCGCCAAGCCAGTCACCTTCCTCCTGAGCTGGCCCCCTCTTTTGCTTTCCATCGGTTCATAAACACTCTCATCTCCTGAGGCATGTTTTTGCAGCTGAGCCTCAAACCTTTTGCGACGTGGTGCCATTTAATTCGCAAACGCCTTTCCGATACGCCCGAGACACTCTCACAACGACGAATTTCGGCGCTGCATTCGAGCTGTGCTAGGGGAGCACGCTGGTGCAGGTCGGGCCTCGGGGTGACGACACCGTGACAAGGAACTTTCACACCCATGTCTCGAGTCCGAGTCGTCCGCGGCCGGTAGCGTGCAGCTTCTCCGCTCGCATCCCGTTTCCCGGGCGCATTCGTGTTGCTGGATGGGGTGTGTTGTTGCTGACAACATTTGCATCTGCTTGTGCGTAGTGTCTTGGTCCTTGTAAACGTCAGGTCGTGGTGACCGTCTTTGGTGAGATTGTGTATTGCTTGTGTGTTGTGTCGCCGCAGGACTGATGGCACCACTGCGCTCTCTACTTCCTGCTTATTGTACCGTATTCGCCGCGCCCAAAGAGCCTACAGCTCCCTGCGTCCAGCAATACATAACTGTTGCATCGTTGTCGCTATACAAAACCCGAATAGTTCATCGAAAATAGCCGTCATGGGCGATGAGTATATACAAGATGCTTTCGCGAGTATGTTATCAACTTTTATCGTTTGATATGGTGAGCTCTCAAGCTACACGGACATCCAAGTCCCTCGCTTGGACCAAGACTCTAGTCATGAGCAATGGTTTCAACACGAAGAGACTTGGGTCCCTCTGCCTCGAGCGTTTGCTGGATTCTATGAGATGGCAGCCATCTCTCTGCAGGGATGACAAAGTACGACACAATAGCGAATATCGTAACAATCGCCATGATTACTGGAGCGTAGTTCAGATTGCCAGCCGTAACAGGGAAAGCATACGGCGAGAACAAGACGGCAACAACCCAACCGTTCCAGAAGATAGCGATAAACTGGAAGGGCTTACTGAGTCTTCCGAGGCTCCATCTGGGCTTGGGGAATGTCTTCGGTGTGAAAACAAGTCTTGAGAGACAGATCAGACCGTATGCAGCGGCCGAAGGAACACCAGCGGCTGAAACCAGGCTGGTGAATGCAGTGCTGGATGGAAGGATCGTGCAGCTGATAATGGCTGAAACGACCCAGACGACAATGACGGCGTTTTTGGGCTGTCCATTCGATACTTGAGAGACCCATCCAGAGAAAGGAAGAACGCCATCTCTTGCAACAGCAAACACCAATCTCGATGCGGCGAGAACGGCAATTGCAGTGTTGAACCAAAGAGCCACGATACAGACAATGTTCATGAACACGTGCCCGCCCTGGCCGAGGACTACGGCATACAGGGGGACGAATGGCTGCTCAGAACCGAACTGGAAGAAAGTGTCTGCATCAGNGCTAGACATGTCATTAGCAAATTTGCAGTCTACCAGGAAAGCAGCATAACTTACCACGCAGAACAGGAACAGTATGACGACAATAAACCCGCCAATGCCACTGACCACAGTGCTCCAGAAGATACNCCTGGCTGCACTAACACTGGCGTTCTTTGTCTCCTCTGCGACGTGGCCAGAGGCATCAAATCCAATCAAGATACCAGCAGTAGCCAGGTAGGACAAACACCAGTTCCAGCCGGCAGGCGCTCCAGTGCCATTGTACGTAGTCATGAATGCCTCATGAGCAGTACGGAAGCCGTATGTCTGAGCCACTCCGATAGGCAGCCAAATCATATTGAGCACAAAGTCCAGCAATACCATCCCGGATGATGCATAAAAGATCCAGCGAAAGTATTTTGGAGGAAGCAGGTTAACAATGCAAGCAACTGCGAGCATGAACTCGGTCACTGCCCATTGAACAGCGCGGTACTTGATATGGTCCGAGTCCGATGGGTAGTCAACATTGAACACCACAATTTCGGCCAAGAGATAGTTGACGGCACCCTGGGTGTTGCTGGCACAGAAAGTTGTCCAGGCAGTGGTAGACCACCAAGCCACGATGAAACCGAAAAATCGTCCGAATCTAGGTCCTCCTGCCTCGGCAGCCCAGAGGTAAATAGATCCGGCAAGAGGTAGGGAAGAGCATATCTCTGCGATGACAGCCGCTGTGATGAACGTGAAGACGCAAGTCACAATATAAGAAGTCCAATAAGCAAGATTGCCACCTGCGCTGATTCCCGTCGAGAACGTGACTCTAACACCGCCAACGAAATACAGCGCCGCNNTAGGAGGAGGTTAAAGAAGGAATCCTTAAACTTGAGGATCCCAGTACTCACCAAATGTGGTCGAGAAATTGTGGAAGAGCGTGTATGAACGATGTCTTGCACTTGATGAGCTATGATCAAACAGAGACGAATGAGTAACTTACAATACTGGCTTATAGCCTAGGTTTTCCTACAAGAGTTGACTGTCAGAATCATGCTCTATCTCTTGATGCATAATAACGCAAAGTTTCAACAGAGCATTCAGACTCGATCCCAGTCTACGTTTTGTCTGACCTAGCTCTTCCAACAATTCGTAGAGGAGAATAAAAGTACATACCAAAAGTTCAGCATCAGAGTCAGACTCGCTCGCACGTAGACGAGCGACCTCGTCTGCATACTCCTGGCTCGACGGATCCTGTTGCATACTGGTTCAGACAAGCAGAGACTCTTATCAGTCGTCGAACGAAAGTCGCGTGGCACAAGATGTAAGAAGGTGGTCAGGAAAAAATCCATCTGCAAGGCCAAAGAGGAAGGTGGGCCTGGCGTCGCGGGCAAATCGAATTCACCGAGTGACGCTGCACCTTTCACCTTTGCTCAACACCATCCACCAAACAAGGGCTGTTCTAGATCTTCCTTACAGCATGCCTGATATCTCTATTTGCTATCGTGTTCGTGACAGGAAATGGCTCGTGGATTGTGTTATATAATCAGGTAGGAGGGACGCATCGCCATTTCGCCATTCAGCCGTTACTTCTGGCATCCCCAACGCTGGCCTTCGACGACTTAGGAGTCATACACAAATCAATTTCTGAAAAGTCAGTTTGCGCGAGCGGGCTCTTCACTCTATCAACTTATGTCAAGGCCTGTGTACGGAATCCTGACGGCCGAAGAGCTGGTGAGCAAAACAGTGGACCTTTGGCGGCGTAGACCACGACCACTACTACCTCGTTGGGATACTGGACAACGCGCTCTGATGCTACTGAATCACGCATTCGATCACTGCCAGGTAGGATTTTACTCTGGGGAAACAATTGTCCCTCTTATCATCTGAGGCTTCAAGCTATGGTGTGCCTGCCACGGCCCACAACCACACTCAACTCGGCTCGGTGCACTTTCTACTCACGCAGGACACGACTGGAAATTCATGCTACGGGCCTGCAGCACATGCGGTGCGACTTTATATTGCGAAAATGTCACACACTTGCCATCAAGCACATGGTTCTGTGGTGTAGTTGGTTATCACTTCTGTCTAACACACAGGCGGTCCCCGGTTCGAACCCGGGCGGAATCATTTTTTTGCCATTCTGGTGACCTTCGGGATGGTATACAAGAGGTGTAGTTGAGGTCAAGAATTTTTTCGATTCTTTTTCGGGAAGGTGCGTGGCGACTTCCGCTTCTGTGCCCACTAAGATTTGTCCTGCTGTACATGTTAGTATATCAGACTCTATATTGTTTGCAGGGATGTGCCTTCTCATATGCCTGGCTCAAAGACTGCGCTGCTTGAAGTACATGTCTATTTCAGATGCAAGTGTTATAAGACAAACAAAGTGGTATCAATTTGCATCTATGCCAAATATCTATAATCATAACTCCAAATCTAGTGCCTAACCTCTATTTGAAGGCAACCCAGTATGCAATCCAATTCTATATCATTAAATCTTGGTAAGAAAAAGGCGATGTAGAAGCCCAGCTTCCACATCTAAACGCTCTCCTTCTGGACAGCAAAATCATCACTCTTCTTCTCGGCTTCATTCTCGACGTGCTCGGTAACAGAGCCTTTGCGGACAGCAGTCTCGACTCTCTCGCTGAAACGGCTCTTGACCTGGCTGCTCTTCCATGGAGGAATGTTGGCGTCGAACAGAATGTCGATCTCTTCAAGCGTCTTTCCATGGGTTTCAGGGTAGGTGAAGAAGATGTGGATGGTCATGGCGAAGCAGAAAACGCCGAAGATGATGTAGGTTCTCCACTGGATGTTGGTGAAGGCGGGAGCAACGAAGTATGNCCTGGTTGTGGATTAGCCATGATCAAGCAGAGTAGTTCAGATGTTGCTTACGAGAGCGAAGTTGAAGATCCAGTTGGTTGCGGCAGAGAGACCGACTCCCTGAGCTCGGTACTTGAGGGGAANAACTTCCGAGGAGTAGATCCAACCACATGGAGCCCATGTGAATCTAGAAATAAAAATCAGTATGGTTCTTACAACACAAATGCCCGTATACATACCNNCATAGAAGCCCACAAAAATGTAACTGACGGCGATGATGCCCTTGGCAGCAGTACCATTATCGACCTTCCATCTCAAGATTGTGTTGCCGTTGATGGAGTCGACATGATGTCCGTAGCTGGCCATCAAGCCAGCAATGGTGAAATGGCAGATGCAGCATACGATGGATCCGGTCAGAAGAAGCAGGCGGCGAGGAATTCTGTCAATGTATGGTAGAATGAGACCGGTGGTGACAAGGAAGATGACGCTGAAAAATTCGATTAGGATCTCCGATCGTAAGAGGACTTGAAGCGGCCGAGAACTTACTANTTGAATGATGGATGAGGTGAGAGTCTGATCGCCGAGACCGGCCATTTGGAAAACGTAGACAATGTAGTACATGGCAACGTTGCCTCCTAGCAGTTGCTGCCACATCTGAACGGTAGTACCGCACAATGTACGTCTCCACATGTTCTTGCCAAACAGTCCGAAGAAGGTGACACCCTCAGTGTTCTGAGCAATAGCAACAGCCTCGCGAATTTCGAGCAATTCAGCTTGCACGGCTGGGTCGTCGAGGTTGCCCTTGGCGTGGAGAAGAGCCAAAGTGTTTTCAACTTCTTGCCAGCGGCCCTTGGATCCAAGCCAGCGAGGGCTTTCGGGGAAGAAAAATAGAGATCCGAGGAGAATGAATGCAGGGATACCTTGAATGCCCCAAGCGATACGGAAAGCAGAAGGACCAGTGACTCCTTTGGCACAGCCATAGGCAATCAAGAACATGATGAGAATGCNCTGTTTCCACGTTCAGTAACTGTCCGGGAGTTGATATATTGAATTCCTCTCCTTACCCCATTCAATAGCCCACTGCTGAATACCAACAACCCTGCCACGTATTCTGGCCGGTGCAAGTTCAGAGAGATAGACGCANNCTAGAGCCCTTATGTCAGTATTGGTTGGGTCTAGGTTGTGCCCAGGGTGGTCAAAAATCGTTCCGCCAGACCACTAAGCTTCAACCCCAGAACGGAAGCGACGTTTTGAGCACTCAGAGGAGGCAGGTGCACTTACCACTTGCGAGGATGTGATACCGACAGCAAGACCACTGATGATACGGCCAACGATCAATTGGGCGACATTTTGGGAGCTGCATTGGATGGCCGATCCGATAATCCAGATAACAGAAGCAAGCATGAGAGATCTGCGACGACCGACAGCATCACATATAAATCCAGCAGCGAGAGCACCTAGGAAGGATCCTCCAGACATGGATGCAGTAATNNCTATCTATTTGTTAGCAAGATTTTCAGCTATACACAGACGCCTACTTACACCTCCTTGCAGATTTGAGTTAGGGTAGTGGAAGTACTCGAGATATTGCTCCTGATCGATCCATGCGCTCATGGACGAAATATCGAAACCGAACAAGGCACCGCCAATGGTACCAAAGGCGGCCAGAACATAGATGTTTGAGATGGTATACATGATGAAAGATGTTCAGCCTCCTGTGCTGAAGCCTCGTCTTGTATGAGAGTACCAAGAGTGCTCCTCTAAGGGCTCCACTGCCTTTATATTCTAACCCCAGTCTGCGAACTATTGTGGGACACAAGACTGGGGCCCCAAGCAGTCGAACTCTCCACCGTCGGGGTATAGACCATGACATCATCTCAGTATGTCTTTTCGAATTTATCCAGCAACATCGGATGAAGAAGTTGGGTGCAACGTCCAATCCATAGACAAGTGTTCGACCTCGCCGCCGGGAGAGTGTTCAATTCTGCCGGTTCTCTGAGGGTTGTGCACGCAATTGCTGTGAGAGTATCCACATTTGTATGACAATCTTTTCGATATCAGGTTTAGAGTGCGACGTGAGGGTCCGTGAGACTGCCGCGCTCCGGTGGTTTAATTTTCTTTGGAAACGGAAACTTCAAGAGCAGGTGCCAAGATGCTGGGTGGTCACTATACACAAGTAGGTACATATCCAGCCGGCATATCCGGCATTCGTGAAGAATGTTTTGCGTTTCGAAAAGCACATATAGATTTGCTCTTGTGCTCATGTGACTTGGCTGTCCAGCAATCTTGATGTCCATGGGCTGGTCGAAGGAAGCGGCAGAGGCGCAGAAGGACTTGGCCGAACTCTATCTCGTACCGACAGCCAGTCGGCGAGTTGTAGAAAGCCGCCGCTGACGAGATAGGCACGCGTCAAACCGTGGATATTTTGTCCGTCGCGTCATGTTCTGAATGAGATCTTCACCAGGTTTCTCCTGTTTAAACTGTTCACAGCAGGTCTTGCATGCTTCGAACTTGGGATGTGATGAGATGCAGCAAGCAGGGTTCAGCGAGGGAGCGTCTGCCATCGTCAGGCCATGTCAGAAGATCCTCGAAGCAAGACATAAAGCTGTCACTGTCATAAACCCGTGGTGAGAAGCCATCCCTCAAAACTACATGTGTCCTGAAGTGGTTCGGCGCAACGGACACACATTCTTTCCTCGATCACCCTCGAACAAGCACGGAACGTTACCCATGTCGGATAGCTTTCCGTGTTGGTTGCAGCCTCAAAATATAGGCCACTGTCTGTTGGTCAAGACTCTACGCCAACTACTTACCAGCGTGTGCTCGATGTTAGGTATTGTCATCTGCCACGAGACACGAGAGCTGATATGCCGGACTCTTACTTGGGGGCGACACGCAAAAATGCTTTTCACACGATCTCTTGCATAATCATAGACAACATGGGTAGGCTTGTCACGAGACGCAGCATCTCTTACATCGAAATCCTAGGTATCAAGGAGGCTTCGGGATCCTCCTTGTTCGTGTCAGACCTCATGAAAGAGATGCCTTTCACATGCAAATGAACATGTTGTTGCTGATAATACGCAATAATACGAGAGTCTGTTGAGATTTTGAGTTGCGAGGGGGCGCCTCACTAAAGGCATGTCCAATCTTGGTGCGCTTTGTGCGAGTCATTAGATCTCACAGAGAGCCCAAGATCGTGTCAATAGGCAGCAAATCGAGCACATCTAATCAATTACTTGATAAGAACTATATTGCCTTTTTGCTAAAGCAAAGAGGGAAGTCTTACGAATATATTGAACATTGGCACTGAAAGCAAAGAGGTTTTAGCACAAATATGCAGGTATAACCGACTCCTCGAGCAACACAACATTACTCTACTTTCCTGTTCGAAGCAAGACACAGGACAGAATTACTCCGACTGACTCCTGAGAGGGTGATTCGTCAGCGAAGCCGTCCAATATAATGCTGCGGGCGAGATTCAGCCTTCTGCATTTGTGCATTGCATTGGCAGGCTGAAAAACGATCAACACATCGAATAGCAAATCAGCATGATGCAGTGACACTAGATTTATCTAAAGAGGTATGAGGTCTTCACGCGCTGACTAGCCGTGAACTGTGGTTCTTTTGATGCGAACATGCCCTGAAAATATCAGGGTCTCAGGGCCAACCTTTGCCGGTCGGACAGACTCTGTTTCAACAACATCGTCACATGCCAAAGCGTGGATGCTCGAAGAACGTGCAGTGGAGCACACATGCAAGTTGTAATTGAAGGAATGCATCGTATGTCAGCTACAACATGATAGGTAGGTAGTACGGGCGTATTCAGCGCGACCGTCCTATTCTCTAACTGTTTCCCCCACGCTGCCTCGGCAAGGTTTGGGTTTGGTGGAAGGCGCGAGCAACCTTACAAATTAATCGCGCCCTCATCCTTGCGCCGGTCTTATCTAGCCCTGGCCTAGCTACATACAAGTCATCAATTAGAGCACTCAGGGCACCCGTGATAATTACATGAAGGCGGGGCGGCACAATCAAACAATACTCTCCATCGGCGCTGTGCACGCAAAGGTCGGCACATCCACGGATCCTTCGAAAGCCCGGGACAAAGCAAACCCGTTTCCTCGCCGTTGAAACCGTTGGCAGATGGGCGCTGAGGACCTGGCCATTACGGATCTCTCCTCCTGGAGCACACGCTGCACACCTCTCGTCTTGTGTCCACCTCTCCCACAAACGTCTATCGACAGCACACTCCTTTCCGCCTGGTTGCTTGCCACGTCTGAACGAATCTCCTGATATCTCGGCCTTCGGTGGCACGTTCCGGCGCTTGAATACAGCGACGAGTGGCCAGTGCCTCCCCGCCAAATCATTTGTGTAATTGGTGTATGCGCGGACGGGCGTCCTTATTTGCACCTCACGTCTTTGCGAGGCTCTACTATGCACAGTTTCCCATCTGGGATTCCAGATAGCCCTGGGCGATCAACTTGATATTACTGCATGATGGGTGCTTTCAAACAGGAGAACAGCGGCGCGTCCGAGGATCGCGATGTGGGCAGCGTGCAGGCGGGCAGCTCTGACGCAGCGAGGGCAGCCCGGAAGAGGACAAAGACGGGATGTCTCACGTGTCGAAAACGCAGAATCAAGTGCGATGAAGGCAAACCCGTATGCAAAAACTGCATGAAATCAAAGCGCCAATGTGAAGGTTACAACCAGCGAGTTGTCTTCAAGCCGGCTGATTTCCAATATCTACCTCACGGCGGTGCAACCATAACATTCGACGCTGGACTTAACGCAATTCCTAACGAGCACAGCCATCATGGAGCATATCCTCCGCATCCCGGTTCCCAGCCACGCTCGCTCTCTGTCGCGTCGCAGATGTCACAACAGTATGGGCCACTTGGTGATGCTATGGACCAACAGCGTTCACCGCCCATAACTCAACATCTAGGTTTCGATCCGATTCTCCATGGCATGTCTCAGCGGCAAACACGATTCGAACAATCTCCGGACACGAAACCATTTCTGGACAGGAGTTCGTCATTTTCTCATGGCCTTCCGGTTGACAGTGGTCCACCAAACCCAGCCTTGTATCAATCTATTCCGGAGGTTTCACCGTACATGGAACAATATACTACCACTGGTTGGCAGCAGGATGTTCAAGGCCATTTCACACCAGTACTCTGGTCCAACGCATATGTTACCGACGATCAACAGCCAATAGACGTCCCACATCAATGGCACGGAGAAGGGTTCATCAGTCCAAATGTACCGGAACCAACTCCAACACCGCCAGGAGGCCCATCATATGGATATGGAGCAACCATGGAGCAATCACGTCTAAGACAACCCCAAGCACCACCAAGAAACATCCCGGATGTGATTAACAACGTTCCCCTACAAACACAGCTTGGTCGAAATGGAGTTCTGGATGAGGCAGCTATCGAAGTTCATGACGAGGACTATTATGATGTTGACACGGAGGACGAAATGTTCGACATGGATACTGAATTCGAAGCACAAAATCTTCACGGATCAAAGATACAGATTCACGACCAACCCAAATATGGACTTGATGCGGCCAGGATGGATGCTCGAAACTTTGACACTTTCGTTTTTAGCGGCGCCATGGACAGCTACCGGCCTGAGCATGTTGCGAATCCACTGAAAAATCCGGCCACAGCCAGGGTATTTGCGCATTTTATGTCAGAAACTGCGACGATATTGACCACTTCGGCAAGACAAATCTGGCGGCTGAATCCTTCGTCTTCTGACAGCAAGGCGATGCCAATGGTACGGAAGTGTATCTGGACTCACACTTTGCCCATGGCAGCGTTGCACCACCAAGGTCTTCTGCAGTCCATGCTTGCGATTTCGAGTCTACAGATAGCCAAGATCCAAAATGCGTCTGAGACACCCTCACTCAAGCACTACGCATATGCGCTAAAGAGGATTCACAATTGCGTCGGCAATCCAAAGAAGAGACTTTCGGTACCCGTTTTCGCGGCATCATTATTGCTTGGTTACTACGAATGCATGGCTGCTAATCACGCTAATTGGCAAAGTCATCTCAATGGTGCCCGTCAACTAGTGGTAGAAATGGACTTCGCTGGCATGACCAAAACATTCAAGCAGATGAAGGCTGTAAAGGCACGGCAAGATCAGCAGATGCCGCGGTTCTCGGCTACTGGCATCCCACAAATATCTCCAGATCAATCGCCACAGGATATACTGCTGGATCAGATGTACGAGGCCGACGAGAACATTGTCGGAGCAATCTGTGGCACTGGAGTCAGCTATGACAGATATGGCCATATTGGCGAAGCAATGCCACCTCCGCAACCTTTCAATCTGGAGACTTACGACACTCTGAAAGACTTGTATTGGTGGTATTGCAAACAAGATGCTTACCACAGCTTGATCAGCACTGACCCTCTCATGTATGTATAGCAGATACTTTCCATTGTTCTTCACGCTGACAATGTATAGNNGATGGATTATAGCCGTTATACTGATTGTCCACCTCGAGCACCCTTAGGTAAGGCCGATGCTCCCTACGGCTCATTTGATCACATCATTCTACTTCTAGCTCGAATCGCAGACTTTGCTGTACGAGACAGGAAGAGAAAGCTGAAGGTTGAAAAATCGGGCATGGGTTCNCCTCTTGATAATGGGAGACGCACATCCAATGCATCCAACAATCAATCAGCTACGCCCCCACCAAACATATTCTCCTCGCGAGGACTTTCTCATTCGCCGTCAAGCACAACCTCGCACGCATACGACAGCATAGATTTGAATCTTTCCACCGCAAACGCTCTTCAGGAATGGAATAGTATTAAAGCAGCCTTGGACTTCGTAGCCAACAGTCTAGGCCCTTATTTCCAGCCTTTGGACGCCGAGTACCAGCCTCCTCTCAACACACCGTTCGGACCAGCTCTCATCTACCGCTCGTGGGACATCAGCGTAATGTGGGCGAATTACAACATGGCCATGATAGCGGCCCTCCGCAACCACCCGAATATGCCCCCAGCTGCCCATGTCGCTGCGGCTGCAGCGGCCGAGTCAACGAAACCCTACGCCTACTCTATCGGCCGTATAGCAGCAAGTATTCAGACTCCACCCGAAGACCAGCCTCTCGATCCCAAGATGGGCGCCGCAATGATCGATCTGGTCATCCCCCAATTCTTCGCCGGTATTCAATACACGAATGCCTCCCACCGTGCATGGCTCGTCGAACGCTACTTTGAAACAGATCGACGCTGTGGCTGGGCTACCGCCAGTGTCATCGCCGAAGGATGTCAGAGCGGCTGGATCCGCGCAGCAGACGCAGGACGANNGGGCCCTCACATGCGCGTGAGCAAAGCCACCTTTTCCGATTTCAGAATGGGACGATATGGAGACAGTCTAGCCGAAGCCAGTAAACAGAGGCTTTCTGAATGGGATGCAGAGAACGACAGGAAGTTTGTTAGGACAAAGGCTAGTGCGAGAGTGCATTGGGCGATTGGATTGATGGGCACTGAAGAGGATGTTCCCGAGGAGTCTGATTAGATGATGTTTTCTTGCATTGTGGCTGGATAGGAATGGAGACAATGATGAAGAGGGACAGACATTTGCATTCGACACATTTCAACACCTTTAGCAAGCTGCATCTTTTATACGTTCATGAGCTTCGAATACATGGTTTGGCTACATTGCCAGGTTTCCCCACTCAAGATCTGATGCTCCTGCTTAGTTTCCATCTTTCGAAAGATACCACTGACTTGAAACAAGCAGAACCAAAGACATTGTGCATGCAGCCGCGGTGCAAGATGGAAAAGAACAGAAGCAACAGTGAGATTAAGCAAATCTATGCGTTTCTAAACGCCACCAAACCCATTCACAACCACTCATCATGGCAACATTGCCTTCCTTTGATTTTCCATCTCATGAGCCTGAGGGCTCAGCTGACTCCACGCCTTACCCAAATGCTCCTTCGCAACCTCCCNCTTGCCAATCTTCTGCCCCTCAAATCCAGTCTCGCCCAAATACTCGCACTCAAACACGCCAGTCAGCTTAACGCCATCTTCCTCGAACTTGATAAATTGAGTCGCATTTTCGGCTTCGACTGCAATCTCCGAGTCTGAAGTCTCGCGGCCACGCCATTTGTATTGGAAAGTGCGGTTTTCAGGAGAAGGCAGTTGGGAGGGAAGGAGATCGAAAGAGGAGCGTTGAGTAGGAGTGGTTCTGAGGGTTGTTGGGGACATGAAGCGGATGATGCCATGGAAGAGACCCATATGGAACGTAGCCCAGAGTTGGTAAGTTCCAAGACGTGCTTNTTGAGCTTCTGTGAGTTCGGAGTCGGGGATGTTGTCGTTGGAGATTGTGGCTGAGATTTCGTCGTCGGTGTCATTGTCGCTTTGGGGTCGAGTTGGCTCGAGGTGGATTGTTAGGTTCAGATCGGATGATAAAGCCATTTCACCGAGTTGTTCGGCGATGGCTTCGCAGGTGAGCTTCCAGGTGCCTGTTGGGTCTACGATGTCCTTCTCCGTTTGCGCTGAGTGGGCTTGTTGTGATATCCAGCTAGCGATACGATCATTCTCGGTGGTATCTTCGGCGGTAGGCTGTTCTTCGATTGTCTCTTGAGGCAGCGCACTTGACGTATTTGGCACGGCCTCTAGTGGGTCTTTACGGAAGACTGGTCTCGCGGGCACAGCTTGGCTTTTGAGATCACTGAGTTGCTTCGCAGCCTCGATATCCTCGTTTGGTGTATTCATCTGTGCAGTCTTACTGTTGCCAGTTGTCTTTGAAGTATGGTCGATAGAAGGCAATTGCTGACGAATGTCCTTTGCTTGCTGAGCACCGGGTAGCATCATCTGAGCCACAGGAGCCCTTTGTTCGCGAAGAGAGGGATCAATCAAGTCAGCTGGATTCTTAGGCTCGTCGGCTCCAGCATCAGCTTCGTCTTCGTTTCCGGCCTCCTCCTCGGCCTCTTGAAGCTGTCTCTTGGCTTGACGCTGAATATCTCGAACTTTGCCAGCAACCGCCATCCTTGAAGCAACTCGCCCGAGTACAAGCCAGCTCTCGGGTGGCCCATCCTTGCGTACTTGCGTATCGAACATTTCAACATGCAAACCCATGGCATCGGCCTTGGCCCAAAGGTCACGTCTTGTTGCTGGACCAGCTTTGAGAGCCAAGACATCTTCTCCATTGGTGAGGAATTCCTTCAGTAATCTAGTAGAGTTGATCCAGGCTTTTGCCTCGGGGGTTCTTGCTGCATTCCACCTGACATCTTCGGCTCTCAACTTGAGTCTTTCTCTGTCTGCAGCAGTGGTAACGACGCGCTTTTTCTTGACGGCTCCATTTGCTCCGGCTTGACCAGCGGCCGCTTTATCCTGAGGGGCCATAGTGTGAGTATGTAAGTTGCAGAATTATGACGCGAAACAAGAAAACTCCTGATAAGATGCTTGGATGTTGAGGTTGTTGGTCGAAGTACGTGTTGTTGGGTCGGTGACCTGGGAGGAGTTTGAGTCGCTGCCAAGCCAATCTATACCGGGTTAGTGTCGGGGCTCGATCTTCCGAAGCCGACGACGATATGAGTCTCGATGCTTGCGAAGATAGTCACTAGAGTCGCAGCATACTTGCTACCGACATGACTGACTGGATATAGGAACTCGGATGCTTCATATCTTATCAAACATGAGACTTTGTGAAGTTCTAAGTGAGCTGATGAATCATTACTGATCAGTGTGTGAATGATTGAAAGTATGCTGCAAATTGGTATTTCACGAACAAAACACCTTCAAGACCAAATGATGTTTCAAGATTGACGGTAGAACTACCTCAAGCACATAGAGAGCCATAATAGCATGAATACGGTAAAGGAAAGAACACAATGTAGTGTTCATCAACCCGAACTTCGGCGGTCAGGGTGGTCAGAACGGCATCTCTCAACTTGAAGCACAGGTCGACGGCCAACACGCGACTGACAATATGGTTGATCTGTCTAGAAGAACATTGGCAGGATCGAATTTGATCAATCCAGTACTGCTTTCTGTCCACATTGCTGGTTTAGGACGATGATGGGCGGTGTAAATATACGAGAAAGCTCTAGGGGATGATAGGCTAATGAACGGTGAAACAGTCACGATTGTTTTTAGATATGACTAGGTTGCACGGCACTACCTTCGACTTGATGCTCTATGAGGTTTGCTGGACGTCTTGCAAGATATTTCGCAGATACCATAGAACACATGGGAAGATGATCTTGGTCGAAAGAGCCATGTTTACTTTTGTCAACAAAGGTTGAGTTTGTAGGAAGCGGGGAAAAACAGTCAGCGTCATCAAGCAGATGGTTCGATCGGGCGCACAAGGGTGGTGGCAGCCTCAGCTCAGCATGCACGCCTTTTCACGGGTGCTCTTTGGACAACGAATGCACGGCGGACGTGATAGAAACAGATGCAACGTTGACCCTTTTAATGCCCCTATCCTCAATCAAGCTGTTAAAGACTTGGAACCGAGTCTGCATCAATTCGAGTGATCCAAGAAGAGCCGCAGGAAGACAAAGCAATTGTTGGAGAACCTTTGTTGATCGTGCGCGTCAGTCAACAAAACACCACGTCCTTCGCTTACAGCGTCTCGAGGCCTGTTTGATCCAAACCCACCAAACCTACCCCTCTCGCACCGTCGTGGGGAACAAGCATCGCCAGCATCGACGACACTGTCTCAACCGAGGACTATCCAACAATCAACTACAGAACTGTCGATAATAGCAGAGGCCAACAATATCAGGCCTGCCCTCGTCCCCACGCAAATTTGCGGAGGCAAACTCTTGGCCCGCTCTTGAGACGCGATCGCTTTCCATCATCCGCTTGCTTTTTCCCGTCAACCCCGACATCACAGACGCGACCCAGCGACGTCTTTGTCAACACAACCTCCCCTCTATTCCTGCAGTCCACATCACACAACACATCACCATGCCGCCGTCGAATCGGCGCACAAGACCTGCGCGCAAGGCCGCCGAAGTGGCCGCAGCAGCCACGGCCACCGCAGCCGACGTGTCTGACGCCGATACTCCCGAATCCATTGCTACACCCTCGCGCACTTCTCGCAAGAGAGCGCGCGCCAACGACGCCCCTACTTCCAATGGCCGCGCAGCCACGCGCAGGAAGGTCACCACTGCCCGCGCCAACGAACGCGAAGACACTGANGGGCACCGAGGCCAACGAACAGTCCGACGCCGAAACCGAGCCCTCGACTCCTCCGAGGTCGATGTCATCTCCAAGCTCAAGGTCTCGGACAAGCAAGTAAATGCGACACACGACTTCTCCAACGATCTGCTCGAGGGCAGAGAGCACGTGCCTGGCTATGGCAAGATCGCTGGTCGCAACTGGACATACATTATCCAAGGCGTCGAAATCAACATCGGTCGTCCCGAGTCACATGAGAAGGCCGAATCTCTCAACTCTCCTATTATTCAGTCAAACGACCCTTCGGCCAAGTCGAGAATCTCCATCGATCTCGGCCCCGACAGACAGGTATCGCGTCTGCATGCCGTCATCTCGTACGACAGCGAGCAGGAGAAGTGGTTCATCACTGTCAATGGCCGCAACGGCCTAAGAGTCGACACGCAGCTTCTCAAGCGTGGCAACCGTGCGGCCTTGCGCTCTGGATGTGTTATCGACATTAGTGGCACCCAGATGGCTTTCATCACCACTGCTCGCCATGAGGACGACGGTCCCGTCTTCGCCGACGCCATTGTCCGCCAGACCTACACGTCCGAAGAGGAAGACCACGAAGCCGATGCCCGTAATGGCAACGGGCCTCCACCAAACCCGTCATCTCACATGCCCGGCCCCTCTTCGTCAGTGCGCCGCCCTGCCCATCCTTCGTCTAGCTTCCCCGACGGCAGTACCGGTCACCGTGTACACCCCCATTCATACGCAGGTCTGCAGTCGCAATCGTTCCCTATACCTGGTACACCCATTCGTAACCACGGCATGAACATTCCTACCTCACAGCGCACCCGTCCGTCTCCTCTCTCGACTGGAGGCTACTCTCGCGGTGTCATGCTCGAGTCGACCGAGTCTATTGACTACTCTGCAGACAGCGCCAAAGATCTCAAACCTCCCCACTCGTATGCTCAATTAATCGGTATGGCTATCTTGTCTACCGGCGAGCAGCAGATGACGCTCAACAACATCTACAAATGGATCATGGCAAACTATGCCTTCTACCGCTATAGCACCAGTGGCTGGCAAAACTCGATCCGCCACAATCTCAGTCTCAACAAGGCCTTTGAGAAGATTGCCCGTCGCACCGACGAGCCTGGTAAGGGTATGAAGTGGATGATCTCGCCCAAGGAACGCGACACTTTCCTCAGCCAGGGTATGAAGGGCTGCCGCAGACCCAATCCTCTGCCTTCTGGCATGATCGATCCTTCGAGTCCTGCTCAGCTACACCCTCCCTCTTCCGCCCATCAAAAGCTCAATGGTGCTGTCCACGCTGTCCCTAGTAAGACCGAGAAGAGCGACAGTCCTCCTATGCACACCTATCCATCTTCGTACCCAACCGCAACTGAGGCCTACACCCCTGACCGAGGCTCCCGTCGCCCTGTCAAGTTTGACGAAAACGATCCAGAGCTTGTCTACCCTCCATCGGCCAAGAGCACTCTGAACCACCTTACTGCTGTCGCCAACGCTGCCGGATCTCCGCCTTCGCTTTACATCAACGATGACGGTCGCATCGGTCCTCTTGACACACCCTTCCCCGTGCGCAGTAGCCAGAAGCTGGTGCCTCCNTCAACGCTCCAGCGTCCTTCGGCTTTTATGGAGTTCTCATCACCGGCTCCGTTCTGGAAGTTCGGCTCGACTCCCCTACGCCCGCTCGCAGACATCAGTCCCTTGAAGGCGACGCCATTCTCATCTTTCAAGCCATTGGGAATGGGAGCCAACGTCAAGATTCTTGACGAGGACGACAAGAGCGCTGTTGACAAGAAGAACATTCTGGACGAGAAGGACGACGACATGCCTGCTATTCAGTCCAGCTCGCCTCCTCGTCCATCAGGAGTCCCCGACCGTATCGACGGTAGCCCTACTCGCAGCATCCCTAGGCCAGCCACAAGCCACAGTCGCTCGGCCAAGCTCGAATTTGATTCAGACGAGCACATCGCCGCTAGCATGCCTCCCGAGAGCAACGAAAGGACTTCTTTCGAGCGTGAGACTTCTCAGAGAAGAGAACAAAGCATCATGACGAACCCTTCGTTCAATGCTCCTCAGTTGCAGCCGCCTCAGCAGCAACAACCTGAACCTGAGCAGCAACAGGTCACTCAGCCAGGTCAGCAGGAGCAGATGCAGGCGCAGACACAACAACAGCGTGAGCAATCAAGCATGCCTGCACCTAACTCTATGCGTCCTCCCATGCAGACTCTGGGCAATGGCAACAACCAGCAGCAAGCAGCTGCTGCCCCCAACACTAGCAACATTCTCAACAGTCATGCTTATGCAACGAACAACCTGAGTGGCATGCAACAGAACATGGGATCTCTCCGCTATGGTGCAGATACCGATGATGAGGCCGGCATTGATCTTGCCAAGTAAGTTTCAATTTTACACGAGTTGAGGATAGTGGACTAATATGTTGCTCAGNNGGGCTTTCAACCTATCGGTACCTTCCACAAGATTGGAGCAGCTAGATTTGGCATGGGTATGGCAGGTCGTTAGATGCAACCTGAACTACCCGGCTGGCAGCAGCACCCGATGTACCGCACGCCCAGCAGCGGAAAGCGTGCTACTAAAAAGCACACGCAGCTTTGAAGAAGTGATGAGATGCGATTGACGAAATGGAGGCACATAAGGATAACGTTTGTCCATGGATATCAAGGAGTTTTGATTTGGAGGTCAAGTGTTTCGAGTTTTGTTTCGCGGGAGCACGAGATGGCGTTTTGGTATTCGACGGGATCAGGTTGCTGTTCTATTGGAGAACAGATATAGAAGGCGTAGCTCTGGAGAGGCCAGCACGATTGTTGCAGCTATTTTCGTAGGCATGATGTGCGAAAGCCATGTTTCTCTTACTCGAGTAGTGATACAAGCCCCTTGGTGCTGGTTTGACAGGTGGATGATCTGAAAAATGACGCAGAAAGGGTCTAAGTGGTTCGCGCATGCTGCCAAGCAACAAACGGGCCAGCCACATTTTTGGGACTGGGGGCCGGGTTTGATTACGATATACGAAGCAACTTTGGGGGTGTCTCGTTTCCAGTCTCGTCGTTGATTGCATCTCGCGACGTGTCGTGTCTCATACGGCGTTGGGCAGCATTTCTTCTCGACCACTCTCGAGGGTAGAAAGAAGCCGAAGCACGCGGCGTTCCACACGGCATAGCAGGCTTCCACCAGTGATCCAGACACGACTCACGCCATCCATCAGCCAACATGAATGCGCTCCGCCAGAAATGCCGACCGAAACATCAGGTTTTGATCCTGAAGTGCTACCCTAAACTGCCCAAGAACCCGGCAGGCAATGCGAGCGAGGCAAAGCCGAATGGCAGCGAACTCAGCTACCTGGTCTACTACGCGTCGAGTCGCCGAGCCAAACTCACAAAGGTTGGCAGTTTCCTGGAGAAGCGGACCGCCTCAGATGTGTACAAGGGCAGGATAGGAGCGGTCCACGTCACATTAGGAATCCTTACCGCCTTTCTCAACTCGTCCAGCATCTCCTCGGTCGACACATTNCCCCTGTTGGCGCCTCATGTTCTCACCATCCTACAAGAAGTCCTGGGCCACTCCAACGACACGGGTCTGATTGAAGCATGTCTCCCTGTATGGGACGCCTTCTGTCGTGACCAGGACCATGCTACGCTCGCCGCCGACGTCGAGTATCGCCAACAATTTGCCGACGTGGTCAAGAGATGGACAACATATGCCGACAAGACAAACAAGGAGGCTGGTGGGTCTAGCGATGCTCTCAAGCTACGCAAGGCTGGTCTCGAGGCACTGCGCAGTATTGCCAAAGCCCAGGCCCTTGCCAGCGAGCCAGGCCGACAGATCCCCGTCTTCTTACCTGCCGTGCTCCGCAACCTGTATTCGCAAGATGCCGCGTACCTGACCGCCCTCGACGAACGACTGAACGAGCAAAAGAATGCGCAGCAAGCACTGCGTCCCAGCATGCAGACCATCCGCAGTACAAACACAAAGGAAGAAGGAGACCCGCGCGCTGCTGGAGGCACTGCTCAAGAGGCCGATCGCTATGCCGAGGAAGAGGCTGGTATACTGGCTTTGCAATGCTTCAAGGCTCTGTTCGATGTCGACAACCGTGTCCAAGTGCGCATGGCTACTTTGAGCATGCTTGAGTACATCTCTCAACACAACTCGGGTCATGCATGGTCAGTCGGTCTAGTCAAACTGGCATGCGAATGCACTCCCGTGCAGGATCGCTTTGTTGTCCTATTCACTGCTGTCGAGATTTTGATTCGCAGTCCCATCATTGAGAATGCTCTGCAGCAACAGATCGTACTGGCTGTCATTGTCGAGCAAATCCTTGGCTCCAACATCAACCTGATAGGCTTATCGGTCATGGATATCCTCCTCGGCCTGGTTCAACATATCCTTCTGATTCTACAGCTTGGTACCACTCAAACCAGCTTAAATGGATCTACCGAAAAGCCAAAGTCGCCTGTCATGGAAGTTGTCAAGACTCCTTCTCCTGTCAGAGTCGACCTGCTTACTCACTTGCGTCAATGCATTGTCAATCTTGCAAAGCATGTATACTACACTGATCAAATCGCGGACATGGTTTCGGCCCTTCTCCTCCGCCTCAAGCCCGCCTCTCCTGGCTCCAACATGCCAGTTGCTACCGCAAATGCTATCGAGGACCCCAATGGTACTTCCATGGAATCCGCCGCTAGCAGTGGCTTAAAGGAAAGACCCAATACTGATGGCTTCTTCTCCTTCGACACTGCTCGAGAGGTTGCACTTGATTCGGTCAAGCGCATTCTCATTGTTGCTAACAGCAACGATCCTTCAGCCAATGAATCTACTAAGAACCAGAACCCAGTTCCAATTGGAGTCTGGGAGGGAACTCAATGGCTGCTGCGTGATTCGTACCGCCCAGTCCGTGTTGCTTATGTGGATGCACTGTGTACATGGCTTGACCTCGAGACTCGTGATAAGGACTCAAAGATCGAGGAAAAGATTACTACTGAGAAGCAGAAGCGGGACAATGTCAACGGTAACAACATGGCTCGTAGAGCGGTATCTAACGCTTCAGCACGTGGGCGTGGCGCTAGGAAGAGTCGCTCCTTCTTCTTGCAACTGCTCCACCTTGCCATTTACGAAGACGCCGTGCATCTTGCCGATCGTCCCGAGGCTGATCACGAATTTCTGCTTTTGCACTACTTGCTTGCATCCATGGTTGCCAGACTCGGTATCAACGCTATGCGCTCTGGTCTGCCCATGATGTTCCGCTTGCAAGAAGATATTCAGGCCATTGAGAACCCAAAAGCCAAGGTCAGACTTGGTAGTTTGGTGCATGGTTACTTGTGGGCAGTTACTCACAAGTTCAACTTCGAGCATTCCGTTGTCGGAAATGAGATCCAGACTGAGATTGTACGCAGACAGCAAGCTGGCATTTGGGTCCACGGTCTCCAGATCCCGGCTGTGTCCTTGGCTAGAATTGCAGAAGTGGCTGCCTCTGCTCCTACAAAGTTAACAGAGACTACCGTTGAGTCGCAGGCGCTGAAGCCCTTTGACCACCGCGAACAGCTGGTCGAGCGTATCTCGGACACTTACGGTGCTAGCATCGCTTCGCCTCCCGGTACACCTGGTAGTCCCGGACGCAGTTTCTCTTTGCCAGCTTTAAATGTTGCCCCTAGCGACTTCCTGGCCGCACCTAGCCGAGCCACGGCCGACCTACCACAATCTTGCATGGACGAGCTTACAGCAGTCTGGACGAAAGAAGAACTCCTCGCAACCGTCGCAGCTGCAGCACCTAAGTCGACGTCGTTGAGCGGCTCGCGCGCTGGCACCACGTCTGCACACCCGTCAGGTACCAATCTTGTAGCTCTAGGCGATCATCGTCGTTTGCTCGCCGCTGCCAACACCTTCCCATACCAGAGTCCTCGCAGCACTTCCGAGACCTTTGGTAACGGAGGCACTTCTAGATCTGGTCCTGCAAGGACTGGTACCAGTCACTCACAAGTCCGCAGCCGTCTCGTTAGTCGAAGCCCTGCAGGCCGCCGCCCCAGCAATAGCACATCTGGTCATGGCGATGGTGCCAGCAGCGCTACAAACTCAGGAGCCATGCGTGTCGAGGAGCTGAAGCGCGTACTCGCTGGTCAAGCACCTCCTTCATCTGCAATGTCCATGCATCGGGCCGGCGCTGGTGACGACTCAGCCGAGAGCATGATGGATGTCGAAGATGGTGAACTTGAAGACGATGCTAGCGACTATAGNCCCCCACTCCTTCGTCCGGCTACCCAAGACGCTGCTCAGAAGTCACAAAACACAATGCAACCGCCACCCGCACCTGCTCTTAGACTCAATAGTGGCGAGGTTGTTACCAATGGCAGTTTTTCTTCAGCACCTGTCTCTGAGAGAGGTCGCCAGGATGGCTCAGTCAACAGACCCGCAAGCAGAAGAGTTGCCAGCAGGAGCTCTGCTAGAGGCTTTGGCGGTGCCGCCAGTACACATGGTAAGAAAGATCTCAGGGATCTTTTGTCTTCGATTGGTACTGAAGAAGATGTCGAGGGTGGTGAAGGTGTCAGTAGAGCGCCATATTAGTACATGGTGCTCTGAAAGAAGACTACATAATGAAAAGGAGGATGGATTGTTTTGGATACCCCTACATGGTTGTAAGCGTTTTTGATTTTGACTAAGTAAATAGTGTTTTGCGTACTTCATATTCGTCTGTTACTCATCCCCTTGCCTTTTGATTGATCAATTCGGGAGTTTTCTGCAGGTGGACACTGCTAAGTGCGAACCAAGTCATGGAAGGAGGTATGGTCGTTACCTACTTCCTAAGTCGTTTTACACTTCTTGGCAGGCTGTTCGTCGACGTATAAATATCCGTGTGTGCTCTTGCTGCATTTCGCTTTCTTCTTTTCGCATCTTCATCTAAAATTTGACGACGACTAACATCACCAATCTCGGCAAGTGACCTGTTTGTTGTGCTTCCGGGTACGTGCATTGCATGCGCGGGAGCCTGCATGAAACTTTCTGAACCTGTCATATGTTTCATCTTTCTTTGTGATCTATATCACTGACCCTGAGACAGTTCATTTCCGTCCTTCAACGCAACCCACGCAAGAACAATCTGATCCGTTCGAGCCGGATCTCACTCATAAACCTACGCACCTCTCCATGTTGGCTTTGTGGATTACAACTTTCTAGGCTCACCATTCTTATCACTGCTCCACTTTCGACCATTGTTCTTTTGACCAACTGAATTGAAGTCAGTCTCTCTTGGGAGTCACCTGAAGAAAGATTCAGTCTCTGGTTGGACTACGCGAGATGGTACGAACCATGGGCAACCAAACGACGACGAGATCGTTTGGCGGCGACGCGTTCAACGACCAAGAAACGCGCAGCCAACCCTTGGTCGATTCACCAATGCTCGGTGTCGAGAAGTTTGAAGATGAAGACCCGACAGTCTATCACATGCACAAACCATATGAGTCCGAGAGATTTACGCGCTGGTTAACCACCTTCGACGACACCTCAAGTGAAGAAGAAACTATCCTTCCTCTCCCTCTCCTTCCCAAACCTCTTAGTCCATCCAAGGTTGAGCGTAGACCAGAATCATTCCACGAGATTCTTCTGTCTGAGAAAAGTTTACTGCCTGAATCAGCGCGGGCCATACTAGAAGCAGAAATGAACGCAGACAAGACAGCAGATTGGACTTCAGAATGGGCCCAGGAGCTCAGGAGTCTTCAGAGAAAGCAACACCGTTCCAACCTCCAAAAGCATGGCGGTAATTCAACCGCTCGATTGCAAGTCCAACCAACAGCTTGGCGCACGAAGAAAGCCAAAGGGTTTAGAGCCTTGATGGCGAAGGAGCTNCTTTCTGGCTACAGTATCGGTACCTTTCTGGAGTTGCCGGTGATGGAAAGACTGGCAACGTATCATGACAAGTTAGAGGCTCCAGGCATGAACGAGCTATCCGACCCTTCGACTATCAGCACCGACCTGCCGACGCATTGTATCGCTTCGATCCCCAATCAACATGCTCGTTCGTTCCTGACCGCCTCTGCTCTCGATCTTCTACCACCCAAACATCGGGTAGTTTGGCAAGAGGCACAACGCCACTTTTGGAGAAACAATGTGTTTGTTGTCAATGCCTCACACCTAAAGGCAGTGCTGAATAGGCTGGACGCTCGGGTCAAGAGCCATGTAGCTATGCTCCACGTCGATCTAGAGGCTCTAGACGATCTGGACGATCTAGCCTGCTACAGTACCTCACACCTCGACAACAACAACAGCCAATCCCTCCAGACTATTCACCAGCAAAACCAAGATCTGAGGCGACTTATGCAGGAATGCTACGAGCTATCTTGGGCGAGGATCCATGTACACAGCGAATGGATGAAGGGCGACATTTACGACCTGGTAAAAGCTCACCGCGTATGCCAGTCTTTTACAGACCAGCACAGATGTCGATACATTGTCCAATACAACAAGATCTGCATGAATACTCAGCGACGTGTGGAGTATCTGACATGGCTTCTCTGCAAGTCGTTAAAGTGCAAGGAGAACACCGTCTTCATCGATGTCGAGCATCTTGGTCTCGACGGTACCACGACAATCCTCGAAGTCAAAATCGACCATGCAAAGCTTGACAAGGTCGACAAAGAGATACGAGCAGCCTGGAAGGAACAGAGAGAACGCAAGAAGAAGGAACAACACAACGACTCGCGAGCACCAAGAGTGCCATCTGTCAAGAAGTTCAAAGGGGTCGAGCTGATCGACCTGACCTAAGGAGGCAGTTTGGTGGTGAATATTGACCTATGTACAGGCATTCAGATATTCAAGTCTTGCGAATGTTCGAAACACATACAGCTTCCAAGGCCAGAGAACGAGATGGGATCGATGAGATTGGTGGCTATGCGGATAGTGCTCGAAAGACGTCAAGGAACTTACGTTGGGAAGCGCATTGTCCACAGCTTGTGGAAAAACGAAAATTCGCTGTCAGATGGGCGTCTTTAGATGCAGACCAGAATGAGATTCATCGTTTGCTTTTTCAATTTTTTTTGTCCACAAGGGATCATGGAACCTGCCCTGTCATGCATATGTTCTCGTATTCACAATAACTTGAGAGATAGCAAGGACGATCATCGTGTAGCTTCTCTCAGTAATCATGCAAACAAGTCAGTCTGCGAACGTGAAAACCGTTCCAATATCAAGAGCTCCGGCAAAACACCGGAAGATCGACATCACTTCCTATGAACCAGTAACCCTCTCTCCTCTATAACTAAGCACGAAAACCACAAGATAAACAATGCCCATACCCGCGCATCAACGCAATCTCTCCTATGAAGACAATATAGAAGCTCTTGCCGCCCTACTGACACAGTGGTATACCCTCCACCTCCTCCTCCCCTTCCACCACTCCTCCAGCAAACAAACATATATCTCTCAACCNCCTCACACACCATCTCCTTCCCTTGTATCTCAATGGCAGAAAGCAGGAATGAGTGATTTGGTAATCCAAACATTGAAACAATTNGTTTTTCTCTCTGGCACAGAGGCCAGAGAAATAGCACCAGATACACGAGCATTGGATTATTTGGATGAAGAAGGGGAAGCTTTGGAAGTGTGGAGAGATCCTTTTTGTTTGAGTGCAGAGGGAGGGAAAGTAGAGGGGTATTTGGGGAGTGCAATTCCCTTGACTGCTTGTATTGGAAACGAGGGTTGGGTTCTGGTGTTGGATTTGGATGATAGTATGTTTTGCTTCCTTCCTATCCCCTCTTCTCCTTTCCATTCTCTTTAGCTTTTGGGGGATTGTAGTTGATATAGATATACAGACAATATCTACGACATCGCTAACAAACCCCCTCACCCTCTTTCTCCACCACCAAAGAACGCGCCGCAATGGTACTACAAACACTATCCCCATAACCCCGCTATCGCTGCTCTCAAATCTTGGATCCAGAAAACGAAGCTTTTGGTATGGGTACCTGATCCAGAGACTGGGATATGGATACAAGAAACCGAGGATGATTGGGACGAGGACGGAGCAAAGTTTGCGGCGCTGNNGAAACAGGTTTATGGGGAGTGTGGGTGGCCTGAGACATTTGATGGGGGATTGTTTTGGGAGAGGTATGGGATGGTGAGGAGGGCGAGGGGTGGGAGGGTTGAGACTTGGGGAGTTTGAGGGGGAGGGCTGGGAAGGAGCGAAGAACGAAAGTGCAAAAGGGATGGCTGTTTCTGGGGAAGTCCTTGAGGACTGGTTGTGTTTGGCTTATCGGGGTTCTTCCTGAGTCTCTTAGAGGGTGGAATCTCTACACCGCTGAACACATCCTCTCCTTCAACTTTCCTGGATATATAGCCACACTACTGATTGGTATAACTTCAGCGATGAGTTGAGAGATTCGGGTAAGCCGATCATTTGCTGGAAAGTCATGTGAAGCAAGCACGCGACAATACTTGGAGATGAGCTTGCATTTGCCGAGTGCATCGGGTTGAAACTGTTTCACAGTTGAATCGTAACATGAATATGGCAGATTTCTGCTTCATTTCTTTGGTTCTACAGAGCTTGGCCAGAGATACATTCGTGACCTGGTTGACCACCATCTGACGTGAATCATCGACCAAATATCAACTGAGTGTCCGAGATCCATCCTGTTGTTGTGACCTGGAGATGACGTCATCACAGAGCCATAACGAGACCAGCAGCGGCCATGACGCCCATCACCAATCCGCCCTTCTCGACGTGTTCGGCAGCTCCAGTAGAGACCGAACCCGATGAAGTGGCTGATGAGTCGGCACCCTGAGTGCTGGTGACAGTGCTGGTTTCAGTGAGAATGCCAGTGGCAGTGGTGACAGCAATATCAGTGGACTTGACAGCTGAGTCGGTAGACTTGACGATTGAATCGGCGCCTGAGGCCGAAGCAGGGACCGAGATCGAAGTGGAGTCAGTCTTGACATCGCTGGTAGGCAAGATAGTGGAAGCGCCGGCAATAATCACAGCGGGCGAGCTGGCAGGAGTAGTGGGCGATGAGGCGGCACTCCAAGCGGCTTTCCCATGTTAGTCAAAACCCACGAAGCTAGATGCGCATGTTAGACTCACAGATGGTGACACCGACACCAGAGCAGATACTGGAGAAGGCGCTCGTGGCAGCGTTGAACTTGTTGCCACAGTCACTAACGAGGGTCTGCTCGACAGCGCTGCCATTGGCGCAGATGTCCTTGACATCGTCGGGGATTTTCCAGACTGGCTGTTTGCGCATGGTCAGAAGTCTGTTATGTTATTCTTGACCAAAACACTTGCTTGACGGCCTGGATAACACAGGCGGGTGGAGTAGCGACTGTGATTTGGATCAACAGTGCAAGGACTGTGAAGAAGATAGAGATCTTGGAGAACATGTTGGCGAAGCTGTGGTCGTGAGATATGGAGGGGTTGGTGTAGCGGACTTGAGGACGGATTCAAAGGAATGTTGTTCTCGAAGGAGTGCGAGACCAGTAGGATTGGACTCGTGGAATGAAGAAGAGCAAGACGGACGAAAGTGAGTGAAGCTGGGGAGTGTTTCGATTTGATTTGAGCAGCAAAAGAAAGAAGCAAAGAGTACGGAATCTGAAGCAACATGCGAAGGATGGCTGCAGCTTGTCTCAGTCCGTTTGACTGCATGACATTCCGTCAAGTGACGCCAATGTTTGTGCCTTGCTTTGTGCAACAAGCCTCTTCACCAACCTCAGGACTCACATGGCCTTTCTTTTGAGCCATATCCTACATGTACATCATCTGCAGCGACAGATGGCGACAACTACAACGTATGTTTGTTGGATGAATAGTTCGAACTCACTCAAGAGGGAGGTATGCCTTACGCGTCCCAAACGAAGACAGTCCACAGCCCTCGTAACAGTACGAGAAGGATGAAGCATTGTATTACCAAACCAGTCTCGCCAGGCCGTGAATTCGATGATGAATATGTGACAGATTGGAGAGTAGAAGTCGTCTGGTTTCGATTGTGGTATAGAGCCCCTGAGTCAGTTTGAGAAGCTCGGACCACGGCTCGAGACTTCACATGCGTGTCAAGCGTCACTTGTTCGCATCTCGATCACTTCGAAGCCAACACCAGCCATACCAAACCCTCTCTCTTGCTGACACGACCTCTGCACTTAGCTGTCGCAAGAGTCGCCAATCCGCAGAGTCAACCTCACACCCACCCTCTTACGACACACAACACACACGCGACTATCCACCATGGCCGACATTGACATGGACGTCGACATGGACATCGACCTCGGCTTGGACCCCGAAATCGCCCAGCTCGAGGCAGAGGCCATGAAGATTGTACGCCGACCCATCGCACGCTCACGCGACACACGCTGAACTTGTCAANNGGAAGCCCGCTCCGCCCAGATCGATGCTCAAGATGTCAACACTTCTACCCCTGCCGACAATCTCGACGAACTCGCCCCTACAAAGGTTCACATCCGCGGTCTGGATAACCTCACCACCGACAACATCAGACAGTTTGCTGGCGAGTATTATTCGCTAGATGACTTCCAACGCGTCGAGTGGATCGACGACACGTCAGCCAACCTCATCTACGAGTCAGAGCGAGCCGCTCAAGAGGCCCTCATCGCTCTTTCCGACCTACAAGACACAGACAATGTCGCTCCTCTACAGATGCGCAGGGCAAAAGCGCTACCTTCGAACCCCGATACCGAACTCTACATCCGCCAAGCCACTCTTGCCGACAAGAAGGCTCCCCGTGCCCACGAAAGAAGTCGCTTCTACCTCATGAACCCCGATCACGACCCGAGAGAACGCAAAGGAGACTATGACAACAGGAGGAGAGGCCCGCGAAGAGACAACAGGCAAAGAAACGATGCTCCCAAGCCTTTCGACGTCAACATGTACGACGATGCAGAAGAAGAGTCACCAGCACTCAGCTACGATGACGAAGACGACCGCAGGAACACCCGACGCAGGGATGATCGTCCGAGGCGGCCGCGTGGAGGTGACTTGTTTGCCGGGAAAGAAACAGGCAGACTACGTGATCGCAGCGCATCTCCTGTCAGGGATGGCGACGGAAGATACGGCTTCAGCCAGGAACAGCCCGAACGCAGAACCGCACGCCGCAGGACTATATCGCCCGCCCCTCGCAAGAAGGATCTTATCCCTGCAGCTCGCGCCAGCAATGGCCCGATAGAACTACTCCCTGCGAAGAACACCACCAAGACCTTTGGCCTCGATACACCTCTTACCTCGACAAGCCCTCCCAAGCGCAACAGGGAACTGTTCCCCAACAAATCTGCTCGCAGCAACCACCGCCGCTCAGATGCCCTGGACGCTGGCGAGACTGCTAGCATCAGACGTACGTTGTACTTTCCAACTGGAGATTTTGAACCTTCAACTGACTCAATGTACAGGCAGNNCCTGGCTGATCGCATAACAGGAGGTCCAGAGCCAAGCGGCTTCAGCATTAGAGGTCACGCCCAAGCAGATGTGCCGGGCTTCTCGATCCGTGGCGCTTCTCGAGAGGTTAACCCAAAGGTCAAGGAACTGTTCCCTTCCAAGTTCAGCAGCGGAGCGGAGCCAAACGACCTGTTCGCCGACAAGATGAGAGATCGCAATACTCAACGCAGACGTGCCGAGGACATGATGTAGTACTCTTCCTCGATCAACGCTCTGTTACGCGACATCATCGGACACGAATGACGGCATACCATGACACGCCAGGCCAAGGCTCGCAAGTGGAGGATATGAACCGGGCAGGGGGATGGCTAGGCGACACTCAAGGTTGCATCCACAATCTGCGATTACTGGCTCAATCGCTCGAGCGTGCATGTCCTATTCAGAGCACACAAAGCATGACCGGCCGAGGAGCGTGAGAGTACCAGCAGCTATCCAGATGCCGATGCAAGTCCGGAAGATATGATGGACTAAGAGAAAATGAAAAACTGCAAATACAGTAGGTAGTCACGAAAACACCTTCGCTCCACTCCGAGAAATATCTAAGACACAGAATGTCATGAAACGAAGACTGAATGTGCAGAGACCGTAGGTAATGGCACCGGCATAAGAAGGAGCAATGATTGAAGAGGACTCGATACAATGTTGGTTGTACTCAGTCTCCATCCGTTATCTTGGTGCGTCGCGATTGCGCTTTTGATTAAAGAAACTGCTAGAGCAATCACAAGTAAAGGCGACACTCGAGGGCTTCCTTCTTCACGGCAATCACTGTCACCGTTCATGCCTTTCGGCCTTGCGCACTTCTTATTTGTCTTCTCTTGCACTTTCTTCTACTGTGCTTCCCTTTTCTTCCGTCTGCACTTTCTTACTAAAGGCAGCACTCAAACTGAGTGGTTCTTTCTTCGCAGGAATCATATCCACGACTTACGCCTTTTGAGTCTGCGCGCGTCCCTTGACTTCTTTTCCATCACGTCTCTCAATACCCTTACCTTCACAACATCCGCGCTGTCTTTCATCTTATCAGCACGCGCCTCATTAGGCACTGTCTTGCGTCTTCGCTTCACTCTGTTCCACAAACCGCCTTTCGCCAGCGCACGCATCTTGAGACAATTCCATCGCCCTACCGTCAGCTTCCATCGCACCATCTTCAGTGCGCGCTCCGCAGCAATCATCACTCTGCGCACATCTGAAAGCGTATGTCATCCAACTCTTCGCTCACGGTGCTCATAACTGACATGATCGTGCACACTAGTCTTACGATCTGAAATCGACCTATTGATGCCCTTCTCTACGCATTCCAATAAATCATGCCACCTGCCTGCTCGTTACTAGGTATGGCCACGCCTCAGCCGCCCGAGACACAACCATTCCGCTTCTTGGATTTACCTATCGAGATTCGATACATGATCTACGAGCGGTTAAGGGACAAAGTTGTTACTGTCAAACTCTCTGATCTGACAATTCCTGGATGTATTTCGGAAGACGGTACGGAGATCACATATTGCTTCCATCCAGAAATGATGCGCGTCAACAAGCAAATCAAGGAGGAGTACCACTTTCTTGTCGTGCCGCGCATGGAGTTGGTCACCGATTGGGGAATCTGGGATCATGACACAGCTCGTGAAGAGCAGCAGCGTGATCAAGCATCCTACCCAGTCTTGCCTGAAGGTATTCTTGCTCGTTTGAGAATTATTCAATTGAGAGTCTCAATGGAGATTCCGACTCCACACTGCAGTAAGTTGTGAATTTTTTAGTAACGAAGGACACTCACAACCAACTAACAGATCTTCAATCTGCAATTTACGCATTGACAAGCAAGACACCCAATCTCCATCTATTCATACTTGTTACAATGTACGATATAGATAGTTCCGTCAGCGAAACGCGCCTGATCGACCCTATCGAGTTCGGCAAACATAATGCGTGGAAGCAGGAGATGGTCGATTGCCTATGGGAGCTTGTCGACAACGAAATTTCGTGGACAGACATGGCCAAGTTCCACATCAGCTGCGATCTCTACTGTTCACTCAACGATTTAGTCGAAGACGAGTGGGTCCCTAGCGTGTTTTTGACTATCTGTGAGTATCCAGACGCGGATACATTCAAGCTTGGTGGCTTGGATTTGAGATTCTGTGGGATTTACCCATCCGAAGGCTATGAGGATCCCAGTACTTTTATCACATTTGTCTGGTAGTGGTGACTGGCGAGGCCAACAAGGGAGCGGACGCATGAAACAAGAAAGCTCAAGTACAATGTCGCAATCTCCTCACTTCTCAATCATCCTTCTTTCACGTGAGATGTGTAGCCACCTTCCCAGCTCTAAGACTACACAGAAATAGATCATGTCTGCGGAGAGTACGTTCTCTCAGACTATCTTCGTAGCCAAACTTTCGATTTGGAAGCATTGTGTATTCATTCAGTACACTTCGACAGCCTTTAATATGCGGGAAGGTAGTATCATCACGAGTCTTGCGCCTATCATACATATTCCACCAAAATCATATAATATACCTTATAATCGGCTCCCTTGACATGTAACAAAATTCTCAGCTCCAAAACTTCACGTTACTTCTTAAAAGGGTTTGGTGTCCAAGGAGAGAATGTTCTTCCGGTTTCTCTCCATGGTTATACTTTACACGAAAAAGGATCGTGTTTCTTTTCCTTTTCAGTGCACTTTGAGAATCTTTGTCCCATGGGGAGATAGCATCATCTCAACTTCTGCCTCTTCAAATTCCACCAAGTCTCGAGATGCATCGTGCAATCGACTCCTCTCTCACCTTGACATGTAGCAACATTCCCGTCTAGAAAATGCACAGTCCTTTCTGGGAAGTTCTGATCTACTTGGAGAGAACGTCTTGATACAAAATCGATCCTTCTCCCGGTAGCATGTAGCCATACCCTTGACTCTACAAACACATGATGGTTTTTAGAAAAGGGATCACCTACTTGGAGAGACCCTTTTAATACATATTATAATTGACTTCCCTCTCGCGACACCATGTAGCAAGATTCTCATCTGAAGAAGTACACAATACTTTTCTCGAAAGGGATGAACTAGTCTAGGAGAGCGTCTTGATACATCCTACAATCGACTTGTCTTTCACAATGATATGTAGCAACATTCTCATCTGAAGAAATGCACAGTGCTCTCTAGAGAGACACGATGTTCATGGGGTGAGCGTTCTCTTGGGTGTTTTTACAGCCTTAGTAATCTTTCATACTACGCAACTGCCAGTCAGAGTGGACCAAATCGAGATGATCGCGAGGATAGAGATTTGATCGAAAACATACCGTTCTGAGCGGGTCTTTCATCTTTCGGTTGTCTGTATAAGGGGCTGAAACAGCATCGCCTAGCTAACCCTCAACAACACCCTCGAAGCTACCTATATATCTGGTTGGAAAAGGGAGAGGCAATGTATACGAAAGCGAAGCGAAGCGAAAGCCTTCTTTCACTCTCTTGTTGAACATGAAAAGCAATTGATCGTCCTTCTTGGGACCGACCTTCGTCCCTCCCCTGATTTTGCTTTCCTTCATCTCCTCAGTAGCAAAGCCCTTTGAACGCCGTGCGCCGCGCTTCATGCTCAGATTTGTTTGTTGTACACAGGTGATTCCCCGTGTAGCCTCCCGCCCCCAGCATTGGTCGTGAATAAAGCAAAGATTTTTCTGACTCCGGTATGATGAACCAGAGCACTTCAGAACATCACATTCATCGCTTCTTGGCATTGGGTCTGGGCTTGCACTCGTCGCCACTGATGCCGTGCAGCATGACCTTGTTGGGGTAATTGGGGGTCTTTGCTGCGTAGCCCTGGTGCCAGTCGTACGAGACGGCGTAGGCGAAGATGGAGCCGTCGTGGTTGAAGTCGGTGCAGGAGATGCTGCCGCCGACTTCAGGGTAGCCCTTGAGACGGTGCTTGGCGTCCTTGTCCCAGAAGTGGAAGGTGCCGTCGCTACCGGCTGTGCTGAAGGTGCCGTGGACGGGGTGGAAGGAGATGGAGTTGACCGAGTAGACGTTGGACACGTCACGCTGGTTGGGCGAGTTTTGGCGATGGCACTTGAAGGAGAAGTTGGAGCTNNGCGTGCACAGGTTAGTGGTTGATTGGTATGGTAGGCAGTTGAGCAAAACTCACCTCGAATCCTTTTCCTCGACGTATTGGATAGCACATCTGCCTTCGATGGAGCCAATGGCGAAACCGGTGGCATCGGCGAAACAGCTGACAGTCCTGGTCTGCCACTTGAGGGGACTCTGAATCTGCTTGTATGCAGTGCCGGGCTGGTTGAGGTTGAAGATCTCGACCCAGCGATCGGCAGTAGCGACGACAAGAAGCTGGTCGCGAGTGTCCATGGCGTAGACACGGTCCTTGCACTGAACCGAGGCGATGGGGTTTTGTTGGCGGCAATCCCAGTATTTGATAGTCTTGTCCCAGGAACCGGTGACGATCATTTGTTGGCCGCCGGCGTTGATGCTTTCCACGCACTTGATGGGTTGGTCGTGTGCGGCAACTGTCTGGGTGGTGCCTCCGCCGTTGCCGAGGTCCATCATTATGACTTGGTTGTTGGCGCCTGCACCAAAGACTTGTCTTCCGTCCTGCGCTTATGTCAGTTGCTGCTTGAATGCGCAGACTCTCAAACAGCGTACCTTTGACCAGCAGGTGCTCAGGGCAGGGGCCTTGAGGTCGATCTGGGTCTTTCCTTCGTTGGCACCATTGCTCTGAACCTCGTAGATGTAGACTTTGTTGTCCCATGACGCGACCGAGAGATGGCCAGAGACGGGCGAGAAGCTCAGGTCCTGGATACCGTCGGAGGGCGATTGGTTGAGGGTGACATCGTTGGCGATGCTGCCTTGAGTGGCAGTGGCCGAAGAGGTTGCGGCAGAAGCGGCGCTGCCAAAGAGACCGGCCATGGTGATGTTTGAGAGGTAGAAGTCGTAGAAGTAGGCAGGTTCGGTAGGGCTTCGGGTAGCCTTTTCGAGGCGGAGCTGATTGAGCTGTCTCTTACGTAGGGTAAGTGTGGTGCGGTTGAGGCGGCCTTGAGGAGTGACGGTTGTACAGCGAGTAATGCCGGGACTTGGGATGGGCGCGCCGGGAGGGTCTATAGTCTGATTGATTAGGCCAGTCTCCACAAAACGTGAAACACGTCCAACCTGTGGACTACTAGTGGGATCAGGGGCAGCTTTAGGGATGACAGGAAGAAGAGAGTACGGAGGAGGAGGGTCCTCGTAGTCCTCGGCGTCGTCGTTGCGGTCGTTCATGGTGTTGCTGTTTCGCGCCAGAATGCGCGACTGACGGAGACGCAGACGCAAGCCATATAGCCCACGAGCACAGAGCGCGAAGATTCATAACGTACCGTAATATATGTCGACTTGGCGAAGAAGCAGCAACAGAGAAGAACCCAAGCGTGAACGAGTATGCGACAGCAACCTACTCTTTCTATGTAGCTACGAAAGTTGAGCTCACGACGCCGAACAAGTCGCTGCGAGACGCTAGCCCCACCGCCCGGCATTTCTACATGCCGATGTTCCGCCGCGTCACTGCGCAGAGCAAGCTTTAAAATCTTCTTGCTGCAAAGCTTTCTTGTTTTCCTTTCTTCAACCCTCTCGCTCAAACAATCGCAATCAAAGCTTCCACACCGAAAGGGCTCACCCTCTTTCCTCTCTTGCATACAGCTTTGGGAGAAAGTCCCCGGACACGCCATGAGTTCTCTTGTGGTATGCGGAAACGCGCCGCCATAGATGCAAGCACACCTGCGGCTTACTCGCCTTGCCCTGCCTTCTCACATCTCGGAGATCGTCCCTGTTGCCGTTTGCACTCTTCATGTGCGCTGTTGGTGCTCNNTCGTTGCTGGTTCCTCGCTCGGTCGCCTCGCCTGCAAAGGGGATGAGGATATGAGTCCGTGGCCGGGCAATGGGGGCTNGGCTTTGGGATNCCTCCGGCGTCGTGGGGAGGAGGCAACAGGTTCGTCTTGGTAATCCTCNNGCGGTCTTCGNNCAGCTGTGGGAGTTACAGGTCGGGCATCNNACGGCATCTTCTTCGTCGAGGTCGAAAGATATGCGATTGCCTCTTTTCTTCGGAACAGAGGTAACTCGATGGGGCTTATTCTTGATGCGAGGGGTTCACAACACACACACATTTTCTGGATCTGTCTGGGTGGCTTTGTCGCTATCCATGCGCTCTGTTTCACGCCTCTGCTCGGTCAAACGTGCCAGATTCCTTCAACACAAAAACACAAATCGTTCTACATGATGATGAAAAGGTATAGAGTCAAGCACTGAGATTTCCACTTTGGTACCCTTCATTGGGGCCGAGGCTGGTCCATTGATGCTACATTTCCTACGACGGTATCTGACAGAACGATTTGATGTACTCCTTTTTATATATATATTCATAGCAAGATCAGAAAGAAAGAGATGAAAATATTATTCTTGCACATCACCTCTCCAAGCTTTTTCTCTTGTGTTCATCCATGTGCTGCGATCTTGACCTGCTTTTGACTGGACATTGTTCTCACTCTTGCACAACCACCTCTTCATGTTTTGTCGCTTGTCCTCATTCAAATGCTGTGTGATACTAGATTGCTTTTGAGTGGACACTGTTCTATCTATCTACCGTGGTGAGGATGGGAAGATGGCTTACCATCCTCATCGTCGTCGCTGTCCTCGCCAACATCAAACCGTTCCCTCTCGTGGTTATGAGGACTGGTCAGCTCATCCAACTCTGCCTCATCGAAATCCGCTGCTTCCAAATCTCTTCTTGCCTGTTTTCTTCTGTTCTCAGAGTTGAGTCCCATACCATCCATATCGGGGTTGAGCGAGAGTCCACGGTAGCCAGCTGCACTTCTCCTCTGGCGCCAGATAAAGTATCCCCATGCTGCCACGGCAATCACGACCACGACGAGCGCAACCTCGCCGGACTTGTAGTATGCCTTCCATGTCGCTTGTTGCAGAGCCTCTTTTTCGGCTTCCTCGGCTACAGTGCTGTTGGGGTGTCCTCCAACGCTGGTAAGAGGGCCCTTCTCACCGTCAATTCGACTGTCGGTGGGTGTGCCTCCAACACTGTCAATATCCACCTTCATAAAGCGGTCAAGCATATCTCTGCTGCGGCGAGGATAGTCGAATGGAACCATGTGCGAGGCGTTGTAGAAGACAACGTATGTCAAGTTGCGAGCCTCTTGCCAGATACCAGCAGGTTCGTTTTCGAAAGTCCAGTCACGGCGAGGGGCCCAAACACCAGGCGATGTCTCGAAACCCTTGCCACCATTCCACTCCATCCTGTTGATGAGCTCCTCAGTACCGATATGATTGCAGATTAAATCCTTGTCACCAGAGAAGAGCAGGATTGGGACTTGTTCGAGCAGGGCGGGAAGGATCTCGTACGAAGGTTTGGCATCCCTGGCTGAGAAAGCCTGGCCGACCTGTCCGTTACACTCGGTCCAGCCGCTTGTCTTTCCAGGGTTTATGTGCAAGGCATCGGTGACATCCTTGCGACGAAGGTAGGGCTTGACCGAAGTAAGATCTGGGGGCCAGTTCATGCCACAGCTGGGGTATGCGTCGTCCAAGCGTATGTCGTACATGTTGACACATTTGCCCTTCTCTTCATTGCTGACTCGCAATATCTCTTGCAGGATGTTCTCGCAGGATCGAACATCCACATGGTCTTTTCCACCCTTGTCGAGGTCCTCTATACATTTTGAGTGCTGGGCTTCAATCCTCTNTGAGCTGTCGGTGCCGTCTTTGATCAGACCGGCTTTCTTTGCGTAGGGAAGGTATGAGAGAGATTGGTCGACTGTCGAGATCCATCCGTTGCCAATGAGCAGACCGGCGAGGTTCCACTTCTTGCCTTTGGTCTCGGCATTGCGCTTGAGGATGGCTTCGGCCAAGTAAGGGATGTACTGTCCGGCATATGATTCACCAGCGATGTAGAGNNCTAGTCGTTGTTAGCGATTGTATATGACGAACGGAATTGTACTCACGTCGTCCTTGCTGTATTCCGGGAAGATGGTGTAGAACTTTTCCAGGAACTGCACCATCTGCTTGGAAGCATCATCCAGTTCGTGAAGGTAACTATCCGTGTCGACGTAACTGAAGCCAGTTCCCACAGGCTGGTCGACAAAGAGCAGGTTCGCAAACTCGGCCCACGAGCCGTTGTTGTATGACAGAGTGCCATCGGACTTGACTCTGTAAGGGCCAATCTCCATCATGGCACCATCCATCGAACTACATCCAGGGCCTCCATTGAGCCATAACACTGTGCGCTGCTTGTTCGCGATGTGACGGTTTTGGTAGTGCCAAAAGAAGAGGTTGCCGTGGTGTTCAGGTGTGATTTCGACATNGACTTGAGGACGGTGTCAGCATGAAGCCTTTGTGATCTTGGACCAGGGTCCATACCCAGCATGCATCTTGAGTAGGGGCTCAGGAGCCCCAGGAAGTGACGAGACGAAATAGTCAGCTGCCGTCTTGTCGGCGACGGCGCTGACTATCCATGAGGAATAGTATAGGAGACCACATGCCAGAGATCCGGTCCATGTGGTCTGACTCCTCCGATGAGGAGAGTTTGGGAAGAGGTGCATTATGCGCTTCTGCTACCTCATGCCAGTGGACAGATAATCGATGTCGTCGTCGGATAAGGATGCCAAGCGTGAGGCTCGAGTCTCGAGATGTGTCCAGTACAGCAAAGAATCGTCGTGTGCACGAGGTCTAGGAAACCGACAGCTCCTATGTAAGACTGTCAGGAAGCAACAAGTCTCAAATCGATCGAGTTTCAAAAAGGAGTCCCATCGGTTGTCACTGCGCCGTTGACAAAGCGAACACGCGGCTTCCCCAGACATTCCCAACTGCATGTGCCGACCCTGATCTGCAAGCTTCCGCGACCGAGCACAAAGACATTCATTCAGCTTTCGAGTTTGGACATCAATAAGTCTGTATTGGTGATTTTCTGTATCTTCACGAGCTATGGCTTGACTTCGTCCTCCATTCCATCTCGAATCTGGATCTATTGTACATGTATGTCAGGCTCTGTCCTGTTGGAGCAATCTCATCCTTGTTCCTTGCAAGCATCCGACGAGCAATCGGCATCTCCCTTACTGTCCTTAGTAATCGTAACGATCGTTACTGTTGTATGGCTTGTTGGGAACGGGCTTCAGCTTGGTCTTCTCCACGACCACAGCATTGTGGAAGAACTCCTTGACAAAAGGTCTTGGGCATTCTTCTTCGGCTGTCTTCACCTCAGAAGGAGTGATTGTGGTGTCCCAGGGACGCATCCATCTTCTGTACAAACCTCTCAAGTGGCCCTGGAGCTTGGGCTGGTCGCAGCCGGCAGGGGCTTTGATGCCCATGGCAGTGCAGGCGGTGCCCCAGTTGCGAACTTTGGCAGCCGAACCGCCATTAGACTTGACCTGAGTGTGCAGCTTTGCAATGTCCACAGGCTGCTTTTGAACCATTGCTGTAAGATATCACTCTGAGTCGTCCTCGGTGAGCTTCATAATTCCAGCGATGAACTCTCCGGGCAGCCAGTCGTACTCGACACCTGAACGTCTGGGTAGATTGCATCTATTGGCGTCGCGCTCGATTGCTAAGAGATAGCAACAAAGTCCACAGGCCTCGGGAAGCTCCTTTCAGGTTCGGCCGATGATGTCGACGTGCAGGCGGACAGGGAGCCNCTCGGGTCCGATGTGCTTATCGAACTTTTGCAGAATTTGGTCGCCCAAGACTGGGACGCCTCTGCGGTTGGCGAAGCAGTAAATCTCCACGAAGGCAGTCGAGACGTCGTCAGCTGAGGACTTGATCCACTCCTCAAGCTTTAGGAAGTCCAGGTTGCGAGATTCGAGCCAGTAGACGAAAATCTTGAACAGGTCGATACGCTCCTCCAGCAAGAACTTGTTCGTCTTGGCCTCCAAACATGCACTGTTTAGAGCAGTCTTGGAGTAATCTGAGTGGCGACATAGCAGCTCTTTGTGGACGGTGAATGACTTTCCTGTGCCCTTGATCTCGACCTTGACCATGTCCTTCTTGACCAGGGTACTAGCATATTGTTAGACATATCAATGATGACTGTATGTATGAAATGCTTACGGCACAGGGATCCACGGCTCGTCTGGATCATCTTCCGAAACACTCTGAATCCATGATTCACATTGTGAGAAACAATCGCTTGCATCGAGCGGCTCCTGGTCGGCAGCTGTAGGAGCTTCATCCAAGGCTTTGATGTCGCTCATGATGACGAGATCTCCGGGCTTGGTGGCAGAAACTTCGCGGTCGCTTTCGGGAACGTTCATGTCGGGGAGCATCTCGGTTTGGTCGACTGAAGCTTGATCCGGAGCAGCTGTGTGGTCACCGATGTCTTCGTGCTCTGGAGTGGTGGTGGAAGGTTCGTTGTCCATTGTAGAGATATTGGTGGGAGTTAGGCTTGAATCGTTTGCGATAAAAGACTAAGTCGCATTTGGTGGTAATAGAAGATGTGATTGAGGTGAGTAGTGAGTCACCGTAGCAGAAGTGAAAGAAGGGTCTGATTGACAGAGGTCAACAGACGCAATGCGCAGATTAGAACTGCGAACCAACCTCGATGTTGAGGAAAATTGACGATCGGAGAGGGAGTGTGGAAGGAAAAAGGGGAGCGGTCCACGGCAGAGGAAGGGGAGACGTAGAAGAAGAAGGGGAGACGTAGAAGAAGAAGTGGAGCAAAGATGGTTGTAGAAGATGAAGTAGCAGAAGAATGCTTGGAGGAGTTGAAGCGAGAGTGAGAAGCTGACGGAAGGAAGAAGTGAAAGACTCGCTCTGCTTCACAACAGTCAACGCACGATTCTGACCACGGTTTTGGAGAGCTTATATGAGACACTCAGTTCAGTTCGTGTAATGCAAGTGTAAGAAGAAAAAGGATGTTGATGGAACATCTACTTTGGAGCGGAGGAATGAGAGAGCTGGTGAACAGACGGGTGTTGGCCAAGTCTGGTGCAGTCACTTCTGAGTGCAAGAGGAAGCGAATGGAGGCTTGAATTATCGGCTACTTTCCTTGGAGAGCTTTCTCACTGAATCCAAGACACATGATAGCCACCAAGAGGAATATCCAGTCTCCTTACTCAACTTGCAGATTGGTATATGATTTAAGACGGACGTCGCTGGGAAGAACCACATAAGAAGTCCAGTCTGTTCTTACAAGACTCACAAGTACTACCATGTTATCAGACTGGGATACTAAGGTATCGTTGAAGAAGGAAAAGCTTTCTACGAAGGTGGTTGGACTTCTAGCTCCGAGTCCAGCCCGATGATATGTCGTTTTTGCCTAAGTCAATCACAGAGAGTATCACCCTGACCTGAACTCAATCATCGTACAATGGTTAATATACTTCCATGCTCCTCCAGCCGCATATGTCTTGGAGAGGACAATACCATTGACCTACTATCGTAAGTAGAAGTAGCCTTGGGATCAATTCTTGTCAAGTATACAGCAATTGTTGTGCGTTGCGGTTTCCTAATGGGACTGACGATGGATATTAGCCCACCATCATACAACAAGCTTGGCATATTATCGTGCAACTCGTCGTAAAACATTGATTCTCAAGTCTTCATGTTATCCATGATCATATTAGAACCAAGAAAAACTTACCATATTGATGCTTTTCCTGAAAGGAGCTGTCGTTCGGGTCATGAGCTTCCTCGAGATGCATGCATTGCACAAATCAGACGCCAAGCCCAGGCTTTTCCCGCAGCAAAAATGCCCACACATCCACCAAAAATCGCATCCCACTACCCAAACAACCACGAACAAAAGAGCCACTCGATGCAAAAGCATTTTGGGATTGGGAAAAAAAAATGGCAAAACGAATGCCCCTGACGGAGTCGAACCGGCGACCTCGGCATTACTAGTGCCGCGCTCTACCAACTGAGCTAAGGGGCTTATTAGGATGCGCTCAATCTTCAATATATCTATATCACAATTGTAGCCCTACCTAATGTCAGCGAAACGTGAACGAGGAAACAACGCCTAACACATCTACTCAAGAAGATAGTGTATACTCCATAACAGCTTTTCATTTGATGAGTCGTCCATCTAAAAGTCCAGAGACCGGACGGATATATGCCGAACAACGAGTCCCAAAATATTCCTGATCGTCTCCTGGCATCACAAGTCATGCAAAACACATCTAGCTAGTCTGCAGAGCAGCCTGCTTAACACCCTCAGTAACCTCCTCAATAGCATCACCAGCCTTGGGGTTCTCAGCACCATCCTTCTCAGCAGCCTCAACAGACTTGCCAGCATCCTGTGCGAGCTTGGCTTTAGCTCTCTCAGCCTCCTTCTTTGCCTTCTTCTTCTCCTTGTCTGCCTTTCTGGCTGCGGCCTTTGCTTCCTTCTCTGCCTTTGCCTTCTTGGCTTCATCACCGCCAAACATTTCGCGCCACTCCTTTTCCTTCTCGGGCTTGATTTGTTGGAACAGGTGGGCGGAGACGCGGAGCTTGTGGTTGGGGGCGATGCTGTCGCCTTGCCAGTCGTCGGGGATGATGAGGAGGGAAGTGTTGAGTTGTTCGAGGATGGCGGTGGTGGTGGAGGGCATGTATGGGGCAATGATTGAGGCGAGCAGGTGCACGTGGTTCAGAGCGAGACCGGCAACGGCAGCACAGCGTTCGGGCTCGTCCTTTGCAAGTGCGTTGTCCAGCTTGTTGTCTTGAAGGAACTTGTTTCCGAGGTAGGAGATGTGCATGGCGGCTTGCAGACCTTGACGGATCTTGACGGCGTCCATGGTGGCCAGGTACTCCTTGAGTGCTTCGTTGACTTCCTTCTTGTGGGTGGCGATGACACCTTCCGGGTCGTTGTACTTGGTGTAGTCTGGCACGATACCCTCGAAGACGGGAGAGTTGACGTACTTGACAATGCGGTTGACAAAGTTACCAAGGTTCTTCAGAAGCTCGTTGTTGTTGGAGTTGATGAAACCGGTCCATTCGAATTCAGTGTCGCCAGTCTCGGGACGTCTCGACAGGAGGTAGTAACGCCAGACATCTGAAGGAATACCAGTCTCCTTTGCGTTGTTTCCAAAGACACCGATACCTCTGCTCTTGCTGAACTTGCCCTGCTCATAGTTGAGATACTCGGTGGTGGAGAGATGGTTCAACATGGTCCACTTGTCGCCAGTACCGATTTGAGATGAGGGGAAAACGACAGTGTGGAAGGGAACGTTGTCCTTGCCCATGAACTGGTACAAGCTGACGTTCTCGGGATTGTGCCACCACTTCTGCCACTGATCTGTGTAGTTTGCGGTAATCGAAACGTAACCAATGCAGGCGTCGAACCAGACGTACAGCACCTTCTCGTCGTAGCCATCCAGAGGGACCTTGGTGCCCCACTTCAAGTCACGGGTGATACCTCTAGGCTTAAGACCCTCCTGCAACCAAGAGTTTGTGATGTGAATGCCGTTGGACGACCATGCGCCCTCCTTGCTCGACTTTGCTGACCACTCTTCGACCTGTGCCTGCAGCTTGTCCAGGAGCAGGTATATGTGTTTTGTCTCTCTTGCGACGGNGGTTGCGCCATCAAGCTTGCAGCGAGGCTTCTTCAACTCCAGAGGGTCGAGCAAATGGCCACACTTGTCGCACTGATCTCCTCTTGCGTCCTCGTAGGCGCAAAGCGGGCACTCTCCCTCAACAAAGCGGTCGGCCAAGAAGGAGTTGTGTGTTTCGCAGTAAGGCTGCACCGTTGTCTTTTCTTCCAAGAAGCCGTTCTTGTAGAGTTTTGTGAAGATGTCCTGGGCAATCTCTGTTTGTTGGGTGGTGGGAGTGCGACCGAAGATGTCAAAGCCAATGTTGAACCATTCGTAGACTTCGGCGTGCAGCTTGTGGTACTTGTTGCAAAGCTCTTCCGGTGTGCAGTTCTCCTCGATAGCCTTGGTCTCGGTGGCAGTTCCGTACTCGTCAGTACCGCAGACGAAGAGGGTGGGAAGGCCGCGAGCCTTGCAGTATCTGCGACCAAAACATCAGCCATGTTTGCGCAAACGTCGCTAGACCGAGACTGACCTGGAGAAGACATCGGCAGACAAGACACTACCAATGATGTTGCCCAAGTGAGGGACGTTGTTGACGTAGGGCAGGGCAGAAGTAATGAGGATGTTCTTCTTGCCCTCCTCGGGGAGAATCTCTTTGCGCTCGCTCATAATAGTGTGTCGGCGTGTTTGTGCTGAATGCGATTTGATATGAGGGCAATTGCGTAGAACAGGCGCTGCTGTTCAATCGTCACAATAAGAAATGGCGCGTGCTGCTTGACGGTCAGGTTTCAGCTCTGGAGGGAGGGGTCCAAAAGTGACTCAACTGCTCGGCTGCACCCGCCATCCCACCTTTGCCATCGCTGTTCAGCCCTACGTCCATACCAGAACTTTTTGTACAGCTTGGAAACATCAGATAAACTTCAAGACCACGAGGAAACACAATATAACCTCGCAACGCAACTCGACCAGTTTCAGCACAAGGACACCAGCAATCATGGCAAACCAACAACCCGACGACTTCGACTCCCTCTTCAACCTCGAAGAAGAATACTACACCGAAGGCTACAATCTCGGCGTAGCAGACGGTTCCCGCGCCGGCCGCATCGAAGGCCGCCTCTTTGGTCTCGAAAAAGGCTTTGAAAAGTTCGCCGCAATGGGGAATCTGGCCGGTAGAAACGCCATCTGGGAAGCGAGGATTTCTGATCAAAATCCTGCTGAAGAGAGCGAATTCAAGTTGCCCAAGTTGTCTGGTGGTACCAGACTACAAAAGCATTTGCAGACGCTGTTTGCATTGACCGAAGCTGAGAGTTTGTCCACTGAGAATAACGAAGACTCGGTTTCTGACTTTGATGATCGGCTCAAGCGTGCTGAAGGCAAGGTCAAGGTCATTGAAAAACTCGTTTCTGAGGGTCCTCTAGTCCTCGAGGCTTCTCAGCCCGCAGCTTCTGGCAGTAGCAATGCACAAGAAAGACGTCAAATCAAGATCAAAAGAACAGATGCTGGTGGGGAGAGCAGCATGGAAGATTTCAATATTCGCCATGCTCGCTCCTGAAGCTTCCTTTTCCATGCTTCAAAAGTATTCTCCCTATTGCTACCAACGCCAAGGATATCATCATTGTCTCACACGAGCAAACACCAGGCTCCGAAGACCCGCAATACTCCGCAATATGCGCCCAAAAATCTACTCTCATGCCAGAGTGCTCAAACCGATCAAACGCCTCGCTCCATGCCTTCACCATACTCGACTTCATTAAGCCGCAGCTTCCATATCTCCACTGGGTGGTTGTGCCTCCTGCACAGCATCGAGCTTTGGCTTCTTGGGATCACTAGCCCCATCAGTTTGCTGAACGTTGCTCACGTCGGCGAGTGGTGGTCTGCTAGCAGCATTTTCTGCTGGCAATGGTCTCTTCATTGCAGGAGGCTTGTAGGCACTTCTATTTGCCAATGGGCTCTGCTGCATTCCGCCTGGCATGCCGATACGTCGACCAGCATCCATGGCAGGGTTGACGAAGTTTGATCTGTTAGCAGGTGCTCCTCCATTCATCATAGGTTTCGGATTTGGTATTGGCACAGTCGGAGCGCCAACTTCGGAACGCTTGATCGGTGCCGACTTGCGGAGATCAACTCCTTGGGTTCGTCTGATCGAGGGACTTTCGTGGTGGGGATCAAATAGCTTGATCGGAGGCATGGCACCTGCCTCGGGCGGTTGGACCAAAGCAGAAGCTGCAGCTCCTGAAACGAAGCCAGACGGTACATGCGCCGGTACTTGCGAAGGTGTGATCGTTGACTCTGGAGGTGTGCTCTGTCTACCGTTGGTAGCTGTTGATTCGGTGGCAGAGGAAGGATTTGAGCGAGAGCCATTCTGGTTGTTGGCTTGGTGAGGAGGAGGCATCATACGGTTCGGTGGTTGGTTGTTCATGTTGTTCGAGTTCTTGAAGGTCTGAGATGGTGCTTGAGGCCGTGGTTGCTGACCGTTCTGTTGACCATTCTGAGGACCAGCAGAGAACTGGCGGACGTTGGGCATGGATGCTACCCTGTTCGGTTGTTGGCGATTGATGGCTTGTGCTGAGACAGAGTTGGCAGGAGGTCGGACTGGCGTCTCAACAGAGACTTCGGTAATAGAGTTGTCCAAATGTACCTCGTCAGGATGGCTGAAGTCCACCTCGTCAAATAGATTTCCTCCAAACTCGTCCTCGAATTCTGAAGTGTTTGATTGAGCGCTAGGAATGCGTGCCGGTGGCGGTGCAGCGATGGTTGTGGAGGTAGATGGGCCCGCGAGAGCTTCTTTCTTGATAGGAGCAAAGTCTGGGTGACGGTGTAGATTGTCGGCATCCCATTTAGTTGGCGCAACCCTGACCTTTGTCACTCTTTGAAGGTAGTCCTTGTCGTATAGACAATTGCCTAGGACATTTCCGAAGTTGCGCAATGCACGTTTCAAGGCGTCGGTCACGGCTTCTTTCTTTGCTTTCTCGAAGGCAGCTGCTTTGCCTTTGCAGTTTTCGATGTGTCCGTAGCCGACATCCTGTATTATGTCAGCTCGAGCAAACACAAGCTCAGCAAGCAGCTAGCATACCTCGTGGAATGTACCGTCCCTCAGAGAGACGCGCACAATGGTCGACAGGCCCAAGTTGATCTTTCCTGTTGTTGGACTCTCGTCGCNACTGTGGAAGTCAGCATTATGCCATATCAATAGGATGTCAACAAGACTCACAAAGTCGATCTGAACATCTCTGATGGCACTGCTCCATCCGTTGAAGCCAAAGACCTCGTTGGCAAGATTGATGACCTTTTCGGCAGCAAGATAGTGCACTTTGCCACCTCCATTGCCTGGACGTGTTGAGATGTATTCGGGGCCAAGTTGCTTGTCCAGACGACTTTGCAATGTCGCTATCTCCTGTGCCGTGTATTCATTGATGTGGTTCTTCTGCTCTTCGTACGGGTTGCTGAACTTGTTGTCCTTCCACTGGTCACCTGGTCTGACTTTAGTGTTAGCATCTTCATCCAGCCATCACAAAGAACACAACTCACGCAGGCATGTTCGGTCATCTGTCTTTGCAACCAAAGTGGCAACGCGGACTTGTTTTATGCACAAATGCAACTGCGCTTGCCTTAGGGCGGCGTGCGAGTACGCGACGCTTCGCGACAATGACGCGCCCGAGGCTCGTCTGCACGTGGCGTGCCAAGCCGACTCTTCTCCACCAGAACGAACGCAACTGCCTGATGGATTGAATACATTTTACGAACATGATTCATTCACTGCTGTCTGCCTAATGAGTTGATCTGGAGAACACGAGCAGAGAGATTCATGGTGGCGAGTCGAGCAGAGCAGCAGCCTACTCGGCATCTCCTCTAGCCTTGACGTATTGATACACCACTCTCGAGTCCAGATCGTAGAATCTTGAATCTGCGCTGGCGTCCTTCCACGCCTCGAGACCTGCTTTCCCAAGCACTGGCTTCGACCCCAGACTCTCCGCCATGCTCGTCGCAAGGCTGTAGTCCTTGAGCATCAACTGAATCTTGAATCCACCCTTGTAGCCTTTGGAAGAAGGAGCCTCCAGAACAATACCAGGCACAGGACACCATTTATCAGATATCGTGTTCTGACCCGTGCCCGCGCTGAATACTTGGTACAGAACTTTGGGATCGACACCAGCGCGTATGCCCATGTCGAAAGCCTCGGAGCACGCGATTGTGATTGTGCCGGAAAGGTAGTTGTTACAGAGCTTGGACACTATACCCAACGAAGGTCCTCCACACGGGATTATTTCTTTGCCCATTGTCCCCAGTATTGCTTTCAACGTCGAGAGATTTGGATCGCTTTCGTGGCATCCCAGAAAGAAGGCGATCGTAGCTTTGATGGCTCCCAAGACTCCTCCACTGACAGGTGCATCGTAGAAACTTGTTTGAGTGAAGTGCTGCTTGAGATGATCTTTAATTGAAAGAGTTGTGGCTGCATCGATGGTCGAGCAGTCTATCAAGGTCTTGCCGTCCAATCGTGTCGAGCAGATGTTCTGAGGTCCATCGGTGTAAACAGTTCGGACATGCTTACCTTCAGGAAGCATAGTGATGATGAAATCNNCTGGTTCTTATGAGCGTCCGAAAACAGGTAAAAACGATCAGATGATGAAGCTCACCGCCTTGTTGGCGACATCTTGCGCCGACTGACAAGCTGACACACGGTCTGGTGCGGACTCGCATACTTCCAATACGGCAGACTCGACCAGATCGAACACGAACAAGTGTTGGTCGTCTTCAAGCTTCGAGGCCAGGTTGACGGACATTGGTTTGCCCATCAAGCCAAGTCCGACGAACCCGAAAGTCTTAATGTGCCTGCTTGAATCTGCTGCCATGTTTTTGTCAAGGAAGGTCTAGTGGGTATCAAAGATTCCTTCTCAGCAAATTGTGGAAATCAGCCATGTGAGTTCAAATCCGTCACATTCGTGAGATCATCCAGTTGTCGGAGCGCTTCCACTCTGCCGAGCAGCAGACAACCCCTCATCTTCCCCTCACCACCAATACGACTGTCTATCAACCATCTTGCATATTCCCACTCTGACCCTTTCAGTAGATCGATTGTCCTCGGTCATTGCGAAAGAATTGTTTGATCAGAGCTGCACATCGCGTCCTTGATACCTTCTACTGCAAAGTCAATACTGTCCCTTTTCGACCTCAATGAAGCCACAAGGTATGGAAGCCTCGACAGTGACCTTACACGCACTATCAGCAGGACACTTTACATTACCTGAATATCAATTCGTGTCTCCGGCAGCTGATACGGTGCGCAAGACTGTGCCGTCACTTGCATTCCTGATCCAACATCGCGATGCTGCGACAGGGCATCTGACTCGACTTGTCTTCGATTTGGGACTGAGAAAGAATACCAGAAGATATCCTACACCTATTCAACATCACATAACAACAAGACAGCCCATGACGACCGAGCCAGATGTCGTCAGTAGCCTGGCCAGAGGAGATCTATCACCAAGCGATATTGATTATATTATCTACTCGCACGTGAGCAATCCTAGATATGCACATATGTGAGCGAGGGAGATGTGCTGAACAGTTTCGAGNGTTCATTGGGACCACGTCGGAGAACCAAGCGACTTCCCAACCTCAACCTTTATCGTTGGACATGGGACATTCGCTGTCCTTGATGGTACAACAGGAAAATCTCGCGGTGGCCATTCATTCTTTGAGCATGATCTGCTGCCAAAAGATCGAAGCGTTGAACTTCCCGATCCAAATGGAGATTCACAGGAAGGGCCGTGGCAGCAATCATCAAGGATGAAAGGTCTGGACACAACACAAATATGGCAACCATACAAGAACATTACAAAAACATACGACCTGTTCGGCGACGGTACTCTGCTGATAGTAGACTCACCAGGACATTTGCCCGGTCACATTAACTTGTTGGCAAGGACAGGCGAGGACCAGTTCGTCTATCTTGCAGGAGATGCTTTCCATGACCGCAGACTTTTGACTGAAGAGAAGGATATCGGAACATGGCACGATGCCGAAGGACACGTCTGCTGCATACATACCAATAAGGAAGCAGCAGTCGCAACTGTCAAACGGATTAGAGAGCTCGAGGCCCCAGGCGTAGAGGTGATAGCCGCTCACGATCCTGACTGGGAGAGAATGAATAGCGATCGATTCTTTGATGCTACTTGAGATTATTCTGCGGAGGCACTGCATGTAGTTACGGAATAACTCTGTACCTTACTCGCATGGACCAGCCACATTCGACATCTAGTTGCCCAACAACAAGGGTCTGCTTGTCGCGTTCTTTTATTACTCTTCCCATATCTGTCTGTCTCGTCTCAGTCTTTCTGCGACAGGATGCTTCTCGATGCTGATCGCGTCCAGTCCGTCAAGGGCCTCATCTACTACTCGATTGCACTCATCCACCTTTCCGAGTGCATGGTATACTTTAGCCAGCTGGACCAGGCCAAGCAATCTATCAGGATGGTGCTGCCGCCCTCCTTTGTGGACCACTCGTTGGCGTTCAGTGATATCCACGAGCTGTTCCTCAGCTTCTTCCCACCGCTTTTGCTCCGCCCACAATTTGCCCATATGATAGCCAGCCCAGAGACAAGCCATATGATTCCTGCCCAGATTGCGCTCCCCGATTGGCAAGCCTTCTTTTATCAGCTTCTCAGCGGCTGCAAAGTCACCTAGTCCGCCTTTGACCACTGCCAGGTTCATCATAGCGAGAAGTGTATACATGTGTTCCTTGCCTAGCCTGCTCGACCGTATGTCTAAGATTTCGGTCATGATTCTGTGGGCCTCTTGCAGATGGCTTGCATCGCCAATGTTATTGCTCAGTACAGCAGTAGTGCAGAGATGCTCTCGTGCTTCGAGGGTCCGCATATGATCATGACCGTGGTGCCTTTCCATCCCGGCTATCGCCTGGAAATGGAGGTGTCGAGCTCTCTCGATGCACTCTTTTGTATAGAAGACCGATACAGCTTGGGCTAACAAGTCGATTGCATTCAGTGAGTCGGGGTGACCGGGTCCGTAGTTCTTGACCAAACCAGCGACAGCTTCTTCTTGTAGTCGCTTCGCATCGCTGAAGCGCCCTTGGAGGAATCGAGAAGAGCCCAATGTAGATTTCGCGATCAAGGTATCGAGATGGTCAGGACCTAGGTGAGCCGTACAGGCGACCAGAACTTGCTGTTGCAGAGATGCAGCTTCATCACTCTGCCCTAGGTAAAAGCAACTCAAGGCCAGGGCCAACGTGATTCGACGAGTACGAACATTTTCCGGACCCAAGTGCTGCATCGTGAATTTTCTGACCTCCAGCTGTAGATTCTTTGCATCTTTCCAGCGGCCATTTTGAAAGTACACGATACTGAATTTTGCGTACATGATTGCCTTTTTCTCTATCGAGGCCGCTCCTGAGTATCGGCCAGAGTTTCCACCACGGTCTGCTCTTTTTGTCATACGTTCCTCCAACGAACGTTTGTGGTCTAGTACATGATCAACGTGAGGCAAGAGATTTCTGAGGATCTCCTGATCTTCAACGGTGTCTCCAAGGGGTGGAAGCAGTACGCAGCGTGACAGTAGCACTGCTGCAGCTTCGGACCAGACGCCTTGTTCCATAGTGCTCACTTCAGGTCGCTCACGCGCCCACTCGTGCACAAGAGGATGGATGGAGTAGCTGTCCGATGTCTCGCCGTATGTGATCAGAGAATACTTTGTGAGCTCGCGCAGTGCGTCACGCAGGGAGTCTAGAACAGACTCCATCGAAGCCTGACCCGCCTCACCAAGTCGAATGATCTATTTATCTTAGCCGGCATATTCGAGAAGAGTCTGACATGTCTTACGTTCGGTAGTACAGACGGGCTTCGGTTCATATTAGCGAAGACGGCGATCAGTTTATGTTTCCACCATGTTGACCAATATGGACGCGCTTGTGCTTCTTTCTGCACATCTTCATCTTGCTTTTCACGCTCAATCGCTGCGTTCATTATCGCTCTTCTAAGAAACTCAAAGCGGATGCCGTGGTTGTGCAGGAAACCGAATGTACCAAGCAACTGCAGAGCGTCTGTGGAGGCCGGGGTGCCTTGATTTTCTATGGCTCTGCGGTTTAGCTCGAAAGTTGCGAAGACTTTTGTCAGATGTCCAGCTTCTCTGCTTTGTCTCGCCTTTAACATCTGCCGCTCGTAGAATCCCAAATATTCGTCGAGTTTACAACGGCCTTGACGTATGTACATACCAGCATGTGTGATGGCTATAGCAAGGCAACCAAGTCTTTTCACCACCGCAGCTGCGCTCACCGTAACAGCGTCAGATTTGGTTTGCTCTGCAGCTCTGAGCAGTAGGTGGACTGCCTCGGACTCGTCCATCTCTCCAAACTCATAAAACTTCTGGCCAATTGTGCCATAAGATTTCATAGAAGGATCTCGCGTTGTGATGAGGACATGACCACGATTTCCCTGGGGAAGTACTTTTCTAGTTCGAGCTCAGGGTCGTCAGCGTTGTCTATGATGAGCAACCAAGGCTCTGCAAGATTTGACAGCCAGTGGAGTGCAGCGTTCAGGTTAGGATCGACTCCAGCTTTCGCGCCGATAACAATGTCGGAGAAGGTGCGTTCAAGACGACGTTGACTACGGCCATCGACCCAGAAAACGCCCCAAAAGCTAAATTGTCTACATGTCAGATATCGACCCCGGTAGAAGGATATCCTGTAATAAAAAACTCACTAGTCTCTGTTGTCCTGTGCGAATTTGCAACAGAACTGTGTCTTGCCTGAACCTCCTACTCCATAGATCACGAAACGCTTTTGCTTTGACTGCGCTTTTTCGGGTGATATGATTCGGTTCCCGGAGTCTTCGAGTATAAGCCATTCCTTGAGCTGTCCGGCTAGATCTTCACGACCCGTGTAAAGATGATCAACAGGTTCTAGAATGCTGAAGTGGACGTTTGTAACTGGTGGTCGAGTGTTCAGGAGAGCTCTAACATTGTCCAACGAGGTACTCATTTTCTCCAGAGCCGTCATCTTGATAGACGTAAAATCCTGGTCTAGCGTTGATTCTTTGGTCATTTGATACAAGGGCAGAGAAGGGTCCCTGATCTGCTCGAACTTTTGCTCAAGTTTTTGTATTGATCTTTCGAGCTGCTTAAAATGTATCTCTTGACTCTGGCGATTTCCACGATTGACGTGCCTAGAGCGGTCAGCTATGGCGTCGAGGAACCACAATATAACTCACAGTGAAATGAGGTCGAGCCACATCTGTAGATCTGCATGGTAGGTGTTGATTTGATGCCTTAATCCTGCAATAATGTTGTCTGCATTTCGTTTCCGGTGTTGCTTGACAACGCTATCCCGAAACCCGGTCGTCAATCGACTGTTGCCATAGATATGCCTCACAGGATCATCGAGTCTACCAGTAAGCTCTTGGACACTCTTCAGAGCTTGTCCGAGATGAAACCATAACATCTTCTCCTCCCTTGTGATCTCGTCGTTGTTGATGTTGTGGAGATACATCAGTTCCAGTTGTCCGTGTATGGCTTTCAAGCCTTCGATCTCCTTAATTAGGGCTCCGATACTATCGTCCAGGTTTTCCATAGTCTCCTTGATATCTTTGAGAGTCTTGATCAATCGAAAAGCGACATCAGCGATCCCGACACCACCAGCGATGATTGAAAATGGGTCGGCCATCCTAACACATTGACTACTGTATGTCGCAAGAATCGTAACAGACGTATGAAGCTTCGCCTGTACAGAGTTGTTGGTTCAGCCTCTTCGTGCGCTTTGAAGCCCTCAAGAAGTAAAACGATGCTGCACTCGTGAACCTACACACGTCGGGGTGCCGCCTTTACCAACCCATGAGTTATTGCCGCTCTCAGTTACAGTTCAGACAGCCATCTCCGCACAGTTACATGCAGTTACATGCTATTATAGAGTGGTCATCAGTACTTCTCAAGCCACCATCCAGATATCCTCCGCAAATCGGAACCATACCCACTACTGTCCACAGCGGTAGATGTTTCATCCAATTCGAGCAACGAAGATCAGCTCCACAAGTATGAGATGTGGCACCTGATTCAAGACTTGTTTATTGAGATACGATCGTTTCGAGGTTCGGTGTCGGTAGCACGTTCTTTTGCGTTTAAACAGCAGCGATTCGTCCGACCTGCGGCAAGCTACCGCTCTGCAGACCACCAAGCCACTTGCAGTATAATTCCCGCTACACGTGATGTTCTAAGCTATCTTGAGGATAGGACAGCCTCTTTCAAGCATGGCGTCTTAGTAGCGGACAGTCCCGTGGATGGAGAAATCATTTTTGCTGAGTTCGAAAAGAGGGGAACTACCGACACCGAACCTCGAAACGATTGTATCATCACCGGTCAAGAGCCACATTGAGGTCGAGAGAGGTAACTTGTTCGATCTGCGAGCCACGCGCTTCGAAGCGGTGTGCGCTGGCAGAGATGCCACCTACCCGTGTCCCCTCCGACCATCTTTATTAACTCCGACGCCGGCAAAAATCCGGAAGGGTGCAGAGACGGCACGTATCTTACTTGACTATTGTTCTACACTACCCAGAGACGATGTGTTCCCCTCAGAATCTAGGAACGTGTTTCAACAAACCAAGCCCGCACTGCGTATTCTAAATATCGTTGACCTGATTTGTTGGACCAAGCCAGGTGATGAAGAACTGGACCGATAACTGCAGCAGGCGTCTCAAGGCGGCTGCACAAGGCTGCCACAGACCATGAACGTGATAGGTTTGTAGCTGCAGCCCTATCAATCCTGCCGAGCTTGCAACAGCTCACCCCGCTCACACAGGGTGTCAATGACTGACAGGGGACCGAAAACAACGAAGCCATAAGAGACGAGTGATTTATCATCTCAACATGATTCCAGTATTTTTGCCCTCTCCATAAGAAGCATGTATGATCCAGTCGTGTCCAAGGGCTTGCTTGCTCTTGTTATGGCCTCCGGCTTTGTTCTGTACCGTATCTGGACCCACTTCATCCAAGAACAGGTATACGACTATCATCAACACAGTCATGATGAAGTACCCTGAATCTATCCCAGGAGAATGCCGAATACGCAGCCAGGATGGGATGCGAGCCTGCGCGTAGATGGGCAGCCAAATGGCCACAAGGTCTTGACCTACTTCTTGCAGCAGGCCGACACGCAAGAAACCAAACGATCTTACAGTTCTTTCTGGAGGTGGTGGAATCGAGCGGGACGACGCACGAGCAACTGTTGCGTAAGTGGATATGCGCAGTCTCTCTGGACCACCTGAGCAGAAGAACACAGAATGCAGCTGTGCCCTTCAGCACCCATTTTGAGATGTCTAATTGAAACTATATCAAGTTCTGATGAAATNNAGATTTAGTTGGAGCTCGAGGCATCAACACAGTCGAGCCACGGAACATAGAACAAGTTCTGTCCCAACAGTTTNNGACGGTGAGTATATCCTCCAACTAAACAAGCCTGCAGGCACAACGCTAACGCCCATGACAAGATTTCGACCTTGGTCTGCGACCAAAGCACTTTGCGCCACTTATGGGCAGCGGAATTTTCACCCAGAACGGAAAAGCATGGAAACACTCTCGGGAGCTTCTTCGTCCGCAGTTTGCATCGAATCGTCACCAGAATTTCGACGAGATAAGAAGGTGCGTCGAGAACTTAGTGTCCAACATATCCGAAGACGGCATTGTGGATCTACAGCCGTTGTTCTTTCGGCTTACATTCGACACGACTACTTTTCTCTTGTTTGGGCAGACTTCGAGCTCTCTACAAAACGATCACATCGCGGCGCAAGAATCTGAGTTCGCGTCTGCGTTCGACCTCGCTCAGGAATATTTGTCTCACAGAGGTCGTTTGGGTGCCTACTACTGGTTGGCGAATACTTCGGAGTTCCGACGAGCCTGTAAGACTTCTCATCAGTTTGTTGACCAGGCCATCGAGACGGCTTTGATTGCTGCAGATGAATCACAACGTGCGGAGAAGACAGAAGAGAAAGCAAAGCGGTATGTGTTCATTGATGCTCTCATACAGGAGACTCGGGACAAAAANCAACTACGTGATCAATGCCTGAATGTTCTGTTGGCGGGGAGAGACACAACCGCATGTTGCCTCACATGGACTCTACGGCTCTTGGCCAGACATCCCAGAGTCATGGAAAAGCTTCGTACAGAAATTGATCACGTCGTTGGATTGGGGAAGGATGCGCCCCAGCCCACTCGTGAACAATTGAANAAGATGCACTATCTCGAAATCGTTCTCAAAGAGGTTCTCCGCCTGTATCCTTCGGTCCCTGTCAACTCCCGTGCCGCATTGAAGACCACTACGCTTCCTGTTGGTGGAGGCTCTGACGGCCTATCACCCATTCTTGTCAGGAAAGGAGAAGCTGTTGGCTTCTGCGTGTATGCAATGCACAGACGCAAGGATATATATGGAGAAGACGCGCTTACTTTCAGACCCGAGCGCTGGGAGGATGGAAAGCTCCAGCGAGACGTTGGTTATGGATATCTCCCTTTCAACGGAGGACCTCGCTTATGCTTGGGACAAGAATTTGCTATGTTGGAGGCGTCTTACACTGTGGCAAGACTTGTTCAGCAGTTTCCGTTCATCACTGTACCTGAAGGCGATCCCATCGTCGACATTGGCAAGGAAAAGCAGATATTGACGCTCGTGGTCGCTTCTGGTGAGAGATGCCGGGTTCAGATGCGCCCGAACGTCACGACTTAGACAAAAGTCTAGTCTCGATTACTGCCACTGCCGATGGGCCTACAAGCCTAGTCATGGAGAAATAAAGGTTGACCTTAGGCACTTGCAGTACAACATTGGCTAAGTGAGTTATAAGAAATGCAGCATGCCGCCGGATGTAGCGCGTACGCGCTACATCGAAAAAAAATACCGGCGAACGAACAATCCCTCCAGCCAAGAGGTACTGCACCGACGCCAGTTTCTAGCGCGAATGGTTTACGAAAGCACAGTATCGCAAGCTGGGACCGCTGTTAAATACCACTCACAGACCCTCCTTATTCTCTGTTCGCATGTAAGCCTGCACTCTGCCAGGTCGTTCTTACATTGCGAAGCAGCAAAGATGGTTCGAAAACAAGATACAGCTTCATGTTTAATTGGCACATATGAGCATAAAGTCATCGCCTATCGTATTCTACTCTGTTCTCACACTTCAATCATGCCTTAGGAGCATTCGTCTCGACCCCAGCGTAAGCTCTCGACCCAGGCAACTTCACCCAAGGTGCAAAAACGTTCGTCTTCTTCGGTATGACTGCAGCCAGCTCCGGGAAGTGTCTTTTCAGCACATCCTTCATACCAGTGTTTTGAACCCAGTCGAAGCCTTCCTTGGTATACATATCAGCATTCCACTGCCCGGCTATGAATCGGTCACTCTTGAGTCTTCGACTGGCCATGAGAATGAAGATGCGGAACGCAGTCTCGCTGAAGCCGAAACCTTTGATGACAGGCTCGCTGTGTGAGCCGACGAGCGCGTCTATAATCTCGATATCGCCACTGTAGACTTCGCTAAGTCTTGCTGCGAGCTCCTTGTCACCGCCAGTCAGCTCCTCAAATGTCTTAGGAACGGACATGCGGAGAAGTCTTCGGAACTGGCAGTATCGTGGCACTCCTCGTTCGCGATCGCGGAGAATGTCGACTGTGGCCAAATCACGCACTTGACCATCCGGAGTGGGAAGGTTCCTCATCAAGTTGGCATAGTTGTTGTTGGTAATGGCACCAGGATAGTTGATGCAGAAAGAGTAGAAGGCATCACCGAAAGACACCCCACCAGATTTGAGAGGCTTGATCGCATCCTTGAAGGTGATGTCTGCTACCGGGATCGTGGCTTTGTGATTGCCGTCCTCAGCATTAAAGAATGCAACGTTGTCTTCAATATCATCAGTACGTAAGTTGAGCCAGATCGCAGTATTGAAAATACCTGGTATGAGCGAGTGCATCCTGTATACTGATACGAACTCCTCAGTAAGAGAGTATGGAACACCTTGGTGGTCGACCGTAGAGCCTGGGATTCCACTGACGGCCTCACTGGTCTTTGAGATGCGACCCACAATCTTGTTCAGACTTTCTCCTGCAATGCCCCACCTTGGGAAGTGTCAGTAGCAGAAACAACTAAGTCGAGGATTGACTTACCAGTTTGCATTCATACTGATCTCAAGTGTCGGGTGAGCCAGAATAGCAGGTGTCCATTNCGCTAAGGTCACTTCGGTCAGCCGTATCTCTGCGATGTTTGAATTATTGTTTACGCACACCGTATGGATCTTAGCCATAAGAGCACAGTTAACAAGACGAGCCTTGTCAAAGATCTTGTNCACTAGATCCTGTCAGCATCGATCTCTGTAAGCACGAGTCTGGACAATTTACCCATTCCAATCAGGATGTGCTGCACGAATCTTGTCGCAGATAGCGTTATGCTCCAAGGCGAAAAGGGTATGCAGCAGTTCCATGCCGGTCCACCAATTGTCTGAGAAGCCTGTCTTAGGATTGCCTTCGGTGTCGCGAGGGAGGAAGGTTTCTTCTTTGCCTCTTGTCTCAAGGAGCAATTTGCCGTCTTCGTGTTGGTCCCTCAGTTCTTTGGTCTTGGCTTCGCTTGAGCCATAGATTTGTGAGCCATCCCNACCTGCGCAGCCGAATTAGACGAGATATAGTTGTGCGAGGTGGCGTGCTTACCAGGCGGTCGAGGTGTTTTTGTAGCCAGGACACTTGTTGTCAGATGCGTCGAGCACTTCGTCGGGCTTGGTGCGGTAGATCTTCATCTGCTGGTCGTGCCAGTCGTCGTTGGGGAGGAGAGGTACGTCGTATGTTTCTTCGCNTCTAAGGATACTTGTCAGTGATAATCGGATTGGTGGCAGTGGGGAAATCGAGCATACGCTTTCATGGAACACCCAATCGTGGACCTGGAATTGAATCCAGGCAGCAGCAAGCAAGTTCAGTGTAGTAGCCGGCTTGAACTCTCCTGGCTTTCTGGACATGAATGCTTCGCTGACCAGTCTCGGGTTCGGCGTCCAGAGCTCCTGCTCAGTTGGCTTCTCACAGTACTTCCGAGGGAAGTTGCGACCAAAGCGCATCCCGGAACAACCCATCTTGGGCATGGTGAGTGAGTTGTCCTTGCCATCTGAGTTCCTTGCAGAGAGGAAACGTTTGTCATCCAATGGAGTATCGTCGGTATTGCCCTGGGCTGTGGCAGATGCATACCCATCATGAAGATTGTATTGTCGCAACTCGACACGCAGAGCATCAAGATTGAGTGCACCAAAGACACTAGGAAGTTTGTGCCATGGGACGAACAGATTCACAAAATGGAAGAAACCAACAAGAATTCTATCCAACAAGCCTGGTCGAAAGTTTGGTGGATCCATGTTGAAGGTTTTGGTATATCTTCGAAAGCCGATGATTGCGAAAGCTGGACTTTTTCCACTATTTCTATGAAGCAAAGGGTGCCTCGAATAGCTTGTGGTGGCTGAAAGAGGGCTGTGCTGGAAGACGACCAATATCCTTTTTGGTAAGGAATACGTTATAGCACTTTCACATGCGTTCCTGATCCTACGAAGGGTGGCCTTATACCGCTTGCGAATCCATTCTCGTATGTCGCAAACAATACACACGGGTCTTCTTACACAGCTCAGACCAGTATTTGCAGGATCAAAATCAGGATCAGGTACGCGCCATCGTACGACCTCTCAAACGTTCTCGTCACCAGAGGTATATAGGTAGTTCTCAGGAGACCTTTGAAGAGCTGCACGAAGTTCTGGAGGTTGTTGTGTGAACGAGATTTGCTGTATGCATGTCAATCAGGCTGCATGTCAGCACTAACGTTCCACCACGAATCCTTCGCTATACTGTCAATCTGACAGGCTTCGTGATCACATGCAGGCACGCGCGGGATTATTTTGTTACGAAAACAGCTTCGAGCTGAGGTTGATGCTCGACGCTCCAGGGTATCTCGAAAATGCACGCTCTAACAGAATAGGGTGGGTGATTGTTGTACCTATGGCACCGGATTATGTTATCATGCTCGAGTATTTGCTTCGAGCACAAGACCTCTCTTGCGTTCTCTTACTGATCTATCAATTCCTTTCTGTGCCAAGCGCCGTCTCCGTATTCAAGTTCGAAGAATGTATTTTGGCCTTACAGACCTCGTCAAAGGTCTTCTGACCGGTGGCAATGTCTCAGCAAGAAACGATAATGCGCTCACCAATTCCAGAGGCGGCGACCACTACTACGCCCGAGGTAACATCACCGACCGCGGCCCCTGCCCAGGTTTAAACGCTCTGGCAAACCAAGGCTACCTGTGTGTCCACCAACAACCTCATCTGAATCCGATATTAACCACTCCACAGNNCCCTCGCGATGGCAAAAACATCACCTTACCTCAAGTCGAAGAAGCTCTAATGACAACTCTGCACATGGAAAAAGCATTAGCATTCGCCATAACAAACCCTCTGCGTCCTCTATTGCGCAAAGACGGCACNTTTGACTTGGTCATGATGCGCCAGCACAATGTTATCGAACACGATGCCTCCTTCACCCGTCTGGACTTCCGTGAGGGCGACAACTACAACTTTCAACCCCGTCTCTTTCGCGCCATGCTCAATGATGCCAATGGTGGTCCTATTAACATCTCCAGCCTTGCTCGAACATACGTGAGGAGAAATAAGGAGAGTAGGGATGCCGGTGCCCCTGCTTTACCTTGGAATGTGTGGTTTGTGAATTTGTTGCAGAGTGTGAGTTTGATGAACACTGCAAAGATGGGAGGGGAGTTGAGCAGAGAGGTTATGACGACTTTCTATGAGGAGGAGAGGTTTCCAGATGAGGTTTTGGAAAATGGGGAGGGGAGGACTTTGGTTGGCCTGGTTGGGTATGCTGTTGCCTTGTTATTTTGTGTTGTGTTCAGGATATGAGTTCACCATGATTTTTTGTAACGCTGAATGAAATGGCTAGTGCAATGTTGTCCTTGGTCGAGAAAGAGCAGGTCATGGACTTTTTGCGACGTTGTCTTTTCCGAACGTGGGCGAATGTGATCCAATATCTCTTTACAGTTTCAGTGATCCAATGAACGAGAGTGTTATACCTGTCGCTTCCCATCAATGCCTTTCATACGTACCAACGATGGGTTGTGTACGTACGACGTGGCGAGAAGGTCCTTGGAGTGCTGAGGAAAAGCCGTTTGCAGGCTTCAGCTGACAGCTGCAGAGCAAAGTATCTGACAGCTAGTCCTGGAATTGTTTTCAACAAGCTGCTGTAGCTCAGTGGTAGAGCGTGGGATTGCAGTCTCTGCAATTATCCTAAGGTCCGTTGTTCGAGCCAGCGTAGCAGCTTGATTTTTGTTTTTTCTGCTTGCGAAGAGGCTGTTTTGTGGGGTGTTGCTTCGATCTCGACCCCAATTTGTTGCTGCGCGCAAGCTGAACTTCACGTCTCTCGGAAACACCGCCCCAACAGGTAAAAGATATCAACTCTTCCGCTCAATCTTCGCGCGGATTTTCACATGCTTGCAAGCTTCACAATCTCCACCTCGAGCTGAGTAGGATGCTGACAGTGGTCGTGTGCGACGCGCCTGTTTTGACTCTCAGGGTCATGCGGTAAGCTCGTAAACATGCAAAGCTCAAGCTCATTCGATCACTCATCGATCGGCCAACGTATTGTAGACGAATATCTTCTATTGATCGTAGCTGGAAAGACGAGGCACATGCAGATGTTGTATCTGTTGAGATACCTGTAAGCAGTGCATGCATTGTAGACTGCATGTTTCAGCCATCTCTACCAGTCTCTACTATACGTACCACTAATTACATGTCGAAAGCCATGCCCAGAAGCGTGCTCTGTACGTGACGAAGTCGACGTCGCGACATGCCGTAACACATGCTGAAGACACCAAGCTGAAGCTCATGTGCAAGGCTGAGTATACGACTGGATTGTCGAGCACAGCTGTCACATGCAGAGGCTTAGCTATTCAATAATTCGGACGATTGCAGGAGTTGAACTGCCACGCAAGTAGCATTTACTATCTTAGGATATAGAGGACCAGGTGAGGGACAAGCCTTGTACGAAAACTATGCCTTGGCAGAGCAGCAGCTCGGAGAGCATTTGATGGTGGGCGTAGGTAAGAGAACGAAACTGACCAGCAGCCACCATCAATCAGTGAGAAAGGGCAACACAGCGAGCTTACGAGCATACGAAAGACTTTGACGTGTTGGAGCACTACTTAAGCAACCGTATCACCTCAACGCTATCACTCGAATCATAAAACAGCAGCATCAATCTTCATCTACGACAGCATAGCACAAACTTTCTGATCCAATAACATTCCTCTACTTTCAGTTACCCATCATGCCTACCCTTTCAAACTGGAACGAAGAAATCAAGTACGAGGTCGCAGACACCAAATTCAAGACACCTCGTTCCATTTCCGACGTCCAATCCATCATCAAAGATGCCGCCCAGCACAACGAAAAAGTCAGAGTCATTGGTGCCATGCACTCAACCACTCAATGCATGGTCGGCAGCGGCATCACCATCTCCATGAAGAACATGGCCGAGATCTTGAGCGTCGACGAAGAGAACATGACAGCTACTGTCCAAGCTGGAGTCACCATCCATCAATTGTGCGAGTACCTTAAACCTCGTGGTTTCCAACCCCCAGTCATACTCGAATACGGCAACTTCCAAATCGGTGCTATCAGTGGGACTCAGGCCAACGACAGCTCGCTTTCCGACAGTGCACAATTTGCTTCTTTTGTTGTTGGTGTCAAACTTATCAAGGCCATTGGAGAGATGATGGAAATCTCAGAAAAGCAGAATGCAGAATATCTTCCTGCCATTCGCTCTCACTACGGTCTCTTCGGTGTGGTCTGTGAAGTCACCGTCCGCATCTGGAAAACCAGACACCTTGAATTCAGCTACGAGATGACTGATCTCGAAACCTTTTCCAAAAATGTCATCGGCAATGTAAACAGACTTCGCAACTCCCACGATCAAGCTTTTGGTCTCCTTTTCCAAGCCGACGGCAAATTCATGATTCAGAAAAGAAAATTCGTCGATGCTACCACAAAGCCAGCTCATCCTTTGACCAACAATCTGGAAGCCAAAGTCATAAACCTATACGCCGATCTCGTGCTCCCTCTTGCCGAAGCATCAGGCCAACTCAACCTCCCCGCTCACCAGCAAGAATGGCTAAGCACCACCCTAGTAGACTTACCTCTCAGAGCACTCAGCCACAGCACCTACATCATCGACCCCAATGATCGCGCCCTCCCCTACCGCGAAAACCAACCCCACTTCGACTTCTTCGACTGGGTATTCCCCGAAGAAAACTGGTCCTCAATGGCACAAGGTTGGGTCTCCCTTTGCAACAAATTCGAAGCAGAGAAAAACTTTGTTTTGACATTGCCTTGTTTGGTCTATTTTCTCAAGCAAGATGAAAATATGCTGTTATCGCGTTCCAGGGGTGGCAATATGATGGCTATAGATCCAGAGTATCAGGATCCTACTGACCCTAAGTGGTTGGAGTTCCGTCTTGCATTTTCGGAGGTTGCGAGACAGCATGGAGGTATTCCGCATATCAACAAGACTAGAGATGGTGCGATCAGGTGGTTCGCTGAGGCTTGTGATCAAGACGCGTTGAGTAAGTATTTGGAGCAGAGGAAAGCGTTTGATCCGGAGAACATGTTTGTGAATGAGTTCTTTGAGACCATGTTCAAAGGTCGTCTTTGTGGAGGCTGGATAAGTTGAGGAGTAATTCTGCGGGTTGGGGACTGTTCCTTGCTTGCCACTTACTGCAAAATAAGCGTGGCTCGAATATATTCATCTTCAAGTGGAGATGCTTGAGTTGGGCAAGAGTCCGCTTTGATAAGGTCGGATGCTGCTTTCGCTCGCAGCGCGACACTGTCTTGTAAGAGGGATATATCTTCCAGGTAGCGATCAACATCATGCGCTGCATGGCGATATAGGCATACTCAACCCCCAGTTTCTTGTTGACACGCATCATTGCGGGATAGAAGCAGTTGACGAGCTCGCCATTTGAGCCATATTCGACACACTCGGGGAACTCCAAGTCCGGCAATGTAATTGAGCAAGAACGGTCCAAGAGTTGTTCATGGACCGTATAAAGGATCTCGATAGGCAGATCCAGGAACCGAAATGGTTGTATCTCGGAGAAGGCAGGCGTGGACATAATCGGTAGAGAGCAGTCTCGGACCGCTCAGTGAAACGCAGAAAGACCGGATGGAGATTTCGACAGATGTACGTAGTGTTAGGGTCGTTGCGCATTAGATGATGGCAAATACATCGTAAAGGCAGCACCGATTCTGGAATGGGTGACTCATTCAAGAAGGACCAACGAGATTTGCTCACACCCGAGCAAGTTGTAACTGGACCTTGACCACGTGTATACCACACGACACAACAGGATGCCGGATGGCTCGAAGGATCAGCCATAGCGTTTGTTGGCGATGCATACAAGATGTTGGCCGGCGTGGCGTAAGGAGAACAGGTATGAGTGAGCCGATACTCTGTCGACGATGATGACAAGGCTCTTGACTCTGTCAACGAACATGGCCAATGCCTCTAGGCGCCAGATGGAAGGATTGATGGATTGTTCATGGTGCTTGTCATTGATGGACACGGAATTCAATCAGCGGCGGCAATGAGATGGCGGCCTAGGGTAATGTGGCATGGATGAAACAATGCTCAGTCGACGATGATGGTATCGCTCTGTGGACGCTGATGGCGATGCCTCTGATCATAGGTCGCGAGATATATGTGACGAAGACCCACAACTGAGATGTCGTCGAGATGATAACCGATGTCAACAAAGCTGCTTACATAAGGGGTCACTCATTGCGCCTTCCAACACCGGAAGACACTATCAAGGAACAGCTTCAAGAACAGGCTCATTGGCTTGAGTGTACCGTCACGACAGCCGTTTCTGGCCCTACGATTGTGGGATCGCGATCGCAAGTGCATAGAGTAGCCCGGTGGCTGTCTTGATACTTACCCGGTACTTGTACGCTGTGCATCTGCCGCTGCCACCTCCGAAGGACAATATACATACCATGACGACTCTTGTGTATTCCGACAGAGCAAAAGTTAGAGGCCACATGCCACGAAAGCAAACACGAGGTGCCAAGGCTTCGCGACCCGATGTTGTTCGTTTCCGATCCAAATGGCGTGCGATGATGTTAACTTCGGGAAGGTGCAGCGACTGGAGGGGTGACGTGCTCACAAAGGTACAATTGAGGAAAGTAAATGGAGTTGGTCTGTGGCGAGTTTTGTGAAGATGAGAGCGAGGCAAGATGCAGGACTGAGTGGAGAAAGAAAAGAAGTGGATGCATACATCTCTAGAACAAATGCAAGAAAGCGCTGTTGGAAACAAAAAGAGTATATGAACAACAAAAGTCTCCTGCTTTCTATGCGGCAAAAGGAAAGTCCATTAGTTGGGTCTGGGACTTGTAAGACCCAGTCCTCCAGAAGAAGCAGGCCTCTCTTGTGTCGGAGACATCATGGCGAAACTGCCGCTACGGCTGCTATGCAAACCTCCCTCTTGCGCTTCTCGTTCCAAGAAGTCGGACCAGAGTTCTGCGAGAGATTCTTTGCTGCCTCCTTGATGGTTGTCGAAGGTAGAGTCTGATAATGAAGGGGTGGAGGGTGTGCGGCGGAAGGGTGATAGTGGAATCTTGAGCATGGAGTTGGAGGCGCCTGGTCGTGCCAGTCCCGCCTGCTCTCTCTGTTCTGTAGAATGTGTCAGTATGTTTGCTAGTAGTGAAGAAGGCTTGAACATAAAGAACATACCCTCAGTCCAACCAAGCAGTGCCGCAATCAGTTGCAATACTTGGAACTTCTTCGGATCACTGCGATCCAGAATCAAAAAGTGCAGGAAATGGTTGGTGACGATATGACGGTCCACGTTATCCTCCGGTTTACCGCGTTTCAGGAATCGCAAAGCTTTGGTGAGGTGGTCGTTGAGGATGACGGCTTCGTGTCGTAATTTCCCAATCAGCAGATTCTTCTCCTTGACCTCTTTCTCAAACGGAAGGGCACGCTCAAGCTCTTTCCTTGTTCTTTCGAGCTCTTCTGCCGATGACGCGGCCGAGGTCTTTGCTTCGTCGGTCTGGGCACGCAGAGCATCGAGTTGAGCTTGTGAGTTTTCGACCATCTCGCGCAGCTCCTNTTTGCGTGCATCTTGAATGTCTTGCAGTGCCCGTTGGAGTGAGTCGACTGTCGAGTTTTGTGTATCTCTCTCGCTTGCCGCCCGTTCATAGGCCTCCCGTTGAGCGTTGAGTTGCTCTTCGATCTCAGTAACACGCTCGCTGAGGGATTCACGCAGCGATCTCTCTTCCATGGCCAGAACTTCCCAGTCTTGCATGGCTTGTCGGGCGTTCTCAAACTCCTCTCGGGCATATGCTTCCTTGCTGATCAATTCGTCACGTTCCTTGACCCAATTCGATTGGCTGACGTTGGTACGGCTTCTGAGTGACTCGATCTCGCTTTCGTGTTCCTTGCGTTGTGTCTCGAGTTGATCAATGGTGGCTTGAAGCTCTTGCTTGCTCTCGCGGGCGGATCTACTCTCTTCTTGTAGGTCTTCAATCTCAGCGCGAGCTTTGGAGAGTTCCTCGGCATCTGCTTTTAGACGTTCTCCCAGTTGCGACTTGATGGTGTTGACCTTGCCAAGAAGTGTGCGATATGCGCTCTCGGCATTCTCTTTGCCCTTCTGAGTTTCCTCCAGTTGTGTCCTGAGCTCATCCATCTCTTCACCATTCGAGGTCTGCTTTCCGGTCTGTGCTTCTTGTGCTTGTTTCTTTAGGTCTTCAATTTCCTTTTGGTGTTGCTCCCGGAGAGATTCTAGAGCCTTGTTTAGGTCTGCGACTTGGGCACTCTCCTTGGTTGATTGTGCTTCTTGAGCCTTCTTGGTGAGAAGCTCGACCTCTTTCTGATGTGCTGATGTCCTAGACTCGAGGGATTGGCGCAGTTCGGCGATTTCAAAGTTGTCCTTGGTTGTCTGAGCGTCGTCTGCTTGCTTCTTGAGGTCTTGAATCTCTTGGGTGTGCTTCTCTTGCATGGATGCGAGCGACTGACGCAGGTCAGTGACTTCTGCGTTGTCTCTGGCAGAGAGTGCCTGTCGTGCTTGATCCTTGAGGTCTTGAACTTCCTGCTGGTGACTTTTTGCATGGACTCGATCGAGGAGCGCAGCTCGGTCAACTCTGCGTTGTCTTTGGTGGCTTGGGCGTCTTCGGCCTGCTTGCTGAGTTGGTCGAGTTCTTGCTTGTGTTTGTCCTCGATAGACTTTAGCGACTTGCGCAAGTCCTCGATCTCGGCATTCTCTTTGGCGGTCTTGTCGTCTTGAGCTTGTGACTTCTGACTCTCTGCCTCTTGATTGTGCTTCTCTTGGATAGATTCGAGCGACTTGCGCAACTCGGTCAGCTCTTCACGCAGCGAATCTCGCTCCTTGACCATGGCATCCAAGCGCGCAGCTGTTTCTGATTGGGCGTCATTGTCTGACTGTGTGTTTGCGGGAGGTGTGCTGGTGTTGTCGGAGTGGTTGAGTGGCAGTGGTTGTGGAGTGGTTCCGTCGTCGAGGCCAGCTATCGACTGCTTCCGGCTCGTGGCTTCGTCGTCGTCGACATCGTCGTCCGGGTCATCGTGAGCGCCATTAACGTCTGGACCGTCGGTGGATGACTTTGGCTTGTCGTTGGCCTTCTTCTTGTTCTTTCTCTTCTTCTTGGAAGCTGCAACGTGGCCGCGTCAGCTTTCTGCAGGCAAGCGGCAGGGGAAAGATGGACGAACCCGATTTTGACGCTGCATCAGCATTGGACACAGCAGACATGTTCGGAATGCACCAACTACAGTGCGGTAGATTACTGATTGTCTAGAATGTCAAGGTCGCGAAGGCGCCATCGACACAAGCAGGGGCTCCGTACTTCCCCACACTTTCGCGCCGCACATGGAAGCCGCAGCCACCCACGCTCATCTCCATCGCGTATCACACACGTCTCTCCACCATCCTTCTATCTGCACCTTGCTCCTCATATACCAGTGACCGGGTTCGACATCTGTAGCGACCCATCTTCGGCGCCAAGAGGACTTGTAGATCAGATCTGGTGTTACGTCCTGCAGCCATCCCATCAGCCACCATCACTAATCCCGCCTTTCCGTATGGCCGGACATGTCTCGCTGATCAAGAAACCCCTCCAAAACTGCCCCCGATCGCGGGGAAACCCTCAGCTATGCCAAATACTGCTGCTCATACCCGCTTGGCTGAGAGTCTATCTTCCTTCCCGCCTATTGACCTGTATAGAATACCAGCAGGACGGCACCCCGCACTTGGTCTAGACCTGACCTTCTGCTCTATATAGTTCTTGGTGTATGCTGGTAGGTCTCTGCTTGGTTCTTCTCCCCATCCTTGATCAATCCACAAGAAACAGGATCATCATGTCTTCCACTGTGACCGTCGATCGTACTTCTAAATTGACCGTCCACGAAGCTCCGAACAAGGACTCCAACAATGTCAAACAAGAGGACCTCTCAGGCAGAAACTACATCCGCTGGAACGCTGAAGATGTAGAGAAGATCCCAGATGACGAAGAAGACGACATCAATGCAGTTGCCGAGCAGATCAACCAGATTCAGAAGGCCCAATGGAACGTCCATCGTCATTGCTACAGCGGCACCCATGCTCGTACACATGGCATCGTCAAGGGAAAGTTTGTCGTCCACGATAACCTGCCCAAGCATCTCAAGCAAGGTGAACTCTTCCAAAACGGCGGAGAGTTCGACATCGTTGCAAGATACAGCACTGAGCCTGGTGACCCGGGATTGGACGTATGTTCGCGCACCTTCGCTCTCTTTTTCACTAGCTAATGTCTCTGCAGNGACCGCATCCCAGTGCCTCGCGGCTTTGCTATGAAGCTCTTCGGCGTCAAGGGCGACATGTACGAGAACTATCCCACCCACGACATTGAGTTCAACAGCACTCCAGCCCTTGACCTCGCCACTGCCAAAGTCACCCGCGAGATTATCGATCTGCGTATCAAATACGGTCACGATCAGGCAGAGCTACGCAAGCACCTCGAGAAACGCAATGATACTGAGCTGCAGACTGCACGCGACAAGGTTCGCAATACCCATTTGGAGAGCACCCGCCAGTACTCACAGACTGCCTACCGCTTTGGCGACTATGTTATGAAGTACTGCCTGGTGCCCTCCAGCGAGACACAACGCAAGCTCTACGACGAAACCGTACGCCCTGAAGATGGCTCAGACATTTTGCACCGTTGGCTTCAGAACTTCCACGCCACACATGATGCAGAGTACCTCTTCCAAGTCCAGCTATGCGAGAACCTCGAAGACCAACCCGTCGAGTACGCCGGAAAGGTCTGGGATCCCGAAAAGTATCCTTGGCAAACCGTGGCTACAGTCAAGATTCCAAAGCAAGAGAGCTTCGACTTTGAGAGAAAGACTTTCTGGGAAGATCACATGAGAGTTGACCCCTGGCATGGACTCAAGGCATACCAACCTCTTGGTGGACCTAACAGATTGCGAAAGGTGGTGTACCCTGCATCGAGTGCACTGCGCCGCAAGATGAACGGCAGGAAGGAGGTTCACGTCACCAGTGTGGATGACATTCCCAACTGAGACCGCAAATCGTATCCTCCTTTATGTATCACGAATGTATGTTATTCTCTTTCTTAGTTGTACATAACGCACGTTGTTGTTTGATGATGTTTGATGAGGTTTGACTGTATACCATTGTGCTTAATACCTCCATTCTACAAATCTATCACGTCTTTTCATTGCATTTCTCAACTACCCACTCGAACCAGCGACACTCTGTACTTCTCGAACCAGTTCCATCACTAACAACAACCTCACTTTACTTGCGCAGCCCAACAGTTTCTCCGTTTCCTTACACTATCAACTTCTTTCCAAACTAAAGCGAATTGAGACCCAAGAAACTCGCAAAGCTGAGCGCAGAGATTGTAACTGCATCATGCAAAGAGATGACGACACTGGAGAGAGCGAGGCTTGCAGATGACGAGACCGAGGATGGAGAGAGCCAGAGGTTTGGTAGGGCACCTCGACACAATTGCTGGTATAATGGTTTCTAGGTACGAGAACGGTAGGTTTGGAGTATAGCAAGAAATCAGGGATAAAGATGTCATTGGAGTTGACATGGTGTTACAAGTCTGTGATACCGTATATGGTTCTCGAATGCAGAGTTTGGGGACGGAGGCGACGTGTTTGGACCTCTATCCCTAAAGCAGCCACTTAAACTTACACCCTGCACTTGGAGTTGCTCAAGCGTTTATCTGATAGTCAAGATTAATATAAATCTCGGATATTGCTGCCTTCTTCTACTTGGGTACGCGAATAGTAGACGTGATAAGGTCCTGATTAATAGATGTACAAATAACTTGATGCTTTATAAATACACACTGTCATCTTCTAGCACTTACGATCTTTTGCTTTAAGTATATTAGAGCCTACATCTAGAACTCATTCGTCGTGTTCTATCAAGTGTGCCATTCGGAGGTTCCTCTAATAAGCGATGATCTTACATCTAAAGATAAACGTTCACTCTCGGACACAGCGATTAGCGTGATACTTAGCAAGCCTCGATTAGCATTGACTGAGCTGCGAATTTACATTCTTCAGTACCGAATCCTGACCAAAAGGCTTCTTTCGCTGATGTTCCATGTTGTTGTTTAAAGCCTAGAGTAACAGACGTCGTCGCTCTTCCCCACCGTCGTTCCCGGCACATCCCGTTGCCTGCACAGACCAACCGCAAAGCACAATAAAACTCTTCTGTTCCTCGCGCTCCTCTTCTTCCGAACAAGTTGATGGCCTCCATACCCTTGTAGCACTCCTTATATATGAGTGCCTCATATTCTCGTGAAGCCGATAGAAATGCATACATAAGTGCCCTTTATAATCTCGGCTCTCTGGGTTTTCAACAGAGTGACGGGTTCGCTTGCGGCTTACATCTTTTTCTTGACAATATGAAATATTCAATCAATGCTTTTACTTTTGATTGTTTGAAAGCTTCAGTGTTCTTGATACATGCTTTCCAGACAGGTTGTAACGTCTGATCGCAGATGTGCAATGATGCACTGGTTGTACTTGAGTGCTTCATCAACGAAGCGATGAGAATCTCTCATGATTTCTCGTTGGCGAGATGGATGAACTCGTGGCATTTCTACTCGCAATACATCGACGAAATTGACAGGTTGAGAAATGTTGCGTAAAGCAGATTCCATGCGGTCCCAACACCCTGTTATCGTCTTTGTACTCGGATGCCAATATCCGTATGATCAGAGCGCACCAGATGCCCAAGCATGATCTTGATACTTCAAGGAGGCGCAGGAATCAGTTGTTGGAAGCCTAGCTCTTGTCAATCTGTCTGTAATCATCACATCGCCATCGCCATTTCTAATGGAAAGCTCGGATTATGGTAAATCAGTCTGCTCATCACCTCGAGGTTCGGATATCCTCGTCGTCTGTTCTCGAGAAATCCAGGTCCATGGTATGAGCGAATACCTCTATGTTGAACACTTCCTAGATCATGATAACAAGAGACAATATCATCGAACGAGCATATATCTACGGTAACTCCAAACTCATCAAAGCTCAAACTCAAAAATATGTGCACTACTCGATGGATCAGCCTGTGGCGGTCGGGCCTGTGCTACTGGAGCAGGTGGCAGAGGAGCAGGAGGATCCTGTGGTGGTGAAGAAGGCGGATCCCCCACTGGAAAGCAAGGATTGCCATCCCCCCCAGATAANNGATCATGGTCCTTAGTAGCCCACCAATGCAAAGCTGTATCCTCATACAAAACTTCATATTCCTCAGGAGGATACACACCCAGCAAACCAAACTCGGCAGCTATTATTGGCCCCCAAGCGCGCAGATAAGCTCTGGCTTGGTAAAGTCGTCTCTGGTTTTCGACCTCTGTATCTCGCAAGGCGGCACCCTCGAATAGAGTTGTAGGTTTGGGTGCTTTCTTTGGTCCTGCTGCAGTGCGTTCCAGCTGTTGTTGCTGGAACCACGCATCATTGCCGAAGCTGTCCATGCCGTTGAAAAGCACGAAGCCAGGCTTATCGATGTGGCTCAAGATGATCTGAGGTGATGGCCGTTCTTCTGGGTGGAAACTCAAGCACTGGGCAACCAGTTTTCTCAGGATCATCGAGTAGTTCTGTCCAGGGAGCTCAAAGGGCCAATCGGTTATCCCTGGTGTCATGGCTTCTTCATCCTGCCCAGGTTGATAAACTATATCGGCAAATTTCGGAATCAACTTCATCATTTGCTCGATCACACGCCCAATCTGCCACACATTCGTCCAAGTACCACGTATTGGAGCAGTAGATGATTCAAGAATTGTCGCATCAGCCGAAAGTCCCTGGTGTGGCCTCCACATCTCCGGAGCTTTGTAACCACGGGTATATACAATCCGTTGACCATGGACTCTGTTACCAAAATCGTCTTTGTTGGTGAGAACTCCACCTCCGACATCAGCAATATGGGGACGAGGGTAGATGGGAAACATTGATGTCCGCTCGGGTGCGGCGAGGAGTATGTTTCCTGGCTTCATGTCGAACACTACAATCACGTCTGTGTCGGTATTGTTGGGACGCGATCGGGCTTGTTCTTCCAACTGGACGGCCGCCTTCATCAAACAAATAAGAGTATGCCAGATGAACGGTTCCGGTATGGCCTTTTGTTTGATGAAATGGGCTTTGATGAGACCATTGAGATCCCCGTAGTCATACAGAGACATATACAACCGTCAGTGGTTATGGTTCGGCGAGTAAGGATTGTTTAGAAGCTTTCTTGCATAACCCCAGAGCTGTGCGGCATGGATTTCCTCGTCTGTGTCAGGCACCGTCATTAGGCTTTGCAGATACGCCTCCTTGAGGTATCTGAGGTGAGGACCCGCATGCCCGATCTTATGTGTGGGATCGGCCCCAAAGTCGAGGCCTTTCTNTTTGAGTTGTCGATAGATGCCTTTGTAAAGGCCTGCCTCGACGGTAGAGTCCGACGATCTTTCGAAGGCGTCCTTTATGACAACACGATCGATGGCCCTGAGTGTTGTCCTATCCACCAACATCTACAGAGTCGCAACACCAAACCCTCCAACACCAAGCTTATATCCACCAATCCATGTTGTGTTGGATGGTGGGTTTGGCGGAGTGTTTTTGGTTCGGAGATTGGACCGGTCTTGTGATACTGTATATATCTGGCTGGGGTTCAGGATGTTCGACATGTTGTTCGATTGGTTGGCCGTATATCGCTGATCAACTCAATCGGTGAGAGCTTTGGCAGCACGAACAGATCTAATAGCTGGGTCCATTACCTTTGTCTGCATCCGGCCAAATTCTTTGTCCTCTGGGGCTCGATGCGGGTTTGGCATACAGAGTCGCCAATGGTGACTGACATTGTTAATGGATTTGGAAGACAAAGAAAGTTAATTCTTTGACGATTGATGACATGAAGGTAGAGACCCAGAACGGAAGGCCTTCCTGCTCGAAGTTATGATGGATTCCTGCATGCGAGGTAGGGAAGGGTCATGGAGGCTCATCCCGGGAAGCAGAAAAACGGATCGTCGATGCCAAAGTTGGAGGCAGTCGATGGAACAAAAGGAGAGTGTCAGGCAGGAGAGTGTCGAGCAAAAGAAAATCGTGATCACGCCAGGGGTCGAACCTGGAATCTCTTGATTCGTAGTCAAGCGCCTTGCCATTGGGCCACGCAACCGTTGATTTAAGTAATCTTATGTTATCGTATATATAGTTTAATCGTGGATTTACTGGAGGCGGAGATACCGGTGATAGTGCTAGGCTTGGCAAAGGGTCGCCGCAAAAGATGAAGCCGCAGGAAAAATGTCTCTGAGCAAGTCAGACGCATAAACTCGACAGCCAACCATGGCAGCAACACTCGTCAAATCGCTCACTTCTGAGCCGTACAANTTTTTACAACCGCCGACAACATTACACACGTCGTCGCTTGACTTCCTCAAACAAACACTCGATCCGATCGCCAAATCCATCGCCGAGACACAGCAACAGCGCTTGCAAGATGCCCGTAAGAAAAGGAAGCGCGGTCAAAATGACGAAGACGACGAGATTCTGCGCCTGAAAAAGGTCCACGTCGACGGGTTCGCTGTCGAGCAAGTCTGGGAACAAGCAAGGCGCATCATCGACGCTGCCAGGAAAGAGGCTCAGCGCAACTTTGACGAGCTCGCCGAAAAGTACGCCATCGATGACTCTGAAGACGAGAGCGAGGGTGAGGATGGCGAAGGCTTGTCAGAAGAAGGCGAGTCTGACATTGGTGANAGAGGAGTCGACTACGAAGTCGAAGGCGAGGACGTGGACGGCGAAGAGGAGGATGATGACGAGGTCATGGAGGTTGACGGCGAGGTTGACGACTACGAAGAGTCAGACATCGAGGCCGAGGATGATGTCGAGATGGGCAGCGAAGGCGAGTCCGAGGCAGAGAGTGAGGAAGCGGCCGAATACGTGCCCGACCCGCACGGCCTGAACGACGGCTTCTTCTCCATCGACGACTTCAACAAACAATCAGAGTTCCTCGAACAAGCAGATGCCCGTGGCGACAACGACTTCGACGACGATGACGAGGAGGGTATCGACTGGGGCTCCAACCCTCTGGGAGGCAGTACCACAATCTCAAAAGCAGCACAGAACGACGACGATGAATCAGACGATGAGGATGGTCCGACATTCGGCAACGTCGACTTGAACGCCCCCGAAGGTTTCAGTGACAACGAGGAAGAGGTTGAGGAGGGAGAGATGGACGGCATGGGATCGCTTTCAAACACAAACGAGGTCAAGTACGCCGACTTCTTCGCCCCGCCAGCCAAAAAGGTCCGTAAGAACAAGAAGGGACGTCCGAACCCCCACAACTTCCCTGCCAAACAGGCCTCCCCAAGCGGTGCCGACGAGCCTGCAGAGAATGAAGAAGAAATGGAGCGTACCATGGAGAAGGTTCACCGCGATCTGTTCGACGATGTGACAGATGACGAGGAGGACGAGGAGAATCTTGACCCAGCCGACCCTCGCTCCCGCCGTTCAGCACACGAGCGTCGCCAGGCCGCCCTCACAGAAGAGATTCGTCGTCTGGAAGCCGCAAACGTTGCAAAGAGAGACTGGACTTTGTCTGGTGAGGCTCGCGCCGCTGACCGTCCCATCAACTCTTTGCTCGAAGAGGACCTCGAGTTCGAACGTGTTGGTAAGCCCGTACCAGTCATCACCGCCGAGATTAGCGAAAGTCTGGAAGAGCTCATCAAGCGTCGCATTCTTGCCGAGGACTTCCAAGACATCATGCGTCGCCGTCCTGATGATTTGGCTACTGGCAGCTCAAGTAGACGCGGGCGTCTCGACTTCGAGCTCGACGACAGCAAGAGCAAAAAGTCTCTCGCCGAAATGTACGAGGAGGAGCACCTCAAAGCTACCGACCCCAACTACGTCGATGCGAAGGATGAAAAGACACAGAAAGAGCAAAAGGAGATCGACGCTTTATGGCGCGATATCAGCAACAAGCTCGACAGTCTCAGCTCCTGGCACTTCAAGCCCAAGGGCCCTGCCACACAACTCGACATCCGCGTCGACGCACCCGTTGTGCGTCTCGAGGATGCCCGTCCCACTGCCGGCGCCGAAGCCGCTGCCGCATCTCAACTCGCACCACAAGAAATCTACAAGGCTGGCGAGGCAGCCGAGAAGGCAGAGGCCGAGATTGCCACCCGCGGCGGCCTGGTCGTCAACCGCGAAGAAATGAGCAGAGAAGACCGCAAGCGTCGCCGCAGACGCGACAAGGAGCGCGAGAAGAAGTCACTGGCCAACGTCGATCCCTCCAAGAAGGAGAGCAAGAAGACAAAGGAGAGGAAGGGCATCATCAGCGATCTCAAGAAGGGTGGTGTCAAGGTCATTGGCAACAAAGGACAGATCACAGATGTCTCGGGCGCTGCTGTCAAGGATGCCAAAGCCCCTTCTGCTGGTGGTTCTTACAAGCTGTAAGATGCACTTGTTGTTTGTTCTTGATTCTTGTTCTTGTTTGCCATTGCTCAATACCACATTTTCGTCTCCTTCTCTTGCTTGACAATCGACCATCTGAGGACTATCAGAAATCCGTGTCATCTTCTTGAGTATACGCCATTGTGCCGCAGGAGCACTCTTTTGAACAGAACTGCACAACAGACAGAGACTCTGATACTTCGTCCAGAGCTCAGCAAAGGTATTGTGCTTCTCTGTACTGTCACAAACTCCAACTCTGTGTATATCCTCAAAATCCGCACGCATGGGCCCCAGCGAGACTACAAAGACACATGTGGCAAGCAATAACATCTCATGCAAAGAACCAACGATCCAGGGGGATGATGAAACACTTTTCTTGTCTGTGGCCAGGAAAAATCGGCCGACGCATATTGTATATACATATGGGCCTTGAAAGAAGTTGGTAAGCAATCTTTCTGGGACAGAATAGAAGCCAACGGCTCTCCTGCCTTTCAAAGATCTTTGATATGTAGAAACGATAGATGTGTTCTGCTGCACATACACCATAAACATGAACTATTCCATCTGTTGGACCCAAGTGATTGATGTAGAAGTGACCCTGGGAAGCTGCGGAATCGGCAAGAGTGGGGAATGAAGAGATCTGGCTATGGGGATACCCGAATCAACACACTCACTATCATGAATACATCACTCTGCTTTGAAGACATCGTACATTTCCATAGCCAGCAGCAAGAACAGTCTCCAGCACATGAGAAGCCTCGGCCGAGAGTAGAAGATGTGGTTGTATACAGTGACACAGGATCAAAAGCGATACTCGTGAATTCAAGCAGTTCATTTGACTTCATTTTATCTCATGTTTGAATTCTTCGATATGATCAATCATCTAGCTCAAGCTCAACTCCTTGTAAAAGGCCTCTGTACTCGGTTTTCTACCAAGGAAATCTTCAAGTGTTTGCATCTCGTCCTGAGAACCACCACGTTCAAGCACAGTATGTCTGTAACGTCTGCCTTCCTTGCCATTCATAGGGTCCTTCTTGAAGACAGTGTAGAACATGTCTGCGGAATAGACTTGAGAAGAGAGGTAACCATAGTAACCAGCATCGTAGCCACCGATCAAGTGGCCGAAAGTGGCTTGACCGTGTCCCCAGTCGAGACCTTGACCCAGCTCTTCGGGCCCATCGAGAGAGCAAATTTCCTTGCGGAGAGAGTTGTAGAGTTTGCTGACTTCGAGACTCTTGATGTCGTCGTGAGACTTGCCTTCGTGAACAGTCATGTCGAAAATACCAAAGTGGAGTTGGCGGAGGTTGAAGAGGGCATCGTTGACGTGGCGTGTGCGGATGATGCTGTCGATCAAGTTGTCAGGCATAGTCTCTGNGGGCTGCCTGCCCGACTTGTTGGACTCTGAGAAAGCAGACTTGTAGCTATCGGAGAGATAGCTGTAGTGATGAGACAGGCTGCGCAATTGAGAGGCGGTCCAGCACCAGTTCTCGAGCATTTGGGAGGGAGCCTCGACAAAATCGCGGACGGTAGCTGTGCCGTGGAAGCGCGAATATGTGGTGCGCGAGACGAGATCGTGGATACCGTGACCGAGCTCGTGGAAGAGAGTGACGACCTCATCATGCTTGAGCAGGGAAGGCTTCTTGGNGGTGGGCTTTGAGAAGTTGCAGACCAAAGCAGTAGCGGGGTATCTTCTCTTGCCGTTCTCGTCGATATAACCGGGCTGGAGGTTGAAATTGGCAGCGTGACCGTACTTGCCATCACGAGGATGCAAGTCGAGGTAGAGGTAACCAACAAAACCGCTGCCCTCACCCTCGTCATCCCAGACGCTGAAGACTTGGACATCGGGGTGCCAGACAATGTCGTCACCCTTGCCAGTGGGACTGATCGAGTCGCGGTCCTTACCGGTCACTTGTACGAACTGAAGACCAAACAGCTGCTCGAAGATTTCCAGCATGCCACGGATGGTGGTCTCGAGGGNGAAGTACTCGGCAATTGCTTCTTGCTCTAGCTGGTACTCGTGCTCGAGCATTAAAGTGTCGTAGAAACGGTGGTCCCAGAGGTAGTACTTGCCATCATTTTGCTCGGCGACACCACGATCCTTGAAGTCCTTCTCCTTGAGAGTCTTGAGCTTCTTGATCTCTTCAACACCACCAGGGGACAGACGGGTGCGGAGGTCGCTGAGGAAGTCATCAACAGTGCTGGGGGTCTTGGCCATCTTGTCCTCGATGCGAAAGGTGGCGTGATTGGGGTAACCCAGAATGCGGGCAGCCTCATCGCGTAGCACGATGGCTTCCTTGAAGANGGGCACGTTCTCGCTGCACTTGTTCTCATTCGAGGTAAATACCTTGCGGCGAACCTCGGGGTTCTTGCAGTACTTCAAGGTAGGGAAGAGGTCGGGGTACTTGAATGTAAGCCAGAGCTTGCCGACGTTGTCGCCATCTCNCTTCTTAAGGCCATCAAGGACATCCTTTGGCACGCCTTCCAACTCTTGCTCGGTAAACCACAGGCCGCCCTGCTCTTCGTTCAGATTCTTCTGGAAGGTGATGCTGAGCTCAGACAGACGCTTCTTGATGGCCTTGAAGCGGTCACGCTTGGGTCCAGCAGGCACGTTCAAGCCCATACGCACGAAGCCCTTGTGGTCCTTTTCAAGCAAGCGCTGACTCTCGGGGTCCAAATCTTTCGAGTTCTTGAGAGCAGCATCAACAAGCTTGAAGATGTCCTCGCGCATGCTAGCTTCAATACCAAACTCGTCCATCTCTTTCTCGGCCTCGATTGAGGCGTCTCTCAGCTTCGAGTCGGTCGAGACGGCAGAGTAGAAGCCAATGATGTGTGACTCGATGGCCATCTTGTTGTCGTCGAGGGCCATTGGGAGAAGGACATTGTGGAAGTTGGCCGACTCGGNGGTGATGTCCTTGACGATCTGGTCTTGGATGCGGCGGGACTGGTCCAGCAGGCGGCGGGTGTCTTTGGCGAGAGACTCGATGGTAGCGGTGAAGAGGGGAGGGGCCTGGGGAGGCTTCTGGTACTTTGCGGAGGCCATGGTCATTGACGTGACGTTCCGGGTGGATGCAAGGCCAGAGGGCAGCTTGAGCGGGGTGAAGTGAGTCGTCAGAAGACTGAGACGGGAGGCGATGCGTGTGAAAGCCACCGTGAGCAGGACGAGGGCGAGCGAGAAGAGGAAGAGGGTTTTGTAGCCGAACTGCTTTCTGTCTGTTCTAGTAAGCGCCAGCTTGAATGGAGTGACCGGTCCGTGTCTGGGCAATGATACAGGAAAGGTCGCCTGCCCGCACTCGCACCTGCCACTCGCTGAAGCCAAACCCCGCCATATCTCCGACTGAGTTCGTGTAGCTTGAAAGCAACCCAAATACACATCACATTGCGACATGTCAACTATCCGCATGAGGTCTACAATAGGGCAGCAGGCTTGACAAGAAGTAATATATCAATTGCCTATGTGGAAGTACATTCCGAGCTCCAAGCCATGGACCCCTTGCCGATGCCATGCTATCACCATGAGACACCTCCTCTGTATCGTGATCTGACGCAACGTAACACAAGTTTGTGCTGACTACATGCACATTTCTGCTCCTCCTAACAATACTGCATCTCAGCCATCTCACACCACCATCGAGCCTCCACGGAGGATGCCGACGTGGACCATGAACCCTGAACTCTCTTTCAGAGGACCTGTCAATACATCGTCTGAGAGTCTCCAGGTACTAAAGTGCTTGTTGAACTCCTCGAGCCACTCTTCGAACACATCTGGCTGTCGTAGTTGTTGTGCTATCACACAGACTGTCGGGCGTTCGTCTGTCCTTGATCGACAGACATCAGCGCATGTCTGAACAAACGGCTTGATCAGTGCATAGTTGTATATGCAGTCGCAGGCAACGACCAAATCGACTCCTTTGTGTGCATTGTTGCTTTTGAGAAATGAATCGACATCATCAGTCTCCCAGTCCAAAGATAACACTTGTATATTCGAGCTTGGTAGAGGGTTTGTTCTCTTCGAGGTCTTCTTGTTCTTTGCTCCAGTTTGTGTTGGTGTTGTGTTCTGGTCGATGTTCTCTTTCAGGAGTTTGAGGGCGTATACTTGATCTGTAGCGATATATTGCCGTACCAGAGGGGCCAGAGTCAAAGGCACAATGCCGGCGATGCCAGACCCCAGCTCAAGCACGCTTGACTCCACAGACACGATGCCATGTTGTGCTAGTATGTTACCAGGCGATACCAACCACTCGGCAAACCTCGGAGTCACCTTCCAGACAACAGCACCTGTAGTACCACCTCCACGAGCAGAGTTGAGGACGGCAGGAGATTGCTTGATGGAGAGGTCACGAGGTCCGATACTCAGATCAAGAAGAGGGGCTTGTGAATCGATTATGCCAAGGTTTTGAGAGGGGACGTCTTGGGAGAAAAGTAAAAATGTTTCTGTATAGGACCTACCGTTACCATGCTGAGGAGGAATGTGGCTTGGGCTCTAGGCAATCACCTTNNCCGAGGCGTCCTCAATCTCGGCACCTAGCTGGGTGATGAAAGGGGCGAGGGACATGGGCGACACGTATATATGTACAGGTGTTGTTGCAAGAAAGACCTGACAGTCATGCTCGGGATGGAAAGACTTTAGACAGAGCAGCTTGCGAGGATGGTGTGAAGAAGAGTCGAGCAGATGACATGAGTCGATGCAAGAGCCAGTCGGAGTGGTGGGAGGAGCTCTGGCCTTTTTGTGGCGCAAGCACGGGAAGCGGCCGGCCGGTGCGTCATGGCGGAAGTGGAGCCAGCCAATTGTGTTTCCTCCGCTCCAACGCGCGCCGTCATCACAAGTCGCTCCTGCCTGCCAGAACCTCTTTCCCAGCAAAACGAGGCTCTCTGTCCTTGCCCTTTTACTTTTCATGTCTTTTGACAGTCTGCCCAACATCACAAACATCTACAACATGGGCGACATCATGCAACGAACTGACCTCAAGAAGCTGGTCCCCCAACCCAAGCCTTACAAGAAGGGCCCCTACACGGTCGAGGCCAAGGGCTACGAGAAGAAGGACGGCGAGACTATTCCTCGCGTGCACCCGGCGGCAAAGGACGGTCTCATCAGCACTCCGGCTCCCGACATCAAGACCATCTACGATGTTTTGCGCAGCAGCTCCAAGAAGTTTGGCAATGCAAAAGCCCTGGGCTACCGCACCCTAATCAAGGTCCACGACGAGGTCAAACAGATCAAGAAGGTCGTCGATGGCAAGGAGACTACCGTCGACAAGAAGTGGCAGTTCTCTGAGCTCAGCCCCTACACATACATCAGCTTCGATGAGTATGAGCAGCTGTGTCTCAAGGTTGCCTCTGGTTACCGTGCTCTTGGCATGAACAAGGGCGACCGCGTCCACATCTTTGCTTCTACCAGTCCCTGGTGGCTGGCTACTGCTCATGGTAACTACTCACCCACTCGCTGTACGTTTCCCTTTACTGACATGATATTCTCTNNAGCCGCCTCTACCCAGTCGATGCCCATCGTCACCGCCTACGACACACTCGGTGAGGAGGGTCTCATGCACTCACTCAAGCAAACCCACGCCAAGCTCATCTTCCTCGACCCTCACCTCCTCACAAAGCTCATCAACCCTCTCAACGAGACCAAGGACATCCAATATGTCGTTTACAACAGCCACATGGAAGTCAAGAAGGACGACATTGAGAAGCTCAAGAGCGCCCACCCACACCTGACCATTCTCAGCTTCGACGAGCTGACCAAGAAGGGTGAAGAGAACATGGTCGAGCCTGTTCCTCCCCAGCCCGAGGACCTTTGCTGCATCATGTACACCTCCGGTTCTACTGGAACTCCCAAGGGTGTTCTTCTCAAGCACAAGAACGTCATTGCCGCTAGTACGTATCGTCTACTTCTTTTCCGCTACATTGACTAACATATTGCAGTCGCTGGTGTTGACGTTATTGTCGGTCCTTACCTCGGCCCTGGTGACGGTCTTCTCACCTACCTCCCTCTTGCTCACATTCTCGAATTCGTCTTCGAAAGCGCCTGTCTCTACTGGGGTGGTACCATGGGTTACGGAAACCCCAGAACCATCTCCGACGCTTCGGTTCGCAACTGCGCTGGTGATATTCGTGAATTCAAGCCTTCAATTCTGGTTGGTGTTCCTGCAGTCTGGGAGACTGTCAAGAAGGGTATCGTTACCAAGGTCGACAAGACTGGAGGCATTACCAAGCAGCTCTTCTGGGCCGGTATGGCCGCAAAGAGCACCATGATGAACTACTCTGATCTGCCCTTCACCGGCGTCGGCACCAGTGTTATGGACTCTGTTATTTTCAAGAAGATCAAGGAAGCTACTGGTGGCAGATTGAGAATTTGCTTGAACGGTGGTGGTCCCGTCGCAAAGGACACTCAGCGCTTCATCTCCATGGCCATCGCTCCTATGATCAGCGGTTATGGTCTGACCGAGACATCTGCCATGGGTGCTCTCATGGATCCTCTTGCCTGGACCGACGATGCTCTGGGTGGTCTGCCCGCCTCCATCGAGGTCAAGCTCGTCGACTTCCCCGATGCTGGCTACTACTCGACCAACAGCCCTCCTCAGGGTGAGATCTGGATTCGTGGTGACTCGGTCACTGACGGTTACCTCGACCTCGAGAAGGAGAACCAGGAGTCATTCGAGGATGGCTGGTTCAAGACTGGTGATATCGGTGAATTTGACAAGAACGGTAACCTCAAGATCATCGACCGCAAGAAGAACTTGGTCAAGACTCAGAACGGCGAGTACATTGCACTTGAGAAGCTTGAGTCCGTTTACCGCGCCAGTCATGTGGTTGCCAACATCTGTGTCTATGCAGACCAGAGCAAGAACAAGCCTATTGCCATTATTGTTCCCGCCGAGCCTGCTCTTAAGTCTTTGGCTTCTGAGAGTGGCTGCAAATCTAGCGAGCTCGAGGAGATGTGCCAGGACAAGAAGCTCAACGAAGCCGTCCTGAAGAATCTGCAAGCTGCCGGCAAGAAGGGTGGCCTCTCGGGTATCGAGATTATCGAGGGTGTTGTACTCGCTCCCGATGAGTGGACTCCTCAAAACCAGCTTGTCACTTCCGCACAAAAGCTCAACCGCAGAGCCATTCTCGACAAGTACAAGAAGGAGGTCGAGCAAGCCTACAGCTCGTAATGACCTGGCAGGATGTGTTGCTTGTATTATGGATTCTGGTTTCGCGTTATGACTTCAATGATGCCGGCGCAGGGTTTACTTCCAGCAACTGGGCGATTTTGATATCTTTTCTGTTTTCATCATGATTAGCACATAATTATACCCGACTCTTTACTTTTGATCCATTTCGTACAATCTTTTTGGGTTCGGAGCTGTCGCACGATGACTGGAGCCGGCAAGTGGATGCTTGTGATGTATTGGCATCACGTAGCGCCTTCGTCTCGTGGCTTACAGATTGCTGACTCGAATTTGGCACAGTCTTGTTGGAGCTTCTTTCCAATCCTTTCCGTATGCATCAACATGCACCGAACTGCATGATGCATTTTCATTGCTGCTTCCTCGTCACCACCTCATTGGTTCCCCGACCATAGTGTATATTGATTAGTCTTTAGCCTGATGCTTATTATAGCTATGTTACAGGAGGCACTGCTAGCACTAAGCTGCATTTCCTTTCGAACTTAAGCTTTTTATTAACCACCGACGTGCTGTCCACATCCGCTCTACACACTCGTTGATACAGAGTCTCAAAAGACCTGATAACTTCTACTCGACTGCTTATACCATGGTATCAGTCACAACGGAGGACCCTCATGGAATCGAAGCTGGACGATTCACCAGCGCATTTGGTCGTTTCTTTCCGAGCAGAATCCAACCTAAGTGTGAGGATGCTGTCCTGCCGGTCAGTTCAACTTTTCATACTACTGCAGGGGTCTTCTCCTACCAAATCATGAACTCTTTCGAGCCAGCATTGAGCTACCACAATGAGCCTGTTGATGAATGTTCAGCTGTTGAAGTATTGCTCGATTTCTCAACGTGGTACAACAGTCCCGCTGATTAGATCAACGCTTCAGCATGGGGCCTAAGCGTCACAGTCAATATGGAATGTGATTCTCCTCATAGCTTCATCGCGCAAGTGCAATTTGGCCCCTTGCACAAGTCTGAATCCAGCTTGAAAGTCAACCCATACAGATTTGTTGTACGTGATGGTCAAGATACAAATACCGGGTCTGTAAATGTCGATCCTTACACAAGTCCTGGTTCTCAGTGGGGACAACTACTCATGCTAGCATTCTGGGAAGAGACCATAACTGCTATCACGTCCCAGACTAGTGGAACAACGGATTCGCGGTCCAATCTAACCACTGGCCACATACACCTGAGCGCTTCTGAATACTCTTACAAGTCTATGAGAGACGAAGATTTCTTCAGAGACGCGTCATGGGTTTTCTTCGATGTTGCCAANAACCAAAAGTACGTAGGGGCGGTCGATACTAAGGTAGACTCTTTCGTCCATAACACAGCATGGCCGCGTATCTGGTAGCCAGTCGACCGCCTGGCAAAAGCGGTGATATCTGCAGCTTTCGCCGACTTGGGACAGTTGACAACAGGATCACCGGTGAAAAATACCATGGTNCTGGATGCCGAATCGCTACGCTATTGGACTGCTAACGTCTCTACGATCNNGATTAAACGAAGTACTGCCAACACGAGCCTGAAAGTATTTCGCTGGGACGAAATCAGAAAAGTTGAGATGGTAGACTATGACACAGCGCAAAAGAATGCGAACAGTACTGATCGAATTCTACTTCCGGTACCCCCAAGGATTGAGTACAATGCTTCAATGATCAGTACGACTTATATGTGTCGATATCCTCAGCTCAAATTCCCCATCAACATCTTTATCTCGATTCTCGTTGCCGACCTCGTCTTTCTCCGAACAGCCTGGTCACTCTACAACTTGATAGTCGGCTATTTCCTCAAAAGCCGACATCCAGAAGCCAATAAATGCGACCATTGCATGTCACGGCAAAAAGAAAGACGAAGAAGAAGTAGAAGAAAGAAAGGACGAAAAAACGACGAAGAGGACTCAGCGATAGTGGCGACATCAGACCCACCGGCTTCTCTTGGTATCGCTGCAGTGGATGAGAGTGACGAGCATGCCATTGAGCTCGATCAGTTTTTGGTGAGTCCGCCTGTACAGCAAGAGGACCAGCAGTGTATGCAGAGTTTGTTGACGTATCGACGCGTCTAGATGCATGTTACGAGTTCACTGTTGATGGACAAAATCGTTCCGACAGACGTCGTGCAGGATTGGGAGACATGTGAAGAACATCCACCGGAGATCAAAGCGCTAAGCATCGATTGTTACAAAAGAGAAACCCCAGCGACATTCCAGAGTTTTTTATGTTTGTGCTGTACAGCAAAACATTTGGAAGAGAAGAATGAGAAGCAAGCAAAGAACAAACATACGTGCACGACCAAAAGACTTTGTAATAACATGATAGTGCAATGCTTGGTTAGATATATACACACATGAAGACAAACACCCTTGAATAATGGCCGCAACCGAAACGTATGAACAAATGCTAATTTAATGATACAACACCCTTTTACCAGAAACTCCTCTCCTGCAACTTCTATCTGCTCGCTCGCGGAACAACAGGCGCACCCTCCCAAGCAGTCCCTCTAGGCAATACCTCTCCCTTCATCAACAAACTCAGACCACCAAGCTGACCTTCATCTTCGATAGTACTACCAGGAAGACAAACAGAAAATGGTTTGAGACAAGCTCTGTTCCCCAGCACCACATTGCCGACTTTCATGACACGATCTTCGAACAAATGAGTCTGGGCACCGCAGGTCTTGTTGACAATACATTCGTCTCCCAGAGTGACGCAGTCGAATTCGGTGATATCGGAAGAGAGGAGTGTGACCCGTGAGCCAATATTGACACCCATGAGGCGGAAACACATGGCGAGGTATGGTGTACCGACCAGTTGAGCTGCGAGGAGGGGTTCGGTAAGTGTTTCCCAAGTACTGGTCACGGCTTCGCTGAGCCAAACGTCCAGACTCCAGAGTGGCCATTCGGCGGGCTTGTACTGTCCAACGAGAATCCACTTGATCAAAGCGGTGAACAACAAGGCCGGTGCTGCGAACAGCACAACGTAGAACAGGGGTAGCATGAGCAGTGTGTACACAACCCCAATCTTGTGGTACCCATCATGGGCCAGTTGCAGTCCGAGGCCTAGACCGAAGATGATGATTGAGCGTGGCACAACGATACGGAGACCTTCGATGAGCAGTCGCGCAGCAATACGCCCCGCAGATGGTCGGAAGAGAAGATTATCCTCGTGGCCTTCGGTACGCTGTCGATTGGGCATCAGTACTGGGGGAGATCCGAAGCAAGAGCTGTTGTTTGCCATCTGCATGTCTGCTGGTGGAGCGATGGACAGCACACCGAGAAGAGTACCAGAAGCCAGCGTAGTTCCCTGGGGAAGCACGGAGGCATTGCCAGCGAAAGCACGAGGCTCAAGCTTTGTCTTCTTGAGAGTCAGCTGGTTNNTTCCCTTGACGACACCTTCACCCATGATGACGGCGTCGGCAACAAAACTCTCTTCACCAATCTCGAGAAGATCAAACGAGATGTTACGAGCTGTCGATACTTCAGCGCGCTTGCCAATCTTGGTACCAAGAGCTCTGAGGAAGGGAACAATGTAGAGTGTAGCGAATACAGGATGGAGTACATCCAGGGCAAGATCCATCAGTCTCTCCACGAACCACTTGCGAAGGTAAAACACGCTGTAAGTGCTGTATGTACCCTCCTTGAGGCGTCCCAGGAAGAGGTGACGATAGATGAGCAATTGCAAGAAGACCAGAATTTGATATGCGAAAGCGATAGGCAGGGAGAGAATGGCGACTTGTGACCATTCACTGACATGACGAAGGTCAAGAACATCGAAGAGCATCAATCCTGGAATCTGAGGCACGAAGTAGAGCAGGGGAAGGACCAGGAATGCGACAAAGGAGTTACCAAGCAGCATAGCTGTCGCCCGAGCCTTGGAAGGCCTGGTGTCTTGTGGTCGAGGAGAATCTTCGGCCTTCTTGACCTTATCCAAGCGTGCGGGCGATCCGTGGAAGCGATTGAAACTGGGCACGATCATACCAGAAGGAACCAGAGACAGCGATGCAACTTCAGCTTCCTCACTGACGATCGCACCACCTTCAACGACACAACGCGAACCGATAGATGCACCATTCTCAACGATGACCCGCTTGAGAACCAGACGTCCTCTCTCGATCACACAGGCGCCCAGTACAACATCACCACCAATCACGACGTCGTCACCCATCTCAATGAGATCAGCACATGGGCCAATCTGAAGTGCACCGAGATGGCAGAACTTTCCAACTTTCGCTCCACAGGCTCGCAAGAAGATTGGGTAAAGTCCAGAATCAGCCATCAGCTTGGGGTTTGCCAGTGAGGTTAAGCGATCCGCAAACCACCAACGGAAGTAGTAGAATCCATAAAGGGNGTATTCGCCAGGTTGGGCCTTGCCAAGTATCAACCATTTGCCTGCAATGGCTACAACACTCAAGGCAGGTGGAATGACCACAAAGACGGCATATGCTGTCAGAATAGCATAATCAATCCGACCAGCGATTGCGTGGAAGTCGAAGAGCAAGTAAGGAACCAGGATCTCGATTGATTGCAAGAAGAAAATGAACAGCAGTGGTAGGATTTGGGCAATACCGCAGAGCACGAATTTTGTTTGCGATACAGGCAAGAAGTCGCCAGTCCATGAACCGGTCCCTTCGAACTCACTGTCCAGAGACTCAACTTCTTCGAGATCAATGTGAAGATTCTTGCTCTTTTCGACAACCTCGAAGCGGGTCGCGATCTTGGCTGGTGTACGCAGCTCGTAGATGTCAGCAAGTCCGATAGAAGCAAAGGGCCTTGTGTCGTCTTTGTCAGGTTTTGCCTGTCGTAATCGCGATATCAAAATTGCTGCAATCAATGAATGTCCACCCAGGTCGGTAAAGATGTCGCTGTCAGGCTGGACGCGGGCTCCAGGGAACAGTGGCGACAAAGTAGCCAGCATCAAGCCAAGTACGCCATCCATTTCCACGAAGGATGGTACTGACGAGATGTCGTTGTCCTCATCGCTTGACCGCGCAGCCGCCCTCTCGGTGTTGATATGCTTGGAAACATCTTGTAGAGCTTTACCATTGATTTTGCCGCTAGGGAGTCGGGGCATGTCATCCGCTGCGATGAAGTACACTTCTTCCGGACGCATGTAGGCTGGCAAACTTTCGAACGCAATTTGGTGGATTTTGACAGTGTCGCGAACAGCTCCATCTTTGAGAACCACAAATGCCTCGAGGCGCGCAGATTCTGAACCAGAATTGGCCAAGATGACAGCTGCAGCTTGTACGTCTGGCACGTCGTAGAGTCGGGATTCGATCTCGCCGAGCTCAATACGAAATCCGCGATGCTTCACTTGAGTGTCGATGCGGCCGAGGAAGATGATTTTGCGGTCAGCCTGCAGTCGTACACGATCACCAGTGCGGTAAATCATGTCGCCGTCAGCAGATCCAAGAGGGTGAGTGATGAATTTTTGTGATGTCAAGTCGGGGCGTCCAACATAGCCAAGTCCAACACAAGGACCACCAATGGCAAGCTCTCCTTCAACGCCCTCTTTCCACTCGAGAAGCTCGAGAGCAGCCGAGGAACCGTCATCAGAGATAGGAAGTAGACAGGCGTGATATCCAGGCAGTGGCTTACCGATAGTGACAGGGACATCGGGTTGTAGCTCGTCCCAGGTAGCGGTGACAGTGGTTTCGGTGGGACCATATGTGTTGATGATGCGAAGGCCAGGCTTTGCAAGACTTTTCACCAGTGCAGGTGGGCAGGCTTCACCACCCAAGTTGATCAGACGAACAGATGGTGGAAGAAGAGAGCCGCCATCGTCCGATCGCGCAATATTCATGATGCCGATCAGGGTTGGTACTGCATTGACCAGAGTGACGCCACGCTTTGCCCAGACTGCGGGCAAAGCTGACACGTCTCTGCACTCTGCACGAGTTCCGATAGCGAGATGGCCTCCTCCAGCGATGGTTACCCACATCTCTTCGACAAACATGTCGAAAGCCGGGCTGAAACCATTCCAGACAATATCGTGGGGACTTGTTTCAAGGACTTCTCGCTCACTGAGAGAGAACACAAGAGCAGCAGAGTGTGGGATAGCGATACCTTTAGGCATGCCAGTAGTGCCTGAGGTGTAGATGAGGTAGGCAGCATCTTGTGGTCGAGGCCCAGTGACGAGAGCAGCACTCTGACTTTGTGGTGGTTGTGCTTCTCTAGTAAGTTGTGAGAATGTACGGCATTGAAGACTCGGCTTTCCAGCATCTGAAGATGTTGACGCGATTCGCTCTTGCACCTCTCGGACTTGGTCGGCATGGGCGGCATCACTGATAATCAAGGAAACTGAAGCATCGACTACGCAGACGGCAGCACGCTCGGCAGGGACATCTGGATCGAGGGGGAGCCATGTAGCACCCGAGTATGTTGAGGAAAGGATGGCGAGGATGAGTTCGAGACCTTTTTCCAACCAGATGGCCACTGTCGGTGCTTTGTCACCTCCAGGCCGTTGAGAGAGCGCGGCAATGCGGGTAGCCAGCGACGATGCCCTGGCGTCTGCTTCCGCGTATGTTATGGTGAGTAATCTGTTGTCTGTCTGAACGGAATAGGCGATACTATCGGGTTGCGTTCTTGCTTTGTGTTGGAATAGTTGTGGTAGTGTGGTCACCGACCCTGGTGCGACTGGTGCCGCATCAAGGGGTGCGTCTCCTATTAGGATTCGTGGATCGATATCTGGTTTGTCGTCTATGAGGCGTGGCAGTAGGTACGGCATGGTCGCAGAGCCGCTGAAGCGCCACTATAGTCCACTGTACGACACGTCCTGCGAAGAAAACAGATCAAACGAGTGGCGTAGAGCGAATTGGCAAGATGGTTAGTTGGCAAGCAATCGATTCGTGAAGGAAATGCAAGGGAAGTTATGGAAGTATAGAGGCAAGTAACACCGTCGAAGGCGTGCCTTCCAATCGAACTTTCAGCTATTCTCGGATAGAGGCATTTACGAGTTATGGACACCGGCTTCCCACGTGTAATCTAATTCGTATTCAGAGGAAAGCGCAGACCGGACGAGGCCAGCCTTCCGTATACGCGTGGCCTGTAAGCTGCAGAGAAGCTGGCCGCGCGGCGCACATGTGTGCAATGCCATGGTATAGGCTTTGGGCGTTCGTATGCGGCGCCAACGTCGCCGAGGGATGCGGATTTCCGGCAAAGGCTAAGCAACTCACAGTAAATAAGACGCAAGAGTGCCGTAGTCACGATGAGCATTCTCGCTTTCGTCTCAAAACCATCCCGTCAATCTAGGGACTTTCTGAGCACAATGACCAAGACTCGCATCAGCGGGTGGTGTTCAGATGGAGATGAGGTTGGAGTTGTTTGCTGCCCTGGTCCAGATCGACAGAAATCTGTCGCCAAGCCTGAAACAAGCAATCTCCCCGCAAGTGAAAAGGCTTGTCTGACCTTGGGAACCAGCACGTTGCAGATCCTCGGGTTGTCAGACGCGAGGATTGCGTGTCAAGGTTCGTGCTTACTCCTGTCTGGCTTCTTTGTATTACATAAATGATTGAAGTCTACGTGAGCCACTCGGACATTCACCATCAACCACATTCGCTGACAGTAGTTGCCAACATCAGCGAACCACTCCGAGGATTTGGAATGAGCGTGAGCCCACGTTCATTGCGAGACATGGCGTGACGATGACCGACAGATGTAACGTAGATTGATATGTAAACAGCAAGTTCCATTCTTCGAAACCCCTGCCCCCATGAATATTCTTTCATACCTTTCTAACCACCACGACCCTTTCCATAGACATCCTTGCTAGCCATGTCTTTGCAAATAGGATGGTAGAACTCCTTGTACTTCTCGAAGGTCTGTTGCGCCAGCTTCTCATCACACTCCCTCAAGTTTCTGTAGAGCGGGCGCACGAACTTCATGCGGCCGACTCTACCGAGCAGTTCCGTGGTGGGGATGTACACACTTTGGCATCTCGCTTTGAGACCGACGATCATGTATCTACTGACCACTTCCACATTCTTCGAGACGGCATAAGAGTATACCTCACCCATCTTCTCAACCAGAGCAGGCGACAGAGGTGTCTTCCAGGTCTGAATCTTCTCGAGGAACACGACGGACTGGTTGGCAGACCAAGACGAAATGTCAGAGGCCGAGGGCTTAAAGTCCGAATTTCCACCGTTCAAGGACTCCCACTTGTTGGCGAGGTCGTAGCAGACATCCACCATGCTGGTATCGAAGTCAGGCTTGGGAGGGTAACCAGGCTTGTAAAACCAAGTATCCCAATCGACAGAGTTCAGCTTGTCGGTCGCCTTCTCGTCCTTGGCAAAGAAGTCGAGAAGAGTGGCCTTGAACTCGTACGAGTCGAGAGACTTTTGGGCGAAAGTGGTGAAGTAGTGAGGGATAAATTTGTCCCACTTCTCCTTGCCTATCAGCTTCTCGAGATAGTAGAGGAAGGTAAAGCCCTTCTCGTAGGGAATGCTCGAGAACGCATCATCAGGATCTTTGCCCTTGAGGTCGGGGATCAATTTCGTGTATTCGTGCTCGGCGCCGTAGCCCTCGATACTGTCAGTCAGAGCCTTCCAGCCGATGATGGCACTAAAGTCCCTGTGAGGTTCGCCGTGGATGGCAGCCTGGATTCTGCGCTCAAGGTAGACAGTCCAGCCCTCATTCAACCAGAAGTGCTCCCAACTGCAGTTGGTGACCAGGTTACCAGACCAGGAGTGAGCAAGCTCATGTGCAATAACATCAACGTTTTCGCGGTCACCAGAGACAAGGGTGGGTGTTGCAAAGGTGAAGATGGGGTTCTCCATTCCGCCGTAAGGGAAACTAGGAGGCAGGACAAGCACGTTGTACTGAGTCCAAGCATAAGGGAAGACGATCTTCTCGGCAGCCTGGATGAACTTCTCGGTAGGCTCAAACTCCCACTGTGAGGCCAGGAGCTCTTCAGGACCAGTGTGAACGCAACTGCGAGGACCAATGGCAGCAGAAGCAAGATCTCCACTTGCGAGAGCGAAAAGGTAGACGGGCATAGGAATCTTCTGGTCGAATGTGTAAAGAAGAGTGCCAGGAGCATCACGCTCACTAGGGCGGAAATCTTTGTTTCCAGTAGGCAGACCACTGGCGAGGACAGGGAGAGGAGAGCGAATGTTGAAGGTGAAGGTCGATTTAACATCAGGGGTATCCTGGCAAGGCAAAAGCGAGCGGGCGTGGATGGCCTGGCATTGTGAGAACATGTAAGGGTGCTTCTTGTTGGAAGTCTGCTCAGGGGTCATCCATTGAACAGCAGTGCACTTGTCAGTGGTAGCCATGATGACCTCAATCTCGGCATCTCCAGAGTGATCGTCAGGGATTTCAATGGTGAGAGGGCTTCCATAAGGCTCGAATCTCTCTCCAAGGTTCCACTTGGCCTTCTTTCCAGCAAGCTTGACTTCCTGGATGTCGAGGAAGCTGGTATCAAGTACAACCTTTCCACTTCCCTGACCCTTGGCAAGTCTCTCCAACTCAAGCTTGATGGTACCCACACATCTGTTCTTGGCAAACTCCAGCTCCAGATCTGCAGTCACATGCTTGGTTCTCCAGACATTGTAGTTACTCAATGTGTTGGGATCTCTGGGTTGATGAATCGAGATGTCCACATCATCCGCGATAGGACGGTTCAGCATTGCCGCGGNGGATTTGTGCATTGCTGCGAACGTCCTCGAGCTTGTGGCAAGTTTCGGAGGTCCAGCGAGTGATGATTTGGCAAAGACTTTGGATAAGGAGAAAAAGGCCTTGTTCATCTGTCTTATAGAGATGTTGGAAGTTTTGCAGCGGCGGCCTGACTCAAAGAAATCGCGTGTTCTTCTCAAAATGGCAGGTCGGAAAGGGCCGAGGCTTTTTGGTGGAAGCTCGCAAAATCTGGAGAGAGCTCTGTTTGTGAGTCACGTGTGGAGCGCTCTCGTAAAATAGCGAAATTGCAAGAGCACGAGCACTTTCTGTTTCCTGCCCAATCATGGATGGTAGTTTGTATTGCGGAAACTACATGTGATTGTATGACTATACCGTTGCCACAGATGAGCAGTGAGTCGCCGACTGTCTTCCAGTCCTCCAGCTGAGCCAACGCCACGTCCGTTTCAACCACCGAACACCTATCTTCGACGTCAAAAACATATACAAAAATGGCCCAATAGCCCACGGCAAATATGTGGTAAGAAAGAGATTCAACAATAAGCAGATCGTAAACGTGAGTAGTTGCAGAAACCATCTAAGCCGACCTTGCTTTTTNNTTCTGTAAGCCCTCACACCTATCATACCAGGAACAGAGTATCCTATGACGAGGTATACCAGTCCTGAAATGTAGTCGGAGTCATATATGTAGCGCACAATGATGAATTAGATGAAGTAGAAAGCACTCATCACCACGAACAGAGCACGCCACTGTCGACGATGGATCCAATACCGCTGCGATGCGAATCTGAAGCAGGAACCAGCGATCAAAGGAAGCAGGATAACTGCCGTCGTCAGCGGCACAGATATCTCAAAGTACTGAGACATGGTCCAGTAATGCTGCGATGGCTCTGATGGATTGGCGGTGGCGGTGGGCATAAGTGTGGAGGACACATTCGGAGTCGGAGTGGTTGTTGGAACTATACTGTTTGATGAGTGCGGAAACAGCGGGTTCTTGACGTGCATGTCGAAGATTGACTGCAAACAGTCATCAGATCTCGATCGTCTACAAAGCGTTGTTTCAGCTCACCGAGACAAAAGATAGGGNGGTGAAGAAAGCGGCTGCAATCGTAAGGATCAACGCTCCTTGGCCTTGAGCAAGGCTCGTTTGTTCAATGANTCTACTTTTTGCGGTTGATATGGGCTCTTCTAGAGCTTTGAACTTGGCTATTAGGAATTCAAGATCTTTCTGAAAGCCTGAGAAGACTTTAACTGCTCTGGTCTTGTCTGGGTCTCCTTGTTTCTGGCAGCAAAAGTCGTTCGATGTCACGGTGGACTTTGCTCTATCGGCAACTGCTTTGGTATGCTGCAGGTCTGCAATAGTTAAACGGCGGCAATCATCCAAAAGGACGAGGTATTGAATTTTGCTTCTGCTAGGCATACGTCGGCCTTTGTACGTCTGCGACGAGGGCCAGCGTAGAGAAGTCGTCAAGATCAATAGGTNCACTTTGCCAGTGGAAGGTATACGTCATCTCAGTGCCTGTAGGTGCAGATTACAATTAGCATATATCTTGCGCAAAATGGTACGACGCAACGATTGTCGCTTTGTCAAGTGCTGAAACAGGAAGCTGGAGATCTCTATGAAACCCCTTTGACTCGATGAATGCCTACTCAATCTTGGATGGAAATCTGCAATGGTGAAGTTGCAATTTCTCGATACCAATCTCTCGACAGGATTTGAAACACCATCTAAGGGCTGTTGACTTATACTGTTCACATTCTCACATACGTACCGCTAGGTAAAATCCCTAGATGTTGAGAAACCCCTCGATGGCAGACGGCTACTGGTAAGGTTTGAAGTGGGAGGCTTGCTGATGCTTTGCAAATTCCGTGCGAACTGCAATCGCTGAACAATGACCCGAGCCGGTGCCAAATGTAAGTCTTGTTGGCATCCGCGAAAAGTTTTCATTGCATTTTGCCAAATGGAAAGTTGACGCTGAGTCGTTCCAAACTTCAGAGTCAAGAAGCTGGGCATCCAGGTCAGCGAAAATCCAAGAGGAGTTTTGCAATTCCTACCAGATCTGTAGACATGTCTCCAAGACGCNNCAGGACGTAACGCTTTCCCAAGGTCCTCGTCGAGATACGTTTCTGTCGAGATGTCGTCCGGTGCATTCAGTGAATCCCAGTCGCCTTGCTCATGGCTCAACTTCAGTAAAACGTCACCAGGCTTGAGAGTCAGGAGTTNGACTCTAGTTTCGATCAAAGATTCTCCAGGCTTGGTTTTGAAGTATCAGTACTGTTTTCGTAAGATGGTTTCGTCGAAGCCATTAGATTGATGGAGAAACTCCATGACCAGATGGCTACAATCCGATATAAAGAGGTATACAAAGCAGCAACATATAGCGAAGCAAACGGAACATCGAGAGTAGATTCTCGGAGCTCAGGTAGTATACCCAGAGTTTTCAGGCGTCCAGCTGGAGGCGACGAGGCAGAGGTGCCGCATCGACTAATATGTGTCTAGCCAATCAGACCAGAAGCGAGAACGCCTTCAGCCGCCCAGCTGCATACAGCTGTCAGCCGGCTGGATTCAGTGATCGCCTTGACCAGCATGACGAGAAACATAATAATAGTTTGTCGTGCTCGCGATCCGTGTTGCTTCTGGTCAGCGGAGTAGAGGAGGGAAGGAAGGAACGATCGTCATCGTAATCTTTCCAAATTCGGACATGTCGATACACAACGCCTAGATCAGTACATCAAGCATCTATGCGGATGAGTGTAGGCGTGAATATTCATAATGTTTCTGCAAATAGTCTATAGGTATTCGGTTTCTGTTCAAGCAGCCTTGCCCAGAGCAATGTCCTCAACATGTTGCGCACCTTGATAGTTCTTTCTCTCGTGCTCCATGATCGCATCAACCTTCTTTGCGCTTGCACTCTGCTCGTCGAACTTGTAGCCGAGCCACTCCTTGGCCAACCTCCTTGCAACCTCGACACCGACTACTCTCTCGCCCATGCACAGGACCTGAGCGTTGTTGCTCAAAACTGCTCTCTCAACAGAGAAACTATCATGAGCGGTAACGGCACGAATGCCAGGGACCTTGTTCGCTGAGATGGCGACACCGAGGCCGGTTCCGCAGATCAAAAGTGCGCGGTCGGCCTTTCCTTCTGCTACGAGCTTTGAGGCGTCGACAGCAGTGTGTGGGTATGCAGTCTTGTCATCGCTGCTGTTGACACCGACATCGATGACCTTCTCGACACGAGGGTCATTCTCGAAGTCGGCCTTGATCTTGTTCTTGTAGCCGCAGCCGGCGTCGTCGCAGCCAATGGCGATGGTAAGGGGTTTGTTGGACATTGTCTCTTCTTTCTCGAGTCAAAGGGAGTCGGGGATCACAGCTGGCTTGTATCGTAGCCGACAGTAGCTGGACAATGGGAAGGCTCGATGTCGAGTGTGATGGAGTCGCCTTGCTTGGTCTTTTGTTCGGCACCGTTGGTCTCGACGGTGTAGGGATTGGTGGTAAGAGTGGTTGTGTGGGAGGTTTCGTGGGGCGTGTCGTGAGTGATGGTCTTTGTCTCGCCCGTCTTGTTGTCGTGTATTTGCTCGCGAAGGTGTTCAGAGTCGGTGGTGAAGGACGACGAGATTTGGATGCACTTCTTGGAGGGAGTCGAGGAGGACATTTTGAGTTCGGCAGGAGGAGGGTCGGTATTTGAATGGCAGCAAGCACGTTGACAGTGCTATTGGTTGGCGGTGGTTGGCCGACATGTGGTGTGCCTCGTCTCGGCGACAACAGCGAGATGGAAGGGCGGGGCTGAATACCTCGGATTGCCCTTTTGGGCCATGTCCGTCATCGCTCCTTCCTCTCCTCAGTCCCCACCCACCCCCGACTTTACCCATGGGGCAACTGCCAGAGCTGACATCCCGAAAGACGGCTGTTGACACCGGTCGCTGTTGATTTTTCACTGAGCAGGACATGCTTGGGGAGCCGAACCTTTCCTCATAAGATTACCACTGCTCTCTGTCCTTCCATGCTCTCCAGTTGCCGCCAGGCATGTTTGTCATAATCTCAGCCTCGAAGGCTATCCCTGGATCGACGTTTCCATCCCCACAAAGAGCACGAGACCACATCGCTCTCTCTTAGCACTCTATTGATCGGGACGATGATGCCGTACGCCAATGCTCTTTTCTTTTGGCCTCGTAGGTACCTGTTTGTGCAACTCCTTCAACAATCTCTTCTCCCTTTCTCTACGTACAGTACTCCAACACCCCTGCCTCAACGTGACTCTCCTTCAGCCTTGCTGGTGATTGCACCTGCGGACCTGCGGACCTGCATGAATCCGCACGCCGGCCCATCACTCCACCACGCAAGACAAGCACTCAACAGCCCACTCGCGGCTACTCGCCTCTAATCTTTGCGCTTCAGTTTGTTGTGCGACAACACTTTGCTCTCTTGCGCCCAACACAAACTGCAGGCAGTTGAGCGCGTTTTTTCTGAGCTTTTCTACACTCGTTGGTTCTTATCTTTACTTTCTTTTCTCAAGTTACGTTGAAAGGTCGCTCTCACTTCATTCTCATCTCATCTTCATAACCTTGGAGGAATTCGCTTCTCCTTCTTCAATTTGACCGGCTTTCCACAACAGCAGCCACGTCAATCGCGCCTGCCTGATCGCCAGACTAACAGCCACAACTGAATATCCACCGCCAGCAATGTTTCGTCTCAAGAGTCTGGACGCCACTACTTCAGCCATCATCAATCCTCCACCCAAGCCACGCCCCATGCCAGGCATGCCTCTCGTCGACTGCAGCCTCGCCGAATTCATCGCGGGCCAGCCCCAAGGTTTCACTCATGTCGCGGTGGCTGCAGCCGTCTTTCACGAAGACCGTCTCCTTCTGGTCCAGCGTGCCGAGACTGACAGCTATCCCGGCCATTGGGAGCTGCCTGGCGGATCGGCTGACCCTACCGACAAGTCCATCAGCGAGTCTGTTGCTCGCGAACTGTTCGAAGAGACTGGCCTCCGCATGAAGCGCCTCCTCTCCGAGATCCTGCCTCCCACAACTTTCTCCACTGGCTGGGGCAAGCGTCAAAAGACATGGCTCAAGGTCAGCTTCGTGGTCGAAGTCACTGCAGAAGACAAGGCACGCGCTGAACACGAGGTCGAGATGCAAGGATCGGGCCAGGAACTCACGCGCAAGGATAGCGTCATTGCCGTGAATCCTCCCGCCATCAAGCTGCACGACAAGGAGCATCAGAAGTACGTGTGGATCTCGGCTGAGGAGGTCATCAAGAACAGAGTGTCAATGCCAGGCGAGGGCGCAATGGAGTTCATCGGATCCGACAGCGTGTCGACCATTCTCGAGGCTTTCCGCTTGAACAAGCACATTCAGAAGGCGCAGGCTGTTGAAGCACCGCAGGCCGCCGAGACAGAGGAGGGAGAGGCTTGAACGTCGAGAGATGCAGCGCGGGAAGACATACGGGTTGCTAATAACAGATGATGGGGCTGCGATATCCGACAGATATTGACATCGATGCATGCAAAAGCGAACGAAGATAGAAGGATGGCTTACAGGCTGGGCAGGGTTTGCTAAAAAGACAGGCGTCCCCAGAGGACAGAAACGAGGCTCATGTACGACATGCGAGAATCAAGAGAACAAGATTGGTAACACAGAACACAAGAAGAACAATAAGCAGTGTCGCATGTCGTGAAGAAGTCTGCCCTATGATGAAAGGTGGAAGGCTTTGCAGACACGGCGTGGCAGTCATAATGGCTCGATTGAGCAAGGCTGCAGGATTTCCAATACAGGTTTGTATGATTGCGGCAAGGTGCAGGGAACAATCGAACCATGACGGGTTGACTGCTGCGACAGACAGGAGATGGTCTGGATCGAGTACAGAACAAGGTTGGAGAAGGAAACTAAAATCGGGATGGCCCGCGGTGGGTGGTTGATCTGCTTGAAAAGGTGGAGGAGAATTGCTGAGGGCAAGCAGCAATCGAACCTCGGCACAAAGCAAAGAGGGTTTCCATCAAGCAAGCAGGCACGAAGAGCAGCAGCAGTCCCAGAGTCTTGCAACAAGATATCCGTCGAGTCGCATGCTTTCTGCACGGCTGTAAATAGGGACCTTGCAGACAGCGACAAGTGCGACTCGGAGAAAAGGACGTGATTGGACTGGGGCTTCCTGTTTCCTTTGCTCTTTCCCACTTTCGTGCTTTCCTTTCACATGCGACTCGAACTTGCAACAAGCTCGCCCTGACTATCATTTCCCTCACGACCTACGCGAAACCCTCGAGCCCGGCACGTCAGCCGCGTGGACATGCACAGCGCTATAGTACTGGTATAACGACATGTCGATGGCTGACCGCCTTTCCGCCGGCGCAATGTCTGCTCCACCACCTCCGCAGCAACACGCACCAGCCCAGCACCCGCAACAGACACAGAACACGACACCACAGCATGCCCAGCATCAGGCCGCCTCTCCGACGGGCATGAGCCAGCAAGGAGCCTCTGCCACGAGTTTCCGAAGGTATGCCATACGAGACACTATTGTAGCCCTGTGGCCCCAGACTGACGCGACCACGCCNAGACAACGCGCTTCGAGAGCCTGCGAGGTAAGACCAAGTCCATGCTTCCACAAGACAGTGCTGACCACCGACAACAGNACATGCCACGCGCGNAAAGGTTCGCTCCAACAAGACCCTCGTACCCACCCTTGAACTCCCTTCTGACGCGTCTCACAGGTGCGCTGTGATGCCGCTAGCCTCGGTGTGCCCTGCACCAACTGCGTCGCCTTCAACATCGAATGCAAAATCCCTTCTCCCAAACGCAAGAAGACATCGTCCAAGCAGAAAGACTCCAACAGGTACACCACCGATCGCCTGCCTCACCAAGACATGCCTAACTTTGGCAGTGACCGCGAAGACAGCAGCAGCATTATTCAGCCCTCGCCCGCCAACAACGACACTGTCGCACGCCCTGATGTCGTTCACCAACCCCCGATGCCCATGCCTCAGCTGCCTCCTCGCAACGGCGTCGACTACTCTTCCCCTAGTGGCATGCCTCCAACCACCCTCTCGGAGAAATATCAAGAACAACAGCAGGTTCACGATGCAACCTGGAGTCAGTACATGAAGCCAAAGTTCGCCCGCGCTCCCATCAAAGAAGCTGGCCGTGTTGCATATCTGGGCGAGTCGTCAAATCTGTCTCTGCTCGTACATGACAAGCATGGCAACTCGGATGTTGTACACTACCCTCTGCCTGAGAATGTGCGTGGTCCTCGGGCACGCATGAACGAACTCGACGAACTGGAACTGCGCATCTTGCACGAGCGAGGAGCTTTCTTGCTACCCCCACGTCAACTATGCGACGAGCTAGTCGATGCTTTCTTTACCTGGATCGCCCCCGTCGTGCCTGTAATTGATCGCAACAAGTTCATGCGACGCTACCGAGACCCTAAGAATCCCCCGTCACTACTTCTGCTGCAAGCTATCCTCCTGGCTGGATCGCGCGTATGCACGAATACACAACTCATGGACGCCAATGGATCTACGACGCCGGCCGCCATGACCTTCTACAAGCGAGCCAAAGCATTGTACGACGCCAACTACGAAGATGACCGCATTACCATCGTTCAAGCCGTCATCCTGATGGGCTGGTATTGGGAGGGCCCAGAGGGTAAGATGCGAGAGAAGCCCAGCGTCGCCCGTGAGTGTCAATCTGACATTGCTTCAGATGTAACCAAGAACGTCTTTTACTGGAGTAGAGTGGCTGTCGTGATTGCCCAAGGCTCTGGAATGCACAGAAGGTGAGATCTTGAGCTGTTATCATGTCTTCTGTCACTGACTCGTGTGTAGTGTTGAAAATCTCAGCTTAGCCAACAGGATAAGCGTCTCTGGNNAAAACGCATCTGGTGGACCCTGTTCACGCGAGATCGCTCAGTGGCAGTCGCCCTCGGTCGCCCTTGCGGTATCAACATTGAAGACTCTGATGTCGAGATGATCTGCGAAGATGACTTTATCGAGGACGAAACTGACCAAAATCCTGAGTACCCTCTGGATCCGGTACACATCCACTTCTTCCTGAATTACGTCAAATTATGCGAAATCATGGGCTTGGTCCTTTCTCAAAACTACTCGGTCGCTTCGCAGAAACGCGGTCGCAACAACGCAATCGACCTAACTCATTGCGACATGGCTCTGGCCGACTGGCTTCAGAACTGTCCGAAAGACGTCTACTGGGAGAAGAATCGACATCACTTCTGGTCCGCCCTTCTTCACTCCAACTACTAGTAAGTTTTAGCGATATTTCTTGGTTTCTCACGCGCTGACACCTGCAGCACCACACTTTGTCTCTTACATCGTGCTCACATGCCTCCCGCTGGCTCATCACCAGAGATGAACCGGTCGAATGGCTTCCCTGAAGATATGGCTTATCCATCTAAGAACATCGCCTACCAGGCAGCCGGCATGATCACTTCTATCGTTGAGGCTTTGACTAACCACAACGAGCTTCAATTCACACCCGCCTTCATGTAAGAAGCCTGGTCCAAACTTCGGCGTTCTGTACTGACAGGACTGCTAGCNGTCTACTCTCTCTTCTCTGCACTCATCATGCACGTTTACCAGATGCGGTCTTCCAACCAGTCGATTGTCCATACCACCCAACAACGCTCGACGACTTGCATGAATGCGCTCAAGGACGTGTCTCGAGTTTGGCTTGTGGCTAAGATGGTGCACACTCTCTTTGACTCAATCCTCGGCAACAAGGTCCTCGAGGAGCGTTTACAAAAAGCTGCCGGCAAGCGACACGCAAAGCCCAAGAACATGCAGCCAGCAAGGAATCCAATGTCACGCAGCAACAGCGATCTACAGAAGCGCAAGTTTGACGAAATGGAGTTCGGCTACACTGGAGGCCCACCAGCTGCTCAGATGTCCTATGAGCGCTCGAGACCACAATCTCCTGTCAATGCCCCTCGGGAACCTCCGCCAATGCCAGGACTCCCAGGCAACAATGCTAGCCCGTCCCTACGCCAAGACGCCTTTATGGGCACCTCTCGGACCAACACACGTCCTACCACGCCTTTCAACACCTACTCATATCCTGGCACACCACCAGACCTGTTCCTTCATACCCGCACATCACCAAACATCTCTCAAGATCTTTGGCAAAACTATCAGCCAGACCAACTTTTCCCACCAGACACGACGGGCATCTACCCTACAGAGAGTCCTGTACAACAAGCGACCATGGTCGATCCGGCTTTACGAGGAGCAGCGGGAGCACCCTCACAACAAGGCTATGCGAACTCAGCCCAACCACAACCTCATTATCAGCAGCCAGCGGCAGCGGCAGTGATGCAGCAACAGCAGTACCCTGGGCAACAGCAACCTGTACATCTACAGAACCCGTACGGCCAGATGACAGACAACGGTGAAAACCAGCAACGGGCAAATATGGATGACACATGGAGCAACAACAGTGGCTCCACGGGAGGTGGACCTATTGTACCGACTACGTTGAATGTCGGCGACTGGTTCGAGTTCTTCGGCATCCCGAACGGAGACATATCTGCACTGCATGCGCAGCAGTACTGATCGTCAATGGCCTTCCTCTTCCTTTGTCCTGTTCTGGCGAAACTACCCCCTTCTCCGGTCTATCTTTCGTGTCCTGCTTTCTCATGTAGGGGTGTCTGTCCCAGCGTGGCGAAAAGGGAAATGTTTTTGCATTGTTCAGGACAGAAATATCGACTTGTATGCATCTACTCATGTGTATTGTTTCATGGGTCGTGTCTGATGGGTTGGCACATGAGGTCTGGCGTGAGGAGAGAGTTATGTCAATAAAAACAGAGATACCCGTAGCTTTATGAGACTTTTCCATATATGTATACCTCTTATCGCATACGCTTCCCAACCCAAGATTTCAAACAAGATTTCTATTCATCTAGCCGCTGCATTAGTCTTTTCTGCCTTGTTTCGGATTCTCCAAACTGTTTGAAATTCTGGCAGCCCAAATCCAATTTCAGCTGCGCAAGTGACAATCTTCCGGATGCCGAACCCCAATCTTTGAGATGCGGTGACTCAAAATGCGGTCAATGTATGGTGCTGATTATGCCCCCATCGTAGACAAGCAAAGGCGTTGGCAAAACTGGCCATTCGAAAGCCTTTGCTGGCATTGACGCTCGTAGGTTTTAAGATTCTCCAAGGTTCGTGTTGTTCCAGCTGATGGAGCAAGACTCGCACATCAACAACAGCCAGTTCAAGTTTTGAGATGTAGCATGCGTCTGGCTAGGCTGAGAAGAAAGAGTTGTGGTAGTCTGAGTCAGTCTCATGACCAAGGTTGATACAAGACATCGATTTCGAAAGCAGCTTGCTACTCTCAACAGAAGCCAAACATTGACAAGTCTTGATCCATGAAATAGTATGAGTCGTCTTGGTAGCCGGAGCCGTCGGCCATAACTCCAGTCCCCGGCTGCTGTTGGGGATAGAATCCTCCTTCAATCAAGCCAGGCAAACCGCCTTGATTGTTCACCATTGAGTACAAATCTGTCATCAGTGCCGGTCGCGTGTACAATGATGGGTCGATATTGACAGGCAGTAGAGGATCGGCAGCTCCGATGTCAGTGGTAGCGGGCGCAAGACCAGCAGATTGGTCTTGTATGGTCTCCTCAGCACCACCTGCTTGCTGGCCAATCGTGCCAAAGAGTCTGGTGACATTACTGCGGCGAGACTCCAGAGACTTTTCGCTGCGCTGACGGATATATCTTGTCGTTGCGTCTTGCAGGTAAGTGATGATCTGCGCATAACGAGCAGCGTGAGGATCCCATTGTGCAAAGTGGTTGAGAATCTGCATTCCTTGTTTCAATCCGTCTTCAAGGGGTAAAAACTTGTCCTGATCGGCGAAGGTGGCGGCTCCAAGGACCAAAGAAGCGTTGCAAACGGAGTTGATGATAAAGGGTAGTCGGTGAGGGAGCGAGGAGTATTGCATCAAGGTCGATGCTATGTTGAGACTTCTCAGAGATGAGTCTACACATGCATCTGCATATGTCTTGATGGATGATTGATCCACCTGGTCGTTGTTCTCTAGATTCTGACCCGCTCGACTCATGTCTTTGATGATCTGAAAAGTAAGAAAAGGTCGTGTAAGCAAAATGATGGACCAATGGTAGGCACTGATGATGTGGCTAGCAGCCAGAGCCTTGGTCAACTTCTCTGGGTCTTCCTCGCTTGCGTCGAGATTGGCCAACTGTAATGATTCTGGTAGATCACTGGTCCAGTCTCTGTACTGGCCTGAAATCGAATCTGCAAGGCGTGTAGAGACTGCCTTCTTCATATAGACGTCGATAACAATGCGTTCGAAGATGTCGCAGAGAGCAAGCACCTTGTTCGAAAAGGGATCTGTGGATGTTATGTGTGCCACCTCCTCAGTAGCATCCTTGTCTCTCTCCATTGACAGATCGGAAGTGGCTGGCGGCCTGCCAAGTGACGCGCTGAGGAATATATCCAGTACGCGAACACTCTTCCAGATCCTTCGTCTTGCTCCGGCCTCTGTCTCGTCGAACAGCGCATNGGTGCTGCTCTTGTGCATCCCCAGTGCGAACGCGGCTCTGACAGCGATGCCAAACTGCATGAAAGCTGCGTTTCTCCGACATGCGCCGAGCATGTACATGGTGATGCAAAGGTAAGCCTGTATTGTCATAAGACTCGGGGCGTCGGTAAGAGTCATGACAGCCATATGTCGACCACGGTTGAAGTATTTCTCGGCGAGTGTTTGATCACCGTCTGGTGATGACACTTGCGCGCCAATAGCAAGTACCATATAGAAGATCGAAGACTTGAGATCATTGTCGCGAGCCTTATCAACTACCCATCGGTCCAGAAAGCGGTAGTATGTAGGCACATCAAAGATCTCGATAAGGCCACTAGTAGCAAGAAGATAATGTCGAGATAAACGCTTACACTCCTCGAGATCCAGATCCAGTGGTGACATGTCTGGTAATTGCATCGCGGTTTGAGGCGTTGTTTCGATGATCTGATGTCGTTGGGGGTCGTTTGTGAAGTCACAGTCTCCAATGGCAGATACGACCATACGCCTCACACTCTGCACGAAAGACAGACTGGCTGAATCGCCAACATACATGAATTTGCCATGCGTATCGCGAAGTAATCTTGCCAGCCTAGGCACCGGTGCCACAGACTCTGGTCGAGAGTGAGATTCCACGTTGGCTCTTGCGCCTCGCTCGTCGACACTGGCATTCAGGATACGATCAATAGCCATCTCGGCCTGACCTGTATCACTCAGATTTCCAGACAACGTGACACTGACCGGCGAAGGGTCAGAAACAGCACCCAAACTCGTAATGCTCGGCCGTGCGACATTGTTGTGCTGCGGAGGCGGCGGTGCATCACTCCCACCACGATTCCTCAACGCGTCGACCGAAGGAGATGTCTGAGTGACACTTGCAGGACTTCCGATGCTGGTCCCATTATTCTGGGGACCCCGAAGCAATCGAGCAGGCGTCTCGGAAAATTGGCATTCGGATTCCCTTCGTCGTCGGATGCAGATGCTGCACGGTCGGCTGCCATCACATCTCTCCTTTCTGCGCTTACAATTGTCGCAGGCCTGAGCGATACGACGTCTCTTTTCCGGTGCGACTATAGGTCGAGGCATCTCAGGGCCAATCCCTCGGACAGCTTTTATTCCGATAGAAAGAAAAAGGACAATATTTGTTGCAATGATATGCTTCGGAAGGTGCAACACAAAGTGCTTGTTTTCCCCACTTGTCGTTGACTCGAGCAAAGAGGGCTCGGGCGCGGAACCGGCGCAAACAAACCGACTTCCGAGTGCCAAGACACACACATAGCCAGTCTCATGCCAAGGTTGACTACAACATCTCAGGCAACTATCAGTACACTCTGTCGAGGAGCGGGAAATTGCAAGCATAGGAAGTGACTGATTTTCCGTGCAACACGATGACGATCTATCCAGAGTAGCAAGATTTGAACCAAAGTCAAGTCAGCACTAGAAATACTGAACAAACTCGCATGCGCATACGTCGACTTTCTCAAAATCAATATCTCAAAAGACAAAAACGTTCATATCTCTTCAAGTACTCGATCTGGATCCAAGAGACTCACAATGGTACGAGATGTATATACGGCAGATATTCTAATATGTCTCATGATCTCTCAAATGTGTTGGCGGTCTATTAGTCGACCATTTAGTAGTCACAAAGCTTGTTGAGGGTGTCACCCGGCTACTTGAAGGACCCTGAATGACATGGAGATCAAAGCTCAACCAATAGCAGAGTTGGCATTACCAAGCAGCTCTTGGAACCGTCGTCCATCACGTCGTCCATCAACAGACCATGGCCATCATCGGTTGTGGTTGTCACACAGTCCCGCAATGAAGTTAGGGAGATATTGGAAGTTGCCCCTCAATATCGAGTCTTGTGTCGGATGTGATCTGCATGTTTGGAACGGAAGGAGATGCTTCCGAGAGTCTAATACCGCTTTCCGATGGAAACACGCTCGACCCATTGCCCCGCCAAAGAAAGGCGGAAGTGGAAATGGAGCTCAGTATAAGAAGCTCGTGAGCCCCTCAATCGGGTTAAGAGAGTCACTATAATATCGGCATACCCAGACAACAGGCACTAGAGACTACATTCGACAAGCACTCTCACAACCAACAGCAGAAGCCTCGACTCAGACGTCGGAAGCAAGCTTCATTCAACCATGTCAGGAACAAGCGACACCAACAAACCACTGGAGCCAGAAGATACCCTCAACGGCGCCGGTCGCTACGATCCAAACTTCACAAACCATGTCATATCTTCAATCGGTCCGGCCACAGACCCTCGCCTCCGCAAAGTCATGACCTCTCTGATCAAACACGTCCATGATTTTGCCCGCGAGGTCGATCTCACTGTAGACGAATGGATGGCGGGTGTAGACATGATCAACCGCGCTGGTCAAATGTCTACCGACCGCCGCAATGAAGGCCAACTTCTGTGTGATGTCATTGGCCTCGAGAGTCTGGTTGATGAAATCACATTCAAAGCCGCCGCAGATGCGAAAGACGCGGTCACCCAAAGCGCAATCTTGGGTCCGTTTTTCCGCCATGATGCTCCTCTACGAAACATGGGTGATAGTATATCTTTCGACACACCAAAAGACGCAGAGGTCGCTTATATGCACGGCGTGGTGTATGATGCTGTCACCAAGAAACCCGTGGATGGAGCTGAGATCGACATCTGGCAAGCGTCCACGAACGGATTGTATGAACAGCAGGATTCAGATCAACAAGAACACAATCTTCGTGGAAAGTTTAAAACCGGAAAGGATGGAAGTTATGGATTTTATTGTATCCGACCGACTCCTTATCCAGTCCCTGATGACGGCCCGGCTGGTGAGCTGTTGAAAAAGCTGGACAGACATCCTTTCAGACCTGCGCATATTCATCTAATTGTAAGTTCGGCATGTTCTATCTCGTTCAAGCTCTTGCGATGCTAACGGTGATGGATCCAGGTTATTCGACAGGGGTACAAACCAATCACGACCCAGATTTTCGACGCAGAGTCCAAGTATCTAGACAACGATTCTGTTTTTGCGGTCAAGGACTCTCTGGTCGTCAAATTTGAGCCTCGGCAGAGAGACGAAAAGGCTGGCTTGGAGTTGAAGTACGATATCCTGCTTGGTCCGACCGAGTAAAGCAGTGAGTTATGAGAGCCACATGCACTATCACACGGAGCATCGGCATACAAATGTATGTTGTGGCAAAAGCCTGTCTTTTAGATCATTGCGACAAATTACTTCCTCTTCGTCTTTCCATCATAAGTATCATCAAGCATGTAAAATTTGTTCCTCTAGTAGAACCATCTGAATTCATCAGCAGCAGGTCCATCGCCCAACTTCTCCGTGGGCACATCAATAGCCCTCAAATTGACCCCTTGTGCTCTATCGCGACGGCGGTTATCACAGATCATCCACAAACCAAGCAAAAGAGTCAACACAATACCAGTGCCACCAAACGCAGCAGTGGTCGCCAATGCAGTCATGTACTTGGGCGCCTCTTGCTGAAGGAAGATATTGCTCGACACCACACCCATCAAGTTTGCCATCGGCACCGCAACGGAAGTAAGCACTGCTCTCTTGTTCTCGTCGGCGATGTTGTTGCAGTACCAGACATCCAGCAGTACTGAAGGCGCACTGGTGCCCCAGGTCATCATAAAAGTGGCAAAGTAAGCGACGGTCAATGAGGCGCTGACATCGATGGCTGAGTAAATGACGAAACCGCAGAAGGTGAAGAAGAATCCGAGAGCGATGAAGGGGAATCTCCAGCGTGTGAGATCGGAGGAGAATCCCAGGATGAGCAACATGACTGCGCCGGTGATGTTGGGGGCAACGGTGTAGAGGTTAGTCTTGATGGTTCCATAGCNCCTGTCATATGTGTCAGTATTGAGAGCAAGAATGATAGAGGAAGCGTAACATACCAATCGCTGTACAATCTGCGGAAGGAAGAGGTTGACCGATTGTAGCGGTACACCCAAGCAAATCTCGATAACCAAGAAGGCCCATGTGGTAGGGTGTTTGAAGATAGTCATAGCACGGCCCAACTTGAACTCCTCATTGACAACAGCCGAACTGTCCACCTGAATACGGTGAACGGCGATCTCTCTTTCCTCAGGGGTCAAGAAGTGTGCGTCGGCAGCGGAGAGAGGTAGGTACCAGAAGGCGATAGCTGAAACAATGATGGTGGCGGATCCCTCGATGATAAACAGATAGCGCCAGTGCGACAGAGCACCGCCGCGAATCTGAAATACGCCAAAAGAGAGAAGACCAGAGAAGGCGCTGGCGATTGATTGAGCGGCGTAGAAAATGGCGAGTCTGCGTGCCAGTTCACCTCTACGATAGAACCTTTGACAGCGTCAGTATATGTTTTCAGCATATCCAGGAGTCTAGAGATCAACTTACATGGTCTGATAGTAGATGACGAGAGGGAAGAATGCACTCTCGCACATACCCAAGAACCAACGGATAGCCATCAGTCCACCAAAGTTCTGCACAGCGACGACAAGAAGCGTGCAAGTACCGAATCCAAACATCATGCATGGCAACACTCTACTCGGTCCATACTTCTTTCCCAGAGCGGCGAGGAAAGGTGCAGTAAGAACGTACGGCACGTAGAAAATCGATAAAATGAGGTTGTATTGGTGGCCATGAAGTCCGAGATCTTTGGCCAGACCAGCTGTTTTGGCATTGCCCATGTTCGACTTGTCCAGAGAATTGAAGAGGTACATGACAGCGAGGAGAGGTAACAGATGGAGATCCAACTTCCATACCACTGCTCTCTCCTTCTTGGCGTCTATCGTCGTAATAAAACCAGTTTGTGTAATGGAGACATTGTCTTTGTTGATGCTGTCTAGCGATTTCCTGTCCTCGGGGTTGTTGTAGTGTGCAGACTCCATGTTTTGGGGAACTTGAGTGATATTAGGTGGAATTAAAAAGCTGTCGAAAAGGCACTGCGATAGAGCAGCACATCCTCCTTATGAACTACATATTCATGCGACATTGTTATCTTGCGTCCCAATTCTTTCCGAAAGCTTGCAAACGTTGATCCCAGCAAGAGTCTCCAACTGCAACATTGCAGTGATAAGGGCACAAAGGGCAGCAAATGATAGGAACACGATAAGATCCGATGCCGGCTTTTAACGGGATCTGTGGGATAGCGACACGGCGTGGACGACAGTCATAACCACACCTGATAGCGTCCTTGAAACTTCGCGAGTTGGTCTGTCAGCTTCGCATGTTGCTGGAACAAGAGGTTGATATCGCTGCGACATGCGACACGCGCGTGGAGATGGTCAACGAAAGTTTATCTGACAAGTTTCGTCGAGTAAAAGAAATTCTTTAAGTTGGCCGACGGCGCGGAAAACGTTATTGGCTGTCCATTTTAGCCGACAAAGAAAACAACATCAGGGCCCATCATGACCTCTGCTCCTTGAATAACACAGGTCACTTTGCTGCAGACGGTCTTGCAAGAGCCGTAGAACTTGAGATAGACCGAGAGCCCATGGAATTCATGCAGAATACTGCGGCCCTGCAGTCGAGACCGCGACCAGGACACGAAGAATTTTCGGCCATGCCAAACTGTGTGTCTCTTGCTACAGTGGCCGGATAAAACAATCAAGACTTTCCTCTCTCCAGGTCTCTCAGCTTTCTGCGAAGATCCCATCTCGTCGCCACCTTGTTCTTGCGGTCAACAAGACTGTCCTTCATCTCCGAACCTTTCTGAGATATTGTTGCAGTCTTGAATGCCATCCAGGCACCGAGTATCGTCACGAGTGTTAGAGGAAGTGTGACCTGTAGCCATCTCATCATGGCGAGATGGGAGTAGCTCGTTGTACTAGTTCCAGTTCCAGATTCGGTTGAGTTGTCGTTCTGGTAATTGACGACATCTGTGCTGAAGAATGTCTACATGTGTTTGTCAGTAGCGGCTCTTGGTAGATATTCGTATGCTTTGCTTACCGAAACAAATGTCGCAGGCAAGTAGACGAGGGTGACAATAGTGATGATACGCATCACAACTGCTTCCTTTTCCAGGTTGTGGTTCAGCTGTTCTGTTCTCTCCGCCATCTGATTCTGGAAGTGTTGGGCCANCCTGGGACTGTTAGGAACGTGATAATTAGCCACAGAAGGTACTATTGCACCCACCAGATTTTTTCTGTCGCCGATGACTTCAGCAAGCAGATTGAGTCGGCGGACCTGCATCTTGATCCAGACAATGTTGCCATCCACATCCGCTGCAAATCTCTGTATGCTTTTCTGGCATTCAAACTTCAAAGGAAAGTCTTCATTTGCCAGAAGTTTGACATAGTATGTTTGCAGCGCAGTCATGACATCAGCATTTGATTCCAACAGCATCGTTGCTTGGCTTGTCTTCTCTTTCCATATCTGAATTTCTTGTAGATCTCTGGGTCTGTATGTTGGGCGCGAGGTCGTGGATTCTTGTGAGCCGTAAAGAGCCAAGGAGGTCTACCAATGTTTTTGTTAGATCTGAACGGCAGCCCAGTGGTTTAACGAGCTTACATTTGACTCGAGTCCGTCTTCCAACCAGTCAATATATTGCCTCCAATCCTCTGTGGACCAGTGGTAGAACATCCGATGTACTTCTAGACTTGTTTTGAAGCAGTCTTGTGAACTCTCGAAAGATAGTGCGGGTGATTGTTTCGTAAGTTGGTCAAATCTCTCAAGTATATCTTTTCGGCCTTTAGTGACAATCCACACTGCAGTGCCATGAACAACATCGAATTGATGATGGATCGCAGCTTGTCGGACGGACCACTCGGTTATCTTGCCATCCCGCCCCTTTGTGGGAGCCACTCCTCTAAGGTTATAACACATTTGATACTGTCGCCAGCTGCGGCCAACCATCTTTGGAGCTTGTAAGTTATCTTCGATCATGGTCTGATGGCAGAAGCCAGCGAAATATTGCCCCCGGGGATTTCCTTGTGCGCCAAAAGCATGGAGAAAGTCGAGGTATCCCGGAGTCACTTGGTGATATGTCAAGATTTGAGTGAGCATATTATAGGTCACGCGCAGTCTAGCGCGAGAATCTCCAGCGTAAATATATCTGCGCAAAGCTGTCAGGCTAGGAAAAGCTCAAGTGCTCGGACTCGTACATGAAGCGGCATCTCGGGTGGTTGATCTGCTGCTTTATGGCTGTCGGATCTTGTTTGTCAAGAACATTCTCAAAGAATGTATTCAGCTGTGCTGATGTTTTGATATCATATTCTTGCAAAGCTAAAGGAAGAAGTCAGAAGTGCTTTGAACATGTTGAGTTACTTTAGCATACCACGTCCATGCCCTGGTTTGAGATAGATATCTCGAATAGGCAAGTCGACTCCTTTATCGTTCTCAAGGCAAAGTCTGCTGCGGACACCCGCAAACTTGCTATCATGATCTTGAAGTTCCCATGGATAAGATTTGGTAGCTTCAGAAATGAGGTTTTGCGGATACTGCGCATGGTTCACACATGACTGGAAAAATCGGCTTGGAGGAGTTTGCTGCATGATCCCTGGAGTCTTGCGCTGGATTGTGGATTACAGCCAGGTCCGAGTATGTTCTCTGCATATATATTTGCATCCACTCATATCGTGACAAGGGCTGTGATCACGATAGCCCGGCTATGTGCAGTGCAATCCAGCCTCAGCCACAGCCATAATCAGATACGTACAAGCTTGTCGCCGAGCCCTGCAAAGAGCGGCCGGAGCCTTATCCGCAGCCAGGATAATTATAGAAGACGTATGGCTGTGCATTTATATACTTGTCCCTTCGCCCCATAATTACCCCGTTTCCTTGAATACTGTATCACACGATCATTTGGATCCGCTCAGCGCCAATTCAGAAACCATGCAAGAGCCTGTTCATTACTAGACATCTGCGGCCCGACAGTTTGCGATCCAATCTTTCTTCTCCTACCCATATATATTAGAGCCTGGCCAAAGCGAAGAAGATTTCGGATTGGGTACCTGTGTGAGCTCGCGAGGCACCTCAAACTGCCATCGATCACCGATCTATCGTTGTAGAGCACGTGTCAGTCAACGGTGGGGTATGCTTTGTTGATAAAGATATCGCACTCTTTCTTCATTCCATCTCGCCCAACCAGGGTAGATCTCTTGCAAGAAACCTCGAAGCGTATCCCACTCAAGTTTGTATGCTGAATATGTTGCTTGGTGTGTTGAAATGATTGGGCTAGTCGGAACAGACCCCCTCCTCCATGAAGGTCGTCTGGAGGCCATGATGAGGAATGCTGGTGGGTGAGTCCTAGGTGCCGAGCAGACAAAAGATGATAGAGTCGAAGATCACGAGCCCGAAGCTTCAAGTATGTATCAATGAAGAAGAAAGCAAGATCTGCTTTGCCGATAGTGCATATTAAAACCCATTAGGGTCCATTTGGGCAGCCATGGTTGGCATAGTGTTCATTCTGAATGTGGTAACAACTTCCATTCGCTACAATTCTAATATATGTCGAGGTGCTAGTGTTCACAGCATAGCTGGACCATTACACGTAATTGGCAGGGATCAGCGTGTAGGGCAGCACGGCCTTGCATGGTGACGATGCCTGGGTAGTGAGAGTAAGTTATCACATGCAAAGACAAAGCCAAGAAAGATGGCTAGGGTCACGCGCTGATTGTCAATAGTGTGAGATGATCTGCAGAGGAATGGTCTCGCACAGCCTGGACCCGTATACCACATAGCATTAATTGCAGCGGTATGACGACTCGAGCGTGAAATGCTGCGCAATTCACACTTTTACGTGGATAAAAATTTAGAAATCGGAGACCTTATATTTGAGGTATCAAGAAAGCTCAGAGCGTTTCTCAGGTCTGCAACCATTCCCGGTCGTCTGGTGGAAGCGCTTAGCTGCACTTGCTTCCCATACTTCATCACGAAATATCGTTTTGCTGCAGCACGCCGGATTTGGACGAGGCAATGCAATGCAAGTTGATTACCCTAAAGGGCTGAATTTCCAGGCTGTGCATAACCAGGCGGAAAGCTGCATGAATTCACTGATCCAATATTCCCTTCGAAAAGTGCTGCATCTCGTCTGTGATTGTTGTCCAACATGTAACCACCGTGGGCTCCATCTTTCTTGCCAGAGGAGTTCCTGCAAGAAAACAGACAGATCTTCATACTGCTCATTTTGCTGAAGTAGAGTGCCGTACTTTTGAGGATGAGCTCTCGTAATCGTCAGGTATCTTCCCAGCAAAGCATTGGCTTGTGAACGACTCTACTGATTATCAGCTAGAGAGGTTCTAGGGCCATCGAACAAATCAGTCGCAACGCACAATATGGCTTGTAAGAATCGCTTTCAATGTGTNNTCTCGACTGTGGCACAGCTGATAGTNNCGAATGTCACAGCATTATTAATCCCTTATCGGCAATGGACGATGCGACATTCCTCAAACACGTCGAGGACTTCCACGAGAAGAAAAAATTGAAAGAGGTGGTCGACTTTAAGACATTCGAGCGAGGAGCGCGGCTGGCCGTGAGTCGTCGGGAACTAGAGAAATATCATCCGGATACGATGACCGACAAGGAAAAGATGGAACTAGACTCGGAAGACGCTGGTGAATTAAGATCTCTTACTAAGGCTCTGAGAGTGTTGCTTTTCACCTGCGCGATAGGAGCTGTAGTACAGTGAGTTCCTCTACTTGGCCTAAGACTAAAACAGTGGAAGCTGAATGAGACGAAGNNAGGCTGGAGTCAGGAGAGTATCGTTGGAGCAAACATACAATGGCCCGAAGCTCTACACATCGCCAACACCGGAGACATCGTCGGAAGTCCGCAATGGAACTATTTCAGTCACAAGGCCATGGGTAACTCGGACAAAGGACTACGTTATTTCNNGGGTATGGAGAATGCGCCGCAGACTCGAGTCTCTGAGCTGATAGCTTGCAGCATTGTCAATGCGATGCCATATTTCGCAGCGAGTGTCCTTGGAGCATGGGTCTCGGACCCGATTACCTATGTTTACGGAAGGTAAGTACTCGTGGAATCTACTTTGATGCACAAGCTGAATATGATGAGACGTACTGCGCTGTTCTTTGCTGCTGTTTGCTCTTTGGCCGGACCTATTGGGTCTGCCTATTGCAATGAATGGTGGGTGGCTTATGACACTTTGTATGGGAGAACCCCTAATTTTATGTGTAACAGGTATCAGTTACTCGTGTGCCGGCTCATACAAGGAATAGGCATGGGCGCAAAGGCTTCTGTGTAAGCTCCACATGTGAACATCAGCAAGCTGTGGTCATTAATTCAAGCCAGAGTACCAGTCATTGAGAGTGAGGTTGCTCCTCCAAAGCTACGAGGAAGACTTCTGGTGTCATGGCAGACGTTTGTAGCAGTTGGCATCTTTCTCGGTGCCTCAGCTAATCTTATCTTCCATGGACACTGGCGATTGCAGATCGGCATGGCGTTCATCCCGGCCGTGCCTCTATTATGTCTCTGTTACGTGGTTCCTGAGTACGTTTGGAAAACCCCATTACTTCTATATCCGAATACTGATTCTTATAGATCACCTCGTTGGCTCATGCGAAAGAAGCAGTATAGAAAGGCTTATCTAGGTTTACTACAGTTAAGAGCGACTCCGTTGCAAGCCGCACGTGAGTATCAGGTTCACTCCAGCCATCGTGTTGCTAACAATAGTCTGATTAGGNNAGATATATTCCTGGTGTACGTGCAATCGCATGTTGAGGCACTTTTGTTTGCAGGCGAAGAGGTCACCACCGATGTCCTCTCAGAAAGACTTGATCACGACTTGGAAAATGATCTGGCACCTGCTTCGAAGTTTCATGAGCTATGCAGCAGAGTGTATGAGTTCTTCTCAAATATCTTCGGCCTGTTCCGCGATGGCCGTAATCGACGGGCTGTTGTAGCCTCTGGTGTAGTCATGATTGCGCAGTATTTCTCACAGACCCAAGCCNNCCTTCAAGTTTGTACTGATACTTTCAAGACAGTTCTCAGGCATAAATATCTTTGCCTTTCTCGCAACCACTGTCCTTCACGCATCAAAGCCAACAAACACTCTTTGGATGGCATTTGGGTANNAGTCAAGTGGCTTGTTTCTGACAAGATTNNGTTCTCACAAAACTTTACTCCCAGATTCGCCGCAAGTAACGCAGTATTCTCGCCATTAGCCTACTTTCTGATCGACAGGATTGGACGCCGTGCTCTTCTTTTGACATCTCTGTTTGCGATGCTACCTTTTCTTCTCCTGACCGGGCATTTCCTAGACAGAAACGATATCGCTGCCTCGGCCACATTGATCATCATATATACTGCCTTGTACAGTCCTGGAGCAGGCGTGAGTGTTTCATATCTTAAAGCGCAAGGGAACAACTCTGACTTCCGTCCATAGGTCATACCATTCATGTACTCCTCGGAGATATTTCCGCAAAAGTACCGTGAAGTCGGGATGTCTCTGGCGGTTGCGATCAATCTCAGCTTCGCAGGTGCGCTTGCCATGGCAGTACCTCAGTATCAGCACAGACTCGACGGTGCTACTCGAGACAATCAACAGCACCTGAAGCTGCTGGGATCATTTGCGATACTCGACTTTGTTGCTGCGATACTCGTTTGGCTCTTTATGCGGTATCCCGAGAAGGCCGTGGAGCTCGAGGATATGAACGTGCGTAATCGCAAAGTTGTCCCAACCTGCAAATTTGATTGAGCTGACACCGAAACAGTTTGTGTTCGGCGCATCAACGATTGACTATATACGCTATCAGATTCAGACCACACTCCGCTTAGGTCCTCGGTCAGAACGAGGCCGTACCTTTGAACATTGGCAAGAGGACCACTTGAACAGAACTTCTGTTGGAGCATACGAGTTACCGCACCTCCCAACTACCCTTGATTTTGCCCCATCTTAGGGTAGAACCATCTTCCAAGCGTTGAGGATATTCGATCTGGAGGCTGTACGGAAAGGAGAAAAGAGCAATCGAGAGGAAATAGAACGAGCACGTTGGACAGACATCTGTGAGGCGCTATTACACAAAGATAGGGCGTTGTATATATCTCTGAATGATAGATTTTATCAGATGGATGTCGGAGGTTGATATATATGTCTACTCAGAAGGCAGATGGGAATTCAGACGGTCAGCTTCAGCATATTAGTGTGATTGCGATTTTAGAAACATTACTAGTAGTATTACAGCCACCCTTCACCAGGTCCTATCTAGAGAAGATTGAGAATCTTCCCTTCTGGGTTGATCGCCCAATCTAGTCTGGACTTCATTTCGGACGGGACGGGGTAGGTTGGGTAGGTACCCCTAAGAACGTCCCGATGCCTCATTGTGGGATGGTATCTCATCAAGGCAGAGACCACACGATGGTTTCCCCTCCTCATAGCTTCGACAAGTGGCGAATCTCCGAGGCCCTCTGCCACACCGTCGACTGACGCTCCATCGTATAGTAGTTTCTCTGCTGCCTCTGGCATACCCGTGTGAGCACAGAAGAATAGACNATGTTCCTGGCTATCTGACCAATCTATCCAGCCAGGATAAGACTGGGGATCAGGTTTATAGTACAAAACCCTTGTGAGTGTGTCCAAGAATTGTGGAGATTCTCCTCTGCCTCTACCGTGTTGTCCCTTGATCAGGTGGTGAAGCAGTGTCTTTTGCTCATTGTCTTTTCTCCATAGCTCTGACTGTTCGATCAACAAATCCACTACAGCCAGATGATTGTGTTTCGCGGCAACCATGATGAGTGTGCGTCCACGATTGTCGCGCTCGTTGGCTAATCCGGGGCCTCTTGACACGAGGAGCTCTGTGAGGGCGTCGATGTTTGCTGTGCTGACATGGCTCCATAATCTCCTGAGTACGTCTGCTTCTGGATCTTGAGCGGTTGATGGCCGTGGCGACGTCTCATGGTTGATGGTCGGTGGTGAAGACACTAGCCCGAGTTCAGGTGTTGCATTCCCATCTGTCACTTNCTGTTGGTTGTGTGATGGGTGTCTGAGGCCTTCTGATTGCTCGTCACTGGATGATTCCGTCGCAATATTAGACCCAACAAGTTCTGGTAATCTTCCAGGTCTTGCGCTTTCTGCCAGGGAAGTGGAGGCTGATGGTACCAGAGTATGGGATAAGTTGCCGACAATTGGCGGTTTGGCAGTTCCTTGGAGGCTGAAGCCAGATGTAGAAGGCCTCTCTAAACGCTCAATGGGCCGTAGTTCTGCGATTGCTGGCACCGAGCCTATAGGAACCGTTCCATCGCTTCCATTATGTGTCAGACTTTCATACAAGCCCACCAAATCATCAGAACGAGCCTCAACGTATCTTAGAGCTTCAGAGAGTTCCTCATCTGTTGAAGCTTCAGTTTGAGAGTCTTGAGCTTCCAAGAGAATTTGATCCAGTCTCTCGCGCAACTTTTGTGATTTTAACCGAGCACCAGGATCCTTTAATAAGAGATCGACGTCCACCATCTCCAGTATTCGATTTGTGATATGGTCAGATGGGCGTATGAGCTGTCTCAAGTGGGCATGCCATTTCTTGATATGTGGCAGGACGTCGTTGCCATCGTGGAAAGCATCTGGAGCGTGACGTGCGTGGCTTAGCTTCTTACAAGCCTCAGATCTGTATCTCTGGTACTCAAGGACGCCTTTGATGCCTTTAACCATCCATGTCGCAGCAATCGACAGCACACAACCAAATGACCATGTATCAACTGTCTGGAGAACAAAATTTCCTGGATGAACAGTCTCGGGTGCCCCTGTAAGCTGTCAGTCATTGAGCCTAGATTCACAGGTGTATAAGATACCCCAGGTCTGTGTGCATTCCTTCAGCTGAGCTCTTGCTGACTCCTCTGGAGACTCTGCGCGGAAGACAGTAAACCCATAGTCGGCGAGCTTCCACTCCTTGCCAACGCGTAGGAGATTCCGCGGCTTGATATCACCGTGCCATCTGTATCGATCTGATTAGAAGCATACAGACAAACATAGGCGTTATGACATACCNNCGGACCATCTTGTTCCTTCGTGATCAAAATTATGAAGGGTTTCGATGGCTTCTGCAATTTCACGAAACTCCGCCCATTGTGAGTGCACTTCTCTCGTAAGCTGGGGAGGATCGAATGCCATGAAAAATTCATGTAGATTCATGTTGGCAAACTCGAGCAGTATATTGTAGTATTCGTTTCCGTGTTCATCGATAAAGTTGTATGAGCCAAGACATCGCAGCATGCCTTTCTTGTCGCGGATGCCTGTAAAAGCTCGTCTCTCTTGGCTGTAAGTGTTCCATCGAGTATTGTGAATTCTCTTGATGGCCAACCTATAGCACTGNNCATATCATCAGATGGTATGTATGTAACATGGCAGGGGTTTGCGTACTGGTCCATAATTTCCACCATCCACCTGATCACCCAGATATTGTTTGATGCTGTCCAAAACAAATGCTTCCTGGATTATAGCGAGGTATACAACGGCTGTAGCTCCGGGCTCAGTAACGGCCCACTGCTGACAGAGTGGTATGTAGAGTTTGTTGCCAAACGTTTCGTTTTCGAGCTTTGAACCAAGGATTTGCGNGGAAAACTCCCATCTTGAGCTTTCCAAGGATTTTGCCAGCTGTTCGAAGCCGGCATGGTACTCCCTACTATATTGAACAAACTCGTCTCTCAAAGCTCTGTAGCGACGAANGGAGTATCCAGTTCCAGTGTTTCGAATCTTGGCGTCATCGAATCCGGCACGATGGAAGATGTGCATAAGTCGGCCATGACCCTCTTTCACCAACCAGCTGAAGACAAGTTTACTACCCTGGAGTACAGTCGATGCAGATCCATGAAAAAGCGTTCTGATGGGATCTATCTCATCAAATAGCAGCACACCATTCGATGTGGGCGACCGAATATCCCCCAACCACTCTTTGAGTAGACAGGTCTTTATGAAGGGCTTTAGGCAGCCGCAATTCTCGTGTCTATTCAGGTTGCATTGGGGTTCGACCCTCCAGTCATTGTTCAGCTTGTTTTTGAAAGTCTCCCGGATGCTCTCAGTCGCGGAGGTCGACATGGCCTAGCCAGCTGGAAAGGACTCCAGATCGCGGCGGGGTACCACTGCAGAAAACGCGCGCATACCAACGACGCGTTCAGTCCAAAATGCTCCGCGGGCAAGCAATCAGCATCCAAGATGTCCAGGCAGGGGCACAGAAAACGTGATGAGCAATGTGACGGGAGAAAAAACCGAGGCAAGGCTACACACCGCAGACTTATCACTCACAGGTTGGCACCTGACTTGCAGTAATCACCGGGCTTCGCCACGCGAGGCTGTTGCATATGAGTTGTCCAGTGATTGGATCTACGTCTTCGGCTATAGATGAGCCGACTTTCCCCACGAAAGGCTGTGCCGCACGCGCAGACACGCAAGCGCGGTTCTCAGAACCGCCGAGGACATCTGAAAGATAATTACAAACAATGAAGGTTGTAAGACGAGTATGTGATGAATACGTTTCAACATTGTAGGTATGAGACAATATATACAGATTGGCCAGACACATTGCATGGCTTACTTCTCCCTGGCCATGTATGCTCTCCACTTGTGGTTGAAGAAATAAACGGGAATGCCAAGCAAGAAAATGCCAACATATATGCCGAAAAGAATCATGAAAGCAGTCAAGTAGTTGAAAGCGTGCACCATTGGTACAATACCAAAGCTAGCACCAAAGGAAATGATGTTCTTGACTCCAATAACAACAACCAAGGCCGGTCCAGGGTTTTTAGGGAATGCCTCGGAGCCAAAGTGTGTGGTAGTTATCAGGACAACGATAAAGGCAAACTCGTAAAGTGTCCAACCCATGATGATGCCCCAAGAGGAGTGGTTCTCTGGATCGTTTGCGGTGATGGCGAAGATGATGATGCCGATCGCGCCGACGAAGAAAGGCATGATGAGTTGAATCAGAGTGTCCTCGGGAACGTGTACGCCGTTGCGACGCTTAGCAAGCCAGAGATTCATCTTGTCGCCGATGTAACCAGCGTAGAACATTGCCGCGAGAGCTGCAGGGAAAATGCCGACATTGACGAGTCCGATTGACTTTTCCGACCAGTGAAACCCGGTTGTCAAGATTGAAGCATAAACAAGCGACATGGCGATACCCACACCAAGGGCAATGGAGGACACCAAGATTGCGTAGATGACACCAGGAGAACTGCAGGCTTGCAGCATCTTGACATTCGCACCAAGACCAAGCTTGATGGCGTTAGGTGCAACACCACTGGAGGGGTTGAGGTGTTGAAGGTAGGTCTTCTGACGGTACTCTTGAGTGTCGGACTGCTGCACGTCACCGAGGCGTTCGCGAGCTTCGGCGTCGGTGAGGAAGTGAGTGACACCCCATTCGTCAGTAAAGACGACCTGGCCGTTCATTGAAGCAGGCGATCTAGTGTACCTGGTTTCAGCCAACAGGAAGAAGGCAACAACCATACCGCCGGCAGCGAAGATACCCAAGACCCAGTAGAAGTATCTCCAGGAAGTGGCAGCGACCAGGTAGGAGCAGCTGATACCAAAGACAGTATTGATAAGATTCTGAGTACCCCAGTAGATGCCAAAGTATAAGCCGCGTTCGTCCACGAAAGACATGTCGGTGATGATCAGAGGCAACACAGATTCAGTCGCTCCCGCCGCGATGCCCTGGAGGATACGGCAAGCCATGTGTGTGTTGTACGAGTTGCTGGCACCGGCGCCGAATGTTGAACCAAGCAAGAGAATGCAACATCCCAAGAAGATGGGTCGTCGGCCAAACATCATGGATAGAGGAAGAATGAGGAAACTGCCTATTCATGTCCGTTAGGAGATGATTTGTTGGGAGGTAATGTTCAGCTTACCGAATGCCATGACCAAAGAGGGGTAAGTCGTGAGGTTAACAACTTCTTGGACAGTCTTTCCGGCAGGAGCGTAAAGACCGATGAACACTCCGAGAATAGGTCCAAGACCACCAACAAGGACCAGGGAGAAGATCGAAAACCAGCAGCAGCAAATCAAGATGCCCAGTTTTCTCCACTTTGAGTAGTTGAGAGGATCATTAGGATCGCTGGACGGGATGGGGATTCTTCTGACTTCGCCGATGGTGTTAATGAGTTGGAGATCACCGTTCGCGGGCTGCTGTTGATCTGAAAAGCCTTTCTCAGGCATCTCCATGTGGTCTGCTACTATTGTCGCCTTCTCATGGTCCATGGTAGATGTCATGATATAGCAAGGCGACTCGCTGACGGGAAGATAGTCTGAACGGGGTGAAGATGGGAAAGTAGGGGAAAGGCCGTGTTGCTGTGGATATTGAGACCTGGGTCGCGGCCGGCGTATTATAGCCCTGTCGGATCCTACTCACAAGCGCTCTCTCGACAGAGTGCTCCACAAGATGGTGTGGGGTCCCCAGGTGGAGGAAGAGAGTACGTCCCATGGGGACTTTGTTGAGGTCGAGGCCAAACTCACTCGATCTGATGCGTAAGCCACAATCCGAGCCGTCGGTTCGGCCTACCGAGGGGGAGGGGCACAGACTTGTGAACGTTACCCCTTCTCGAAGTGTATTTCGTGTAGAGCTACTCAAATCATACAGCACTCGAGTTATACAGCAGCTTCTGCAATGTATGCACATCCTGTCGACTTATCCTAGACACTTCTCTAGCTTACCTCGACTGTGATCCTGGGAGTCCATACGTCGCTCGTTATCGCTACTGGGGGTAGAAAATGGGCAAGACAGCAGCAAAGGCTGGGAACCGTGAAAGACGGAGCGTTATAACGAACCGAACGAATCAAGATGAGTTGAGCTGAATCGAGCTGAACCGAGACACCTGTTGAGGGGAAGGAAGATCGTCGGCACATCTCGTGTGGCCAACCAATCAGACTTCTCAAAATTACCCCGCATTCGCTCCTTGCATCGCCAAACCATTCTCCCGAGGTTCCTCTCTTCATCCTCCCAGTGGAGTGCCAATCGTGGCGTCCAGACAGACTGTCCCGATAACATGGAGCCTTGACAAGTCCGGCTCGCGATATTGGATCCTATCCTGCTCTACGTCGACCGAAAGGACCTCGCATGTCTACCGACCACCCCATGTCTTCGGATGTTACGAACCGACCGCAGAAACGCGTTCGCCTTTCCCGAGCCTGCAACAAATGTCGATCTCGGAAAGTGCGTTGTGACGAGCGCCAGCCAGCTTGTACCAACTGCGTTCGAGCAGGAGTGGAATGCATCACCACGGATCCAAACAACCCTGACCAGGTCGCCACTCATGCTCGCCGGAGAGCCGGTACGGGTCTCGCGACCTCACCTAGCACAACTGCTCCGTCGCCTTCAGCTGACCGCGTGAGCGCGGCAGCGGACTCCTTAGAGTCCAATGCCAACGCGTCACAAAAGCCTGCCTGGCATTCAAGCACTCCACTAAATCAGGGTGTAACCAATATCTCGGGCTCTCGAATGGCCATTAGTGGCCTTGTGCACAGATCAGATCCTCAAAATGATCAGTTTGATCAGTTCTCGAGACCAATGGTCGAACCTGCCCTACAGTCCGTCATGATTGACAACGGTCATAGCCCTGGGTTTGCTATGAATTCTGTGAGTGCCACCGAACGGAAGTATCTAGGCTCGACAAGTTTGCAAGTCTTCTCGCAGTGGCTAGATATGACGTTTCACGTCTCTCCTACAGGTCTCTCAAGTTCTTTCCAACATGGCATGAGGTTCTGCGAGGAGATGGACTTACCTCCAGATCTCCACATGCCTCCGATGCCCTGTGGGTGGCAAGAGTATGTCGTAGCATTTTTCTCAGGGGTCGGATTGCTATTTCCAATTGTCTCAGCAGAAAGCATCACTTCAGCAATACAATATATACATCAGCAGGACCCGAGGGCGCTTCCGGTCTCTCAAAGGCCGCTCATTGCAACAATGTATGCTATCCTCGCTATCGGAGCCGACTCTATTGGCCACACTACTCTAGGTCTTGACCTCATCACCGCAGCATACTCTTTGTATGCTTACCTTGTTGCTCAGCCGTATCTACAATCAGCTCAAGCCTTGATACTCATCTGCTTAGCTTTGAGAGGCCGTAATAAGGACGGTGCTGGTTCACAAGCGCTAGGTCAAGCCATTCGAATCTTGCATACTCTCGGCTTGCACAGAAAACTGAACGGATATGGCAATCTTGACCGAGAGCAGACGGAAGTTGTGAGACTGGGTGTCCATACCTGGTGGAGTGCCTACTGTCTCGATCGTATGATGAGCTTGGAAACTGGCCGTCCTCCACAGGTTCAAGACGAGGACATCGATCAATCGAGAGATCTCCAGACCACAGACTTACAAGATCTGGCACCTTTGCAAGCTCTACTCAATCTTGGCTCCATACAAGGGAGTATATGTAGGCATTTGGCTACGACAAAACTTCCGACCATCACGACAGTCTTAGAAGCACAGTCCCGCTTAGACCAATCTTTGATCGAGTGGCAGAACAGTCTGCCTGCTAAATTACGTTGCGATGGAGACATTACCATCAACGACCCGGATCTTGCTCTTCCTCGAGCGTTTTTGAGTATTCAACTTCATACAACCATGATCAACCTTCATCGAGCTGCATTGTTGATGGACAAAGAGATCCACCAGGCAAATCTTGCTCGTTACGATCTTGGCAAAGCCAATGCGAAGCGCTTAGCATCAAGCGACTCGATATGTGCAAACTCGGCTAGAGCCATCATCACTGCGTTCTTACAAACTCGAGACATTACAAGAAACTCAAGACTGCAAACAATGACTGGACCCCTGATGGCCATTTATGTGCTATCGATCAACACACTGAAGAACGCGACCTCGTGGTCCGCTCGCTCCGACGTTGGCCTTATTTACTCGGCTGCGGAGGCAGTAGAACAGAGATACACCGCAGACGGACAAGATCCTGGATTCTACACACTCTTGAAGACCTTGAAACAGTTTGCGTCTCGTGACACGCTTTCTCCAAGGAGTCTGACGAATTCGAGAGTGCCAACAAGAAGGACTTCGCCACAGATCAATAATTCCAGATTCACGCCTCAACCAGGATTTGCTGACCTTAACCACGACCACAGTGCGATGCGGCTGAACCATATTCAGGACCCAAATTTGTCAGATGAATGGGATCTACTTTTCCCGCGCTTGTATGTAGGCGACTTTGCTCTGAATGCTGAAGCATTGGAAGGGATGGACATTGAGCACTTGATGGGAATTCCGCACCTATCTTTTGACGAGCCGCATTGAGTGCTCGAGCATTATACTTTTGTATCAGCTAATACAACCACGATCTTTTACGTTCTCAAGTCATCAAAGATCTTGATGCCATCCAATTTACACGGTTGCTTTGGAGCTCCACCAATGCTCACGAAAAGTCGGTTGGATGCTGTTCACTCTCGAAGACCGTTCTCGGATCTCTCGACAAAAGGTCAGGGTCTTCTGGGGAGAAATACGTTTCGTCAAACTACCTGGATATACAGCCAAACTCCGAAGACAAATCAAACTTTGAGCGAACGAGAGTCCCAAATCACTGCCCCAATCTTCCGTCGTCTCTATGCTTTGATGTAAGGAATACCCGTGAGACGATATGCGCGCTCACTCAACTGAGGCTTGTTGACAGGCTCGGTTCTGTTGTAAGGATCAAGCTCACCGTTTCTCTTGGCTTGGTTTCTTCCTGTAACCTGGCAGTTGGGCCAGTGGGTGGTGCCGAACCAACCCTCGAAAGCGACCTTCTTGCGCTTCAAATCCTCTTCAGTTGCGTCGGCAACGGGCATGTAACAAGTGTACACACAGAAGCGATTCTGATCTGTGGTAGAGCTGAGGTTGTAGTGTGGTACTCGAGAGTCCCAGAGCAAAAGGTCACCTGGCTCTGCAGATACCTTCACCCATTCAAGACCTTTCTCCTCGAACCACTTCATTCCATTGTCGGTGAAGCCATACCACTCGGGGTTCCAGGCAGGAATGTGCTCGTTGCGTTCCTTCTCGGGAAATCCAACTTCTTGGTGGAATTGCTCGCTGTACAGATGGGCACCCTTGCACACAATGAGACCACCGTCGTCAGGTCCGTTGGGGAGGATGTTTACAAGACCTTGCAAGCAGCGGAAACCATTCTTGGTGGGGTCTTGGTCCTGGTGGGGCCATGGCGTGTTGGGAGCCAAGTCCTTGCGACCAGTCAGGCCGAAATTGACAGCATCGAAAGAGACGATCAGGTCTTCGGTCTTCAACCATTGTTCGAATGCTCCGACGACGCCAGGCTCCGACCGAATCTCCCAAACGAAGTCTTCATGTGCAATGGCGTAGTCGAGGCACATACCCTTGTTGTTGATCTCAGGTAAGTGTTGAGCAATCCATGTGGAGCGATCGTTTCTGTCGAAACCGAGGTTNNACTACAGACAGAGTCAGTCGCTTGTGTGATTGAGGTAATCAATAGTTTTCTTGTTGACATACAAGTCCTCGAGATATTGGTACATGCGCTGGGCGTATTCGGCAGCCTTTTCCTTTGCGACGGCGCCTTTGACCACGGCATAACCATCTCTAGCCAGATCGGCCTGCCAGTCGTTGACAGGGCTGTTGCTGGCTTTCAGACGGAGCTGTTCAGCTACCGAGATTTGTGTTGTTGTTTGAGTCGACATAGCGAATTTGGATGTGTATGTTTTGGTGTGTATGGTTGGAAAGAGAAGAGGCTGATATGTCTTTGTACTTGGAGTGTTCCCTGGTCTGGCTCAGAAACGTCGGATGATATATGTGGAAAACATCCCGCCACCATTGACTTCCGCTCGCCAGAAAATCACCGCCGTTCCGAACCGAAGCACAAATGTGTCCTTCTGCTGGCAAGGAGAAAGCAATGACTTCCGAGGGCCAACAACTATCAAGGTCGGATCACCAAGGCCGTGCTGTCTCACATTCTCTGAGCCGAACCGAGAGTCTGCGGCTCGGTTCGGATCAGCTGGCACCCCTCATCTCTACGACCCCCTCGGGATCGCGATTCGAACGGTACTTACTCTCAATCTTGAAGTGGTCCCGAGATCTGTCGGTTGTGTGTTTTGGCTGTACAAAGACTGTGTACGCCCATCAAGGCGTCGAAGCCTCCGCACACCAAGAAACCACACCAACCATTTCAACAGAGTGTTTAAGCAATATGGCGATTGACGCAGCAACCAACACCTTCCGAATTATAGTTGTAGGGGGTGGTATCGCAGGTCTAGCTACGGTGAGTACATATCTCATTGTGAGCCAAAACACTCTACGGACACTAACGCGAGATCAGGCGATTGCCATGAGAGGACCTCAGCGCGAAATCATTGTTCTGGAAAAATCACGCATGAATAAGGAAGTTGGTGCTCTCCTATCCCTCCAACCAAATGCACAAAAGATTGTCGAGCAATGGAAACTCAAGGATATCATCCAGAAAGCAAAGCCTACAGCGGAGAGACAATTTCGCATACTCGATACCAAGGGCAATATTCACATGAACATTGACATGGACGGCAAGAAGTACGGAGCAGACCGTATGGTATACCATCGTCAAGACCTACATTCAGCTCTGAGGGAAGCCGCATTGAGTACCGAGCTGCCTGGCCACCCTGTTAGCATTGTCACAGCAGCCAAAGTTGTCAGCTGCGACTGCGAAGCTGGAGTTGTCACCTTGGAGGACAACACTACTTACCAGGGCGACCTCATCATCGGTGCAGATGGCATCCACAGTGTCATCCGTGAGGCCGTACTCGAAGCCGGCAACCATGAGCTGGTCCATCCAACACCGACAGGCGTCTCGGCATATCGTCTTCTCGTCGAAACCGCAAACCTTTCTTCGAAAAATGTAGATCCAGAGACTTTCGATCCAAAGAGACAAGCCACGACACTAATGATGGGCCACGACCGTCGCGTCATCATGGGACCTGCCCGAAATGGCGATTTGCTAGGTCTAGTGGGCATGGTACCTGACGAGCACATGCACGAAACCTCGAATGCGAATAGTTGGACCACACCGGGCTCGCTCTCCAAATTGCTGGAGACGTATAATGATTTCCCGCAGTGGATCAAGGACATCTTTGCTCAGGCTCCGGATATCGCGCTTTGGCAGTTGAGAGACATTGATGCATTGCCTGCGTGGGTGGCGGGAAGGTGTATTATCATTGGTGATGCCGCACATGCTATGCTGCCCACTCAAGGTCAGTCACATGCCAACTCTCTATCGCCCTCCTGGAGCTTCCACTAACACTTTACTTTTNNAGGCCAAGGCGCATCCCAGAGCATTGAAGACGCCGAAGCACTTGCCGCATTCTTCTCTTCCACAACCGCCAAACCCACTCTTCCAGAAGTTTCTCTGGCCCTCCAAAAAGTTTTCGAAGCAAGATACCAGCGCGCCAGTTTGATTCAAGCATATAGTCGCCAACAAGCCAAACCTGCGACCCGAAAGGGAAGTGTGAAAGTTACCTTGAATCCTGCAGAGTTTTTGGACTACAACTGCAAGTATGAGGGAGCAGTGCAGTGGTTGGAGCAGCAAAAGAGCCGGGAGGTGCAGGGTCAATGAGGTTTTATGGTCGACAGATATGCGTAGAAGCACATCTTACGGTCAGATGTTCTAGAAGAAGTCGAGATCTCAGTGTTGCGCCATTTCTCTAGACGATAAGAGGTGTAGGTAAGCCAAGCTACCTTGACTTTGATGGAAATTCTACTCCACTTCTTGACTCGTGAGAGTGGACGCGATGAGGACAGGTCGTTCTTGAAAGAATCGCAAACTCGAGGATAACGTCGGCTTGTTCTCCACATTGTTCTTGGTCCTGTTCCTTCGCTTGTTGTCCACACTTCCTCTATAGATTGTCCTCATTGCCCATCATTTTCATGCACATCACCTACCTCTACCAATTCCTCAACCTTTGTGCTATCGCCTCGGCATTCAATGTTCCTCAGACGTGGATCATAGGACTCAGAGAAAACCACACCCTCGAAAACCACTTTACCTTCATCGGAAAAACCTCGAGATATCCCAACACATACCAGAAATCAACGGATACGCCACACCAATCTCTTCCAACGACGAACGTAAGATCCGCAATCAGCCAAGATCCTCAAGTCGGATTCATCGTACAAAAGCCACTTTACAGTGGTGTTGAGATATTCCGTTGCTTGCTCTCTGCCAATGCATCGACAACCTAGCTTTAACAAGCATGGCAAGATTGCAGTGCCTAGCCTACAACAATTCAGATTTGAAATCGCGCCAGGCTAGAGATACAGCGTCTTTCCTTATGATTGGAATCTTTATTTTCGTTCTAGACTTTTGGTGTTTCTTATCCTTTTCCGCTACTAGCTAGCAACACCGATCTAACTAGTAAGTATACTTGTAAAACCTAGATTTTTGCAGGTATTTTCTTACTACCTAATGTTTCAACACGTGGACTGCAACTGCACAGACATACAGCAGTACAACCGCAAACGCGCACGCAAAATCTCGCAATGTTGGGATCTCGATCAGGTCAATCGATAAAAGAGCGAGTCGATGGAAATAGACGAGAGAAACAACACGACGTCTTTTCTGGCCCCGTCAGCTCCTTGTCCCGAACGATTAAGCAACAAACACCAGATTCCTAGTACTTCTCGTGCCCCTTTGCAATCCTCACGCACGTCACCAGAATCTGTAGTGTTGTTGTCGGAGCGAGATGTTTTTGATATGTGGTTTAGACCAAACCGGGCGTTGGGACTGGCGGCTTCCGGTCTGTCGCGATCACCGACAGTTCCCGATATCCTTCGATGTCCTCCCTGGATCTCGAACCTCATCAGTCGATCCCGGCGAAGGATCTCGAGAGACTACTGTCTGCCATACCAGTAGCGAGATTTTGACAATTTCGCACAATGCATGTTTTTGTGGCGGCGGCGGTTACGCGTTGGATATGTCGGAGATTGGTTCGAGACGCGCAGGATGACCCAATGAGAAGGACTTCATGACCGTCATGGCTGTTTGCGTCCCTGGTTGACGTACTAGTCTACCACGGGAATACTGCAAGTCAAAGGAAGACGACTGATACAGTCTGGAGGTGAGAAGGTGCAGATAAAGTCGAAAGTTATCTCCGTGGAGAGTCTTCGTTCTGGTACCATTTGGTGATGATTTCGTTCTCCATGGGATTGTCGCACGGTAGATCTTGTGTCACTCGACCTTTAACCTCTCATGCCTAGAGTCGAAGTTTAGACGTTTGCATTGTACAAATCGAGGTTGTACACAGTGTATAGGTCGCGTTGCGGCTCTGCAACAGAAAAGGTCAGACCCTGCATCAACCCCACTTGCTTGGCGCCGGCCACGTGAGTCGGCCAATCGGTGCTTTCCCTCTTCTGGACGCTCATTTGACTTTGTCGATTGCAAGTGTTTTCTTCTCGCATCCAGAAAGCAAGACCATGAAGCTGTTCTTCCTCCATCTCGGTACGGCCAATCTCTACATCAACACACGTCCAGAACAATGACAGCATGGAAACATCGCAAGCGACGATTGCCCAACGATCGTATAATGGCTGTCGCACCTGCCGCTTGAGAAAGGTCAAGTGCGATGAGAGCCGCGATGGCATTGGTCGATGCGGTTCATGTTCGCGTCTGAATCGCGCTTGCGACTGGACTCGAGAGTGGAAATTCATCGATACCAGTCGTGCCGTTGGGAAGCAGTATGTCGTACTTGGCAAGAATCCGCATCGTGGCAAGCCTGGGCGCGCGACGTATTTTGCTGGAGAAACGACACATCCACGGCCTTTGATGTTTGTCAATTCCTCTTCGGGCGACCTGGCTGCCACAATAGCCCCGCCAGAACCTCGGTCACCGAGGACCCAGAATGATCGTGAGTCAAGGCCGGCATCTGACTCTTCGTCCGAGAACAATGACTCTGACACGCAATCCGTTGAGCTGGTCCGGATTGCTGGCGTACCACTGGATATGATGAATTACGGCACTAGAGCACGCGATAATACGATACATCCTTTGTTGTTCGACAAGATCGTGTGCCGCAAAATCATGCCGATGGCCGTCCGCTTCAGACTAAATATAGAGGACAATCAGAATGTGCTTCTATCCTCTGCAAAGCAGTTTCTACCACTTCGGCATGCGATTTGTGCCATTACGCTTCTCAACAGTGGCATGAAAAACCGTCCGGAACTCATAGCTGGCTCCTTTCAGCACTATGATCGAGCGATAACTGCCTGCCGCTCAATGTCGCCTTCTGCCAACTCAGAAGCTGTGTTTTTTCTGCATTTCGTCCTTCTCATGTACGATATTGCTTGTGCATCTCAGCGATGGCCTGAAGATCGCAGTTCGTGGGCTTTGCATTTGCGCAAACTTGCCAGCCTGGCTCATGAACCCGCTGGGTCCACAGTCGGTCGGTTGAAAGCGTATCTGTCATGGTATGTCCTTCTCCTAGATGCTCAAGCAGGTTTTGCCGGAAACCCTGAAGCCGGTCACTACACTCGCGCGTTCCTGGAAAACGGTCGCTCGTTGCCTGTCTGGCCCATCTCGCGTAGTCAGCANAAAGTCCTCTCGACGCCAGAGGCCATGGAAACCTTNTTACAGACCCACAAGCTGTCTCTGATCACATTCGAAATGTTTGCCGAGCAGAGCCAGGCATCACTGAAGCTGCGGAAAACATTCAAGGACCGGCAGGTTGGAGTGCAAGAAAGACAGAAGGTCATCCAAGATCTAACCACTCGCCACGAAGAGCTCTGGCAAGCAAACTGTCCNCCCGGCATGGAATCTCTGGAAGACACGAGTGACTTGGGCATAATCAGGGGCACCTACAATTTTGCACGCCTGCAGTACTCAGTACTTCAACTGCACCTGCACACAAGCATGTATCCCTATCAAAGGCTTGATGGCGATCCATTTGCCACAGAAGACGCTCACCACTGCTCCTACATCATCGAAACGGTACGCCAGAGCTTCATCTACAACGACAAGGAGAATCACCATCTGGCTCCTGCCCTGTTTCTGGCAGGAGCAGCCACGAAAGTGCCGGCCGAAAAGGCGGCAGCACTCATGATGTTGCAGGAGATGGAGCACGCAGGGCTCTCGGGTGCTGTGGCGCGAGTGCGACATGTTCTCGAGCTTGTGGTCCGGCAGCAAGCGCAGAGGGAGATCAGTGGCGGCAGTGCGAACGAAGTGGATTGGATAGAGTTGTCCAGAGAGCACGGTCTGAAGAATGTTGTATTCGGTATGTAAAGCCAGACGGAGAGGAAATATCGACAGAAGCTCTTGTTGTGCCAGTCAACAGAGGGGAGATTCCAGCGCATGCATTGCCCCAGGTTTTTTGGTGGAGAGACGCGAAGGATCATGGAAGGATTCGCAACGAGGCAGGGCTGACACAGCGGTCCATCTCAACCATCTCGTATGCCTCAGCGGAGATAATATTAATACTAGACATCAACATCATCGTGCACATCACATTCCATCACTTCCGTTCAAAATTCCTGAACTATCCACCTCAACGTCAACACAATACAGCACTTACCCGCAACGTCGCCCTTCCACGAACCATGCCCTCCACCACGTCCACTGCAACAACATCAGCAACAGACAAAGCAATAACCTTCTGCAGCAATGCACACTTCCACCGCAGCATGAAAATCCCAGCTACAACCCAACAACCCACCCTGCGCGTAAGTTTTGCAACATCCACGAACTTCAACTCAAAGGAGTTGCCGGTGATATTGTTTTGTCACCCCATGGGTTGTGCGCGATACATAGTTTTCCGGCTCGAGCATTTGGCTGTGACTTTGGGTGTTAGGGTGGTGGTTATTGATCGGTGAGTGTTTGTTTGCCTTTCTTCAAGAAGATAGTGGATGTATGGGAAGTGCTGATGTAAAGCTAGACCAGGTTTTGGCGGCAGCACAGTGGTACCAGTGAACGAGAGGGTAAAGACATGGTTAAAGATGGTGCAAGCTGTGGTGAAGGAGTTGGACATGAAGACGGTGGCGATTATGGCGCATTCGGCGGGTACTATATATGCAGTCAACACTGCTGTACATTTATCGCATCTGCTGCATCCTGAGAGGCCTTTTGTGGCGGTTTTTGGTAANGCCTGTCTCTCCTCTCTTCCTTACCCTTCTTCCTCTTCTACCTTTCTTTCTGGGGCGCGAGGAGAAAGGCTAACGAAGCTCCTCCACACCACAGCACCTTGGGTTCACCCTTCTCACTCCTCAGCGCCTTTGATGCGTGTAGTGCATACACTGCCATCCTCATGGCTAGGCAACCTCCACACAGTTCAAGGCTTTGTAGCCAAATACATAGCNCCCTCTCTCACATTCTCAGCCGCAAAACTGGGCATAGAGGAAAGGCTCGACGAAGAGGTTTGTCANAAAGTTTATGGCACAGATGCGGAAACTTGGGAGGAAGTGCAGAGGATACAGCAGATTTGGCAGAGAGAGGAGGATATGAGGTAAGATTTTGATGCACCGTGGTTGCTGTGTTGAAAAGTTACTGATGAGAAGGTTCGATGGATNAGTGGGATTTCTGCCGAAGCGACATTGTGTATACANAAAGATGGCAGGGACTGGGGTGTCTATGCCGAGTTGCCAAAGGCTATTGAGGCATTGCAAGGCATCTACTCTCCTTCTCGTGCTGTTTACGACCACTCCGGCAACGACAACAACAACAACAGCCGCCGACAACTCTCCTTCGTGGCCTACTTTTCAGAATCCGACGTCATGATCGGACAAGGTGGAAAGCGATACTTTGAAGATTGCTGGAGAAAAGGAAATGGAGACGGGAAAATGCAGTTTACGGCAAAGTGTGTAGCAGATACTGATCACGATAGCATCGTTTTGGCGGAAAAGGGTGTGTTNGAGGAGGTGTTTAGGGAGGTCAAGAGGTTGTGTGGGTGATGGAGTATCTGTATTCCATTACATGAAATGCATCGGGGAGGAGCCTCTGAATTGGGAAAGTCAGGTGGGTAATGAGACGTCTCTATCGTATTATCTCTTACACTAAACTTTTGTATGTCTTCATGAAAGACAGATAATTAATTTTGCATCAAATCCACACCCACACCCCTCAATGCCTCGATAACCCACGCAGGATACTTTTCCTTGTCGCCCTTATACAACGTTCTAAAGTATTGTCGCANAAACGCAGGGTAGGTGTCTGCAATAATGGCTTCTCGAATGCGACGCATCAGGTCAAGCAAATAGTGCACATTGTGTATACTTAACAGATGTGCACCGGCAGTTTCCTTGGCGGCGACGTGATGGATGTAGGCGCGGGTCAAACCTAAGCCACCTGAGGAGGTAGGACGGCAGATTGTGCAGGTGCAGTGGGNGTCGACTGCAGAGAAATCGTCGGCGTAGGAGGCGTGGCGCAGGTTCAGGACGCCGGTGGAGGTGATGGCGTTGCCGAAGCNGCTGTTTCGCGAGAGGGAGTGATCAGCTATTGAGATGCAGAGCGAGAGAGAGAGAGAGAGAGAGAGAGAGAGAAGGAACAGAGGCAGACTCACTGCTGTGCGTGTGGGCCATACACAGTCAAACATGTCTGCACCCAGAGCAACGCTGACAACCAAATCTTCCGGATATCCCACACCCATGACATAGCGAGGTTTGTTGTCTGGCAGCAGATCCGTACACGTGCTGACGACCTTGCAGTACTCCTCTTTGGCCTCCCCGCCCGAGAGTCCGCCTATGGCAATGCCCGGGGTATCTCGTTGCACCATCTGTCTACAGCATTGCTTCCTCAACTCCACGTCCAAGCCTCCCTGGATGATACAAAACAAGTTCTGAGATTCTGGCTTCTTGTGGGCGGCGATACAGCGGTCCAGCCAGCGGATGCTGCGGTGCATGGCTTCGTCGATGCGTGCGTGGTCGGGTGAAGTGGTGGCAATGACATCGTCGAGCTGCATGATGATATCTGAACCGATGCTGTTCTGTAGCGAGATGGAGTGTTCAGGGGTCAGCAGCATGGGAGAGCGATCGTGAGGGCTCAGGAAGCGGACGCCTTCTTCGGTGACGGTGGCCAGTTCGAGCAGCGAGACCATCTGGAAGCCTCCGCTGTCTGTGAGGATGTTGTGAGGCCATGACTGCAGTTTGTGGGCACCGCCGATAGCATCGAGGGTAGCTTNGGCCAGGCTTGAGACCGCTGTATACAGTCAGGGTGGGAGGGAGATGTGCGGAGAAGAGGGCAATCACAGGTGGTAGGTGTTGTTCAGGCACAAGCGGCAACTGGTCTCTTCTAGTTGGTGGGGAGTCAGGCCCTTGAGTGAGGCCTGTGTTGCGACGGGCATGAAGATGGGCAGGGGGACAGGGCCATGGGGCAGTTGGAGGGTGGCAGCACGTGCCTTGGTGANCCTTGATGGCGCCTCAGTACCTACCTGGGATGACTATAGGAAAGAGCGACCTACCGAGCACCGGGCGACCGGCTCGTACGTCAAGGCCGAATGCATCTGCCTGACTCTTGATTGTACCTTCAGGAGGAACGCAATGGTGGCTGTGGACAGGGCTGGCTCCTGCTGTGTTTTGTTGCAGGGAGAGAAAAGACGGAGGTGACGGCGCTTTCACATGCGATTCGCGAAGCTTCCTCGCCGCCGCGCCTGCCCAGTCTGTCGCTGTCGTAAGCTTACCAATGTACACTAGGTAGGCTTGCCTCAACATCTGAACAGAGGAAGGAGGCGACGGGATAAACAAGGCCGTCGCCGTCGCAGTCGCAGTCATGTCGTCTTCATCTACACCAGACCCGTCGACCGAACACAGCTATACCAAAATGGCCACCGCCGATGTCGAAGCTATTGGTGCCCATTGTCAGATGACTTTCTGTCATCAACTCGACTTCCTTCCCTTCAAGTGTGAGAGCTGCAAAGGGTGAGTCTCGTTCCACTTGTACAAGTCCTGGCTTCTGACACGCCTCAGCAAATACTGCCTGGACCACCGCTCAGAAACAGCACACTCGTGTCCCAATGCCGGTGCTTGGGCAAGAGCGCGCGCCGACCAACAACGATCCACCTACACTCCCTCGCCCAAGCCATCCGTTCTCACTCACGAATCGCAATGTTCCGAACCCTCATGCAAGACTCTCATCAACACTGCTCTCGTCCCTGGTGTCGAGTGCGACTCCTGTAACGGCAGCTACTGCCTCAAGCACCGCCTACGAGAGTCTCACGACTGTGCCAAGCTCGCCCCTATAGGAGCGCGTGCGAATAAAGAGAAGGGTCTCAATGCCCTGGCCAAGTTGCGAGCCTGGGGTCAGGCCAAACAGAAGACAATGACGGCCGCCACAACCTCGACAGCTACAAAGCCTTCGACCTCATCAGCCAAACCTCTCACCGCTGCTCAACGTGTACGCGCCACGGCCGATCTGAAGAAGAACGCCAAGGGTGATGCCAAAGTTCCCATGGAGAAGCGCATTTACATCAATGTCGAGGCCTCTGCCGACACGACAAAGGCAAAACACCCAACCGGCCAGTTCTTCTATTCCCAAGAGTGGAGCATTGGCAGAATCCTCGACCTGGCTGCCACGTCACTGCAAGTCGAAAATCTCAACAACCGTGTAGATGGCGAGGCAGACAAGTTACGCGTCTTTCACGTTGAAGGTGGACGACTGCTCGACTTTGGCGAGAAGCTCGGTGCTGCCGTCAAGACCGGGAACACTCTGGTCCTGCTCAGAGGCGTCGGTCCACCCGTCCCGGATCTTATCGTTCTTGATCCGTAGACGCCACTCTTTCCTTTTACTCCATTTCTCATGATACCCCATCTGCGTCTTGTATCTTATAGCCATCGATCATACTTGATTCATCCACCTCTGTTCTCCCATCCCACCACATTTTGAATCTTCTTCCCGGGCTGAGGGAATGTATACAACACCTGATCCTCGTTCGAGCTCATTTACTCAAGGGGGCTCAGATGTATCCGTTCCTGTTGACATCGGTTTCTCGCAATCTTAGTATGCGGTTCGCCCGTTGGACACATCCGTCGTCATTCTCCCTCTCTACCTCGAGTCTTGTATCTTTCCTCAACAGACAGCACAGTCTGAGATGTTTCACTGCGAACTCAAAAGTGGTGATCCTGATCCTCCGAGGAACCCTACGGCCATGACACGAGATGGATCAATAAATACATGCCACCAAGACGGCTCAATGTCCAAAAACAGAAGAACCTGTGGGGCACAACGTCCGTGCACTTCGTATAAGAGTCCTCCGGCCGCTGCGAAGCCTTCCACTCCTTGTCCAACGGTCGCATACGCATCAAAATAACATGACAAGCTGGTAGTTAATGAGGTCGGTGCCCTGGCGCGCCTCTCGAGTTGGGTTCCCATTTCTTTCTTTTCCTTCCTGTCAACACCCACACTCTTTACCCATCGCCTTTGCTACATGATTGTAGCGTCCATTCATTATTTCATCACGCTCTTTTATCAACTCCGCCACTCAACCATACCAAGAAAGAATCCCATGAGCCTTCTGAGACACCGTTGAAGCTGTTCTATTCCTGTCGATCTTTACTTGCACAACATACAAAGGGACAACAATCTCGAGCGACCGGTTATTCTGTTTTTCTGGCCTTTCCTGGACATTTCTGCGCAGAGGACCGGACGTAAACAAACGCCCCAACCATGCGGACGGCAAATCTCATATCCTTGGCCTTGTCCATCGCGTCACTCGCATTACCCAGTCAAGCCATCGAACTCGACCTCAGCGATGAAGGTGAGCAGTAACAACACTTGCAGCAACATACAAAGCATATACTAATGCAGCACNNAGCAAGCATCAAATCCGCCGCCTCGACCGTCGCTTACGGCATGATGAAATACTACCACGGCAACGAAACCGGCCAAACCATCGGCCTCCTCCCCTGGCCCTACTACTGGTGGCACGCCGGCGCCGTCTTCGGCTCCATGGTCGACTACTGGTACTACACTGGCGACACCTCGTACAACGCCATCACCTCGCAAGCCCTGATCTTCCAGGCCGGCCCGGACGCAGATTACATGCCCGAAAACCAGACCAAGTCCGAGGGAAACGACGACCAAGCTTTCTGGGGTATGGCCGCCATGTCTGCCGCCGAAGTCAACTTTCCAAACCCCGAAAAGGGAAAACCGCAATGGTTGGCGCTTGCCCAAGCGACTTTTAATTCTCAAGCGCTGAGATGGGACACCAAGACTTGCGATGGCGGCTTGCGCTGGCAAATCTTTACCTTCAACAACGGCTACAACTACAAAAACTCCATCTCCAACGGTGGATTCTTCAATCTGGGTGCGAGACTGGCAATGTATACCGGCAACACCACTTATTCAGACTGGGCTACCAAAACCTGGGACTGGATGCAAGAAGTCGGGCTCATGACTGATGATTACTATGTCTATGATGGCAGTGACACGACCACCAACTGCAGCGATCCCAGCAAGATCCAATGGACATACAATGCAGGTATTTTCTTGCTGGGCGCGGCGACAATGTGGAATATCACCGGCGAAGAGATTTGGAGAGAACGTACTATGGGCTTGTGGAATGCCACGCACGTCTTTTTCACAGATGACAAGGTCATGTACGAAGTCGCCTGCGAACCCGGCGGTAACTGCAATGTCGATCAACANCACGTAAGTGTTCCCTTTGCCCCTACCATTCTCACTTTGCATGATACTGACGCAAGACGTAGATTCAAAGCCTACCTCGCCCGCTGGATGGCCGCCTCCACAAAGGTCGCGCCCTTCCTCTCTGCCCTGGTCCAACCCTACCTCGCGGCCTCCGCTACCGCAGCAGCAGCCTCCTGCTCCGGCGGCACCGACGGCGTCACCTGCGGCACAAAATGGTTCTCCAACACCTCGAACCCCACCGTAACCTGGGACAACACCTGGGGTGTGGGTCAACAGTTGTGCGCCTTGGAAGTGATCCAAAGCAATCTGATCAATACAGTGCAAGGACCTCTAACCAACAAGACTGGAGGCACTAGTCAGGGAGATGATTCGGCGGGGAGTACTGGCGATAAAGATCCTAGCCATATGAGCAAGATTACTCAAGCGGATAGGGCGGGGGCGGTTATCTTGACGATTTTGGTGTTGGCGGGGTGGATTGGNGGGATGATTTGGTTGATTATTTGATGTGCATGTCCTAATGTGCTGTTTGTATATGCTAGTAATGCGATTATGGGTCTCTCTCTCTCTCTCTCTCTCTCTCTCTCTCTCTCTCTCTCTCTCTCTCTCTCTCTCTCATCTTGAGCTTGTATAGCACAATGGTCACTGTAGAAAACATAGTACTTTCCAGAGACGATGTTTACCCAGAGAGAGTCGACAGAATGTTCGCTCTCAATGCAAAAAACATGTTGCGATGAAGCCATCATGTATTGCGATGGTTGTAGGAACAGACATCTATGCACCTGGAGACGAGGAAATCACATTGCACGCTCTCCACAGTCAAGTCTGAAGGCAGGGTCTGATTGCTGAAGCACATCAGTGAGAAGGCACGCTTGTGTTGCAAATGCTTATAGCGATACACTAGGGTATAGACCTCATCGACCTCCTCTACCTCGAGAACAATATGGATTGGCGTTTCTATGGCACACACTTGTGGCTTAGAAAGTATTATGTATTTCTACAGCTTGTTGACAGGAACAGAGCCATCCGGGGAGAAGACCAACAAGAAGAGCATGCACAAAGCAACACGAGATACATCGATTATGTACAATACAAAACAGAGAGAGAAAAGCGCCGCAATGCAAAGAAAAACGCCCATACAATGAATCTCGGTTCTAGTCAACAACAGTCAAACACTCACGAATCCCAGCCCACCCACTCCCTCCCAACAACCCTCCACACCCTCACCTCACCACTCCTAAGATCCCCGAGCCGGAAACTCTCCATCTTGGTCTTGGGCTTCTCTCGCCCTTGCTCCCAGGCTCGAACCTTTTTCTTCGTGCCGTCCCAGTCCACGACCACGGCAGCGTGTCCGGCGCCCATGCCCACGTCTACAGAATACGATTTGTGCATGGCCCCGTGTTTACCTTGCAGCTTGGCGTTGCGGAGGGTGATGATGTCGCCGGGGCGGATCTCGTCGAATTGCTGCACGGATGCGTTGGCGAGGTTGGCGTACACGAGTGCACCATAGGCTCTCGTGCCCACGGGCTTGAGTGCCGTGGTCAAGGGGACGAGGAGATCGAGTACCAGAGCGTTGGGACTGCCGTCGCCGACTACATGGTCCTTTTTCGCGTCTGCGGCTTTGGCGATGTGCGTACCGTACTTCTGCCACGCGGTTTCCAGCTGGTCTTGACGGAGGCGTGGGGCAGGCGGTTCGTGTCTCTGCTCGAAGCTCACATCTTCGGGGTTCTGGCCGTCGTAGCGCGCGGTGATGACGGTCTGGCTGTAGTCGAGGAAGAGCACGTAAATGTCTTTAGTGATTGCCGTTCTGCCGCCGCGGCGCTGAGTCACACTCTCTTCGACTTCGAACAGGACGTCGCTGCGGTTTTGGAAGGCTGGGGGTGGCGTGTTGGGATGTGCCCACCAGAGGGTGTTTTCTGCCAGGTCGACGTCTGTGGCAATGTGGCCGTCCTGAGGAGGTCTTGCAACGTCCATACTGCGACGCATGTTCATAGACGGACGACTGACATCAAGTGATTGGCGAGATTGGTGAGTTACCGGACGAGTAGGTGGTGGTGGTTGAGAAGGAGGCAATGGTGCAGCACGATCCTGAGCAACCGGCGGTGGTGGAGGTGGGCGATCCATGGATTGACGAGGGGTGGTGCATCGTACAAGTCGTCCGANGCTATCATCCACATAATCCTGCTGGATAGGCACTGGGGCTGGTGCTGTAGCAGGAGGCGGTGGCACAGCGCGAATTGGAAGAGCACGAGGAGGTTCTTGATAGTCATCCTCTTCATCCTCGTATTGTTCGTACTGAGTAGGTGCATGCATAGGAACAGGCGGAGGGGCAACACGAGGAGCATCAATGGATACTCTTGTTGGCGGCGGTTGAGAAGGAGGTGGAGGAGGAACGGCACGAGGCGCAGGAGCTGGGGCGGGTACGTCTATATCGTCGAGGCTCGAATCCCTGCCATGCGATCTCAGGGCGTCCTTGTGGTTGACACCGGATGCAATGTCAGTGTCATAGTCTCCTTCGTAGTCGCTTTCACCTCGATCAGGCTCGCCCAGAGGAGCGCTTGGAATGATGGGAGGAAGCTGAGGAGCACCAGTCGGTGGGGGCGGGGGAGGAGCGCGAGCTTGAGGGGGAGATGAGAGAGTGCCAGGAATTGGAGGAATGCGACTCTGTCTTCTCTCCGACGGAGTGGCAGGAGAGGCGGGCGACATAGCGTCTATGCTGCCAAATGTCGAAGCCCGTTTTGTCGAGCCCATGGATGGCGAGCGATTAGCTTCTGGCCTGGGAATGGGAGGAGGAGCGCCTCGAGACATGTCTGTTGATTGTCTCGTGGGAGCCAGAGAACGTTCGTCGTCCGACTCTTCGCCCTCGGTCGGATCCATCTGCGTATCTACCGGAGGTGGTGGCGGAGGTACGGGACGGGCTGGAACAATGTCAGACAAATCCTGATAAGATGTGCGAAGGTAGAGACTCACTTTCATGTGCTGGTGGAGCAGGTACGGGACGAGACGCAGGCACTGGCGGAGGGACAGCGCGCTCGCTTGTCGCCTCTNGTTGAACAGTTAGCTCTTGTTTCTTCTCTCACGCGTTCAAGTTCACTCACCCTGTGGGACTGGAGGAAGGCGGTGTACGGGCTCAACGTGTGGTGGTGGCTGGGGCTTGATGTCTTCAACATCCGGCACAGCCAAAGGCTCCCTCTCGCTGGTGACCGAAGTGTCGTGCTCGGGTTCCTTCTCGACGGCAAGCTGCCTGTCTTCAACCTCGGGACTACGCACTGTCTGCGTGCCTGGAATGGGCATGACGGGAATGCGAGGTGCTTGAGCATGAGCAGGAGCCTCGTCGTGCTCAGGCTTGGTCTCCTTGCTCTTCTTTGTCTTTGGAGGTGCAGGTGCCATCATGCCGGGCATTCCAGCGGGCGCTCCAAACATGCCTGCCATGCCCATACCACCGCTCATCTTGGCCATGCGCTCTCTCAGCTCCATGCGACGGCGTGCCTCTGCATCCATCTCGTCCTCTTCGCTCTCGTCATCCTCGGCTGTGTCTTGCTCGTCGCCAACGTCGGCTTCGTGGACTGGAGCTGCCGGGGCGCGTTGAGATTGCATCGATCTTCTGGCGGGTTGGGTTGAGTCGCTGTCAGCATCATTTTCCTCTGTGATGTCTCCAGCTCCCGACATGTCAGCGTCGTTTGCGTCGCTAAACGTCTCGTGGCCTACGGCGGGCAACGCTGGTTCGCGAGACACTCCACGAGCAGAAGCGCCACGAGTGCGTTCGCGCTCACGAGGCTGGTCCAACGACTGGCGAACATGACGTTCGGGTTGTTCGGCTTCAGCTGCGTAGTCCTCCTCTTCAGCGGCCGCAACAGGCGCATGNNAGGAACTGGCGGAGGGGCAGCAGACTCTGTCGACTCGTCCGTGTTCTTCTTGACGGGCTTCTTTGGCTTGGGCTTNCTCACTGACATCAGCCCTTCGCGCTGCTTGCTCCATCTGCTGCTTCTGTAACATTGCGATTCTCTCCTTCAGACTCTGAGGCTTGGGTTGATCCTCGTCCTCGTCGCCAGTGGGCGATTGTGGATGGTCCGAGGGCAACAACCCGGCCTTTGCGGCATTCTCATCTGCCTGAGCTTGCTCTTTCTGGATGTCTGGGTCTTCTTCTCTGCGGTAGACTTTCTGTACCGGCTCGGCCTTGGGAGNGGGAATGTACGCGTTCTTGCTTGGAGGAGGAGCGACGAATGGCTTCTTGATGAAAGTAGGGGCGGCAGGCTTGAAGGGAGCGACCGGTGCTGCTCCTGCATTATTGAAGGCGGCGATGCGGTCTCTGAACGAACTGGGCTTGCTGCTCACGGGCGGAGGCTCTTTCTTAAAGGGCTCAGCTTTGACAGGCTCGGCCTTGCCAGGCTCCGACTTGATGGGTTCCGAGGAGCTGGCTTGGGTGCGGGTGGAGGAGACTTGACTGCTTCGCGAGCAGCCGGTGGCTCTGCCTGGGGAGGCGGTGATCTGACGGTTTCTTGAGCTGGCGGAGGAGGAGCGGTCTGTCTCACAGATGGAGGGGAGAGAGGTTGCGAGGAGGGAGCGGAACTGGAGCAGCTTCGGGCTCAATGACCGACTTGGATTGAGCAGGAACGGGCGGTGGCTCGGCAAAGCTGTCGTCGTCGGCATCGTCATCGTCTTCCTCAGGGAAAGCACCTGGCGCAGGTTCGGGCANNCAGGAGGTTGCGGCGGTGGAGAGCGGATCTCGGAAACGGGGCGTCTTTGGGGTCGTGAAGGGATCTCGGGCTCGTAGCGCTCGACAAAGTTCTTGGGGAACAGACCCGAGTGCTTGCTGCCTGAGGCGTCGGTGTACTCTCCCTCGTACCAGTCTTGGTCTTCCAGAGCTACAACGGTGATGATCTGGCCTTCGGGGAAGGGGAGGTCGTCTTCGTGCGGGCTTGCGTACTCGTAGACAGCCTTGACCTTGAACGGCGGGGCTGACATGGCGGGTGCACTGCCTGTCGCCTGGATGCGGTGTGTGTAGTAGGTGAATTGGCTGTCGTTAGGTCGAGAAGCAGTGTGTACGAGTAGCTGTCGATGGGTCCAGGTTGTCGCGGGCCGGCGTCTGCTGTTTCCGCCCGCGACGCTTCGTCATGTTCTTGGCGCGAACGAGACTCTCCGCGTCTCAGCCACGAGCGCCACAAGCAGCCACACCTCTTCTCATCGCATCTTCTCCTCCGACCTTCTATCAAAATATCACCTCGCCGTCGCCAAACTTCCATACCGACAAATCCCCACCACCCACTCCAAAAACATCAGAAGCCCTTCAAACCCTCTCAAAGACCTCATCTCACATCCGCCAAAATGTCAACCTCACAACCGCCACCAAAATCAATCCTCAAAAAGACGTCCTCGCACACAAACACATCAGACCCTTCAGACTCTCTCACCGCAACCCTCAAAATAAAGCCAAAATCCGACATTGAGCGCAAACGCCTGCAAACAGCAATCTCGCACGCCACACTAATACAAGAACAAAAAGCCATCCTGCGCAAAAACCTAGACGCCATCGAAGAACTCTCTGATATCCCGCTAGAAAGCTGTGCTTCTGTGGCAGAAACGGAGAGATTTCTGGATGCAATGGTGGATTTTCAGGGTAGTGATTATGATGCGCTGATAGAGGAGAGACATGTCAATGGACGCTGTGGGTATGCACTGTGTGCCAATGCGCCGCGGAAGGCGTTACCCAAGGCGCCGTGGATCAAAGATAGGGGGCAGGAGATGTGGTGCACAGATGCGTGCGCAAAGAAAGCTCTGTATATCAAAGCCCAGCTCTCAGAGACACCGGCTTGGGAGCGCAGGGCCGGAGATCGTAATCCTTTGGTGCTGTACGGCGGATCCCAGACCAGCTCTTCGCCACAACAAATGCAACTGCCTGTGCGACAAAAGGCGACACCCACAGAAATCTCAGGGCGCGAACTGGCGTATGAGCGCGGCGAAGTCGACACAGTGGCGGCAGCAAAGATGGATATGGTGTTGGCAGCACAAGTGCAAGAAAACAGCATCATATCCTCCGTCATGCCACCCACGGCAACGAGTTTCGCAGACAGCGATGTGCACGACTTGATCGAAGGCTATCAACCGCGGGGTGTGCAGCAAGGCAATCGCATCACCATCAAGTCCGAGGATGCAGACAGCGAACATGAGGATGACTGATGAGAAGAAGTACAAAGTTCTGATTCCGATCTACTACCTCCATTTCCATCAGCAACAGCGAATTCTGGCGAAGTTTTTCCCATTCACAACCATACCCACAGTGTACAAAAGTATAGGTAGGTAGCCATCCCAAGAACCAATTTTGCTCCACACGACTTCAGGAGAATTTCACCAAGTCCCGCTTGTCGACCATACCACCCTGTCAACCATAAATACCCACGGCCATAACAGCAGTATTTGCAGGTAATCTCTATTCTAATGACATTTCAAATGTATAACTCTAGTCCTAAACACAATTTCCACAGCCATTTCACTTATCCATGACTCTACGACACCATAAAGGGCTACATAAATTCTTGATGGCACTGTACATTGCTATGGCTACACGCATTACATGCTTGAGCATACGGAGAGCAAACGAGCGTGACAGATAGAGGGTTCGGAACACATCCGATGGGCTTGCATTAATGAGAAAAAGTCCCCTCGAAAATGGCTAGAAGCGAAACAATAATGCGACAAGAAAGAACATCGAATCAAAAGTGGTATCAAAAAAAAAACGCAAAAGAAGCACGCAGAATAAAAAAACAACACCCAACGGCCAGACAACCATTACCTTTCAGCACACTCAATCTTCATCAACCACAACTCTCTTGGTCATGCTCTCGACAACTTTGGTATAAAACTTGACGGCATGATTCCTCGGGAAGCAAATCTCCTCGGTGAGGTAATCGGGTAGTATATCCATCAAATCCGCATCTCTGTTGGCATCGAGCAATGGTTCATACGCAAACTCTGTGTCTTCGTAGCTCAAGCCCGAAGGTGTTTTTGGGTTGGTGATGGCCGTGTCGGTGGCAATGGTGAGGTGGAAATGTAGAGCTGAAGAAGACTGTTAGTAGAGTAAATCAGGAGGGCAGAAGGAAAGACACTTACTGCCGTTGCGACCGGTTTGAATGCAGCTGTACTCGTCTTCGCCGTCTCTGCGTTTGACGCTTGTGATGATCAGGCCGGTCAAGTCGCGGTACAACTCCTCCTTCAAAGCATTCTCCTTGACACTCTCGGCACTGGCGCCATGCGTCTTGCCATGCTCAATCTTCTTGACGGCAGACCCTGGCACTTTGTCGCTNNGGCTGCATTTGTCTTCCTCGCGGCTTCGAGTTTGGCAGTCAAAGCTTTGGATTCATTCTGTGATTCTGTAAGGCTTGCGACTGTTGCTTTGTGCTCTTCTTTGAGTTTGTCGTTTTCTGCCGTCAAGGCTGCGACTTGAGATTGGAGTTTTGCGGATTCNGGTGACAGTGGCTGACGAGGTTTTGCGCAATTCGGCGAGTTCCTTTTTCAGGGATGCGATCAAGTCGTTTGCGTCNNTGCGATTGATTGTCAGTAGTGGACTGCTGAGGTGCAGAGAAAGCGACTCACCTCTTGCTTTATGGTCTGTAGCCTTCTTCAAACGCTCGAAGTTTGCTTCTGCGGCTTTTGGACCCAGCTCGATGACAGAGTCGTACTTCATGCGCATTTCTTCGTACTNTTTGGTCATGTCTGCCAGTCTGCGGTTTGCTTCTGATTCTGCGACTCTTCTCTCCGTATCGCTGGCACTGCGCCCTCGTGAATATGTGCCTGGTTGTCTTGACGTTGAGCGAGCGCGTGAGTAGACAGCGCCAGGAGCGGCTTGTCGTTGTATCGAGGCTGAGCGTTGTCGTGGATGCGACTTTGGTGGTGGAGCCGGAGGTGAGGGCTCTCTGTCGATATCCATAAGGTCGGCCGGAGGCTCCTCTCCGACGACAGATTGGTCAATCTCTGTAGGTTCGGGTTGAGTCTCCGGAATGACTGGGGCGGGTTCAGGAGAGGGCGCGCGTTTGGTCTTGGGCTTCGATTTTGCGACGAGCTTCTCTTTCGCTACTTCTGCTTCTGCTTTGGCCTTGGTAGACTTGATCGCTTTCTTCGCGGGTGCAGGCGCAGGTTCGGACTCGGGTTCAGGTACAGGTTCGGGCTCGGGCGCAGGAGCGGCATTCTTTGCGACAAGATCCTTCTTCAGCACTCTCTTCCTCTGCTTGGGTTTTGGCACAGGCTCCATGGCAGGTTCAGGCTCATCGGCGTCACTAGCTTCCGGTGGGTCCACAGGCTCTTTGACAGGTTTCGGTTTGGCGGTCGTCTTCTTTGTGGCCGTGGCAGTGGCCTTCTTGACTGGGTTTTTGACGACAGTGCGGTTGATCTTGGGAGGAGCGGGTCGCGAGTTTTCCTGGTCGGATGCGCCAATCTCGTCTTCTGAGCCAGAGGCAGGCGGCTTGGTAGCGACAGATTTGGAAGGCATGGCGGGCGATGCGACCAGATGATGCAAGGCAAGTGTGGATTGTTTTGTTTACGGCAAGCACGAGCACGCGCGCCCCGCAAGTTCGAAAGTTGCGACTTCCTCGAACGCCGCGACGTGCTCAGAACCCAGCCCACCAATGCACCGCGTCCGCCTCTTTCTGAGTCAATCTACAACTTCCTTCTCTCCAATTCCAGCTGCATAGACTATAGCTTACGAGTATATCAAAATGAACACATCAAGGGCTCAGTTGTAGCACATCATCCTCTGAGGCAGGCACGACGAAGAAGACGACCAAATCACATGACCTGGACTCTTGGCGTTTGCGGCAATCGGGAGAGAGGACGGATTTCTGGATTGGAACATGTTTTATCTGTAGGTGCAGCCATGTCAAAGGCCATCAACTCGCCCACGGGCAGGCTACTGCGCAACTCGCGTCTCTTCTCTCTACCGCCACCTCTACCTGCCGCCCCTATCGCCAACTCGACGGCCGGCCAAATCCTGCGCACGTCCGACACGGCCACACAACCCTACCCTACCCACCAGGCCATCTCAGCGCCCGCCTCGTCACGCTCTCGTGGAGACTGGGGTCTGAAGCGTCCTCTTCCCGACAGAGCCATCCCCAGAAACACTCCCCATCTCCGGATCAAGGCCATCGACACGCTCGAGCACATCACCGATTTCGAGTCCGCCGCCGATCACACCCAGTCGCTCGCAAAATGGCAGGACATGAACATTCCCATCACTCTTCCGCCCAACGCTCGCACCCACATCGTCCAGTCCTCCTACAAGTCCCGCCCTAGTGCCTTCACCGACGACTACGACAATACCACCCTGCAGCCCCACGGAAGCGAGCAAACCACCTTCACCTCTGAGCGTGCTCTGCGTGAGAGGTCCCGCCAGACGACCCAAACCGCACGATGGAAGACCCAAGGCCCTCACCTCACCAGCTTGACCGAGGAAGAATTTGACCGTTATCTCATGAACCTCGTCCGCCAGCACAAGTCAGAGTTCCGCAAATTCCTCGAGGCCGTCAAGTCGGACAAGAAGCGCAAGCACCAAGAAGCCCTCATGCGCGACCACGCAGACCCCAACACTTTTGAGCTCGAACTGCAACTCAGGAGTCGCTTGGAGAAGAACGAGCTCAACGAGTGGATCAAGGAGTTGCGCGACAACCACCATGACTTGAGCTCCGAGCTGTCGACCCTGGTCCGCGAGTTCTTTGATTTGCCCGCCTTCCCCTCTACTGCCGCCAGACAGTCCAACACCAACGCTCTCGCCAACGAGATTGCCGTCAGAACAAGGAACGACGCTGGACCACCATCGACTCACCCCTCGGCTGGTCTTGGTTACTTACTCACAAGCGCCATTGTCAACAACCACCCCAAGTACGGACCTCAAAGTGATCGTGAGCCTGTTGAAGCTCGTGTCCTACGAACAAAGGAGGGCAACCGCAGCAGAGACACCAAGGCCGATGTTGGTCTCGGTGGTTTCGTTACTTCGATCCAGCCTGGCTCAATCCCTGGCCAAAGCCGATTCAAGGACACTGGCAGAGGAAGGGAAGCTCCTGGCCCTCTGCACCGCCTTGACTTGTCTCTCACAGGTGGCAACAAGGTCTGGTTGCAACCAAGATCTGCCTACGTCGATGAGGCTGGTCGCATCAGACTTGATGTTGGCGAGGCAAGCACACAACAAGTGGACATTAAGCTGGGCAAGGAAATCAAGGAGGAACAACCTACCTTTACTTCTATTCCTGGCAGACAGAACCAGCGTCTCGATAGCAATTTCAGATTGGCGAGATATGGCACTGCGTTGCCAGATGAGAGACTGCGCCAACAGCGCCCTAAGCCCTTTGAGCGCAACAACACTGACAACAAGTCTGGCCTGGAGCAGATTGAGGCTTTGGCCAAGGGAACTCAGCAGTGATGGGTCAGGCGATATGAAGAGACTGTATAGATATGTACAAATACTGAAATTGTTCCAACGCACTTTTGATGAGATTGAATGAACGTCATCCGTGAGTTTCATAGACAAGAATAATCACAGAGTCAAGGCTCGCAGAGAGTGAGTGAGGTCAAGATGGGTCCGTGCACGAAGTCTGATGCCAAGCAATTAGCCGAGCAGCACAACTCTCCACCATCGCAAATCTGCGTCGGCCTCTTCCTCTTTCTTGAAGCCGCGCCGCGAACAACTTTCTATCTTCGACAACCTCCTCTTCCGCCAAACACACATACCGCCAAAATGGGTCGCGTTCGTACCAAGACTGTCAAGAAGTCCGCCAAGGTCATCATTGAGCGTTACTACCCCAAGTTGACTCTCGACTTCGAGACCAACAAGCGCATCTGCGATGAGATTGCCATCATTGCCTCCAAGCGCCTGCGCAACAAGGTGAGAAGACATTTGACAGCCTTCAGCACAAAGAGCGCAAGTTTCTGATAAGAGTTCCCANNGATCGCCGGTTACACCACTCACTTGATGAAGCGTATCCAGCGTGGTCCCGTCCGCGGTATCTCGTTCAAGCTCCAGGAAGAGGAGCGCGAGCGCAAGGACCAGTACGTCCCCGAGGTCTCTGCCCTCGACTTCACCCAGAACTCCGAGTCTGGCATGCTCGACGTCGACCAGGACACCAAGGACCTCCTCAAGTCCCTCGGCGTAAGTTTTTCTTCAATCTGCCTCTCCATCTCCGCCTCCGTACTGACTGGCACCTCACAGTTCGACGCCATCAACGTCAACGTCGTCCCCGTCGCCCAGCAGCAGGTTGCCGAGCGTCCTCGCCGCTTCGGCGACCGCCTTCCCGCAACTAAGCGTTTGCTCGCTTTACCTCGCGGCCTCGGAAAAGTTCTTGACAAAATCGGCGGGAGTTCTACATGGCGCATTAGTCTTGCTAGGTTCGGGTTTTTTTCTCAATGACAAAATCTGCTCCCCTTCTGCACAATCAGGTGTCGCTGATTCTTCTTGCTGTGGCGAGAAGATGATGCTTGACTGCCATCCATTCACCATCTTTTTCTCCTTGGTCACGATTGCGCGGCAGAAGAGTCTACAGGTAATGCTGAGACTTCCTTTTGCTGTAGCTTTCGTGGCTGGCCGAGATCGCGACTTGCGAGAGAAAAACCCTTCTTGCTTGTACGCGGTCTTGGCCGTCTGTGACTTTTGCTCATGTGTGATTTTTATGCTGTGAACCTCCAAACCTTTGGTTCGTCAACACTGCCATGACCTGACATTTTAGGCGTCGCATGTCGGTCTTGTAGCTTTGTTGTGCGACGCTCGTTGCCATATCCTGAACTCGATACGCTAGTAGTATTATTTGCATCCTGACTCCGCCACGCATGCACGCATCAAGGTGTTCACCATGCCCTGTTTGACTTACCATACGTTTGTGGCCTCTCGGAAGGATGTCGCATGATTTGCAACAGCTTCTCGTCCCCGGCGTACACTATCTGTATGCATTGCTGCTAGCGAGTTGTTTGAGTCGTGCGTCAAGTGAGGTAGGTTCAATTCTCGTGGTCTGCGCATTGGATTTCAGCTGCATTGTGTTTCCATTTTCACGAGCTACAGTTTGTATGAACATCCTCTCTATGTCACGACTGTAGCTATAGAAATCCACAGCACTATCAAGAGACAGGGCAGTACGACTGAGAGCCAACATCTAAGTTGCTCTCTTTCGCTACTCCTCTGCTCCGAAAGGAATTGTGCCCTTTAGTCAATATACCCCGCCCTATGAGAGCAGGGTAATGTTACAGATTTTGGCACTTGAACAGTATGTATGCTATTCTTGATTCGCATTTGTTGTTCTCACAAGCTTCCATTGCTCACGTTACCTTAGACGAGTGCTGTCGAAACGCATCGTGTCGTTTTTCAAGACAACAGCTTGCAAGAATCTATCAAGTTGACACATTTCCATCAACCACGGTGCCCAAGAGTCATAGTCTGTACTTGTCACGTATCCTCATCACTGCTTCTATAAAACACTTTTAGATCCTGCCCGGTCTTGCAATCATTCTACACTCCTCGTTCTCAAAATTTACTGGAACGCAACACGGATCTTACTGTACAAACACCTTGCTATGCTTCTACCCGGCCTTTTGTCTTTTCTTGTCTTTCTCCTGAGTTTCTGCCTTTTAAGCAGTGGGATAGATGTTGAGGAGGGATTGATGCTTGAGTTAGTATCTCACCTTTTACTCCCTTTCTTTTTTGGTTTTCAGACTTTTGGATGTTGGTGATGCTGATGAGAATGGTATTGTTCAGCCCGACAGTCAGGACTCCCGGACTTCAGACCCACGCCGCCCATCTCAATGTCAAATATGGCGGATTGGGTTCTGCCTGGTCACAACAATCTTCTTATGACGACCTGAAATTACATGTTTCTGTTGATGCTGATGGTTGGGATGGTGATAAAGGTGGATATATCCATATTCCCCATTCCACCAACGAAGCGGGAAACCGCAGAATCTGGCAAGGAGAAGAGGTTGAATCGGGAAGTGCTGTTAATGCACAGCTTTAAGACGCTAGCATTGGCCTCTGATACAAGGAAGATCTGGCTTGTCTACTTGCTATCATTGTCGATGATGCTGGCCGATATCTCCCTTCTATCATCAAGTCTGCCCCCTAGACAGCTTCTGGGCAACAAATCATCAAACACAAACATCAAGAATCTAAACGGAAAAACATAAACTTCATATTAAGGATAGTGGTATCAGCATATTTCATCCATCGCTGACTAGTGAATCCGCGTGTACGTAGCGTCCCACGTTGCGAATACTTCGTCCTCTCCACCACACCCCCTCTCCCTCCCGTTCCCTCCCTTCTCCAGACCTCCGAATAGACATTTCAGTTCTCAACAACATCGGTGCTGGTGGGAATGCAATTCTCGCACTCGTCAAAGTTTGCCGCAGTGCCAGCGGCAGAGCCAACACAGGCCAAGTCTGCAGCAACGTTGACGCCGACCTCGACGACAGCGGCGCCGCAAGAGGCTGTGGTGCCTACGAGGTGGAGTACGCATTNCTGTTGGGTACGTGGTGAGTAATCACTTCCAAGACTTGTGCGGGAAGGATAGGGCAAGGAAAAGTGGTACGTACTGGCGAGATCAGAAGTAGAGCAGCCGGTAGGCAAAGAGATGAGGACCTTGTGGTCGACGGCAGAGGTCTGCTCAAGAGGAGCAGCAAAAGCAGTGGCGGCGAAAGCCATAGCGGCAATGAAGGTGAACTGCATAGTTGCGGATTGGATAGTTGGAAGAAAGGTTCAAGGTTGTTTTGTGGTTGGTTCTTGTTCGTTGATGATGAATGAGTGATGGTGTTGGGTCTTGGGTGCTGGACTCAGGGCCTCTTTATAGCCTGGTGCTCGCAGTCGAAGGATCTGATGAGTAGACCAAAGTGCATACTACATGTTCCTCGTGTTCTGACTGATTGGTCTCTGGTGAAAGGTGCTTCTGGAGGATTGTTGTCAGCAATTTACAGTATGCAAGTGGTATATCTTCTGCAAGGCTGGCCAGAAGGATTGCAATGGGTTTGATTCTGCAAGCTGCGTTGTCTGTGGATTACGCTTGATCCTTCGAGGTGTTTGTTATTGGATATACGAAGCTGTGTGAAGTAATGAATGCTCGAAGCTGGTGTGTGTGTCTCTGCCTTGCATTGTCATGTCATATCACAATGACCCTTCATTCCCGATAGAGACATTGGTCACAATTTGCCTCGGCAGGAGCGCCCATTTGACCTCTCAGGGTTGGATGATACGCTCTTCAGAGCGAATGGGCTGGCTTAGTACAGAGGCCACTTTGCGTGGCAGGGTCCAAGGTATGCCCGCATGTCACATCTGATATTGACATTTTTCTCATGGGAAACGATCTTTGAAAGCATGTAGAGCAAAATTTATTCTTGCTACTTTGAGAACTACTCAGGTGATCATCAATGCGATCCAAATAAATGGTTCAATCATTCTATACAAACAGCTATCTAGAAACATCATGACCACATGCAGTCTCCCGACGAGTGTCAAGGCGGACTCTACACGAGTCTCCGCTCCTGCCTGCTACTGCCGCCACGGGTTTTCCGTAGGCAAACAATGCTATATGTAACGGTAGTGATCATTTCTACTTCGAGATGCCCTAGGCGAAGTCCCCGAAGTCATCGAATATCATTAGGTAGTCGTCCGGTGAGTATATATGATGGCATGACAATCTTCACGAACAGTTACACAAGTCTGGTTTTTGGAGGGGGAAATCAATACATTAATCTAATGGTGTAGATGATTGGGATTATCGAGATGCAGATTCTGCGATGGAGTATGTATGCCTGCAGAGCTGTTTACAAGTCATTGGATGGCATATCAGAAACTAGAGATCATTGCCACTTTCAGGTACCTTAGCCGAATCGTCCTGTTACCACTGCACGCATGCATTTGATTAGATCAAGTTTCAGACCAAATCACATGAGTATCTCTCCAAAGCACCGTCGATGTGGTAATGGAAGACGGCCTAGTTCACTATACACATGCAGCTCTACAGCGAAATAGACGAATCACCTCCAAGAAGCGAACATGGTTGCCATGCCTAAGAAGAGTGTCTCAAAATGATGTGAACCGGTGAAAGTTCGCTTTCCAAGAGGGCGAGATTCTACTTTGTATCATCTACGAATTAGGAACTGAGACAGGACGATCTTGAGTTTTCAAGGATAAGGGTATATGAATTTTGAGGAGTAAAGCGAATTCTCGCCAATAGGATGAGGGCCGCACTATATTCTTATAGTCATGAGCTTCATTTATGCACCTTACCCGCCACAAGCGTCTGCTTGTCGATCCCAAGCTTCATCAAGCATTCGACCCCGTAAGCTCAGACAGGTTTGGAATATCTCTTCATTTGTCGTTGCATCCTCCCCATGGCCAAAACACAATGACAACGTACGATCAACCCTTCGGGCCCTCTCCCTTACTGGCTCGTTATGTTATCATAAACGACAATCTCTTCTTGAATTCAGGTGTCACCACGGAGATGCCTAGATATCCCTCCGGGGGGGATCGCTCTACTATAGAGATGATCGTGCGTTTCTATAAGTACGCTCTGACTGTCTATCGCACAGGGGAGGATACGAACTCTGCCCCGTGCTTTCTTGCATATAGCAAACCAGGAATTTAGAGATGCGAGCTTGATGTTGCACACCGGTCGTAGGATAATCCTACGAGCATAGCAGATCGCATCCTTCCCGAGGTGTGGCCGATATCCTCATCGATTGGCCTGTTTCCCGCAAAGCAATCTCAAAAGCAGACCACAGTGCCACTGTAAACAAGCAGAAGATCAACACAAGGATTTGAGTGGAGGTAAAGGTATATTGCAGAGGTGTTGCATCTGGGGCTTTACCTCCAGCTATTCCCCTGACCTCACAATAACACATTTCGCTTTTTTTGCGTACTACCACCCAAGACTCACCTCTGCCGTCACTTTTCCTTTATTCACACCAATAAGTTCGCAATCATGGGCTGTGGAGGATCGAAACCAGACTACTGCGACAATAACATCCCTACGCAACCAGTTTACGCCAATGCCCCTCCTCAAGGATACACCGCTCCTCAAGCTGCAACATATCAGCAGCAACCTGCAAAATCAGGCGGCAAAAAGAAGGCGGCAAAGAATCTGGGTTTTTAAGTATGCTTGCTAGTTAGATCGGTGTTGCTAGCTGGTGATGAGAAAAGGTGAGAGACATTGACAGCCGAGAACTTGAGTAGAAATTCTGATTATGTGAATAGACGCTGCATGTCTGGTCTAGAGCGATTTTGAATCTGGATCCTGGTGTATTAGGCAACATACATGTTGGCTAGTGGTGAGGACTTCGGTCGACGATCCCAGAGCGATTTTGATGGCAGAAGGGATGGCAGTGCCGGAATTCGAGGTAGAAGAGTGGTGGATAATAGAGTTGGTGATACGGGAAGTCTTTGTTGCATCCACTTTGATGGTAATTGTAAATGGTTTGGCTGTTGTCCAATTTCAATGCGATGGAAAATGTCCAACCAGGAGAATCGTAATACAAGCTCAAACATTGTGTTTTGCTGTAATCCTGGTGGCATCACTATATGTAGTTGCGACACAATCGTCATTTCCCGAAACCAAGATGAACAGAGAGCTTCCCAAGCATTTTTTCAAAATTGGCTGGTAAAGACTGGTCGAAATCCTTGCAGTCCCCCAGTAAGGTTCAGTCCGTGTCACACGACTTCATGAACCTCATGGCCGATCTCGCAGCAATCTTCACCTCAACATCCACATCTCCTCGAGCCAACTCTCCTAGTCGGTGTCGCCAAAACGACCATCGTGCAGCCCCGTNNCTTCGAACACCTTTGCTCCATTCGGCATCTGACGCCTTGTCCAGTCCCTCAATCCGTCCCGTTCAACTCGGTCATAAATCTCTCGAGCGTTATACTTGAACATGAAAGAGATGGCCGGGATATGGAAGTCGAGTTTGACTTGCTCGTAAGCCGTCGCCTCGTCAAATGCGATTCGCGTATCGCTGTCGTCAATGTCCTTCTCGAGAGCCCGGATGATGTATTGGATCTTCTCCTTGCCCAAGCCCATGACGTTCTTCGCTATCAGCTGGGCTTCAAGCTCTTTGATCCTTACATACAAGCGTCGTGCCGAGAACAAGGATGCTTCGTCTGGACTTTGCCGGCAGATCTGACCAGGCTGTAGACTATCGGGCCACATCAGAGCGAAGTATGGGAATTTGCTCCAGACTAGTGGTTCTCCTTCATCGCCAGTCGCTTCGCCCTCGTGGATCTGGTCCGGGAGCTTGGCTATAGCGTCCAGTAGCGCAAAGAGGTCGGGAGTACGTGAAGACGGCCATTCGAGCAGAGCAGCGATAACCACAAGCCATACAGTCGTCACCCCCAAGATCTCGTCGGAATAACCTCCCAGGCTCGGTACAGGCGAGGTAGATATCGAATGTGTCATGGCGACGGCAGTTGCATCTGCATTCGTATGTCCACCGTGAAATGCACGCAGTGCCTCGACTATCTCAACAAGCCAGGCGCGAAGGGTTGCGTCGTCCTTGTGTACACATCTTTGCTTTTGATGCGCAAACCAAGCGGCATCGACGTTCTGCTTGTCGTCCGAAGGAAGTATGAACAGGTTGTGGAAAAGCATTGTTTGGTCGAAAAGTATCGTTGGTCACTACGGATTCGAGAAAGCCGTTGTTCGTTAATCACTCATTGACGTTCGATAATATAAGGTTACCTCATCAACCTCCAGGCATTCCGGCCACCCCAGAACGATCGTTGCTTGCGAACAGAAGACATTTACTGAACTATTCTTGCATCGGTGGCAGCTTTGCGGCCGTGTTTGCAGTACAGGTCATTCTTCTTGTCAATCATTGAAGTGATAACGACCAGTATGATTTCGCCAAGTCTCTGAGCGCAACGTGACACGACTCGGATTTTTGCAGCCTTGTTCCCCGAACCTCGATACACCATGCCATCCTTACCCACCGCCTCTCTCGATCATGCATATCAAGCGCTTCTCAAGCGCGGTCGCCTGTCTACAAACACTTCTCAAGCAGCCTTGATCACGCGTCTGTCCGCGATACAACGTGGCCTCGACGCCGACACCACCACTCCACCAACAGGTCTCTACATCCATGGCTCGGTCGGAACCGGAAAATCCTACCTGGCATCTCTCTTCACGTCAACTCTGCCTTCGCACATCTCCCGCCGACGAGCGCACTTTCATGAATTTATGCTAGATGTGCATAGTCGTTTGCATGTCGCAAGGTCCTCTTCTTCCGGCTATGGTTCTTCTGATCCTTTGCCGGTGATTGGGCGTCAAATCCATGCGGAAAGCAAAGTGTTATGTTTTGACGAGTTCCAAGTGACGGATATAGCGGATGCGATGATTTTGCAGCGACTAATGGGGGCATTCTGGAGCGCGGGCGGTGTTATGGTAGCGACCTCGAACCGGGAGCCAGACAAGCTATACGAAGATGGCTTGAACCGCGAACTGTTCTTGCCATTTATTGCTATGCTAAAGTACAGATGTGAGACGTGGGCGTTGGGCGGCTCACAAGATTATCGCTTATTAGGAAGGGATGCAGCAGAACAAGGACAGGAGGTCTTCTTCACCGATCCTGCGGGATACCGAGCCAGCCTTGATGCTGTCACCAAAGGACAAAAGCTGAAACCTATCGAGATTCCAGTAATGATGGGAAGAAAGTTGCAGGTCACTGGTATACCAAACTCAGAAGAACAAGACAAACTCACCGTCTCATCAACCTTCACTGAACTCTGCGAGGCCAAGCTTGGTGCAGCAGACTACCACGCTCTCTGTCGAAAATCAAAAACTATCTATCTAGATGGGCTTCGCCGCTTCCGCCTCTCAGAACTCGATTTTGTACGTCGCTTCATCACCCTCATCGACTTGGCATACGAGTCTGGAACCAGAGTCATCATCTCCTCCAACGTCACCATCGACGAGGCATTTGCCGAAATAGTGGAGAATGAACGACAGCGATTAATGAGAAAGCAAGGAGGACTGAAGATGACTGTCAAGAAGGGAGGTGGCAGCAGTTCGAGTATGATGAGTACATTTGTCAGTGACGATACAGAGTGGTCGGCGACAGGGCTGGCCGAGGCAAGTCTGGCGACTGGTGGTGCGGGCGAAACTGATGTGGGATTTGCGATTGGAAGAGCTGTATCTAGACTTCATGAGATGGGGTCCTCCATGTACGGGCGGTTGGACTGATGCATGTAGAGCAATTATCTTGTCCTTGAACATAACGTCATACATACATCCGTTAAATGATACTTAGGGCTCCTTACTCTCCACAAGACTGTCTCGACATCGCACCGTGACCAACTCAGAACTTCTCAACAATTTCAACTTGCTGCACAGTCAAACCCTTCTCTTTGATCTCTCCATCTCCATCATGCTTGACCTGTTCATTGGCAACAGCAGCAACATCAAGAGTCCTGTCTTCGCCATCAAAGTACTTTGCAATTTCCTCCAGAGGTGTGTAGCGAGTCTCGACGAGGAAGAGGTAGATGACGGCGACCTCGAAGGCAAGGAAGACACAGTAGCAGATGTAATACTTCCACTTGAGTGCCTTGAGGGCGATGGCGTTGATGTATTGGTNCTGGAATGCTTGTTAGCACTCTTTAGGAATTTTCAAGATAGTCAACATACTGAAGAAGAGGGAGAGGGTGACGCAGAAGTTTAGNNCTGGTGAACGTTAGCTTTGCACAATTATGCGATATGCGCTCCCGCGAAAATCTCTTACCCAGGTGAACCCCTTGGCACGAAGACCGTAAGGCATAATCTCGGTGGTGTAGGTAGCCATGAGACCATTNNTCTACGCTTGCCGTCAGCAGTCTGTTTCACGGACAGCAGCACGGACAACATACTTAAAGTCGTAGAAGAAACCGTAGACGAACAACATGCCGACGAATGCCCCACCAAGCGTGCTCTGTGGTGTTGCGGCATAGCGAGCAGCAAGAATGGTTGCAATGTTGAAGACAACAAGAGTACCGATGGTGGAGATCAGGTACATGGGACGACGACCCATCTTGTCAGCTACGAGATTATGTCAGCAGGATGTTGAGGATTAGAGAAACGTCACCCAACATTCCAGCCAGGTGTCGATAGTGGTGATGACAATATGGTCTGAGAAGGACAGGAGTGGGGGTTTTGGGTCATACCTAANGAAGGACATTCCGATGTTGGTGACCAAGGAGCAAGACTTCATGCCACCGTTGATGCCAAGCTGAGTACTCGAGGAGGTGATACCGATATCCTTCATGANTCTGAGGGTTGTCAGAAGAGCTGCGGATACAGGCCGAAATCAACGACTTACAGTAGAAAGATAGTAAGAGATGATTCCATTGCCGGACCTGGCCTGTTAGTAACAATTATATGGCAACGATCAGTTTGACACTTACCACTGTGAGAAGAAACCGATGGCTGTGATGATACCCATGCGCTTTCTGTTTCCAGGGGTCTTAACAAGATCGAGCCAGCCAGTGCGGTTGGCCTCTTGATCCATCTTGATAGCAGCAACAATTTCATTGTACTCAAGCTGCACAAGCTTGTCTTCGGGATCGCCGGACATGGAGTGGTACTTGGCAATAATAGCCAATGCTTCATCGGAGCGATCCTTGCTGATCAACCAGCGAGGAGATTCAGGAGTGAAGAAGACAGCGATAGAGATGATGACGGAGAACGTGCACTGGAGCAGAGAAGGCAAGCGCCATGCCCAATCGCTGGGAATCTTGAGAGTAGCGTATGTGACCCAACTTGCGATGAAAGCTCCAGAATGATATGATGCACCAGACAAAGTGACCAAGACGGCACGATCTTGAGGAGGTGCAAGCTCAGTGATGAGAAGAGGTGCAGATCCAAGCACAATACAGTCACCGAATCCGATAAGGAGTCTGGCTGCAACAAACATACCAAAATTGGCGGCACCCGTCTGGAGACCGACACCCAGACACATGATAAGAGACCCAATGAGGATTCCTGATCGACGACCGAAGAGATCAATGATGTAAGGTACAAAGAAGAGTCCGATCAAGGAGCCAAGACTCATGGAAGCGTTGAACAAGCCGAGGATGGAACCCGATGGGTAGTTGAAATATTCTTGCCAGTAAGACAAACTTTGAAGACCATTCATCATTGATCCGTCAAAGCCGTTTGCCGTATTGGTCCTTGAGGTGGTGTTAGTGGTGTCTGGAATCATATCATAACACCCATATGTTACTAACATTATCATAACAACCAGGAGGAAGTACAACTTTCTCATGGGACCTGAAGTCCACCATTTCACACGTTCGATCGTATGCCCGGCGAAGAAAAAATGTCCGTTAGGAGGCTTGACTGGCACGGCCAACTTGTGGGGCTTTGGGAAACGAGACATGGTGTGGTGACTTGGAGGGGGCGATATACCAAATTTGATGATATTGAAGTCTGCACTGGGGATGCAACCAGATGATATAGAGACCCAATACCTTGCAATCAACAGGCTAAACAATCCACCGGGCTTATATCAGAAGGATGCAAGTGGTGTACAACCTGAGTTCGAGACCAAACATCTCGGCCGAGTCCATCTTTCCTCTTGTTTCCCCATACCAGTTTCGATCATGCTGTGGGATGATTCACTCGAGATACAGAGTGTTCAAAACTTGGCAAAGATCATAGGCTAAACATTGTACCATCGCTCCGGATTGCCATGATCTGGGTCATGAAGTATGGTGGCCGTTGTGGTGTGCCAAGTGGGCTGAAGGCTCTTGGTATAGCACTCATGGCTTGGACAGCCCCTCACGAGATTACTCTGCGGCATGGCGCCTCCTTTGTAAAATATGGCTGTTCTATTATCGATGCAAGGCTAATGGCCAGGCTCCCCTACGACCCAACATCTACTCTGATAAGGAGAAAGCAGCAACGCAAAACAGATCTGCAGCCAAGATGCTCGTCCGCGATATAGTCAACGAGTCAGACTTTCAAAGTCACTGCAGGTGCTCGTGTCCGCCGGTCGATCACATGCCCTCCTGTGTCAGGAGTCGAATCCGATAACGTGGGGGCGGGAAACACTGTGGGACCATCCGGGGAAGGAAGAAGGAAGTGAACCATGCGGGGAATTGACGTCTTCGGCATACGACCCTTTTGGTACAAGTTGTAGGAAACAATCTTGGTCATCGACCGTTTCGAGGAGAAAGCAGGACTCGGTTATGTTCATGCCTAAATTCTGCTCACCGGCCAAGCTGGCTAAAGTCGTGTCGACTGTGCCATAACAACGCGGGGCATCACGACAGCCCAACTTTTATCCGGACAAACACATCGAATTGCCATAGTCTGTCTTGTAAGTAAGTTTTGCTCCCACCCTGCGATGAGGAAGCACGCTTTTTGGTCGTCCGCTCGTCTCCTTTTGCTTTTGTCCACTTGTCCGAGATCATGACTTCCACACTCAACGGACCAATCATTCCTGGTTTTGCTCCAGATCCGTCTGTGACTCGCATAGGCGACACGTTCTTCCTTGTCAACTCGACTTTCCATCTGTTCCCTGGTCTTCCCATATATGCATCCAAGGATCTTGTGAACTGGACTTTGATCGGTAAGCTTGAAGTCAATCACAGAAACAAAACACGTATTGACGCATCNATAGGAAATGCCATCAACCGTCGATCACAAATCTCATTGCGCCTCTCCGATACGAAATTGGAACCTCAAGATGATGGAACAGTGATGCTTGCTACGGGAGGTCTCTTCGCGCCAACCATCAGACACGACTCCGAAACAGAAAAGACATATATCATCAACACGAACGTCATTCATCCTGAGGATGGTGGNAAAGACATTCCCAAAAATTTCATCGTCGAGACCGACGACGTTTGGTCAGACAACTGGAGCGATCCAGTTTACTTGGACTTCGATGGCATCGATCCTTCGATTTTCTGGGACGAGGGTGGCAAAGCCTATGTCTGCGGAAGCCATGGTCCAGGTCCCATGACCACGATCGCCCTGTTCGAGATCGACCTGTCTACAGGCAAGAAGTTGTCAGATGAGAAGATCGTGTGGAAGGGGACTGGAGGTATCTATCCAGAAGGTCCACACATCTACAAGAAAGACGGCTACTACTATCTGCTCATCTCCGAGGGCGGCACCTTCAAGGACCATATGATTACTGTCGCAAGGTCGGACAAGATCTGGGGTCCTTATGATGCATATGAGAACAATCCGATCCTCACCGCAGCGGGTACAGATAACTATGTGCATTGTACCGGGCATTGCGACATGTTCCAGGACAAAGAGGATCGATGGTGGGGTGTATGCCTTGCTATGAGGATGCGAGGCTCAAGATTTCACATGGGCCGCGAATCCTTCCTAGTGACCGGACATTGGGAACAAGGCGGATGGCCCAGCCTCGACACAGTCGAAGTGACGTCGTCGCACAAATTCAAGACTGATGTTGTCAAAACCACCAAGACTGGTTTGGACTGGCTCTACATCCGCGACGTCAATCTCCAACACCACAAGGTTCAAGGTTCGACCATTCGCCTGACTCCAAGTAGAGCAGATATCTCTCAATGGCAAAAGCCGGTCTCGTTCATTGGCAAACGCCAAAGGAAGCTGGAAGGCAGCGCTTCGGTGAACCTGGCTGTGCCGAAGACAGGTTCGAGCCGCGCAGGTCTCGTCATCTATAAGGACGAGCATCGATACACTCGTATTCACTATAACAGTAGCAGCAAAATCATCTGCTTCGAAATCGTCAACAACGCGAAGAAGATCAGCAGAAGCGACCAGCAGGAGATCTCAGACGAGACTTCCGACATCAGACTACTGATTGAGTACACCGAAGACAGGCTTGTTCTTCAATTCGAGGAAGAAAAAGGTGTGGTCAAGACGCTTGGTATTGTTGACACAGCGGAATTGTCGAACGCAGACTTCGTCGGTCCTATCGTCGGTGTGTATGCTGTCTCCGATGAAGAAAATGATGAGGTTTTGTTTACCAACTTCGAACACGAGCAATAGATGGAAGCCCGCGGTTTTAGACCACGTGAACGATGCATTGCAAGTTTCATAGACTGAAATGTGGATCTTCGTGGATGTAATACATCTGTAATCATACTTTCTGTCTGAGATGTAATCCGACCTTTGCAGTACGTGCTGCGAACAAAAGTGATGAACCCAGGAGGAAAGACGAGCCACCCCATATTTGCGCAGGCAGATAATGGCCGTTGTCATGGGAGATGAGCGCGCCGGCCAATGGAGGTCCAGTCAGACAGGCAAAGCTAACAATTGTAAAGCCCATTCCCATTCTTACACCTGTCTTCTTCAAATCTGACGTGAGACTAGACAGGCCTGCTGGAAACATGGACTGCAGACCGGCTGAGCCGGAGCCATAGATAGCGGCGAACACAAACAAGGATGCCTTTGAGTGAACACCGATCCAGGCATAACACATCACGCCGCAGAGTATGCTGAATGGCAACATGACATTGACCGCCCCAATAATGTCGCTGAAGTAATTAGGCAATAAACGCCAGACAAAGCCAATGGAGACCATTGTCAAGAGGAGATCAATAGAGTCATGATAGCTCATACCAATGACATTGCGACCATAACTGCCGACGTAGAAAAAGGCAAAATATAGACCCCAGAAGTTGAAGAACATTCCAGCGCAATACAGTACGTAAGGCAACTCTTTGAATGAAGACCACTCAACAATGGGTCCGGTCTTGCGGGGCGGCAATCTCGTACGAAAGACAAGATTCGTCAAGATGTTTGTGAATAGCATGAGGAAACCACACACCCGGATGGTCCAAGGGAAGCCAATCCGCGGAAGAAGTTGTTGGACAACAATAGGGAAGACGACACCTCCAGTACAAGAGCCAATGGTGACAAAGCCAATAGCGAATGAACGTTTCTTGACAAAATAGGTACTGACCAGCGACATGACGGGGCAGAATTGCAGACCGCCAGCAATGCCGAGGCAAAGTCCCTGTGACAAGAATAATTGCCAGTAGTTCGTCGCGGCTGACATGGAGAAGATGCCCAACAGCTGGAGTATCGTACCCGCAAAGTAAACCGGGCGGAAGAGACCGGCATCCAGCGCGCGGCCACTGAATGTCCCCAGAAAGAAGAGTAGAAAGATCTGGACACTGCCAATCCAGGAGATGGCTGATGGATCAAGGCCTAGGGATGTCCTGTAGTATTCTTGAAAGACACCATACGAAGTCACCCAGCCCCAAGTCGAAAAGATCGTAAGATGTGCCATGGCTACTTGGGTCCAGGCTTGTAGGCCGCCATCGGGAGCAGGCTCGACACTTCGTATTGACGCAGCAACGCCATGCGAGAACGTGCTGGCTAATGGTGGTTCCCCCGGAACTGGCTCAATGGTATGAAGCTCTTCCGACTTGTATGATCCTCGCTCTTGCTCGATTTCCGGATCTTTGAAGCTCGAAATGCTTTCATGGTCGCGGTTGTTCTTGGGTTCGTAGGACGTCATGGTCGTTCGAAAGCCGGGCGCGTCGTTCGTTCGTTGAGGTCGACACAACTGAAGGACTCATTCACGATCAAGATACTGCAAGACTTACATTGCAAATCTGTGAAAAGTTGTCGTTACCCTATCCTCGGTACTCCTCTATCTGGATGAATCATTGTACATCTCCGCCCTTCGGGCAACAAATCCGATCGCGGCGGAGAAAGTCTCAAGGCGTGCGAGGTCGACCTGCCCGCTGTTTTGGCCAAAAGTCGTGGTGCCGCATCATCCGTCCCAGCCGCTGCTCGCTTCCTTCAACGCTGGTGGTGGGAAATGGATATCTGTTCTTGTGCTTCTTCGCAGCTGACCAAACGACAGCTCCTCATGGACGGTCGGTCAGTACGGCCACTCCGCGTTTATCCTACCATTGCAGCTTTTCAGCTTTTTTGCTCCCACCTTTTTGGCGTTATAGCATCTTTATCCTTACCTTTTTAGTGTTGCAGCTTTTTGTTTCCATCTTTCGACATTATTAGCTTTCTAGTGTTTCTAAGATATAGCTATGTGACATTATAAAGCGGGGCCTCCGAAATCCAGATTGCCAGGCCTCCTTCTACTATAGTATCAATAACACCCCCACTAAAATTATATATCGATCTTTTTATGCTACGTTATAGGAAGTCTATAAACCTAGATACCTATTAAATTGCTAGATATAAGCATAAAAACAGTGTTATTTATTTATATCCCAGCTAGACGGTCAAAATAGCAAAGGTATATACTCGGGACAAACTTCAATATAACTAGAAAGGTAAAACGCAGGATTGGAGATCTGGGAATTCTGGATAAACGCGGATTGGCCGTACTGACCGACCGTTTCATGCTGGCGTCGCATGATAAGATCTGTGTCAAGGGTCGCTGATCAAGCAATGCCAAAGGTATAGGGGTTCCAAAGATGATCTCGCCAGAGAGTCCCAGAGTGCGCGGATTATGGCATCCAATCCTCTACACCGAGATTCAAATAGTTGTTGATCAAAGCAATTTCTTCTGGAAGCGAGAAATGCATTCTTGATCCAGCACGTTCTTTCTGCGACTCCTGAACGTATCGGAGCTCCAACCAGATATGAGCATCTCATGCTTGCGTGGCCTCGGAGGCCAGGACGGCCTTTCACATCTCTCTAGGGACGTGCGCGTATATGAGATGAATTCAAGGTAAGATACTAAATGTGTGCTCTTCCCAGCTTGCAGCGCGATACAACATCCAGCATCACCCCGATACGAAGAGCGCAGATTGTCCGACCGAACTCAATTTTGCTATGGATCAAACAATGATCTGGGGGGCGCTCCTTACGCATCTCCGTCATACTTGTTCCACATACGGCGACCCTCGAAACGGATGGTCTCGAGATCAGGCCGACATGTTTATCCAGCAAATGCAAGCTGATGACCCTCAAACTTCCCCGAGCCGGGAAGGACTGGACTCGGAAGGATTTATCACGTACATAACCTCAGCTGAGACAGATGCTTCAATTCCGCCACCCCTTCAAACATAACAAGCATTTCCTCATGCGGACTTATCCTGCCGGAACACGAGTCAACTCCTCGAACTTTGATCCTTCAGGCCACTGGCGCAAAGGCGTCCAGTTTGCAAGCTTGGACTGACAGACCTGGAATGATGGCATGATGCTCAATGAAGCCATGTTCGCCGGCACAAGGGGCTTCGTCCTGAAACCGGATGGTTACCGAAGCTCCGGAGGGCAAGACACAGTCGCTGAACCTCTCATCCCAGACAAGACGCTACACCACTTTGCCGTACATGATTTGGCGGCCCAAGATCTTCCAGTCCCTGACGCGGACGACAGTTCGGGCTCTGGAGAGTTGTACCCGTACCTCGTTGTAAAGCTATTCACCCATCCGCACCCACTACGGAACCTTCCATGTGATGAACAGCCACTTCTCGCACGAACCAAGACGTCATAGGGGATCCATCCCGACTTTGAGGGCGAGGTTCTCCAGTTCCCAGAGGTGCCAAGTGTCACACCGGAGATAGCTTTTGTGCTCTTCCAGATCATGGATGAACGCATAGGTTGGGACAGAGTGGCTGCATGGGCTTGTGTGTCACTGGATCGACTCGAGAAAGGATACCGCCATGTCCGGTTACGAGACAGCCAGGGTAAAGCTAGTAAAGGGATGTTATTGGTAAAGATCGAATTCGATATGTCTTAAGTTGTCACAAATCTGCTTGTACGCGCACAATATTCTTTATCTAAGATCCAATCCGCTTTGACGACAATTCTGTTTCTGGTCTTGCGCGGCGCCTGATTATACTTCTGCAAACCTCCTCCATGGTCCACATTACCATTGTCAAGAGGACTCGTGTTTCGCTAGCTCATCATGCACCACAACTTTCGATGCAGGCTGGAATGGTTCGGCGTCTCCAAATCTCTCAGGGACCAATCCTGCGTATCCAGGTCTGGACATGCCTCTTTCGAGTTGGCGTTCGTAAGATACCTGGCGCAAACGATTCGACTCTCTGGGCGTGAGTCTAAGCTATATCGCATGATAATCAGTGACTGTCCCACGCTGGTTCTCCAGAACTATATTGCTTACATGAAATTCAATGGCAATGGTGTGTAGCAACAAGGCAAGCCAACCCGCTGCACCAAAAGGAACCCCGAGGGCGGCAGAAATTTCCATGGAATTCTCGCTGGCAAAGTCGGCAGTGACGACGACTGGTAGGTTTGGTGCATTGCCATTGAAGTAGTCGGCGCATTGCGGGTAAGCGGCAAGGGTATCGTTCTCTCCAAGAGCGAAGGCGATTTGGGCGCATGGTCTAACAGTGTNACCTGTGAAAGACGGTCAGCTATGTCCATCTTTGACCAATTACCATCAGATGTTTGGAGTAGCCTACCAATTTCTGTTCATGCTGATGATTTGAGCTGAGATGATCATGATGATCCTGATAGTGACAATGGTCGAGANACTACACAACATCAGTATGTCGAAGACTCGATGGAGAGCTGGTCGACGTACCCAAGCCCATGTTCGAAGCATCCAAGCACGGTGTTGATCGATTTGTAGTAGCTTGATGTTAACCCAAGCCATGATGTATCCGAGAGTGGTGAGTATGACCATAGCTCCAGTCCAGGTTTGCGTTGAGAAGTCACCTCCAAACGCATGTCTCGTGATGATGATTGTTCCAGCATTACTAACNNAAAGCGAGAGAACGACTATTGCATAGCCGTTCATTCGGTGGAACAAGATTAGTTTGTGTCGGATGACAGGTATGAACTGGAGAACGACGAGCAGTGCGGCCGGTATGATGGTATAAAGATGTAGCATCATGCCNNTACCAAGATGTCAGTCCGAGTTGAAAGGCAGTAGTAGATTTGTGATAGCTTTACCGATCTTAAAAGGGACTTGGATGTAGTAATAGCATTCTCCAGGAGCTGCCCCAGTGCCTCCAGGAGAGTTCGGGTCGCAGAAAACACCATTGAACGAGAGATACTGGAGTCTGGCAAGGGTAAAACCCAAAAGGTAGCCGAGGGCGAGGAACGCTAGAANGATGCTGGTGAGCAATGATACCCGGAGCGATGGTCAGCGAGACTCACCAAGAAGAGCATTGTACCCTTTCGAGAAACCCAGGGGATTGTATACACGGCGCATAACACGAACGAATCCATTGGTTGGCTTGTTGATATTCGCTGGTCCGGATGCCATGTCTGACAGGAAGGCAGTCAAGGTTCAGGATGGGGCTTGATGGTGTGTTTAGTGTTCAACAAAGGTGTGAAAAATTGGCGGGGATTGACTCGAGATGGTCTGAGCGAAGCCTGCTCTTATAGAAAACAATCAAGACGTGACAATACTTGACTCTTGCTCTACTGCATGATGGCAGCGATCAGAGACGTTAATGTCATGCCCTCGCGGGACTTGTTCATCAACGTTATTGGTGTTACGTCGTGGGTTATACCCCAATGAGATGGACTCTGCGACTCTGATTTTGTTGCGGAGATCAAAAGGAATGCATGCGCATAGAATCGCGTCGGCAATGGAAGCAGGCGGTCATGTTTGCGGGTGGAAGTCGCGACGGTGATGTCGGCGAGCGCGCAGAGTCCCTCCCGAAGCGGTTAGACCCTGCGAGGCTTGAAGGATTCGGTCTCTCATCCCTCCACCTCCCAAGCGCCCAAGCTTCCTTCCTTCTTGTGCTCACATAAAGGATCCGGAAGATCGATCTGTTGCAGATGCGGCACAGACACGTGTTGGCAGAAGCAGAACTCAGCACTGCCCTCCTTGCTTACCTATCATGTTTGGTCTCTCATGACTTGTCCCGACAGGTCGCTCGGAACCAGATGCGCAGCAGTCGTCAGGACTCTGGCCATCGCAAGACCCTACACAGAATTCGTGTGCCACAAACATCGAACTTGAACCTCTGCTTCTTGCTACAAACCGACCGCACTTCACTTGCCATACATAGTTGAGCTGCTCACCCAAAAAGGGTAGGGTTAGGGGTTTGGGTTAGGGTTAGCAGCATTTCGATACGCTTCTATATAAGCTATTCTTGCTCGTCTAACTACTTTTCTATATAAAAACAAAGAAAAAGGGTACGATAAAAAGGAAGAGGGAAACAAAAGAAAAAGGAAAAGAAAAAGAAATCTATCTAGTCTATACCATATCCTAGCCAGTTCCTAGCCCGGAGTCTTACTAGAGTGGTAGAGATATACTTATCTAGCCACTCCGAGGTGCTAGGACCAAGGGACTTTTGGAATTCTTTGTAGGTTTGTGAGGTCTCCTTTCCTAGAAGGCCTCCTTGGCTAAGGATAAACGGCTTAAAAGCTCGGCCTAGGGTTTGGTATTTGAGCTTCTTAGCCCTTTCCGCGGCCGATAGGGTGCTATTAGGGTCCTTCCTAGCGGTTTCCTTACCTAGGGAAATGATGGACACATCTAGGTAGGTGGTTCCCTTAGGGTTGTCGATTCTAATGTCTGTCCGGATTCCTCGGTAGTCTCCTTGTGGCTCTAGGGTGACTTTGTTTTGTGGGTCGGTCTGTAGGGCCGTAGTCAACGCCTGGCACACCTTATTATGTTTGACAATTGTCTGTCTAGTCCTAGCACGGCAGGCGTCTTCGTGGGCGAAGGTATAGGCCCTATCACAGTGTCTACAGATGTCCTGGCCTTCTTCAGGGGATGTAAGAAGCCGAATAGAAAGTGCTGCGGCTACGTCCATGTCCGAGAGTAGAAGGGGCTGTGAGGTAGGCATTGCGGATAGCCATCTCCGGCCTAGGAAGGCTGAGTTCTCGATCCGTACGTTCTCTTGCTGTAAAGAGAGCTTCTGCTGTACTCTAGCCAGTCGAGCTCTGTTGAGCTTGTCTATTGCAGCTCGGTAGATGGTTCTAGCAGGGCCAGTACTAGTGGGGTCTAGTTGTTGGTGTTCTAGGGGAAAGCTAGGCTGTTGTTGGGTGTCCTGGGCTAGGAGGTAGGATAGGCTTGGTTGTGGTTGTTGGTTTGCTCTATTCCTGCTTCTACCGCGGTCCTGGGAGTGATCCTGTTCCTGTTCTTGTACCTGTTCTTGCTCCTGGCTTCCTAGAGTGGTTTGTTCGTCTAGACCTTGTGTGTCCTCTTCTGTGGCCTTGTCTATGTCCCCTTCTAGGCCGTCCTCTTGTAGGTTGCCTTCTTGGCCTTGTGTAGGCCTATAGCTAGTCTGGGGTGGCCTTCCATACTAGTGTTGCTAGGGGCTGGCGAGGGTGCTCGGGGTAGGCGCCAGAAGAGTTTTGGCGGTAGGATCCTCTGTAGGGTGATGTCTGCTATAGCCTGTGAGTTTTGGAAGGCTAGCTCGGCCACTTCCGCGTAGAGAGGTATTCCTAGGCCTCCTAGCCTAGTAGGGAGGGCTACTAGGTCCTGGTCTAGTGGTCTTCTATCCTCTGAGCCTTGAAGGTGTTTTATGGTTTCTAGGAGTCTTGTGTCAATGTCTTGGAATCTTGCCAGGAGTCCTTGTGATCCTATGGTCCTAGGAAGGTGTCGGAGTAGTGTAGAGGTGCTAGCCCTAAGTAGGAGGAGTGCGTGTTGTTTTGGTAGGTCTTTTAGCCTATCTAGCACCGTCTGGAGTTCTTCTATCCTTGTAGCCAGGAATTCGGCCTTCCGTGGCTCTGGCCCTATAAAGGAGCCAAGTATCTTCATTCCCGTGGTCTGTATTGCCGATAGGGGTGTGTCTTTGTCTTATCTATGTTTAGGGCGATAGGGGCGTCTTCTAGGTAGCCTTCTAGTTGTTGTAGGGTGATCTGTTGCCCTGAGATGATGTAGACGTCGTCTAGGTATGCTAGGACGATAGGAGGGGGTCTGTTATAGCCGGTTGACCTCTGTAGCTGTTGTTGTAGCTGTTGGAGGGTGGTCCGAATGGCTAGGGAGAAGAAGAGGGGCCGAGGGGGTCTCCTTGTCTAACCCCTTCCGAGGAGGTAATTACCGTGCCGTCATACATCACTAGGGCTGCTGGCTCGTTGTAGGCCCATCTAGCTGCCTTGTAGAACTCTGGGGCATAGCTTAGGATCCCGTGGGCTACCGCTGCTCGGGAGACTGAGTTGAAGGCGTTTTTAAAGTCCATAGAGCAGACGTGGGTGTATCCTCTAAGGTTTCCATCTACCGCGTGTCCTAGTAGGTGTATGATTGGCTCTACCCCGCCGGGGCTCTGTACCCCTAGCTGGAAGGGGGCTAGTTGGTCCTTAGAGAACTGTTTTTGGAGGAGGACCTTAGCTACCAGCCTATAGATGAGCTCTCCTACTGCAATTGGCCGGACCCCGCTATCTTCCTTATCTAGGGCTACAAGCCTCGATGCGGTAAGTAGCTGGTTCCCTGGTGCTAGGCCGTTCTGTACCTGCTTGCAGAGGTGGGTAAGAAAGTCTACCACCTGTTTATGCTTACAGGCTTCCCTTAGTAAGGGGACTGACCAGCCGGATAGGCCAGGGGCTGTATCCGGGGCAAATGAGGCCAGGGCTTGTAAGATGTCTTCCGGGAGTGGCCTAGGGCCTGGTCTAGGGCTCGCGGAGGAGGCAAAGGGGTAGGGCTGCCCTTCCGGGTGTTTTTCTCTTAGTTTGGCTAGTATATCCGCCGAGTTCCTAGCTAGGGTTGAGGGGTCTACTAGTGCCCTTGCAGCTCTGCCTAGATAGCCCTTTTCTACCAGTCTTTGGGCTCTAGAGCGGGGGGTATCCCGGCGGTTGTCTGGCTGGCCTAGAAATTCCTGGGCCCTATCGGTTTCTACGCGGCTTGGCGGGGGTAGCATTAGGTCCGGGTAGTGCTGTAGGACGTATTGGGTGCTAAACTCCTCCGATTGGATGCCTAGGGTAAGGCCAGCCTTCGGTAGTAGTAGGAAGTCTAGCAGGTGTTTCTCGGTAGGTTGGCGTGTGTATCTAGAGGCACACCTGGCCGCGGCGGCCACAAAGCTAGCGGCTTGGCTGCCACGGAAGGTGTGGTCCTTTGCCTGTACGTGGTTGTATCCAAATAGCTGTTGTAGATACTTGTTTCGGGGCTGGTAGGTGTTATACCGGTCTTGGCCTAGGCCTATAGGTATGTCTGCAACATCTGGTGGCGGTGGTGTATGTTCGTCTCCGTAGATAGGGCTAGTAGGCCCCTGGGTCCCTAGTGAGTAAGAGGGAGGTGCCGGTGTACTAGGGGAGGAGGGTGTAGGAGAGGAGGGTGTAGGAGAGGAGGGTGTAGGAGAGGAGGGTGTAGGAGAGGAGGGTGTAGGAGAGGAGGGTGTAGGAGAGGAGGGTGTAGGAGAGTAGGCACTACTAGTGTTTCGGGGGCCGTCTCGGACGTGGATCTCGCTTTGGGCCGGTGAGCTATGGCCGCTAGGTAGGTTTGAGGCTAGGTCCTCGAGGAGGCCGATGGTGGACTCGTTAGGAGAGCCATAGGAGGTGCCGTTTGGCGAGGGGGTAGGAGAGCGGTCTAGTAGGAGGGTAGGTAAAGGGGCTGGTTGGTATGTAGGTCGGCTGTCGGATTGGTTGCCGAGGATTTCGGGTTTTAGGGTTTGGGTTTTAGGGTTTGGGTTAGGGTTAGGGTTAGGGTTAGGGTTAGGGTTAGGGTTAGGTTAGGGTTAGGTTAGGGTTAGGTTAGGTTAGGGTTAGGGTT